ACAAAAGTCTCGAGCTAGTTTCATCCCTTGGTTTGTTGTGTCAAGGCATCCGCGTCATGACCTCGCGCACATACCCTACAGACGGACCTACGAGACAACAAAGTGGTGGCCGCCTCCATTGCTGATGTCTCACCGACTCCCACAGGACTCCAGACTCGGTCCTCCTCCCTTGCACTTGATAGATCAAATTGAGAGCCAAGACTATAAGTGACGGAAACGATACTTATCCGCCAGGACTCTTGCCTTTTTATTTCCCCTAGTGTTCTTTGTTTTAGATTTTTTTTTTATGACTAACCAACGAGCTGTCGCATAATTGACTGAGTCAGTCAATGCAACCCTGAAGCCTCCAGTTTAGTCCCAATGGATTTCCCCAATTTGGGAAGAGCAGTATACTCACCCCATGTGATTGATAATGAGATCAAGGAGTGACTGACTGACTAGTATACATGTACATGTACAGTACACGGCAGTCACACCATAGTCCATCAGCCGGCTGCCCTATCCGCATGTCAGGAAATTGACTGCCATGTTTTCTTTTTCCACGTTGGGGGAGCCACCAGCCTGCAGATCGTGCACGAATTTCCCCGCTAGCATGGCACCTGCCATCCAATCGAGGAGATGATCAGAAGCCAGGGTGGTCCTGTGCTTACTGGTGTGATTGTGTGTCTAAATTGCCAAAAATGCCAGGATCGAGATGGGGTGACACCGGAACCTAGTCCAGACTATTCAGTCTGCCCAAGACAGGTCTCACGGAAAGCTGTTTGGTGGTGGAAATGACCGTGTATGCTGTATTGATCTGATAGAGCCACAAGCCAAAATCCCAACAGGCACCACTCCGCATCTTTTCCATCTGGTTGGTGGTTTACGATGGTCTGTCTGTCTTTGGCGGAGTCGGGGGCGGGGTCGGAATCGGGCCACGAACGCATGTATTCACCCGTCTTGTCTTTTCTTTTCTTGTCTTGTGTTTTGTGTTTCTTGTGGGTGAAAGTGCGTTATTGGAATTTTGCTGTGTGTATTATGCGCCACACCTCCACGGGCTATGCTTACATTGCGTTCAAGATGGTAAGATTCGTCCACAATCTCCACGGGGTTGTTGGGTGTCAGCAAAGTACTCGGGGTTCCAGGTGCGGTATCGGACTTCCCTAGCCGGGAGATTAAACAGGACTTTGCACTCGGGGTACAAGCCTCCAATCACAACACACTAACATCAATCCAACCTATTGCATTTTACCCGCCTTGAATGATGCTGGGTTTTTGCTGCATTCTGCAGCCATGCAGTACTTTGGAGGGGGTGCGCGCTGTGACAGCTTACAGGGCAAGGAGGGTGGGTGGGTCACGGCAGGCCGCTTCCAAGCCTCCGCCAACAGGGCCAACGATTGAAGGTAAGACGACGCAAGTCGGATCGCTGGCCACGAGATGAATATGGCTCGATTATTATCGTCCGCACTAACCTACAGGGTCGGGGCCTGACTACAGGCCTTAGCGCCAGCCAGGGTTCCTCGTGCATTATTGGGCCATGTGCCCTCAATCTATGTGACACCGTCCGGCCCCGTTAAGGACCTGCCCGAGATGGCAAAGTCTCGATTTGCCCGAGTTGAGCTGCTGGGGGGACTGCATTTTGGCCGTTCACATCCATACGGATTCTCTCGTCCAACTGGGAGACCGGTGACGGCGGTGACGGCGCAAGAATGGGACTTCCCGGCACGAATGCAAGGCTCATCTCGAAGGATTAGACAGCGGCGCGCAGCTTCGGAAGGATTCTTGCGACGGGTATTCCGTGTGCTCAAGGCTTGACTAGGTCGTCATCCTCTATCGACAAAATTACTCCTTCGCCGCGGAGGGGCCAGATTCTGGAGCCTGCAACCGACGCACTTGATTAGATCGAATTCCAACCTGTGTCTGGCTGAACGGGCCCGGATGGTTACATTGACTCTGTCAGTGACCGCTCAACACTCAGTATCTAATTTCTGCATGCAGGGCCTCGAGCGGACCCGGCTGCTTTTGTTGCCGGCAAGCTACAGCATCTAATAAGTCTGGCTTCACCTGCAGTTCGTGCCCCAGACTGAGACGTCTGTCCGGCTGTTGTGGTTCAGAGTATGAGGCTGATCGAAGCAGGTCGCGACGGATCACTGTTCATCAAGTCGTCCGGCAGCTGCCCTGCGCATAGTACCGAAGCTCGGACTCCCCTGTCGAAGAGATAACCATCTGGACCCCACGCTTAATTAAAGTGTGCATGCCGGGCTTGCCTTTTATCCTTGCCCATGGCCATGGGTAAAATCTGCCAGACCAGGGTAGCATGGCATGCAATGATGGAGGAAAACAGTCAACAGATCCATGCCAACTGCAGCTCATCATGGCGCCTGCGACATCGAACGGGGTCATTGAACAGGCTATAACCGGCCGGCTACGAGTATTCTGAATCTGTCCGCGGGGGCGTTGGCGTTGACTCCTCGAGCGAGCGATGCATTGAATTGCCAATAGAAGCGCCTAGGGACGTAATATCTGACTAAGAAAGATAGATGACGAGCATAAGCGACCTTTCACGATGAGACCTTCTCCTCTTCAGCGCTGCTGCGATTTCATGCAATGCTACCTCACTACTGGGGACCAAGGAAATCCGCCTCGAATCAGCATCCTTGACCAATATATGTCGGCATGTCAATTACCCGCGGCCATGATTAAGTATCCGCTGACCAAAACTTTCGATTGTGATCATTGTCCACAAGCAATGAGTAAAGCTTAGTTTTCCCTATTTTGCTTTCTCCTCTCGAGGTAGTCTAGTCTCGAGTTACCATCCCATCGGCCCTAATTAGTGCTTACTCACGACGCAACTAGCCATCTCCACCGAATTCTTTCCTCCCCGATGCCTCGGTCCCTGTCCCTGGCACCCGGGAATCGGTGGATCCCTCTTCAGACGAGACGGAGCGTTCAGCCAGGTAGATTATTGTCCTTCGTTCACTCTTCAGGGACCACTCCGAATCTGCAGCTGCAACTTAGTTATCCTGCCTAGACGGCGACCATTTTAACAACCTATAGTACATCCTAGCCAGACCACTTGAATTAGGGTGGCAAAGGGAAAAAAAAAAAAAAAAAAACCATCCTCTCGGAGTAACCCCGACAACTAATATGTACATACAGTACCAGCAAGCGCCCAGACAAGTAAAGCACAGCACAGCTCACAAGCAAGCAAGCAAGCAAACCCCGCGGCACAAGGCGAAGTCAGCGCGGATCATCCTCCATGCGAGCCACTTCTGAGTGCAAAACACAAAATGAAAAACATGACATATAATCAATTGTCCGAACCCTTGTACAGTAGCCATGCGCTACCCCTCCCGCATTGTAACCTTGGACAATCTATGCGAATGGAAAGTGTTGGAGATCACCTTGCAACAGGATGGATGATTTGATTAATGATGATTCAAGCTTACACAGCGCTTGTTCATCATCCATCCATTCCCCTCTTTCAGGCTTTCCCTTGCCCCCCTCTTCCTTCACTCCGACCGACCCAGTGCGCTGCAGACACACAGAAGGGAAAAAGGAAAAAAAAAGCTCAGACCAACTTGCATTCCCCGATCGGACATTTTCTTCCCGGAGGAGGGGAGGGCATGAGGTCCGAAAGTCCGAATGTGGCTGAAGTTACGAGGAGTGCCACGTGGTTTGTTAAGGCTGGCACTTTTTGTATTTTTTTTTGTTGCAGCTCACTGGCTCTGTTGATTGTGGTTGAATTGAAGGGAGATAGTCTATGGGGGTTTGCTTTGGTTGAATCCATGATGTTGTTGGGAGCTTTTGATGGTTTACCTGCTTAGTATTAGTGCAGCAGCTGCGCTACACTGGTCACTCAGTAGTCAGTATAGTGGTCAATGTAGCGACCGGGCATAGTCACCGATTGTATATTCTCCACCATCTACGGAGTACTTCTTTTGACTAAGGGATTCGGTGCGTTTTCGTGATGATAACGCAATAGTTTATCGCTCTACTCAGAGCGCGTTCAATAGTAACGCATGAGCAGGACAGTAGACAATCTTAATCCGGATCAAGCAACTAGATCCCAATCACATAGACATACACCTACCGCTCCAATACAAACCACGACGACATAACAATCAAACACCACACAGGCATTCACACAGCCCAGATTCAATCAGGTCATGACCAAACACAGCGCATCTCCTAGGGAACCGCCTACAACCAACCCCGACCCGACCCATCACGATCCCATCCATCAATGCCATATGTCTTAACATGGCAACCTGAAGGATCTCAGCCTCATTGAAAAAGCCAAGATTGAGCCCCGCCCTTCGATTTCTACCTAAGTAAACATTCACATCCCATCCATCTGCAAGGTCGACTCTCCATACGAGGAATTAGGGCGGGGGATAAGCTCCACTGGGTAGATGGCTTGATAACTCCCCTAGATATAGATAGGATCGATGATCTTGAAACTACAAAATGGGAGGCAATGATTGGCCGGCTGGCCAGGTGCATGGATCCACTAGCCTTAAGCTACGGTACTTGCTCGCTCTGCCTTGTGCTTTCCTGCCTTGTGGAAGGTAGACTATAAGTTTCAGTCAGTGGGTGGAGGGGCACGCCCGGGTTTGAGGGATGCTTGATGTGGGGAGAAGGCTGTGCTGTGGGTTCCTGCTGCGGGGAGTGGAATAGCCCAGTCGGGAGGGAGGGTATGCTGTTGCCTGCTTCTGCTGGCTGTGTGCGTGTGTTTGTGGCTCAGCTCAGAAGGCTGATTCTTTGATACCTCGTGTGGAATTGGGCGGTTAGCTTGGCTTGTGCTGGAGCTCAGCCACTGATCTTGCTTGAGTAGTAGCATTAGAGTGTGTGGGAAGGAGGATGGTCTGGTTACAATCCTAGTTGAAGGGCGTGTGTGCGTGTGTGTGTGTGTCTCAGAGTTGCTGTCTTGCGATTGCTTGTTTGTTGTATGGATGGATTGCATGCATGTACTGTAGTAATGGCTGGCATACGGTATGACAGATGTCTCAAAACAATGTGGATAACAAGGTCTATTTTTAGTATCGGGGTCTCAATATGATTCCAAGCCCAAATGGCGTGTTTGTATGTACAGATTCGTTTTTTGTCTTTTCAGTGGAGATAGAAGGGTTTACTCCTCATCCTCCTCGCCTTCATCTTCCTCCATTTCATCAAGATCAGCTTCGTCGTCATCATCCTCATCATCCTCGTCATCTTCATCATTGTCATCGAATTCCACACCCAGGTCACCGGTGATATCCCAGCGATCACCCTTGGCAGCGGCACTGACGTACTTGACGAACTTGAGCGTGCCGCTGTCGCGCAGGACAATGCTGAGACGGTTCCAGCAGGCCGCGGTGCTGAAGAGGATACCATCGTCTTCGTCAGCACCGGCCGACCGGTAGATAGCCGCATCGCCCTCGTCCTCGTCATCTCCGGCCATGTAGATCTCGTACCCACCCACTGCGGGCTCGTCGGAAGTCTTGGCGCCGTCCTTGGGCTTGGGCTTCTCCTTGGTCTCACCGTCGGCCTCCTCGTCCTCGTCCTCGGCGCCTTCAGGCTCCCACCCGGGCGTGGGCGTCAGGCACAGAGTGAACTCCAAGCGGGGCTCCTCCCCATTGTAGCCGCTAGCCAGGGTGTAGTCCTGACCCCGGCGGAAACGGCGCGCCAGGTAGTCGTAGCTGGAGATGCGATCCGCGCCAGTGATCAGCGCCAACCATTTGCGGAACGCCCGGGACGGGAAGAGGTCATTGAGGAGCTCCTGAAGTGGGGTCTTCTGATCCTCAGTGGCGGTTCCGTGCTGTTGAAACATGTAGCGCTGCTTGTGGGGAGGCCGGGCAACGGTCCACCCGGTCTGGGCGAGAATCTCGTCCGAGGAGTTGGGCAGAGATTGTTTCTCTTGCTCTTCGATGTAAGCGCGCACCCGAGCGGCGAATTTCTCCGACAGGAACCGGTCGAGGTTGAGCGAGGATTCGTTCGTGAAGGTCTCGGACATCTCCTCTGCGATGTCGGGAGTCAGGTAGGAGGGTGCTATGTATTGGATTAGGAAGTTCAAGTCGGACTCCGTGAACTCGGCGCCGGGTTCCTCCTCCACCTTCGCCTTGCCCTTCCCCTTGCCCTCGTCCGCTTGTTCGTCCTCTTCCTCGCAGGCGACCGGCTTGGGCTGAGGGAGATCGTAGATATCGCCTCGTCCCTGGAGCTGGGCAAGACTGCTGCGTTCTGCGAGCTTCTCCTCCAAGCCAGCCTCGTATCCATCCTCCCCTTCCTGGGGGATGTGGAACCATCCGCTGATCGCCATGCGCACCCGTTTCTTGGACTTGTCCTCATTCTCCTTGGGGTGGTAGACTTCCTCGACGTCGTGGAAACTCTCTCCTGGTTGGACGGTGAAGAAGCTGAGCTGGTTGAATGCAGGCGGGATGCTAAGGCTGAAGTCGGGACTGGGGATCTTGACATCCTCGCCGTTGACGTCCTTTTTCGTGGTGGTGGGATACAGGCGCAACGCACCACCCCATTCTTCTTGCCATGGGGTGTCGGGATCGGTCAGATACAGGATATAGGATACACGTCTGCTGCCGATGACATCGTCGTGGCACAAAAGGTGGCAGCCTTCGTTGTAGACGTTGATGGCCATGTCGGTTTTGCGACCGCTGAGCTTTCCGGATCCGGTCACGGCGGAGAGGTATTCGCGGAACCGAGCAGAGTATAGAGCATCGCGCAGCTTTAGAATCGAAGGAAGCTTGGACAGGGAGGCATCGTCAAGGCCGTCCAAGTTGGCCAGATCTCCGGACTGGAAGATCTTGTAAATGTCCGTTTCCTTCTCGGTGAAGTCGACTTGGGCCTGGATTTCATCGCGGACTGCTCGTAGAAGGGAAGACTCAATCAGAGGAGAAATGACTCCATGCTTGTAACTTGAACGATAGTCAGCCTGTTGCCTGATTGAGACAAACGGACGTGAAGGGCACGGTGATCAGGGGTCGACGTACGGAGCAGACTGAGCGTACTGCTCGGTATACTTCTGTTGCTCCGAGGGTTCAAATAGACCCTCACGGAAGCGCGCAGCGACTTCTTCGCTGGACAAGGCGCGCTTCTTCGTCTCCGGCTGGTCTTTGCCGTTCGTGCTGTTATCTGTCTTGCGCTTCATTCTGAGAGATTTGGAAGGAATGATATGAGAGGAGAAGGAGCCCTGGGGAGAAAATCGAGGCGCGACAACGGAGGGACGGGGATCTTTTTTTGCTAAATTTTAGTTTGGCGGTGAGGATTTTGCAGGTCGAATTGCAGTCAGCCCACGCATCAGGCCATGGACTGAACAAGCTTGGGATTTACATCTGTGTGGTGGATTTAGTGGATATAGTGAAAATAGAGTAGAGGTGGATTTTCTATTTGGATTATGGCGATCTGTATGTTTCCTACAAACTATCACACTTGCTCAAAATGACTTCGTTCCTGGCCTGCCCAGCCACGCACTTGTCTGGGATGGAAGCTTGGATTACTTACTTTACTCCGCACTGCCCCGATAATCCCCTGGCGATAAGCCGCGTATCACCTCCATTCATCTGCCCATCACCACCACCTTCCATACCTCTGAATTCAAGCCAGCTGAACCAGCTGGTGACTTGATACCCTGAGCGATCACGCATCTTATTCGACCCTCTGTCGCATTCCCATCCATTCGCATCGCGTTTTCACCACAGACAAACCCCTCAGTAATCAAGCGCAGACGTCATTGACCGCCGATCGCGGCGTGCGTTCATCGACTCAGCAATCGCCTGATAGCGAGGGATCGATCCGTCTTCTGTCTTTGCGCCACCCGAAATTCTTCCAGTCAAGCAAACGACAGCACTGGAACAACGCATCATGCAGCTACCACACGAAACCCAGGAGAGTTCGCCCGATCGGCCAGGGACGCCTCCGCGACCGCCATATTCCCCTGTGACACCGACCTTCGCGCATCTGGTACCTGTCAGCCATCCTTCCGCGGCAAACGGAGGATCGCACCCCATCATTCCACCCGCTGCATCGCCTTCTCCTACCACGAAATTGCTGGCTTACGATGGCCTGCCGCCGGACTCTCCTCCTCCCCCGCAGCCCGCAAGTGCACCCGTGTTTGCCACGGAACCTGCTGCAGTGCCTATCTCCGAGAGCGAGAATCCCGATGCGATCGCACTGCGCTCGGCTATCTCGATCCTGCAGCTTCAGAAGCAGCAGAGCCTGCGGGATATTCGAACGTTGGAGAGAATGAAACGAGCGGCAGCGGCCGACCCGGAGGGCTTTGCGCGCGAGTTTGCTGCGGGCAATCTCACGCCGAAAGATAAGGGCGGGTTTATAAACTTCAACCATGATACGAATGATGACGAGGATGGGAATGAGGATGATGATGAAATGGTGGATGACTCGAAGGAAATGAAAGTGTCTGGGTTCGGAATGATTCCCCCTCCGCAGAACGTGGTTCGCATGCCTCCTGTCAACTGGGCCAAATACCAGATCGTGGGCGAATCGTTAGACAAGATGCATGAGGAACAACGACGCCGGCCATCTTCGGGGGAACCGCGCAGGGATGAAAGCGCTCAGCGAGCCCCAGAGTATGTTCTGGCCTCGCCGTACCGACCGTTGACGGATAAGCTGGACAGTCCGAACAAAACCAGGGGAACTGGTGCCAAGAGCAAGAAGTCCTGATAACGGCCCCATGTCTCTAAGTTCAGAATCTGTTGGTAAACTTGACTAGACAGTGGCATATCATCATTCATATCATGTGCTAGGATAATGGGAATATGCAGCACAGCCGGCGAAGAAAGGAGAAAAGAACATCACCACCACCACACCTGCAGGATCTCGGCATGTGTACTATATGACATGTGGGATCTCCAGGGACGGTCACAACCAATCAAGCACACTTGAAATCCTTCATTTCCGCGAGTGTCCGTTGAAGCCTCTCATGGGCCTTCTCCACGCGTTTGACCTGCGCCACCATCTCAGCCTCAGTGGTAATCGCCGGAGTCGGCTTGAGCTGCGCGGGTGGCAGCATAGCCAGGACCTCGCGCACTTCCTCCTTCGACGCCTCCGCCGCTTTCAAGGCCACCATGGTCTGATACCGCAGGCTGTCCACCGTCGCCTTCCTCTTCTGCTCACGCTCGATGATCCCCATCTGTCGCTTTTCCTGATCTTCCCGCTCAAACCCGTATGCATGCGCGCCCAACCAGGCCTGCGCTTTCGGACAGTCGGCTCGCGTTTGCTTGACGATGTCCGCGACGGCGTCACGCGACAGCGGGGGGTTCAAGTCGCACCCATCGTACCGGGGTACCCTCTGGCCGCCAGATACCTTTTTGTTCTAGATATTCCGTTTGTTTTGTATGTTAGACACGTTGAAAGCAAGGGAGAGCAGCCCCATCTTATTGCCACTAGTAGTTAAGCGTACCCCAATGTGTACCTTCACTTCTACACGATCGATCAGGAAGGGGATCGCCTCATCATCGGGCTCGATGATCGCGAACGGAGACGCAAGCCTGGCGGCTTTCTCGGCCCAGAATCTGGCCCACGCCAGGTGGGACTTTTGGAACACCTTGGTATCATCGTGCTCGCGACGCTTGGATCGGTCTTGGCTGGCGATCGTGGCGGAGGCGCCTGGCTCGCTCGCCCTAGCCTGAGAAGGAGGCGTAGGGCTGGTGGCTGGCATTTCGGCGGACTTGCGTTTCTTTCGCCCCATTTTTGAATACAGATGATAAGCTAGTTGGGATAAGCCTGGTGACACGTCCTAATTGGAGAGTAGTGCATTCCAAGGCAATGGTGTAGCGATGAAATGAACTGCGGATGAGACGGGTTGAGGATTGGATGAGAGAGGATGATTGAAGAGGTGATCGAGGTGGATCACTTCCACGTCCCTCTTTAATGGAATGGCCTTCGTGGGTCTCTCGGATGTTAAGAACTGGGTACTACTAGTAGCGAGGAGTGTCATGGTGAACTGGAGAGACTGGTGTGCGGCTGCACATCTGCACATTCTACGCATGTCGAGCTCGCGTGCGATGTATGGCGTATACATGCTGAGTACATTTATACCACCCAGAAGGGAGAGAACCATACCAAGATACTGCGCTAATTACTGGATCTTAGCTAGGTGAAGGCGCTACCCAGCTTCTAGGCCTTAGACTTAGATAATATGAATACTTCTTTAAGACTATAATCTTCAATATAGAGATATTCATTCTATTTATAGTAAACAAACCGGTTTATCTAATCTGACTTGTCTCTAGTAAGTTAAGATTCATAAATATAGAGTAAGTGAGGTATTCCTGTGTAGAAATTGCGGAGTTACTCTACAGCTTGGCTGCTTGATATCTACCTCTAATAATCTAGGTTCTATAGCATCATATACTTCAGTATTAGAGGTGTAGCTTGAGCTCCATGCATACTCCTTAGGAGATAAGGCTATAGCTAAGCCGAATATGACGTCTCAATAAGATGTAAAGCCTCAATTTAAAATAAGTATGCAAATGGAATGACATTAGATGCTCTACCTCACTTTCCAAGTAGATGTAAGCCAGACTCCATAAATAGTACATAAGAAATATACAGACCTTTGCTCCTTTAGCATGAGCGTCTCTTGTAACACCTGAGCAAGATCCTTAAGCTCAAATTACTGAATAACAGCAACTAAAGTCAACCAAACCCCATCCACCTTTTACCCTAAATCTTCTACCTCTATCGCCAAAAAACTAATCAAAGCTTCGCCCCAACCTTCCTCTCCTTCTCCCAAGCCTCGATCCTCCTTCGCGCCATCTCTCCCTCACCTTCCTTCTTCTCCTCCACTCGCTCCCTCCACGCCACATTCTCAGCATGGCCATCCAAAATCCCCAGGGAATGCCGCCACATCTCCTCCTTCATCATCCCATAGATGCCCGTCGCCGCCTTCGTCTGCAGCCCGCGGTCCTTAACGAAGCGCACCGCCTCCTCCAGCCCACCAAATCCATCCACCAGGCCCGCCTCAAGCGAGGCAGTCGGCCCACCGAACCGCTTTGCCTCGAGCACCAGGTCCCGGAACGCAGTCGGGGCAAGCTTCTCCCGGAAGACGCTCATCATGGGTGATTCCAGCGGCACCCCGAACTCCAACTCGTTGATGCACAGGTACCCGCGGCTGGGGTTCTGGATGCGGTAGTCGTGGTACATGGTTAGCATGAGGCCGCCGGCGAAGGCGTGGCCGTTGAGGAGGGCGATGGTGGGCATTGGGTAGCTTTTGGGGGGGTTTTAGCGATTACTTTCCGGGGAAGGAGGCCTCAAAATGAAAAAAAAAAGAAAAGGAAAAAAAGGAAAAGAAAAAAAACCTACGTGAGAAGTCGACGGAAGAGTTTCCAGAGCCATTTCTCTGTGAAGCCCTCGGTGGACAGCGCGAGGTCGAGATCTAGGCCATTGCTGTAAAATTTCGGGATCCCGCTTGTGGTGATCACTACACCTTTTGGGTAGCGGTGTTCGATGATGTCTAGTGCTAGTAGGAAGGCGTCGATGAAGGTCGGCGTGAGGCGGTTGTCTTTCGGGGAGGTGAAGGTGAGGATGTAGATGGTTTGGTCTTGTTCTGCGGAGGTCGGGTTGGTGCAGGTGAAGGTACCACCGGTGGAGGCAATGGGGATGGTGAATAGGGGGTTGGGTTTTGAGGTGTTCATGGTAGTGGTCGGTGATGATAAAGTTGATTTTGATGGATTCGTCTACGCTATATAAAGTTCATAGTATAAGTTGTAAGACGTGGGGAGAGTGTGTATGAAGCGGGGAGGCTGATCAGTAATCATGGGGGTAGCTTAGGGGATGTCCGCGGCATCACATGCTCCTCACAAGTGTTTCTTTTTCCCCGAGAGATGCCATTCTAATCCAATTCTTCCACTTGCTTCATGTGCTTCAATGCGCTCAACTAACTATGGACTCCTTCAGCTCAATTTGGAATCGTGCTTTAAGCTCTTCTCGCAACAACCCTGCAATCTCTGCATTGGTCCAGGGCGCCAACATGCCTGTCCCCTGAATCCGGCCCTCCAACACCGCCAACACACCTACCGCACAAGGCAATCCCACTAACTTGGCCATAGCACTGCGCGAGCCAGGACCAACTGGGTCGCCGTACTCTACCAATGTACTGGTCCTCCTCTCTGTAGACCTGTCCGCATTCTCAATGTCGAACACATGCTGGAGGATGATCATGTCACGCTCACCAGGCTGATACGCCATCCGACGCTCCAACACAGCACAAAGAGTATCAAGAGGAGTATCCCGTTCGTCAACAAGACGATCCTCATCGAAGAGCCCAATCCAGCGAAGGCCCGACAACACGCGATCGAGCTCCTCCTCCTTCCCCGCAATGAAACCCAGACACTTTCGCGCCACAGCCCCCTGCACCTCCTCCGCGGACGCAGAGGCAGGAAGCCCCAGCAGCTGCGCCGTCAGTTGCGCCCAGGTCAATTCTCTGCCGGCGTCGGCAGCGAGAGCAGCGATCCTGTCCTGGGAGAAGTACCCAATACCCACGAGCGCCTGGATGACCTCGGGGAACCCCGCATACCGCAAGGTGCCGCGGAAGACCGTCTGAGCCTCGGGAATGGCGTACGATTTCCGGAGCCCGACCGAATCCCGATTGGGATATCCAACCAGGTTAAATCCGGGGAAGATCCGCTGGGGTGTGGCAGACGCCATCAGGTCTCTCCCGTCCACCGAGGTGACCTTCCCATCGCGGTACCACTGCGCCGAGTTGAGAAGCGCAAGGAGCCCGCCGCGTGGGCTCCAAGAGAACTTGTGTCTCAGCGGGTTGTCGGAGTTCTCTGGGGCTGGGAGCGCGCCGCAGTAGCTGGTGAAGGCGTTGATCTTGCCCCCGGCACGATGGACCTCGTCGATTGTCTTCACGGCGTAGAGGTGGTCGATGCCCGGGTTGAGCCCGATCTCGTTGAGCACGGTCACGCCTGCGGATTTGGCTGGTGCGTCGAGCTCCCAGAGGGCGGGGGAGATAAAACTGGTGGTTACGACGGGTTTGCTGTGGGCGATCGCGGCTTTCACGACGGTGGCATGGTGGATGTAGGGGATCAGGGAGACGATGATGTCGGCTTGCCCCACGGCTGCGTCGAGCTTGTTGGCCTCGTTCGCTACATCGAGGGAGATGGCGGTGGTGTTACTGTATTTGCCGGCGAGGGACTGAGCAGCGTTGAGAGTGCGGCAGCCCACGGTGACTTGAACCCCTGCCTCAGATAGGGCTTGGATGGTCGGCTCGCAGACGAAACCAGCGCCCAGGAGGAGGGCTTTCTTGCCGGTGGCGGATGGCATGACTGTTGTGGTCTGGGAGACGGGGCGTTTTTACGGAGGCTGCTGTGAGAAAGGGTCGTAGAGGTATAGACTACCCTGGAACGGGCCCGACGATGGTGAACACAAACATTGATAAGTGCCGATGGCAATCAAAGCGAATCTGTCGGGGTCCTAATTCGGACTCTGCGTTGGAGATAGGATCTGTGCAAGAATTTCTAGCGCGGTATGCCATCAATGACTCACACCTACAGGCCACGGGGAGGCGATTCCCGTACAGCATTCCCTAGTAGCATCTTCTACTGTATCGAATAGAAGTATACACGAAATTGGCTCCGCTGTCTTTGATGCGATGAGAGATGTTAGAGAGCTTTAGCTTTTCAGCTGCCCATTAGCCAACTCTATAAGAAGTACAATAGAACAAAAGCGATTCAAGCTGTAGCCTGGCTTGACTGCGTTACATCATCGAGAAGATGGGCTGCGATGGTTTATCTACCCTTGATAGAACACATACCGTCATCCTTGATATCGAATTAAGACATCTGTCTATGCCGGTAGCCTGAATTGACCAAATAGCTGTGCCTTTATTTCCAGCGCTTTTTCGTGTTCATATCAACAAGATCACTACCATAAAAATTAGCCTGATCATCCAAGGGTCTAAAGACGCCAGCCAAATGATAAGCAACCGAAAAGGGCCTGTCGACTGAGAGCAATGACGAGTCCGCACATAACCCTCTACATTGCACCCCCAATCTAATAACACAATCCGAACACCCTACTTAAACACGGTAATGCTCGAGCATATACAAGCAAGCGAGAATCCTAGAGAGTCGACCATGCCGGATGCCTTGCAATGAAGCGAGTCAGCAGACGTTTTCATACTCCATCTCCGCCAGTCTTAAAGGGGACATCGCGGGTAGAACCCATGGTATTGCACCAGATTTTGCTGTCTTGCCCATGTCAATGAACACTTTAATCACCATAGTCAGAAGTATGTACTTAAAGAATGAGATCAACTTCCTTCGCACAATAATCACTATCAAATCAGGTGCCGAACTCGCAACACTCTTCTATTACTATAATGCCGTGGTTCTGTAGCAGTACAACACTATATATCACTAAACCACAAGGAACCATAAATACACTCACAACAACACCAAGGCAGCAATTTCATAGAAAAACACTATCAACCAAGCCTAAAGAAAGACCACCACCGACAATGCCCAAGTTTAACACCCAATAAAAAACCTCCGATACTAGATTCTCCTCTCCACCGCAAGCGACATCATCAGTGACGTCATTCCATCCTAATGCTCATAAACCACCCAGAACAGACGCTCGACACCATCACCACCTCCACTACAAAACTACAATCCACCTTCTAGACTAGCTCCATTTTCAACCGTCACGATATACTTGAATATATCTCAATCTACACATAACACCCACAAACGAAGTGAAAAGATACCGAAACAATGCAAACAACCCACCAATCCGCCCAACCGGCCCAGCCCCCCAAACAAGCCGGCTACAATCAGGCCTCCAACCCAGTAACACAGACGCCCTCGGAACAGCGCGCACCGCAGCATCAGTTCGAGCCCCGGCAGCGCGGGGACCCGATCTCCTCCATCACGCGGCGGACCGCCGACTCGCGACCGGCCAACGACGAGGCCCTACACCAGCTGAACGCGGAACGGGAGCAGGAGCGCGAGGCCATGCACAAGGCGTCGGACGTGGATCTGGAGTACGGTGTCGAGCAGCAGCCGGCGGAGGGGGAGATCGCCCACGCCGTGAAGAGTACGTCCGGCCAGGCGAGAGCGCGAGCGCAGGCCGGCGCTCATGCGGGTACGGTGGGAAGCGCGAACGGTCCGGGGGACCCGGGGTACGAGAAGGGGTTGGCGGCGGATATGGATCGGAAGGCAGAGGAGCATGAGCGGATGCTAGGAGAGCGCGTGGGACAGTCACCCGCTGAACCGGACGATGGGGTGTTGGCTGAGAGGGAGGCGTTGAGGGAGCGCAAGTTGAAGCAGGATAGTGAGCTAGATGTCAAGGGGGCGGTTTCGAGGGGCACGGGGGATCCTGTTGTCGGTTGATTTCTTTTGCTTTTTCTTTTCTAGCTATATGGTTATTTGTATAGGACTCATTGGGAATTGAAATAATGAACTCATATATTCGTGGGCCGTCTCCGTGACGCCTTAATTAATGTGAGAATAGAATTGGTTTTTGCGGCTGTCTGACCAGGCGGCGCCGCGAAGGGGTATCACAGTATACATAAAATTCAATCATCGGCATCGTCTCCCTCTCCGATGGATACCTTCTTCAACGCCAGATCCTGCTTGAGGTCATTGATGCGCTTGGCCAGCTTGCCTTTGAGAATGGCGTTCTGCATCTTCTCCCACTTGACTGTTTCGGACCGGATCAGGGCCTCCAGCTCAACGATTTCCTCGCGCTGCTGCTGGAGCTGGCGCTGTTGCTCCAGTTGTTCTTCATCCATCTCATCTTCTGGTTCTTCATTATCATCGCCGTCCGATCCATCACTTTCATCGCCAGACGTGTCGGCTGCTGGTGTCGAGGGTTTTGTGGCCATGGGCGTACCGGCCTGGTACACGCCAGCATCTGAATGTGGACCGCTCGCAGCACCCGCCGCAGCAGCATCGCCTTCATCTCCGGCGGCCAGGGCAGCCTCCATCTCAGCGGCGAGAGCGTCCTCGAAATCTTCAAAGAGAGCCCCATCATCCATCCCTTCAGCAACCTGGCCCTCCGCGTCTTGCTCCTCCTCGTAGAACTCCTCATCGTAATCTCCATAGTCTCCACTTTGCACAATACCCTCGTTCCGATTCAATGACGCACTATCGACCAGCTCGTAACGAGGAGGGGCTATCGATTGCTCATCCTGATTGATCATTTCCTCCACTGCTTTCTCGACCTGTTCGATTGTCCGGGTACTGACACGCTCACGGAACCGACGCTTCCTGACCCATCGAAGAGGTGGCGCAAGGCCATGCGGATACTGTAGATTCTTGTCGTCCGAAAGGGAAACATCGTCCGGTATCGGATAGTCCATAGCCTCCTGTTCGTTGGCCACCGGACCCAAAACCAGCAGCATCTGGCAGATATCCGCAGACTTGTACCATCCGCGTCGATCCCAACTTTTCATACCCTCGATGATGCATGGCAAATCCACCAGCGCTGCGGCGTATTGGTGATCACGGACTTTGAAGATGGCACGGCGTCCTTCACGAGTAAGCGGCTTGAAGGAGAACTCGGATTGATCGAAGCGACGCTCTGCGATCGCCCGCCGCAGATATTCACAGTCTTCGCCGGGCACCATGCGTAGGATGAACTGTTCTTCGATGGCGGGGTCGATTTCCGTGTCGGACGCTTCCGAGTCGTAGCCAACGCCTGTCGGGCGATTGGGGACCAGCCCCTTGTTCTTGATTCGGATGGATTGCACGCCTGTTTTCTGTTTGGGGATCAGCTTGATACGCTTGAGGCCTGCAGCGGGTGCGGTCGCGACGGCGGCGGAGGGTTCTGATAATGCGGGCCCCTCTGCTGGACGCTTTTTCGACGGTTTCTTCTTCTTTTGCTTCTCATCTTCTCCGGCCCCTTCCGCGATAGACGGTTTCCGAGGGATCTTGAGAGTGATTTTTCGTTGTGGTGTCTCATTGGGCTTGGGAGTCGAAGGAGCAGGCTGGGATGGAGTCGAAGGCGCGGACGCATTCGTCTTGTTCTTGCTGAAGAATTTGAGCTTCAACGATTGACGAGGAGTCTCTGACATGGCGAAAACTATTCCACCAGAGTGGCGGCAAGCCTTAGCTTAGAATTTCCCTTTGAGGCAAAAGACTATCTCGTGGTTGGGGAAAATGGGAGGAGATGGGTGTTATGGCAAGTGGACGACGTAAATCGGTGTAGGCGGAGGGAGGAAGGGAAGGCGGAAGAGCGACACGGTCTGGTTGGATTCCGTTTGCTTGCTCTTCTACTTTCCATCCATCCTCTCTATCTTCCCCCATTTATTCACCACACCACACTGCCTGATCGCTTCACTCAAATCATCTTTTCGCCTGAAGGTGGAAGAGCGATTCGTTTCAATTTGACCTTTCTCCCACTTCACAATCATCGAACTTCGCAACATGTCTGGCTCCAATCTACATAACGCTCTTCTCCGCCCTCCGATCATCCAGATCCTGCGCGCTGCAGGCTTTCACTCGACGCGTCCATCGGTCCTCGACACTCTCGCCGACCTCACTGCTCGCTACATCATGCTCCTCGCCTCATCCACAAGCGCCCACGCAGCCAACGCCCATTCAGCCGACCCCACCCCGGTTCTCGAAGATATCTACCAGGCCTTACAAGACGCAGGAGCTTTGCGGCCGCAGCTACGGGAATGGGAAGAAGAATGGCAAGGGGAAGAGGATATGCGAGGTTTAGAAGGATTTCTGTCGTGGTTCACTGGCCCAGCCAACCGTGAGATCAGACGAATCGCCGGTTTCGTGCCCAGCGAAGGCGACATGGTGGACCCGGACTCCCTCGAGAAAGAGGACTTTTTGACGGCTTTGAAGAAAAAACACAGTAAGACGGGTGAAGAATCGCGATACGCGGGCACCGTGCTGGGAAAGAACGCCGAGGAACACCCGATTGTGATCGAAGGTGGTGCGCCGACCCTTCAGGATTGGGGTTTGCAGATGCGATCCCGTGCACCATACATGGGTGACAGCGACTCGTCTGTCGTGAGCAGCGCGCCGAGTAATCTGTCTGATGGTGAGGGTATGGACGTGTGATGGGCTGCGTCGGAGTGTATCTTTTTCTTAACGCAAGACACTCGTAGGAGGTTTTGTCACTCGCCCTGCTCGAAGAAGTCAATGGCTAGGTCAAGCACGGAGCTTCCTTATGCGACGTTTCAGCCTTCCTACACGTCCATTATCCTGGCTGTCAATGAGACACAGCTGGTAGGTCCAGTTGAAGGGCAATCCTGGTAGCAACAAGCCACTCCACTCGCCATTGCGCCGGGGCCATAAGCTCCTTCGACCTAATACACCGAAGCACAGGAGCCATGACTCCACAAGTGCAGTATGTCTGCCGAAATCGAGTCCAGAGCATGATCGTGAAGCAGCAGGACGATGCAAGCGCAAGAATGCATCTGAGGGATGGTAGGACGACACGGCACGGAGGGTTTCATGTATTTACCTTACTAACGGGCGCAATCTCGAGCCCCAAATTGAGATGAGCTAAATGTCAGTTACGCCTCAGCCCTTTGCGATGAACTCGTATGATTCTGTTCTACGAAGGTAGAGAGCCTAGGCAATTCTTGGCTGGCGGTGGGACATCAAACCGCCAGCGGATCACTAAGTTCCTCCACTCACTCACTCCAACTCCGCTCCTCCCCTCACTTTCTCACTCTCCAAAACAACTCTGCTGAAAAGCACCTCCGCCCACCACCATGGTCTACGCCTTCACTCTCCCAACCACCTCCCACCTCTCGTTCCAGACCTTCCTATCGTCCAGCACACACCCCTCACTCCCACAGGCAGCCACCACCGCCCGCCATGCTTTCCGTCAAGCTCTCAAAACCCACAAGCGTCTACCCCGCGGCCCGCAACAAGACGCGCACCTGTCCACTATCCTAACCACCCTAACAAACTACCTCCCCTACCTGGAAGCCATCTCCAACGGCCTCAGCAGCAAACCCACCGACGCAACCAGCGAAGAGATCGAAATCACCCTGCACAGCGAAATCGTCACCTTCTGGCGCCCGACCCTTACGACCCCACCGAGCACAACCCTCACCCTCAAATCGCGCACCACCTCCCACACCAGCAGCACCCCCAACTCTTCCTCCAGCGGTAACGGCGGCAGCAAATTCCTCAACACGAGCGGCAACCGCCTCCGAGGCGAAGGCATCGACTTCGAGATCGCCTTTGTGCTCACAACACTGGGCTACGTGCTCAGCCTCCTCGCGCACACGGGACTAATGCGGACGCTGTACGCCTCCACGACCCCAACGGCAGAGCAACGCACAACCGCCGCCCAAACAGCGACGAAATACCTCCTGCAAGCCAGCGCAATTCACAACCTCCTCGCCTCATCCCCATCCTTCGCGACAGCCGCCCGCACCAGCAGCCTCGCGTCCTCCATCCCGCAACAAGCACCCACCAGCAGCACCGCAACCAAAACAACAGCCCCTCCCACCCTGCCCGACCTCGACTCCGGAACGCAAACGGCACTGTCCGCGCTCGCACTCGCAGAAGCGACGCTCCTTGCCGTGTTGAAAGACGACTCGTACGTGTTCGCATGCATCCAGGCGCGCAATCCCAAGGACAAGGACTGGATGGTGCGGGCGCCGGAGATTCCCAAGGTGCGGGCGCACCTATTCGCGCGACTGTGTATCCGCGCCGCGGAGTACGCGGAGCAAGCTGCCGCGGGGCTGGGGTCCGTGGTCGGCAAGACGGGGAAGACCGGCGCCATCGAGGAGGAGCTGCTGGGCTATACCCGGGTTCTGGGGCGGGTGGCGCGTGCCCGCGCGTGTCGGTTCTTCGGGGTTGATGCCGAGTTGGCGGGGAAAATTGGCGAGGGGATTGCGTGGCTGCAGGCGGCGAAGGGGGCGCTGGGGGTGAGGAGTCGCGGCGGCGGTGGTGGTCAAGATAAGACGGACGAGAAGGAGGGGTCGAAGAGTAAATTCTCCAAGTTCAAGCAGGGATTCAAGGAGAAGCTGGAGGAGAAGAAGATGGAGAAGGATGCCGGGACATACGGTGGGCATGATAAGAAGGAGCTGGGCCCGGGAGATAATGCGGGACGAGAGGAGGAAGGCCGTGTGATTGAGATGCTGGAGGGCAAGTGGGTGCGGATGAACAATACGGTACGTATACCGTCTTGTTTCCCTGCTTTAGGGATTGTGATGAGGCTGATGCTGATGTCTTGTGCAGATTAACACCCAATTGATACCACCGTCGGCGGATCTCTTGGCGAACCTACCCTCTGGTCGAGATATTCATGCTGCCCCTGGTGCTTATAGGATCCCCTCGCTGGACGAGGAGCAGCTGGTGCGCATGCGAGCGCCGCCCGCGGAGGACGAGTTCGGGCCTGGCAGTGACGTTGAGGAGAGCGACGAGGAGCCTGCTGGTGTGTTAAGGGTGTATACGCCGGGAACGGTGCCAGGGCGGACTGACAGTGCATATTATTGATATGGTTACTTGGTATTGAGCGCAGCATGAGCCGGGCTGTTCACTCTATTTGTGTCTAAAAATCATACCATATGACACCCCCTCCCCTCCCAATACCAAATAATCCTCCCTTTCCTTCCCCGCCTACCCCATCCCCAACCTCAACCAACCGTTAAAGCAAAGAGCAATACAAATCAGAACCACTGCATCTCTAAAAAATCCTCGATATCGAATTTTCCACCCAGGCCCATCGCCATGCATAGCAGAGGCAGGTGTGTAGATAGGTAGGTAGCATAGCTAAAGCAGACAGACAGACACACAATAAAGGAAAAAAGGGGACAAAAAAACATGTAGTACAACCATAAAAAGATGATATAGTATAAACACCACTCTCTACCCCAATCACCAGGAAACGAAAACCCCCTCCCGTCCCCTCCAGCTCATATCACAGAAGTAACTTAAGCGGACTTCTCCTGCGAGAAGTGGTTCTTCTCCTGGAAGAGATAACCCTTGATCTTGCGCTCACCGAGGAGCTCGAAGTATTTTTCTGGACAGACAGAAGCAAGTTAGCATAGGTACGTAGCCCCGGCGAAAGAACGCAAGAATCTATGCTAATCCCATGCTAATTGAGCGAGCCCAGCCCATCCAGCAAGGTAGAGCTCCAGCCAGAGAGATAAGCAAGCACCTCCCCCACAATCAACATAGCCCGTCCCAATCCCAGTCCACCCCAAAGAAACAAACAGAAAAAAGAAAGAGGAAACGGAAGAAACCTACCCCTCAGAACCCCACACTTCTCGAGGTGATTGACGCCCTCGCGCGCATAGCACTTGCCCAGTTCCTCGCCGACCAATCGCGACATCATGCTGCGCACCCACTGCTCGCGGATGATGGCGTCGCGGGCGTTGTGCAGGGCGACGTTGTCCTCGTAGTCGACGCCGTCGTAGGTCGGGGCCACCGTGGGCTTCTTGGCCAGGAAGGCGGCGGATTCTGGGGTGGGCATTTTTATTCTTGATTCTTCGGTAAGAGATTGGTGGTTGTCGACGGGTGGGTGGTCAATTGTCGTTGCGATTGAGATGTAATTTGGTGGAGAGGAAGGAGATGCTGGCTGGCGGCAGTGCGGAGGGTTGCGGTTTGGTCAATTGAATTCCGGAAGTCTTGAGTCTTCGTAGAATGCAATTGGGGGGTTATGATTGGTGGATGGGAAAGCGGTCTGATGATTCTCAGAGAGGAAGTAGGGTGGGCGGGAGGGAGCTTTGGTGCTATTTTGTCATTGGGTGTAGTTTAGTTAACTAACTGCTAAGTGTTGTAGAGCTGGGTTTCATGTATACATGCAAAGTGCATTCGAATGGGTTATATACTGGATTCTACAATATGGTCTATCTGTGGTCAGTTGAAGTTGAAATGCAAAAAAAAGAAACTCGTGGTTGAGTCGCTCATTGAATTCGTATACACATTCAAACACCACAACGCCCTTGCCAATAATATCAAGTCCGACTAATGCACAGAAAGTCCTTCGACCATCGACAATAAATACAGCGCGCCAAACTCCTGACCTCTCATCAGACAGTCAGTCCGTCTCTACCTAGATTCTTGCGACTTCAGTAAACCGCGCGTAGATTGTGGTCACTGCGTGTCCCCCTCCACTTGCGGAAACAGCTTCTCACGCAGCCCATTGAACCGCTCCCTGAGCCGCTCCCATGGTGTCCGATTCAGCCATTTGCTGTACTCGCGGAACCGGTACATCTCACCCCAGCAGTCGCGGCCGAACTGGCAGCCTGCCATATTGACCATGAAATCCCCCTCGTCTGCCTGGTAATGGATCTTCGGGTCGTCCCCATCGCCGCAGGCGCCAGGAGGGAAGGCGTTAATGTAGCGCTGGGGAAGGAAGGCCACACCGCTGCGGACCCACGGTTGTGTGGTATACAGATACTCCAGAGCATCTTGCTCCTTGTGCTCCCACTCCATATGCTTCTGTTCGTACATCACGGGGTCCCACCAGGCATCCAGCAATCGGTCGGCCCAGAGAGAGCGGCGAATGAAGAAGGAGCCGAGGTTGAATCCACCGCAGTCCTGCGAGAGAAGGAAGTTAATCGACGACGTATCGTTATCCCCGCTAGGAGAGAGAGACACCTGATCCAAGTAAGGGTCAGTGGGAGGATGGGTGATGCCGAGAGGGTTGTGGACATTGATATCTCGATAAGCGATCTCGCCAAGACGGTTGAAGATGTGATCCTGCAGTGAGTACGAGTACTCCATGATCCAAGTGTTTAAATCCAACCACCAGAACCTGTAACAAGTTAGCCAACACTATCTCTCCTCATCCCAGGACAGGACAGCGTCGCCTACCACTCGGCATCGGGGTATTTGCGCATCGTCTCTCGAATGATGTCGACCTTCTCCCAGTTCTCGCGCCACTCGTGCGAATAGCGCTTCTTGGCCAGCATGTTGACCACCTCTAGCTCGTAACCCCAGTGCTTGGCGTAATGATCCTTGTTCCAGACGCTGTTGCGCTCGATCGCCCATTCCCGCGCGCCCTTCCACTCCATCACTCCACCCTCGATATTCGACTCCAAGATGATAACGAACTTGCGCCCACCACCCAATGATGACCGTCGGTAGGCCTCGACGATCGCTGTCAGCACCAATCAGTCAGCCATGCTCTGCGTGCGCACATATACTATCCGCGTTTCTTTTTACGTACGTGTCCACAGGAACGAATAACCGAGCAAGAAAACGATCAGGGCTAGTAACAGCCGCGATCGTCTACGTCTAAACATCGCCCTACCAAGCGCCCAGGCGCGCCAGCCGTCAGACGAAGCATACGGGTGTCCCCGCCCGAATTCATCCTTATCGACGTAGCCATTGGGAGATCGTGATCCGACGCGAAAGCGCGGAAGAACCGCGGAGAGCTGGCGTCTTGACCGCGAGAAGAACCCGTTGTTCTTCGTTGCGAAAGATGGATATCCTCGAACCTCATCGCTCTTGGCTTTCGCGGCTGCCCACGATATCCCGCTCGGTCCTAGCGCAGTCGGGGATAGTAAGCCACTGTGAGGCGTAGATGTGCCACTGCCATGTGCGAAGCCGGGGCTGGACCATCCTCCTACCCCCGTCGGGTGGGGAGAGGGTGACCGGGAGAACGACATGGGCGCGGGGTTCGAGGCCGACCAGGATGTGAACGTAGCAATGTCAAGCGAGCACGGCGACTACTTGGGAAGATTCAATCGAGCAAGCAATCGGCGCAACTGTCGAAGATGACGAGCGCGTGGGAAGAGGGATCCCGACTCATGGACAGAAAGGTTAAGAATCAAGGAACAGAAAAATCAGAGCCGGAGCGCCATGAGGGAGAGATATGGTTGACATGAAGGCTACTAGATAACAATAACCAGACCACTTGAAAGAAATTAAAAAGTCAAATTAGTCTGGCTTCGGAGGGACACACAGCGACGGAAGAGGAATGGTAGACAGCCGCTGGCGATCCAGGGACAGGCACAGAAGTTAGAACACAGAAGTTAGAACCCATCCGTGAACGGGTCTGCCCGTTTCCGTCGAACTCAGGGAGTGAGTGATGGCCACTTGTCACTCGCGAGTCGCAACGGTTCATTCGCAAGGGCACACACACGCTAGGGGTGGCCCCAGAAGAACCACACGGTGGGCAGGTTAGGAAACCAGGCTACGGCCATGACGGTCGACATTCACCGGGAATGTAGGTAGGAGGTATGGAGTAAGTGGTTGTGAAATCGGATCGTTCCCTTCCGCGGGCGACATGGTCACCTCACCATCCATGAAACGGACAGACACACAAACACATCTGTGATACAGACAAGAAAGATTAATTAGCTTGTTTCTCCAAGATAATGAGGTTTGGGGGATCGCAGTCGGTGGTTGGTGGGGGTCAGAAGAAAAGGAGACGAAGACTGTTACCAAAGGAAATTAAAACAATCAATGGGGAAGAGCCCCGCCCCTCGTTTGCATTTTCGGTGAAGGGCTCTTTTTTGGCTGGCATTCTTCCGGGTGCGGCAGTTGCAGGATTCAATTGAGGGACCCTGTTTCACTTCTGCCACAGTCTGGATGACCAGGAGCCTCTCAGGATTGCAGTGTAGGTGTTGGTCGAGTGACTGGTGGGCTTCGTACCGACCTCCGTCTGTGTAGTTATTGAAGAAGATGATTGATAGTGCAAATGAAGCTAAGCCAGGCTAAAAAGGCCAGCTCCATCGCACTAACCCAATAGGCTCCACTCCCTCTCCCTGGGGGGTTCGTCTCAGGGTCATTCGGCCCGATAGGTAGTAGTTACTACACCTCAATACAGACACAATACATCAACACTGTTTGTTCCTCGTCAGAAGCTCAAATTGCTATAAGACCTTCTCAGCATATGCAGTAAATGTACAACAGAGTATTTTGATATCGAGATCACAGGAGGTTTTATGTCATCTTGCTTTTCGTCTTCGCCATCCAATCGTAGTTCCGTATCATGCACAATCAGTCGTAAGCGACCAGTCCCAGTTCCCTTGAATCCAGCACAATATCCAACCCAAAAAGTATGCCACATCTTTCCAAAATTATATAAAACACCTGGTTGTTGCATGGTACGAATCCTATCACTCACTTTTGACTCAATCCAACCCGGCCAAACAAATAAGCCTCTTACTTTTTCCCATAGTCTTTCCGCATCGGCAGTTGGTTAACAGCCTTTTCCTTGGGCATCAACACTTTGCGAATCGTGAAGCCCTTTTCATCTTCTGGTCGTGGACGCGCGCTGTCCCCATGGTAGAACTCGCACTCGAATTTCAAAAATTTGTTTCGATGTTGATAGACGGTAATGACGTCGCCTGTATACAGCTTGCCGAAGTGGAACCCTTCCCGGTTGTTGTTGTCTCCCTCAGGCCCGCGCCGTAGCTCAGTGCCATTTACCCATATACATTTGCGTGTCTTGGTGGAGAGAATAGCCATTACTCCCGGAACACTCATCCAGTCAAGGCCTTCCGCAATTTTGGCCTCGATGGCCGGCGCCCAGAAGGTCACCTCTAAGGCATATGCAGGAATCCGGGTATCCATCGGTTCGGGGTAACAAATGGTGGCTTGCGGTCCGCGGCCCCAGGAAGTCATTCGGGTCTCCAAACGAAGGGTGAGATCGAATATCGATCCTGGGAGCGTACTTAATCTACCAAGGAGAGGCCGAGGCTCTTTTCGTGAAGGCATAGGTTGTGGGACCTGAAGTGGCACGTCGTCTGATAGAGGATCCGGTTCTAAAGGCGGTTCCGGAGGTTCTGGTCTCTTGGCTATGTCCGGAAGCTGCTTTCCTGTTTTGGCATCGATCGTATTTGCCAACTCGATACTGAAAATTTCCACCTCGCCACTTTGGGCCTCAGGCTCTTGGCTCTTCTGCTTTGATACAGGCTCTCTTGATAAAGGCTCTGGACTTGACCCGTCACTGGCAGTGTCAGGCATGGGCAGCTCTATTCGTCGACTGAATATGGTCGAAGGCTTTGGGGTCTCCTCAACAACATCGGTCCGCTTTTTGGTGCTCGAGGGTGGCTTGACCGGGTCGCCTATGCTCGCTTTAGTTGGCGGTTCCTGTGCCTCGGCGCCCTGGGGTATGGGACTCGATGTGCCAGGGTGCCGTGAGTTCACGTTCAGCTGCCCAATAAGTTTCTCAGCTCCCATCAAGCTAGGTGCAGATCCGGCAATGGGGTTTTCCGGGAGGGAGAGGATAGAAAATAGGCTGTTGCCGTCGCTTATCATCGACTCACCAGTTGAAGACAAAAAGTCATTGACGCTGTAGTCATCGCCGTCGAACGCCTCCACATTGTTCCCTAACGCTTGGGAGCTGTGAACAATCGATGGAGTGATCTCACCGAAAAGGCGTTTTGGCGTGGAATGTGCCACTGGCTGAAGCGACGCGAAGCTCTCAATCTCCGGCAGCGACGGGTAATGAATATCGACCGGAGGAAAATCGAGTTTAATTTTCTTTGATTGAGCCAGGTCGCTTCCCTCTTCATCTAGGATCTTAATCGCTTTGTCGTTGAGTGAAAGCTGGGAAGCGTCCAGCTCATCTTCAACATCCTCGCCGATGTCTGAAAGGCCATCGGAGACACCAGTGTTGGCTTCGTCGTCCTCGTATTGGTCGGTATCTGGGACATCTGCGATCCATGGATGCCGGAAACATTGCTTCTCATTCGGTCGAGAATGGGGATCACGATTCAAGAGTCGAGCGACAAAGTCGATCCCGTCTTCGGAGATCCCAACATTACGAAGCTGACTGTAATCGGCGTCCTCGGTCATGATGATTCTAAGCATTTGGGCTCCCCTGTCGTCACCTCGTGGAGCGAAGGGGGGAACTCCAGCGAGTAAGTGGAAAAGGACAGCGCCCAGCGACCACATATCGACCGACTGACCGTATGGAGACGTTTTGGGAGGCCTAAACATTAGTACTTCTGCGAGAACGAGATCGAAATCATTCCACTTACGGGTCACCCAGGCGGCGCCGTTTCTTAATTTCCCCCCGCCGATAAGTCTCATACTCAGGATATACCTCAGGCGCACAGTATAGAAGAGTACCACAGAAGGTCCTCAAGAAGGTCTCCTCCTGAACAACTTTGGATAAACCAAAATCCGATAACTTGACCGTCAGGGGATCAAAAGAAGAGATCAGGATATTGTCTGGCTTAATGTCACGGTGCGTGATCTTGCGGGCGTGAAGGTATTGTAGGGCATGCAGGATCTGACGGGCCATAGGCTTCACCATGTCCTCTGAAATGTTTCCATGTGACTGCAAGTAGGTGGACAACTCGCCACAAGGGACGTACTCCATGATGATGTAGATCCAACGGTCGTGTTCATGGTGGTCGATATATTGCACGATGTTAGGCTAAGAGACACGAGCGGTTAGCTGTGCTGATTCAATATGATGTCAGTAGGAAAACGAGAATCATTACATGTTTCAAATCCCTCATGATCTGCATTTCATTATCAACCTTCTTGTCGAGTATGCCATTTTTTATGAACCGTCGCTTGTCGAGCTCTTTGGCGGCATAGACAGCCCCATGCTGTTTTGTAGCGAGCTTATAGACCGTAGCGAAGGCACCTTTTCCGATCTGACCGGTAACATTGTACGTTGACCCTCCAGACCAGTGCATCCCATAGGTGTTTAGGCCCGAAAGCTGCAAGGCCGGTGCGGGTGTGGCGCGAGAATTCCGAGTCTTACCGGGCTGTTGAGGCTGAAGCTTGGAGATTCGATCGAAGTAGCGTAAGATGTTCTCGGTGTATTGCATCATGTAACCATCTCGGGAGGGAATGCGGACAATGAACCGGAGCTCATCTGAGGAGTTATCTCCATTCATGACTTGGATCACTGACCCATTCACCAGCATGCGGCTTTTCTCTTTCTGATTTTTGCGAAGGCGGCAATTGTCCACGATAGTGCCGTTCGTGGAGGTATCTTCGAGCATGAGGATGCCGTCCTGGGTCAGGAAGATGCGAAAGTGTGTATTGGAGATCCGCCCCATCTCGCCCTGTGGGGTGAGCAACAGATCGGAGCGAGCCGAATTTCGTCCAAAGAAGAAGCCGGAACTGGGGCTGACCACTTGAGATGACAGCCGAAGAGCGAAGTCTAGAGCGGCGGTGTCGGAGCACTCATAATCTAGCTCATGTCTTTGCCAGATGTGTTGGGGACTCTGGCGGGCGGTTGCTGCCACCGCTTCATGAGCTGCAGGCGAATTGGGGTGTAAGATACAGATGATATCCGTCACATCATCCTCAAGTAGACCCGAATTGTTGTAGCCAGCACGGCGAGGGTCCGTACACGGCTGGGTTGATTCCTGAGTTGCCTCCATTTGTGATGACAAAAGCTTGCAATGTGTGATTTGGAACGCGTAGATGGTGAGATATCTGAATGTGGGGTAGAGATGAAGTGAAGCTATAGACACAAAAAGACTGGGAATGAAAGATAGTTTGCTAACGTTTAGTCGTGAACATGCAAGGAAAGATATGCGTAACCAAGGCGATTATCAACACGGCTGATTCGCACAGCTGCATCCAGGTATAAGCCTCTGAGACATGCGCTTTCCCATTCTATGTGTGCGTTTGAAGATCCAAAGCGCCAAGTGCTCTTACCTCGTGAAAAACCAAGAACTAGCACCTATTTGCACGATGCGAAGTCTTGATTATCCCGGGGCAGACCCTCAAATGCCAAAAAAAAAAGTTTGTCCACGACGGAGAACCCTGCCTTGTTAGTTACGATGGTTCGAAAGCAAGGTGGAAATGTATGATGTATCGCGCGCTGCCCCGAAAACCAGCAAGACCGAAACGGTGTGTAGTCAAGCTGTAGCGACTCGAGATTCAGCGGACTCGGGAGTGATGTACGTTAAGCCCCTCGATAAATTTGCGAAGCTGACTCATTGAATCAAGGAGGGAAGGGAGCGATGTCAAACGGGCTCTAAGATCGGCATATGCGAGACTTCATTTATCCATATCTATGAACAGCCATGAACCATTGTTAGTCAAGAAGTCGCTCGATCAACAGTACGCTGCAGGGAAAGGAAAACCGAACTCACACAATTGATGTGCTCCCCGCCGGCCACCCAGTCACTGCAAGTCCGGGTTGCTGCAATGGTTTCAGCTTTGAGGGCGGAGCCAACAAATCGAGACGAGACAAGAGGCTGTCCGGCAGGCGTCGTCGTCGGAGAAACATGCAGCAAGGCGAGAGGCAAGACAAGGCTGGGGGGCTTTGGCACTACCGCTAAGTTGTTTGGTTATTTTGAGCTCCGTCGAGAGCCCCAGGCATCAACCCAAGCCACGGGTGCGCTAATCGGTGCCTGGCCAATGGGAGTCGCGGCCTGATAGGCGGGCGGCAGTCCAAACAGAGATGATTTGTGGATGAACCCGGCAGCTATATTGGCAACTGCTAAAGTACATGTAGTGAATTCATTTATACACAGTCTGGTCTCATCGCGTGCCATATGGTTTACTTTGATCAGTACTACGTTGATGATTACCACTCAATGCTTTGTTGAAGACTTGTTCCAGCCGAGCAATGGCCTCCTCGGATATCTCTGCACTGAAGGTTATGACTTGAAAGATGACCATGACAAGACAGGAAGACTTACGATAATGAACGACAATCCGATTGCCTGACATCTTTAGACCCTTTTCCTGAGCGATCGTTGAGATATCATTCGGCCCCAGTCCAGAGGCCTCGAGATCCAGCCACACCATGTTCGTCTCTACTGGGTGCGCGAGCTTGCCCCCCAGGCTAGTCCATAACTGAGCAACCTTCTTTGCTTTCTGGTGCGTTTCCAGAAGCCTGCCTTGCTTGCCATGAGGGTCAGGCCCGAAGGTCTCTTCCATGGCGACTCGGGCGGCCGCAGCCAGCACTCCTGCTTGGCGTACCCCTCCTCCGAGGGTCTTCCGGAACCACCGAGCCTTTTTGATGAAACCTGTGGATCCCACGACGATACTGCCGATAGGGGCCCCGAGACCCTTGGAGAAGCACAGACTCACACTATCGAACAAGGTAGTGTAGTCTGGTAAGCTACCTGCCCCAGACACTACAGCTTCCCACAGTCTCGCACCATCCAGGTGTACTTTGATGTCGTTCTGATGCGCCCACTCGGTGATTTTCCGCGCTTCTGCAAGTGGCATCACCATCCCATCCAGGGTGTTCTCGAGACTGATCAGTTTTGTGGGACAATGGTGGATGTCATCGTCTAGAACGGCATGCTTCTGAATGTCCTCCAGAGTAAGATACGTGCCATTCTTTGGCACAATAGGGAGGACGGTCGCGCCAGTCAGGGAGCTGACGCCGCCTGCCTCGTAGCAGAAGATGTGAGCACGATGATCACATAGCACCGAGTACGGAGGCTCCTTGAGATGGGTGCGGATGGCGACCTGATTGCCCATGGTGCCAGACATTACCAGCAATGCACTCTCATGTTGCGTTCGCTCAGCCACGTATGCTTCCAAATCATTTGTTGTCGGGTCTTCGCCGAAAACGTCGTCGAGTAAAGTGGTCTGGCAGATGGCTTCTAGCATTGCGGGAGTGGGCTTGGTCATGGTATCGCCTTTTCCACCCAATTCAGCAAAATACACGCGTCACAGCGCTGTCGATCAACTTACTTCTGAGATCGAACTCGGCTGCGCCAGCACCCTGCCACGTGCTGGGTCTGCTGCCACCGCCATGCGAGACGGTTGATGTGTTGGCCATCGCTGATCGAGGAGGGTATGCGATTCGGGAAAAGGAAACCAAGGGCCTCTGAACGGATGGCGCTCGGAGGAAAAGGCGGGTGAGATATCTCATCAAGGCTTATTATACCCGCCACAGAAATGGCCAGAGATAAGAAAAGGGATTTGCAGGAAGCCAGACAGTCGTTAGCCTGTTAGTTAGAGACTAAGAGTAAGGGAGGGGGGATTGACAGTCAGCCAGCCCATTGCGGGGTGCCCAATCCTCTGGGCAAAAACCTCCGACCAGCAAGAAGCCATTTCGAGGCAGAGGGGCTCCAGTCGGCCCCCGATCGGGACTTGTAGAACTCCATGTAACACGTCCGGGTCAGCCTATGACGCCACGCCAAACGCGCGCTGCTCTTATCGATAGTCCCAGTCAGGAAAAGTCGACCCGCCAGCGTGTCTCCAGTCAGTAGCTGAGTCAGCAGTCGAGATCCCTCTGGATCTTTGCGGGCAGGTTTGCGCCCTGAAGGAGGGAAACGTCTTGTCTTAACTTGCAACACCGACACCGACACCGCACCGACACCGACACACGCGAGTACTCTGCGCTACAGCGAGCAACACAAACGATCCCTTTCTGGCGTGGGTGCCACGCATCCCCCTCCTCCTCTTCTTCAACACCATGGCCGCCACCATGGATCTTTCGCGACTGACTCGACCCGCGATCCTGTGCCAGTGCTCGCGATGCTCCAGCTCTCTCGCCGCGTTGGAGAACGAGTGGGCGAAGCTTTCGAATTCCTATTCCATAGCCGCCGGGTGGCTGAGTGTCGAGTTGCATCGCATTTCCATTTCTTCGGAGAAGAAGCAAATACCCCAAACCTCGGAGTTGAGCAAACTGCGGGGTCGCATCTTGCAAGAAGTCTCCTGCAAACTTTGCCAGCAGAAGTTGGGAGCGCTGTGCGCACTGGATAATGGGTAAGAAATGGATCGAGCTGAAACTGTCGTGTCTGAGCTAACAGTGGCCCTGAAGCCCGAACATTTTTTGGAAGCTCTCAAAGGTGTCGTTTAGGGAGATCGTGACCATGCGGACAGTCGAACCTACCTTCAAAGATGGAGCCCTTGAACGCTTAATATCCCCGACTCCGGAACAGCGACGGGACCGGACCTCTATCCAGCCCGGCGCTTTAGTGCCGACCGGATCGACGGAGCTCGAAAGCTATGGCATCTCGGTGGAACAGCAGATTCAACACCAAGGTCTGAGCCTCGATCACATCTCTAGCTCGGTCAGCAACCTCCATGATACCATGTTCGAGTTGAAACATGCGTTCACCGCCCTCCGCATCGAGTTGAATGGTCCTGGTCGCTTCGCCCCGGATATGAACAACCCCGCTAGCAAGGACCTGATGATCGCAACGGTACTGAAGGAACTCCGCTCGAAGTCGGAGGAGATCGAAAGACTGAAACTGGAAATCGAGGCCTTGAAGTTGAGGAGCCGCTATGCGGAGGAACAGCAGTCCTTCAGACAACAAGAACAACAACAACCCTCGCTACCAATCTTGACCGTTGCTGAAATGCTGCCGGAAGTACGCAGTCCAGGACTATTACAAGGCAGCAGAAAACGGCCGTGGCCGGACTCGTTCCCAAGTGGCCGGACCCAACCCATTGGGGACTCATTCGATGATGACGAGGATGACGATAGTATCGGTGATTTCGCGCTCGATGGCAGGACGACCATACCTCCGGTCAAAATCCCACTCAAAGACCCACCTCACCATACCTCAGAAACGATTCACACAACCGACACGACGACACGCGACCCAAGCCCTTCGACATCGCCCAGGTTGCGCATTGAAGTCAGTAACTCAAGCCACCAAACTCCACACTACGACCACGCCATGGATGGGAATGGGGAAGCGTCCACAACCTCACAGCAGTCAAGGGAGGCAATCGTCAAGCGTCCCCGACTGGCCCAGCAAGCGGACAGGGGCTCCTCCAGCGCGAAGAAGATAGGGCGGCCCCGCAAATCATTCAGCCAGACCACCAGACCTGACATCCTCTCCAACCTCAAACCCTCGCCCCTGAGCGAGCAAAACACGAATAATATCAACGGCATCAAGAACCACAAGGAAATCGCCCCTCCTCCCGCCGCCAGCCCGAGCGATCAGGCCCCCAGTCAAGAACCTCGTCGGACCCGCTCCCGGAGCCTCCGACGACGGCAATCTGCAGGTACCCTGTTCTCAACAACACAAGAGCAAACACCCGCTGCCGGCCCGCCGAACGGCGAACCGCTGGACACGACCGAGCCGAACCCACCGAGTGCCGGCAAAGAAAACCCCGAGGTAGCCATGAGCGGCGTGCAGAAGACCGAATCCAGCGAGAAGCGCAAGGCTCAGATGGCCGCACGCGACAACATAGTCCGACTGGCTATGCAACGCGAGGAGGCCATGGAAACGGATACTTCCCGATGAAGGATGGGGATTGTGTTAGGCTGCCTCGCATCCCCTTAGCGAAACAATGCATGCTTTTCAATTTACTTCGAGTTTGGCCTTCCTGGGCGCACTATACTGTTTTTTTCCCCCCATCTCGAAAGGTGTTCCTTCGGCTACTCGATTACTGGCGTATTGGTGGATGGGCGGTTGGGTGTGGGTGGATAAAGCTCCGCGGAGCTGATTTAGTATCTAAACTGTATTTCTTTGTTTCTCAATTCCCAGATCCATGATATCCCTTTGAGGTCAAATCCATGCGCGCCCTCCCTCGAACAAGAATGATCGGATTATATCTATGCTTTTGACACGTAGTTCCACTTCACATATCTATGTGGAGCACGGTTTCTGGTAAGCTGGCTGATATCCATCGCCATAAACCCCAGCCGTGCTACATAGCAAGAACTAATCCCCGAGACACACAACGCCGTAACTACCACATACCTACAGAACTTACTTCACACACATAAACCCGCAGCCCTCGCGAGCCCGCTCACAGGCCTTCTTGAGCGCCTGCTCCTCCGTGTCCGTCCACTTGACGCTCAGCTCATCCCACGGCTTCTTGGAGTTATACTCCTCGCGAAACTGTTTGTGCATCGCCTGGAGCCGGGAGACTTCGCGCGGGTCGCCGGTGCCCGAGTAGACCATGAACAGCGTACACGGCGGCAGCGCGTCATAGATGCGCTGGATGTTGGAGATTGTGCGCGCGACCACGTCCGATAGCTGCGGCGTTGTCGCTGTCTCCTCGCTGGAAGGTACCGACGCTGTCGCGGTGGTAGCAGTAGCTGTGTCGGAGGTCGTTTCCTCGGGAGCGGGCACCACCACCGCGGTCGATTCGTTTGCGTTATTTGGGTCGGGCAGGCGGTTGCAGAAGCCGCGGTGCAGCTCGAGTTCGCGCAGGCGCGCCCATGTGAAATCCACGCCGCCGCCCGGGATGTTCGGGTTGGCTGCGTCGCCGTTAACTGCGACCGAGATGCCCTTGACGACGTCGTTGTCGTCGGTGCAGCCGATTGCGACCGTCGCTTGTGCGCCGAAGCCTCGCTCCGGGTTACCCCAGTCGACGACGGCGCCGGTGCGGCCTTCGGGGGTGGTGTCGGTGCCGTTGTTGGGGGAAGTGGTAGTGGTTGAAGGCGCGTGCTTGCCGGGTCGCGTGGAGCGGGCGAGTCGTTTGAAGATGCTTTCGTTGGAGTTATCGCCCGTGCCCCAGCGTTCGCCCTTTTCGCACTTCTGCTTGACGAGCTCGAGCACGGCGCGCGCGTCTTCAACGGAATCATGGCCTGTCTGGCCCTTTTGGATCTCTTTGCCCATGTACTTCTGCATGAGCCATTTCAGGCTGCACTTGAGGGGTGGGCCGCGGGGGTGGGGGTAGATGAAGGTGGTGTCGACAATGAAGGGGTGAGTCATCTTGAGGGCGTTCATATCGGAGTTGAGGGAGTGACCGACGAGGATCGCTCGCGGGGTGAGGATAGTGAGGAGCTTCGCCTGAATGTCGGCAAGGGTAATGGTGACGGGGTCGAGCTTTTCCTTGGTAATGCCGGAGAACCGCGTGAGGTAATCGATGATAGGCTTTTGGGGCTTCACGAGTTCGTCTAGTACAATTTCGCCGTCCCAACGAACCAAACTGATTCGCGTGAGTTCCGACTGGCCACCTTCGGTGATGCACATCTCGCAGTCCAGCGCCAGTACCTCACGTCCAGCGGTCATGCTTCCCTGTTGAATCTCGGAGTCTGGCACTTGACCAGCTTCTAGACTCTCAACACGGGTGTCAACCCAGCCATCGTCGGTGGATTGGCCGGCTCGCTTGCGGTTCTCCTCCAATGTCAACTTCTCCTGCTCGGTGGCCATAAGAGCCGGATGTAGAACGTAGTCATTTTCGCGCAGATCCTCGACGGAACTAATGAATGTGGTGATAGGGGTTCGCTGAGAGACGTAGTTCTTATCCGCTTTGGGTGGTTTCGGACCCTTGGCGTTGTTACCCTCCTTGTTCTTCGGAAGGGCAGTGAGCAGCATTGCTTGAAGAGGCGAGTGGACCTTGTTATATTTGGTATCTCCAGGCGCCTTGACCGGCCAAGCATGAGGGAACATGTCCGCCAATGACTGTAAAGGTTCTGGAAGACCCTCGCGCGTCAAAGGACGGGGATTGAACCGATGAGACCGATCCTCCAGAGGCAAGCCTTGCTTCCACCGGGCAAAATCCGCCGCCTTGGGGTCCTCCTCCTGTTTCTCACCGGCTTCTGTATCTGCCGAATCCTTCTGCTCTGTCTGATCCACGTCCATCGCCTCGCTAGCCTCCTCGGGTTTCAAAGGTATAGATCCGTCGAGCATACCAAGTTCCAGACCAGGTACCATGACTACCACAATCTTTCGAACATAGCCCGAGTGCTTGATGGAGATCCATTGTGGTGCAATGCCGTCCGCGAAACAGTAAAGAAGCAGGCTTTGTAGATCGGCGATTCGGATCGAAGATTGTAATCGCCCTTCGACGTAGGTGAGAACAGGATACTTGGTCTTGACCCCATCCACCCGCTTTTTCTTGGACGGTCGCTGAGCCGCACTTTGCGGTTGATCGACCGCGGTGTCGGATGTAGCAGCATTCGTGTGGTTGCCGTTCGACTCGGATGTCGACCGTTGAAGTGTCGCAAGGGTTTGCGCTACTCCGAAGCCATTCCCTGTATCTGAATTGGACTTCACGGGGCTTTCGTCGTCCGAGCAGTCGGCGTACTTGCGTTTTTTGGTTCCGGCCATTTCTGGATAGGCGGCGGCGATGGGTTGACGTGTCGGAGAGCTCTCCAGCAGCACAGGAGTCGACCAGAATCTCCAGTGGACAATATAAGCTCAAACTTGACCTCGATTTCGCCACAACACCGTCTGGAGAACAGTGAATCGTTGTCTGGTGGCTGGCAGATCGCGGAGATCGCGCGGCGAAGATCCTATCGATTTCAGAGTCACGTGATGATAGCCGTATCGCTGGCGGCTATCGAGTGGTATTGGAGGCGTGCAGACGGTTGCATGTCTGCCATGCAATGCGTAAGGCTGATCTCACACAGAGTGATTAGCCATAGTGAAAGACTTTCCGTAGTCCGTAGTTCTCTGATCAATATGACATTGGCAAGGTGGTAGAAGGTACTTCCAATGCATCAATCAGCACGATAAGAACTTCTCGGGGATTGGATTACTCATCCATGAAGCTTCTCACCAGAACCCACCAATGAAGCGAGCTGCAGAGCGCCGAAGATCGCAGGTTGAAGTGAGTGGAGCGAAGACGCAGTCGGGGGTAATTTAGCAGTTTAGCTGTATTACAAACTTGGTTCGATCTGATAAGCGGCCAAAATTTCGCCATCGATCTTTCCTTCCCATTCTTCCTCGATTGTTCCGTTCATACCTGGCGCTTCTTATTGTCCTTTGCTCCTCTCATCGCCTTTCGTTTTCCTCCCTCCTGCTTTCTGAACTGACCAGGACGGATCTTCCCTCTAAAATCAAAGCATCCCGAGCAAGTAGCCTCTCCCCTGACCCAATTCAACACTCCTACTACCCCTCCTCATATTCCCCCGCCGACGTCGCCGCCCGCCGCCCGCCCGCCATCCATCTAAATTCCCCCCACTCCACGCCATCGTCAGTCAGTCACACACAGACTTCGACTTCACCTCTCCCCTCCCTCCCTACCATTCTTACGCACAAGGCATAAAGACCGTACAACCCAGCAAAAGCACAATGTCCTCCCTCATCGAAGTGGCCTCAGAGGCCGAGTTCCCGACCTACCTCTCGTCCCTCCCGCCAACCTGCCTCCTGGTGCTGTACTTCCACGCCCCCTGGGCGGCACCCTGCACGCAGATGCGAGCAGTGCTATCGGCCCTGGCCTCGCAATACCCGGCGACAAACCCACCCACGACGGCCTTCCTGAGCGTCAACGCCGAGGAGCTGCCCGACATCTCGGAAGACTACGACGTGACGGCGGTGCCCTTCGTGGTGCTGGTGCGCGACGGGCAGATCCTCGAGTCGATCAGCGGCAGCGAAGCCGTCCGCGTCCGCGACGCCGTCGAGCGCTACGCCGGCGCCGGCACGAACACACAGCTATCACAGCAATCACAGCAACAAAAGACCACGATCCCGCCGCCATTGACCGCCGTGCCCCGCGAGGACGCCGCCGCGCCCACGACCGCCACCCAGGCGCCCAACGGAGCCGCTCCCGCGCCCACGGAGACAAAGGAGGCCCTGTTCGCGCGCCTGGCCGAGCTGGTCAAGGCCGCGCCCGTCATGCTGTTCATGAAGGGCACGCCCAGTGCGCCGCAGTGCGGGTTCAGTCGGCAGTTGGTGGGCATCCTGCGTGAGCGCAGCGTCAAGTACGGGTTCTTCAACATCTTGGCCGACGAGGACGTGCGGCAGGGCCTGAAGGAGTTCGCCGATTGGCCGACTTTCCCTCAGCTGTGGGTTAGTGGCGAGTTAGTCGGTGGCTTGGATATTGTATGTCTCTTTCTCTTCTTTTTGTTCTTCTTATGATCATTATACTGACACGCTTTTGATTACTAGGTCAAGGAAGAACTCGAGAACGATCCGGATTTCCTCGCCGCGTATTCGGTCAACAAGGCTGCGTGAGAGAATTATAGATATTGTCCCGTCGTTGGATTTCTCTGGTCCCTGTTTCACAGTCCCCCTGTGTACTTTGATGCTATTAAAGATTTTTTTTTCTTACGTCTATCTCCTTCTATATCCACTTATAAGGCACCTGAAGATCTAGCGCTGGTGATTGAAAGATTTTAATTGTTGGCTCTTGTTCCTCAGCTTCTCGTCTCGGCGTCTGTGCCGCTTGTAGTACTACACGAGTCTTACATACCTGTATGCGAATGCAATGTTGGCGCAAAAGTCCTTCGGTGCGGATCTTGCAATAAAGTATATTGTTGTCGGATGGTAGTGAATTCTAGATAATACACTTGATCTGGGAATCGCTATACTCTACATGTAGCCATGCAGATGTCGATGCTATGTACATGTATATCACACGGGAAGAAACCGGTGCACTCCTTAATCCTCGCTCCAGACGTGCGTCTTCCAGACGTCAGGATTCTTGTTTCGGCTTTCTTGATTCGGGGATCTGGGGAGATAGTGACCGTAGTCGCGGTCCTGCCAGACATGGCGCCTGTCCTTCTGGCGGCAGACGGTGCGGATGCGGGAGAGCACGGCATCCTCGTCGACGTAGGCGCCGGCCAGCCAGCGCTCGCCCTGGCTGGTGTTGAAGCCGCGGCGGGCGTGGGCCACGCGACGGTTCTCGAAGATGGCGCATTGGCCGGGCTCCATCTTCAGCTCGAAGACATTCGACGGGGCCTGGAGACGCTCCGCGAAGTACTTCAGCGCCTGCATGCCCGGCATGTACGTGTCCCGGTCGGCGTAGCGGTGCGTTATAGGCGACTGAAACGGCGGCGAGTAGTTTACCCGGATGAGCCGCCGCTTTATACCCGGTGTCCGCGGAGCATGATCCAGCTCGAACACCGGCCAGGTGTTTGTGTACAGATGGTTTTCGTGGTTGTATTCGTAGGCCAGATGCAGCTGCGTTAGCGCCATGTATGACGCGTGCTTGGAATTCGCCATCGACCGGGCCACATGGAAGGTATCGGAGAAGAGCGATTCTCCGCCGTCGCAGGAGTTCTGGAGGCAGTGGAGAAGCTGGAACCCGGGCGGCTCGTTCATGTACATCAGGTCCATGTGGAAGTTGAGGAACTGGTTCGTGTAGGCGACGTTCTCGGCGTTGGGCTTGTTGCGCACATCCCATGTCGGTCCATAGAACGTGTTGCGGAGCGGCCCTAGCCGGGTCGCGATCTTCTCGACCTCCGCGCGAGAGTCCGGGATGTTTTTGACAAAGATCAGGCCCATTTCGGCTAGGTTTCGCAAGGCCACGGCGAATTCTTCACTGTCTTTCATGAAATCATTGTAGTCGACCCAATGCACATTTTCTTTCATTATGCTGTTGTTCCAGATCAGCCGCCACCGTCTCCTACTGGTGGCCACCTCCAGGAGAGGCTTGAGGACACCATGTTTGATATGGTCCAACCCATAATGAGAGACTTGATCCTGATGTCCTTCGATGTCATTGTCCCAAGTTATTTTCACGTTTTTGTGCTCAATCTGGATAGACCGCGGCTTGATGTCGAATGGAATGTCGGTCGTCCGGAAATTGCGCTGCTTGGTTGACTGATCCACGCACTGGGAACAGTGGCATGCATCGCGCAGCGTGTGATACAGCACCGTGAATGCCCTCCGTCCGGGTTGTTTGATCACAAGATGATCTTGCTCCGTTTTAATATATTCCACAAATCTACCTACAGTTTCCACAGGGATGTGTAAACGTCCGACACACGTCACTTGTTTATCGTCGGCGGTACGAACATCTTTAGCGGAGTGGTGATGGTCGTCTAGGTCGCCCTCGGATACTGATGGCGTAGCAGGAGACTCTGAGGGAACAAAGGATTCTGTACGCCCTGCAGGAGCTTCAAGTGCATCACTTTCTTCCAGCTGTGGACGCCCCTCATTCACGTAGGTTCGACGAGGTGCGGGGATCAAAGTCGTTGCGACTCGAGGAGCTCGCAGTAGGCTTCTTCGTAACAGAAAAGCCATGTTAATTTCACGTTACCGGCATCCAACTCCAGGTGCTGCTGTAGAAGAAGCGGAAATGGTTGTGACGCAGGACTAATGGTGGGATGAAGAGGAGAAGCTGCAACTTAACCTAGATCAGCCAACAGTCCCAGATTCGGAGCCGAGGCTTAGCGGTCGGACTGTTCTCCGCAATTCAACGTGACTTGTCCGTGAGAGATCCGATGTTTCTGTTGGCATCGCTTCCGGACTAGCCTCATGCTGGTTTAACCCGCCATCTGCAATGATCACATGTCTTGGAAAGAACATGCGAAACTGCAAGCATCAGCTATTGAGCAAAGGATCATCGGTCTGGGTTCTAGGCGCAATATAAGGCCAGCCAGTTCTGCAGCATTACACACGCAAAAACACTGCGTAATTCTCCTTGCTCTCCAACACAATGGCAGGCACAACCGAACCCTTAACGTCATCGCGCGCGAGGCCTTCCGCCTTTTCTTTTTTTTTACCCCAGCGATCATTTCCCCGACACAAGCATTACAACTAATACACCCTGACTCTGGTTATCGATACGCTTCCTCTGAGTCGCATTAAAGACAACCAGCCGGCTCCAGTTTAATCTAGTCGGACACTATTAAGATTTCCCCCTTTGACGTATTCCTGACCCAATCGACGGTTCCAGCTGCTCAAACTCGCATACAATTACCCGGGGATCTCCCAAACGCATCGAGCCGACCTTGAACCCAATGACTCTCCTTGGAGCTTAGAGCTACATATTTGGCATCGAACTGGGCATCCTCCCGCGCGTGGACCCGGATCTCCATTTTTCCTTTTCTCTCACATACCTCCTCCAGCGTCACATGCATGTCGGCCGGGGGCGAACACCTCAAGGATGAGGTGAGTGTGCATGGAACCATCTGGCCCTGGCTAGACCTCGCAATATGCTAGTCGAGTCGGCATTGGGTCATTTTCGCATTATACGGTATATGCACGCGCAATTGACTGACACCTTTTCCCATAGGGGTCGCGAGGACAAGTCGTCCTCGCAGGTGGAATCGCGGGCCTCGTTTCACGGTACGTTTTGACCTGCAGCGCAGCGCACCGCATCAGAACTCAACCCCCCTCTCCCTCTCCCCATTCCAAACGACTAACAAGAACGCGAATCGACGCAGATTCTGCATCGCCCCCCTGGACGTCGTGAAAATCCGCCTACAACTCCAAATCCACTCCCTCTCCGACCCAATCTCGCACCAAAATGTGACCGGACCAATCTACAAAGGCACCCTATCGACGATGAAGTCGATCCTCCGCGAGGAAGGTCTCACAGTGCGTTGTCCCCGAGCCCTAGCCTACCCACCGACCTTCATCCGGCGCCCAATGGCAAGAACCAATCCCTAACCATATTCTGAAAACAGGGCCTCTGGAAAGGCAACATCCCCGCGGAACTCCTCTACCTAAACTACGGCATCATCCAATTCACAACCTACCGCACAACAACACAGCTACTCTCGACGCAGCTCCCGACGCGCCTACCGCCCTCAGCCGAATCCTTCATCTCGGGCGCCCTGGCCGGCGGCCTCGCGACTTTCACGACGTACCCGCTCGATCTCCTGCGCACGCGCTTCGCAGCCCAGGGCACGGAGCGCATCTACACGTCACTGCTGTCGTCGGTGCGCGACATCGCGCGACATGAGGGACCGCGCGGGTTCTTTCGGGGTGGTAGTGCCGCCGTGGGCCAGGTGGTGCCGTACATGGGGCTGTTCTTCACCACGTATGAGGCGCTGCGGCCGGTGTTGGCGACTCTGCCACAGCAGGTGCCCTATCTCCCCGGTGGGAGTGGGGATGCGGCGGCCGGGGTGATCGCCAGCGTGATGGCCAAGACGGCTATGTTTCCCCTGGATCTCGTGCGGAAGCGGTTGCAGGTGCAGGGCCCGACCCGGCAGTTGTACATCCATCGCAATATCCCCGAGTCTCGCGGGGTCTTCAGTACGATGGCCATGATCGTGAGGACGCAGGGCGTCCGGGGTTTGTACCGCGGATTGACTGTGAGTCTGTTCAAGGCCGCGCCGGCTAGTGCGGTGACCATGTGGACGTATGAGACCTCGTTGCGCTTGCTCCAGGAAATGGAGATTGCTGCCGATTGATCGCGGATTGCGGTCGGGGGCAGGCCTAGGTGGGTGGGAATCGGATGTACTAGACCTTAAAAACGGCATTTAGAGCAGCATTCTGTAAATTATCTCACAACGAACCTAATAGACATCATTGGCAAGCCATCTCAGCTGCAATCCACCGCAGGCTCATCACACACAAACAATTTCCAGCGTGCTTCTAAGCTTTTTTCCCCCATTTTCCCTTGGCCAAAACATCAAAGCCGGACGATGCAAAAACAGAAAAGTCAAGACGACGCTTAAGAAACAAATAACGGAAGGGGTTGTCGCACGCAGAAAATGGAACAAAGGGCCTCGGCAAACCAAGAAGCGAAGGCAATCAAAGCAGAAGGCGGGACGCTTAGTACTCGGGGTCCTCGTCCTCAATCTCTGGGCTATCACTGGCAACCTCTTCATAGTCCTTTTCCAGCGCAGCCAAATCTTCGCGCGCTTCGGAAAATTCACCTTCTTCCATACCCTCACCGACATACCAATGGACAAAGGCACGTTTGGCATACATCAAGTCGAACTTATGATCCAGGCGACCCCAGGCTTCGGCAATGGACGTAGTGTTCGAAAGCATGCTGACCGATCGATCGACGGGCGCCAGCTCGCTGTTAGGGACACACATGGGTTTCTGGTAGTTAATGCCCAGCTTGAATCCGGTAGGGCACCATTCGACCAAGTTGAAGGAAGCCTTGGCCTTGACAGCGGCAACAGCCTGGGTACAGTCGCGTGGAACAACATCACCACGGTACAACAGAGCTACCGCCATGTATTTGCCTTTGCGTGGGTCGCAAACAACCATCTGATTGTGGGGTTCGAAACCTGGACATCATTGTTAGTTTGCCATGTTGACATGTAGAAGACGGCTCGGTAGCACAGAAAGGTCGATACGTACACTGGAAAGTCAGGTCCTGAACTTTGAAACTCTCGTGGGAGCTGCGGTTACTGGAAACCACCGGAGCAAACGAGATCAGTGGGTAGTGAATGCGAGGGAAAGGGACCAGATTGGTCTGGAACTCGGCCAAGTCGACGTTCAGGGCACCATCGAAGCGAAGACTGGAAGTGATTGAGCTCACCACCTGAGCGATGAGCCGGTTGAGGTGTTCGTAGCCCGGGCGTGGAATATCCAAGTTGCGGCGACAAATGTCGTAGACCGCCTCATTATCAACCAGGAAAGTGCAGTCAGCATTCTCGATGGTGCTGTGAGTGGACAGGACCGCGTTGTATGGCTCGACAACAGCCGTGGACACGCGAGGTGAAGGATAAATGGCAAACTCAAGCTTCGACTTCTTGCCGTATTCGGTCGAGAGGCGCTCCAGCAGCAAGGCGCCAAAGCCAGAGCCAGTACCACCACCAAAGGAATGGAAGACAAGGAATCCTTGAAGAGAAGAGCAGTTGTCTGGATGTAGTTAGTACGTCAGATGGGATGGTCGAACAGCCAAAACAAACGCTGGGCAAATGCTTACCGGCAACACGGCGAATGCGGTCGGAGACGCTATCAACCATTTCCTTTCCGATAGTGTAATGTCCGCGTGCATCTGTCCAGCGTCAGCATTCACCTTCTTTGCTGATCACACTTCCGGGGGCCCCCACAGTTGTTGGCAGCATCCTCATTTCCACTGATCAGGGTTTCAGGATGGAACAGCTGACGGTATGTCCCGGTGCGGACCTCGTCAACAGGCTACATGTGTCAGTTCATAAAGCCACCATAGAGGTGAATACTAGTAAACACCCTACCGACGGATCGAGATCGACGAAGATTGAGCGCGGGACATATTTCCCGTTGCTGGACTCGGTGAAGAACGTCTCGAAAGAGCCAGCAGATCTAGACTCATCGGCCGCGTCAGGGTTCAGGTGACCATCTGCCTTGAGACCATGTTCAAGTAGGTATCTATTGAAGGCACGATAAGTTGAGCACAGGTTGCTTTTGGTCGACGGCACGGGCTGTGTATTTGTGAAAAGCGGGGACGACATACAGCTCCCAGGCACTGTTACCCAGCTGGATACCTGCCTGACCGATGTGTATGTGACAAACCTGATTCGAGAATCACGTTAGAATTCCAAAACCTCACCACAGTGCCACTCGCACAATAAATCTCGATGTTGTTGAGATGACCTGGAGCTAAACAACATGGAGGGGTAGTCATGCGGGGAAGCAGACGGCTGATGAAATCGTATACTTCTTACCTCGCCTCTCATTTTGCAATTCAGGCCAGCTTTAGCCTAGAATAAAGCAGGCTAGATTCCTAGATCCGATCGAATAGGATATGTAGATCAAATGAGCTGACAGGAAAGGATGGAAAGCAATGGAGGTGACGAAAGATGAGAGGGGTCGAGGAGTGAGGAGTGAGTGAGTGAGTGAGTGATGCCATGGCCGGGGAGCGGGAGTCAGTCACTTCAATTCAGTGGTGACAACAAACACCGGCACGCACCGGCAAACACGTTCTTGCCTGTTTTTGTAAACAACCTCCTATGGACCAATCAACAACCCTGTCTGGTTCACTAACCCAACAGTCAGAATCACAATCTCATAACTCTTGGTATGTATGTACTAGGCACTGTATAGCTGCATTGTCAATTACTTGTTACTTAGGAGGTACAGGACATAGTTTGCCTCTATACTTAGGACTCCCCAATGGTGGTAATTTGGCCAGTGCATTGATCTAGGAGCTGCGGGTCTTCTATATCATTTGCATCCTGGACGTCTTCCACGTGTAACTACGCGGAATGCGGGGAAACCGCGGCATAGCTGAACTGCCACTATTGCGGACTGAAATGCGGCCTGCTTTCGGGGATTGTGACTGCAGCATTACTCACACAACAAGCCACCTTAAGATAAATCCCCTGTCCTTCTTCTCATAATGCAAGATTCGTGTGTTGACTGCACAAACTGATGCTGGGTTCAAAGACTCGAGTGCTCTACGAGGAGTGTTTAGCGCATCATCCTTGTTGTCGTCTTCCAGTAGGCTCGCTACTATCAGCCTCACTCAAGCTGTAGCCTATCAATCCGCGACAATCACAATCTCCGCCTGACCGTCGTTCGTCGCTTGCAGCATTTAACCGGAGCCTATCAGACCCTCAATCACGAACATATGATGATCTTATAGTTCACGCAACTGCGCCAGAATAGGAAGAAGGGCTCACTTTGTTATCTGTGAGATCGACAATTGACAAGGAGGGGTACGACACGTCAAGGGTCAAAGTATGATGTGGGAGGCTTGAGACACGACTCGGTTTAGGGATCCCCCGCCGGCAGGGGAGAAGGAAAGGATTTATGCACATAAAATTCCGCCCCTGCAGCTGTGCAAAATGATGTTGTCATCAAGTTTCATCACCAAGAACAGGTCAAGCAAGCTGAGAGCCGGACCATGCAAGGACGTTGACCATGGATGATTATTGCTATTACCATCGAGGGATATAATTATCTCTATACTGCATAGACCAGCAGAGTGATGATCTCCTGCGCGAGTGCATAAGTGGCTGTATTAATTAGGTTTCTATCGTTGGCTTCACCGAAGCCACCGAAGCCCACAATCGGCTGCGCTACCTTACACTAGCACTTTTAGCGGTCAACTACCCTGGCTCAGGTTTAGAACACAGCTCGTGTTTAAAGATAACACCACCGGGCCACACCACTCATTGAGTCGTCGAGTCGTCGCATGGGACAGGCCTGTCTGGACTCCAAAGGTCAAGTCTGGGTTGGGCGTCAGGAGTGACGCGGAGGACCCAGAGGATCCCCTCTGTCTGATGATGCATACCGAATGGTCCACCGTTTGAAAGGAGAAACGGTTGTTCCAAACTTCCTGGAAACCAGCCAATGTTCAGAAGGGAAATTTTCATGATGGCGGCCGGGAGTGCCTGAATGGTGGCGCTTCTTGGCAGTCGCCACTCTGCGTCGTGGATTTTTCGTTTACCTTTCTCTCTTAACCAGTCGGCGCTTCCTTCTCATCCATTCCTCGGCGACTTATTTGTTGGCAGCCGACAGGAATAAACTTGCAAGTAACCTCTTTTTCCGAGAAAAATTTTATGAGCGCATTGCAGCGTCGAAGATGAATAGATGATAATGACCGACAAAATGAGTGTCGGGAGATTATAGCCCCTCGAAACAACTGCAGCCGATGCAGTGCGGACTGCGGAGTCGTCGCGCGACGCACAGTGATCCATCCAGTCTGGGAAGAATTCTGTGTCTAAGGATTAAGGAAAGAAGAAGGATCCACTGCACTCACCTTAGTTTCTGAAGTGGGGAGAAAAAAGGGCCCAGGGCCCATTCATTGTAATTCCCGACACCCACCGCAGCCACAAACTGGAGCCAACGCCATTGTTCCCTTTGCTGTTTGCTGACTGAGGGAGGGTCTCCGCCCCGGCGCAATCTATCGATCTCACTTAGTGACTGGCCTAACTCGATAGTCCCGGAATTCCTGCCTCTGCTGTAGATCGAGGAACACCTGCACTTGAGAGAATATGGATCGAGAGGGGATCGAAGAAAAGAGACGACGAAGAAGAAGACGAAGAAAGGCATTTTCCCTGAAGGCATCAGTCAAAAGACATCGCCAACCATCAACCGATTAAATGTACCGGTGCAATGCAGAAAGCAAGCGAATTGGTCTGGACCAGACTGAGCACCATCTTGGTTTCTTGGTAGGTTTCCACTGGCCGACTTTTGCCGTGCGATCGGCGAGGTTTCCGCATCGATCAACTCCTGCTCTGCTGCTGCTGCCATCCATGGATGGAGCTTAGAGAGAGAGAGAGAAAGAGAGAGAGAGAGAGAGTGTGTGTGTGTCTGGCTGATTGTCTCTCTCTAGAGGTCTGTCGCCCCTCTGCCACTTCTTGTTCTTCTTCTGTTTCTCATATGAGTTCCCCACTTCGTCCCTCTGTCTTCCTGTCATTTCAATAGTCTCTTGTCTCCTTTTTTTTTGTGATTTTCACATTGTCTCATCTTTTTCCTCTTCGCATTCGCTCCGGCAGTTCGCATTCTTGTACTTCCATACTACTTGACTCTCTGTTGCAACAAGTACCGGCGCCCTTTCTCCTCGCCTTGCCGATAAGATCGTCACATAGATCCCATGCATAATTAGATCATTTGAGCGGTATGTATCACTTCTCTGGTAATCTTATTTATGGCAATCGTCCCCACCAGTGTTCACTTTGCGCTATCGCTCGTGCTCTTCCCACTGTCTCACCTCAATTTCTCCACGGGACATCCACAGCAACTTCAATCTTTCGAACTTATTCCCTCGTGTTCCCTGGATGTCTCTGGAACGATCCATCTACTGTTATCTTCGCTCCATGTCGGCGATTTTCTGACTGTTCTCGAAGCTAGAGGTAGAGATTTGACCAGGTCAATATCGTTGTCGATCCGACTTTAAGCTCCCTGGTCTCGATCACTGGCCCGGTGCCAGCATGTCACACCCATCAGAGAACCCTCAAGTTCCGGTTCATCAGCATGCGAAGAGAAGAGACGACAACACGCCCGATTCCGACGAAGGAACCTATGTATACGATGGCCCCAACAACGGGACCGGCAATCACCTGCGGGTAGATACCTCGTATGACTATGACAGCTCCGCCTTGCGCTCGCCTGCCACCGCACGAGAAGAGTCGATGCGTCTAGAAGATGATCTGGCTGTGCTTGAGGCCGAGCGGATGGCATCCCGCTCCACCACGCAAGAAGGGTCGATGAAGAAGGGCGAAGACGATGGCGCCTCCATGGCCCGTTCCCGCTCTCGTCCGTCGCAGCATGTCGTCGATGAATTTGATGAAGCCACCAATCCGTTGCACGAGAAGGCTGCAGTCTACAACCCTCCCGAGAATCCCAATACCAACATCGCCAGGTTCATCAAGAGGCTCCACGAGTCGAGTTTCATCGTCCGCTACCTCACTTACATTGTGCCATTAGTCCTGATTCTCTTGATTCCTTTGCTAGTTGGTGCGTTGGCCTTTCCTGATGCTAATGTCGGTGGAGTTCAACTACTTTGGTTCTCGGTCTGGCTGGAAATTGTCTGGTTGACGCTTTGGGCCGGAAGAGTGAGTGCAACTCCAGTCACCTAATATCCGGCTAGATATTGACTTGAACCCCCTTTATCAGATCGTCTCCAAGTTCATCCCAGTTCCAGCTGGTTGGATCGCCAGCATCTTCACGAACAATGCTAAGAAATGGCGTGATATGGCCAAACAGCTGGAGCTACATGGCACCTTGTTCTTCTGGTGGCTAGGCGTGGAGATCTCGTTCTTGCCCACTATGAAAAACCACCACGTCGATGGTAGCCACGGCACCAAGTCTTGGGAGAATACAGTCAACAAGATTATCATCTCGGTCTTTGTGTGGACGATTTTGAACCTTGTCGAGAAGGTCATCATCCAGTTCATCGCTATTAGCTTCCACACCCGTACTTATGCGGACCGAATCGAGATCAACAAGTTCCAGATCGGCAGTCTGACCAAACTTTACGGCTTTTCCCGACGCAAGATCACGGCCGAAGATACCGAGTTCGAAGAAAAGGACCAGCCCACCACGAGCGGAATGAAGACCCCACTGCACTATGCTGGAAAGGCAGGACGTCTGGCTAAAGGTGCCTTGAACAGGGTGGGTGATGTCGCTGGTGCCGTCGCCGCCGATTTCACTGGCCGCACGGTTAACAACAGCAGTCACCCCTATCAGGTGGTGTTGACTTTGTTGCGTACCACCAGCGGCTGCCAGGTCTTGGCTCGTCGACTCTATCGGACTTTGGTGCGGGATGGTTTCGAAACAGTCTTTTCCGGAGATTTGAAGGAAGCCTTCGACAACAATGAAGAGGCAGACGCCGCCTTCACTATGTTCGACAAAGACATGAACGGCGATATTTCGATGGAAGAGTTAGAGGCAGTTTGTGTGGAAATTGGGCGTGAGCGCAAAGCCATTACCGCGTCCTTGAAGGACTTGGACTCTGTCGTCGGCAGACTCGACAATATCCTGGAATTCTTCGTGCTCATCATCACCGTGATTGTTTTCTTGACTCTGATTTCCACTTCCGCCGCCGGTGTGCTGACATCTGCTGGATCCAGTATTCTGGCACTGTCTTGGCTTTTCTCTGCCACCGCGCAGGAATTCCTCCAGTCTATCATCTTTGTCTTCGTGAAGCACCCGTTTGATGTTGGTGACCGTGTGACTGTGTACGGTAACGCGGGTGATGCTGGACTGGGTGACGACTATTTTGTCAAGCAGATCTCGCTTCTGTACACGGAGTTCAAGAAGATGCAGGGTCATGTCGTGCAGGCTCCCAACAGTTATCTCAACGGTCTATTCATTCTCAACCAGCGCCGGTCGGGTGCACTCGCTGAAGCAGTCCCAATTGTCATCAAATATGGCACCACTCTCGAGCAGATCGACGCTCTTCGCCAACGCTTGCTGGAGTTTGTCCGTAGCGAGCGTCGTGAGTTCCAGACCAACATTCTCACTGAGATGCGCACAGTCACGGAGAACTTCTCAGTCACTCTCAACGTCGTCTTCTTCTACAAGTCCAACTGGCAAAATGAAGGCCTGCGTCTGCAGCGCCGCAACAAGTTCATCTGTATGCTTATGGTTGCCCTTCAAGAGATCGGCATCGAAGGCCCACGCATGAACCTCCAGGGTGCCCGGGTGGACATTCCGTTCCACATCGCCGGGTTCCCGCAGCCCCCCATGCCCACGACTCCTGGCAGCAGGGATGGCAACCCTCCTCCGACTCCCCTTGGCGACCACCATGGCTCTCTCCCCGAGAACTCCGGGTACAGCAGCGCCACTCGCCACCCGTCCATCCTCCGCAAAGGCATGAACACAGCCGCGGCGCGCGCTCGCGGCGACTCAATGCTCTCCCGCAAGCACGTGGACTTTTCGCTCGGTATGCGGGATATCTCGTCCGGCGACGTTATGGGCGATGTCTTTGAAGACCGCCGCACCCGGATCGAGGATATCGTTCGGATTGCCAACCGCGAGAACACCGAACGTCGCATCCAGGAAGAGGAGGAAGAGGAGGCCGAGCGCCAGAGCCGAGTCTCTTCCTCCCGTCGCCGCAGCAATTCCAATCTGAGCGTCCCATCCACTTCGCGCGCTGGTCGCCGATCGGTCGACTCCCAGGGCGGTCACAGTGTGGCCTCGGTCACGCACAATCGCTTCTTCCGCCATCATCGCAGCAGCATCAGCCGCGAGCCGGAGGATCTGATGGAGCAGGGCCGCTCGGACCAGGGTGCCAGCACCGGCGCCGCGGGCCCCGAGCTCCATCCCACCGTTTCTCACCCCGCTGAGAAGCAATAATTGCACTTGAGAGATTCTCTTTCGTCCGGCTTTTAACTTCAAAAGTTACACCTTAGATAATAAATTTGTAGATAAATTTCACTTTCTGATTCTATTTTGCAGAGGATCCGGCATCAATCATATATGATTCATTGTTGCGACTAGATAGCACATAAACTTTGGGTGTTTTTCAACGGAACTGATATGAAGTCAATACCTATAATATAAGCTCACAAGCCTGGAGCGTAGCTAGCCCAAGCCGATCCACTGGCAATGTCGCCTCTGAATGCTCTGCACTGTATATGCTTAGTCATTCTATGCGTAACCTCTCATAAAACCGAATAGAAGTAGCATGCAGAAAAACAGTTGGTTGTCTTGTGCCCGGTTACACGAGATTAACCTGCTACCAATTGCACAATCCCATAGTTAACTAATTCCAGATCTATAAAAGAGCCTTACATGAATCGAAAACAAAATCTGCCATCGGCACGACGAAGATCCAGACTCACTAACCCCTGCTTACTGCCAGAAGCTATCTATCTGACCCGTCCCAACCAACGTCATCGGATGTCCACACACACACACAAAAGTCTTAGGTGGCCACATTATCGCAAAAACCAGCATCAGACATCTAGACAGACCCAGAAACCCATCGATGTGTGCACAGGGCAGGATACCGGGCTGCAAGCTATCTCAGCATGACTCAACAAGTTCGCCACAGACCACCTTTCTTTTCCTTACCTCTCTTACCTCAAACCACATACATAGACCAGACGCGACGGGAGATTATGGATCCCTCGGGGACCCGAACCGGGCAGCTTTAGATTACGCGGAATCCGCGGGACCCGAACACTTTCCCATACCCTACATATCATCAATCAGTCGCCAGAAACACCGTAGGGGTACAGCACAGCACAGCATCCGGTGCAAATTCCCGGCACATAAGCAAGAAACGCGTTGCAATCCGACCGGGTTTTTTATTCATCGGAGAGTCAATTCCCGTGAAAGCTAGCAAAGCAAGTCAGGAATTGAGTTATCGCCAACGCGGACGGACGGGGGTGTTTTCAGCTTCCCACTCGCAGGGCAGAAGATGCCAATGCCAAACTGGCGAGCCATGTGGCCCGGCCAAGGGGGCGAGAATCCGCCTCGATTTCTGAGGTTCAGGTCCTCCGATGGGTTTATTATGTTTGTTGTGGCTTTTGCTGTTTTTACGGTACGTTCTTCCTATACAAATCTTCGGGGGTTAAAAAAAAAAAAAAAAAAAAAGCTTGATCCAGAAAAGAAAGAAAATGTTGACGTTGAAATAGGATATTTTCTTGTATGGACTAGTATGTGGATCCATTTTCCCCCCTTCCAGAAAAGCTTGGGAAATCTAGACTCCGTCTGGCAGACTGGCACCCTCCACCTTGACTTACGTCCATACCGTACTGTATGTACTTTGAGATCTGCTCTAACTGACTGACCCTCATCAAGATTGTTCCTGTTGCTCCGACGGCTCTCCATGAAAGAGTGGGGTTGTCGGTAGACGAAGGTGAGATGAACCTCGGCGATGTTCACAGTACCAGACAACTAATCCTATATCCCGGGCCACAGAACAAAGATGGACATCCATCCTCCTCGCACTATACGGCGCAGCTCTACTAGCCACCTCGCGTGAGTAGCACCTGCATCTAATCTACCTTACGTTATGGACCCCAGCACTAACCAATCCGCACAGCGATCGCGGGCTACATGGCAGACCGGTTCGAATCACGCTACTGGCCTCTAATCGCCGGGCTAGTCGCATTGGGCGTATCGACGGCGCTCCTCTGCGTAGGAACAAGCCTAGCACTCTGGATCATCGGCCGACTATTCCAGGGTGCCTCCGCGGCCGTCGTGTGGACGGTGGGCACGGCGCTGATGGTCGACACGGTGGGCCGGGACGGGCTGGGCCAGGCGATGGGGTACATCGGCATGGGCATGACACTGGGGATCATGGGCGGGCCGCTGCTAGGCGGGATTATTTACGGAAGGGGGGGTTACTACGCGGTGTTCGGGTTGGCGTTCGGGCTGGTGGGCTTTGACATCGTGCTGCGACTGGTGATGATCGAGAAGAAGTACGCGGTTCGATGGCAGCAGCAGCAGCAGCAGCAGCAGGCGCCCCTCAAGAACGAAACCCAAAATCCACCCCGCTCGCCCTCCTCAACATCTTCCTCCCCCTCCTCTGCCTCCGGCACTACAGAAACAAAACCGACGGACGCAGCGCCATCCAGCACCACCACCACCCAACAACCCACACCCCCGTCGTCTCCAATCCAAACACCACCAAAACAAAAGCACCACCAACAAAACCCCATAACAACCCTCCTCTCCTCCCCGCGAATGGCAGTAACCCTATGGGCCTACTTCATAATCTCCGTGGTCCTAAGCAGCTTCGACAGCGTGCTACCACTGTTCGTGGAGGAGACCTTCCACTGGGACCAGCTGGGACAGGGCCTCATCTTCATCCCGATCTCGATCCCGCACATTCTAGACCCAGTGGTGGGCTACCTAAACGACAAATTCCCGACGATCCGACGGTATCTGGCGGCCGGGGCGTTGTTCGCAACGATCCCGCCGATGGTGGCGATGCGGTGCGTGACGGACGACACCACGTCGCAGAAAGTGCTGCTGTGTGCGCTGTTAGTGCTCGTGGGGGCGTGCATCGCGACGCTGATGCCGCCTGTGTTGGTTGAGGCCTCGTATATTGTTCAGGAGAAGGAGGAGCGCACACCGGAGATCTTCGGGAAGGGTGGTGCCATGGCGTTGGCGTATGGGATTTTGAATGTGGCGTTTGCGGCGGGGACGATTGTTGGTCCTTTCTTTGCGGGGTTTATTCGGGAGAGTGCTGGGTGGGGGACTATGACTTGGGCGATGGCGCTGTTGACGGGCGTGTCGGGGATTCCAGTGCTGTTGTTGCTGGGGGGGTTTCTGTTTAGCAGGAAGAAGGACGAGTCGGGCGGCGGCGGCGGCGGGCAGGAAGTCCCTTCTCCGGTTGAAGTTTGATGGAAGAGTACACTCCGCTCCGAAGACGATCAAAAGGTTGCACATACGCATACTACTATATATACGACATAGACCTGGCCTGTAATATAATCCGAAGCAAAACACTAGACGTTTTGTGAATTGGAAATACTCAACTCCGTGGATGCTATATATACAGAAACTGGATAGAGAAGCAAGAAAATAACAAAAAGAAAGTAGACGAAAGAGAGGATAGCTATGGGACAGATCCAGCAACGGGCACAATCGGCCGGGTGGGATATAGACGAGAGTACCCGACCCTCTGATGCTGCCTGGGGAAAGGAACCAATTTCGCGCAGAAAGGCGATCAGCACGAAACGTCCCACACTTACTGATTCTTCTTCCGTGCTTTCTCTCATTTTTGCCGCAGGGTCACACTCAACACTCATACATACAAACAGACAAAATGGACGCAATTTTGGATGTCACGGAGTAAGTAGAGAGATAGAAGTTGAACACAAAGGAGAAGATGGAATGGTCAGACAATTGAGGAACATGGTTATGTTAGGGAAAGGAAAGAATGAAGACAAATAAACCCCGAACAAGAAAAGAAAGTTGCAAATGAAGTAAAAAGGGATGCAGTAATTCAGACAGCCTGGATGAGATGATCCAACCCCAAGCAAAAAGACAGACTCCGGAAACACCCGCTCAGCCGTGGCATGCATGGAAGAAATTCAAATGTTTGGTATGAAGAGACAAAGTCGGAAGGACTCTAGGTTGGCGTGTCGAGATGGGTGAAGGTTCTTCATGAGAATGAAACGGGCAGCAAGCCAATTCGAGGCAATCGTACAAGACATCGACCATGTCTATCTCTCTAGGACGGAATGACAAGATAGTCGCTCTATCTTTCAGGCTGATCGGGAGTATTACCAGAATAGAGGCTGGGTAGAGGAGTATGCAAAGGCCGAGGTGTTGCTTCGGCATCTGGGATCTGATCGACATCGGCATCGGCGGATAAGCCTGCAACTAGGTCGGTTTCGGCGGTTTTGATACGAGGTGTGCCGAAATCGTCTTCCACAGGGGCCAAATCAAGATTGTTCTTCGGAAAAACAACCGGAGGTGTGATATGCCCTTTTTTGAGGGGCTCGGCGCTGGGCTGGTGGATAATTCCAGGCACAGACCTGGTGTCAGGTGGTGACGATTCATCGAGGAATATGGCAGGCGGGTCCATCCTGAATCCTAGCTCTCGAGTCGGGGAGTGCTTAGGGCTATATTCTTCTTCCTCTTCTTCCACAGTGCTTATGATGGCCTCCTCAGGAATATGAAGTCCCTCGTATGTCCTCTCCAGGGCTGAAGGGCGATTAAGACCGTACTCGTCGGTATCACTGAATCCAGAAGAGCCGGCGCTTGTGCGTCTTTCCAAGGATTCTCTCTCCTTCTTAAGGAGCTCCTCGCTGCCGCTGACGACACTACCTCGACTATTCGTCCTCATCATCTCTAAGCCCAATTTGGAACCGGGACGATGGGTTCTCTGGCGTGGACTGCAAGTTCGTGACGGAGTATTGCCTAGCTCCTCATCTTCGTCATCGCCAGACTCGCCACACTCATAGCGCTTCTTTTCTAGCGATTCTCTCTTGGCTCGAATCGCATCGCTAGATCGCTGCTTGCGAGGCGTCGTCGTCACTCCCGGAGAGGGGTCCGTCACTGGTGCGGAATCCGTGAGAAGCAGGCTGGGGAAAGGAACCGCCTCCGGGCCGCCTCTGAACCCTGTCTCTGTGCTGCCTCTGGTCCTGTGTGCTTCCTCGGATATGCCAAGACCTCCTTTGCTCGGTGTCCAATCGTCGTGGTGGCGACCAACAATGACAGGAACATCTTCTGCTTTGACTGACTCCATATCACCGAAATAGCTACTGCCGATAGAATCCTCGCGACTAGACCCTCTATATGAGCTAGAGGGAACATGAGCAAAGCCAGAAGATGCCGTCGAACTTGGGCTATGCTCGGCCTGACTCGAAGGCTGGCGGAGCACAACTGGCGCCGGCATTGACAGAGGATTGTAATCCTTCGGAGGCGGCTTCCATTGACAAAACTTGCACATCGCCTCGGTCAATTTCGTGAGAGTAGGGGGTTTCTGGATTAGCGAGTCGAAGTGGTGTGTTTCTGGCAGATCTTTAAGATAACCTGTGACTGCAATGATAGGGGTGTGCCGATTTGGACTGCGCGTTTCGCGTACCATGCGCGCAACATCTGCACCATTAACTTGCGGTAATTTGAACTCCGTCATGATGATATCGAATTGAATATCACTCAAAGCATAACGCATAGCCTCTGCGCCATTGACAGCGGTTATGGTGCGACATCGAAGCTTTTCGAAAAGGCGTTCCATGACCAGCCTCGAAACTGGATGATCCTCACAGATAAGAACGTTCAAGGGTCGGAAAAAGGGCCCTTCCGGAAGGTTGAACTGGGAGAGCCGCCTGGAGCTCTGGCGACGCCGTTGAACCTTGAGTAAGGCTTTGGTGCGGGGATCTTCGTTGTCCGAGGAGGAAGGAGATACGTCGAATAATTGACTACGACGTTTGTGGTGAGTTCCCACAAAGGTCTCCTTTGCCAACGACGATGAGAGATCGCCGTCTTGTGAGCCAATAGTCTGCGACCTTGTCCGCGATGCCGGAGCACTGCCGTGACGCTGTCCTGAAGGAGTCTTGTCAGGAGAGTTCCCTGCGGCCCTGGTAGTCTTGACTGGTGATGATGCAGTCGACCCAAATTTGAGACTTGTCATGCGATTTGGATCTGCTGTTGTTGCTTGCAGGGAGCCGGTAGATTGAGAAGACGACGATCCTGAAGTTTTCCTGCGCTCGTGGTTATGACCGGTGCTGAATTGAACAAGCAATGGCGACGAAGGTTGGGATGGACGACTGGGCGACGAGTTGGCCTGACTCATGGCTGAGGGAGATGAGGGTCTGTTGTTGCCCTTAGTCTGAGATAAAGTCCGCTGCAGCGACATTGGCAGGGGACTTCCCTCTAAGGAGGGCTGGGGTACGGGCGCAGCGGGCTCTTGTCCTTGAGGCTGCGTAGGCTGAGAACCACCGGACGTAGAATGGCGTTGCTGTGCCTGCATCGCCTCCTGGCGCAATTTTTGAATCACATCTTTGTTGGCTTTTTCGAGCATGGGGAGGTTCTTGAACGAAAAATTGCCAAAGTCGTCCGCAGGGGCCGGCTCGCTCAACCTCCTACTTCGCGATTCTCGCACATGAGGCGGAATGTGCAGTGGCATCAAAGGTCGTTTCATCGCATTAACTTGAGAGCGTACCTTGAACAATGCATCATGAGGCCGATCCTGAGGGTATGCCCCGGCAGTTAGCGGCTGCGGTGGCGGCGTTCCATCTTCGAGTTCCTCGGTAAAGGCCTGAAGTGTAGCACCCCGAGCATCGAAATATTCCGTGTCCTCGGGGTTTTCTATATTTGGCACAAACTGGGCTTTGTCTTCAAGCAGAGTGGCCCAGTTGATATCGGAAAACCATGGATGGCTACGAATTTCGGCTCCTCCATTTGGAAATTTCTCCTCGACGTTGGCACCAATACGCTCTCGAGGGTTGATGGTCATGAGCTTGTTCATCAAATCAATCGCTTCAGGCGAGGCTAATTCATCGGCTTCCTCGGGCCAGTTAATCCTGCGGTGGAGTATGTTATCGAAGACCTCATCTGGAGTTGACGCATTGAACGGCGGATATCCAAACAAGAACTCAAACATTATGCATCCCACGGACCACCAGTCACTCATCTCATCTTGACCTACGCCATTGATAGTCTCCGGAGCCAAGTAATCCGGGGTACCAACAAAGCGCCGATTATGATCTTCGGGGTCGAAGAGGGCCATCAGTGGGGGCATCATCGACTGTTGTGGTGGAGTGCTATATGAGAATGAGTTGCTTAGCGTCGGCTGAAGAGGAAACAAATGAGGGGATTCTCCCGCCTCGATCTGGCTTTCTTCCTCAGGCATGTGGTTGGTTGTAGGAACGGGGACAGGCATTGAGCCCTGGGCTTCGCCACCCTCATGAAGAGACATTGTCCTGAAGATGGCATTAAGACTCTCGCTAGCTCCGCTATCACTCCGATACCCTGACGCTCGGCGCGATGTCTGTCGGCTGAGGCCGTTCTGATTGAGGTTGAAATAAGACGGTTGGGGCATACTGCCCGCCGCATCAGGCGTAATCAGAGGAGTCGAGCACGGCGATCCGCCGCCCTGGAAATCGAAGGAAGCTGATCGCGAAGATGCAATTGACGTAGTTCGAGGAAGTGATCCTTGCTTGAGTAGATCGGGCGCCGGCTCATGATTCATGCTCTTCAGAACACGCTTTTGACGCCCAACGAGACCCATGCGGGACAGGCCGAAGTCGGTCAGCTTGAGATGACCTGTCTGATCGATTAGGAGATTGTCGGGCTTGAGATCACGATGCACAATGCCCCTGCCGTGGAGATGTTCCACGCCGAGGACTACTTCAGCAATGTATTTTTTCGCCCAATCCTCAGGCAGTCCGCCAAGCACTTTGACAAGCGAAGCACAGTCGCCCCCGTTGAGATACTCCATTACCAGATAGAGATAGTCTTTACTGGAAAATGTCCAGTAGAGCTTAGCAACAAAATCGCTCTCCCCCTGCCACATCATAATCGCACGTTCCGCCTTGACATTGGTTACTTGATTCTTTGCAACCATATCCGCCTTCTTCAACACTTTGATAGCGAAATATTCTCCTGTTGCCTTCTTTTTTGACAAGTAAACACTGCCAAACGCACCTTTACTAATAGGCTTGATGATCTCAAAATCTTTGATCGACAGGGGAGCTGGTCGTGGCTGGGGCTGGCTGACGGAGGACAGATGGGGCGATACGGGCGGTTTAGCAACATCGGACGACGTTGCCGACGATTGACGACGATGGTGACGATAATGGAGCTGAGCCAACTCGTTTGCATTGGCCGAGGGAGACACTATAGGCGATGGTAGGCTGTCAGCACCACTGGAGAGACGAGCTCGAGGCATTCGCAGCGGCGAATGAGGACCCGAGATCCTCGCAGGTGAGTGTTGCCGTCGGGGAGAACTGGACAGCCCAGGGAGTACTAGGCTGCGACGTTTTCTATCTAGACTCCGATCCGAAGAAGGCGAATCTGTTCGTAAGGCACCGGGAAAGATGGAGGGGATACTGCTATCACTATTTTCACCCGCATCGATTTCAAGCAGCGACAATCCCCGCCGTGAGGGCTGTGATGTCCCTAACACACCAGCAATGCTTTTATGTGAACGTGGCGTAGGACATTCCATGGGGCTATTCGATCCTGTGGACACGGCGACCGAGGATTTGCCTTCCGACTGCGATGACTGGAAACGATCTGGCGAATTGCGCATGGACATGGTGAGAGCAGACGTTGAACCTGGCACTGTCGCTTCCCGCTTTGCGTACAGAATGGGGCTAGCTGCAGTGACTACAGGATCGGATTCCTGCGGCGAGTCATCGTCAGACGCGCTAGAGTCGCTGAGCTGACCAGCGGCAATGCGCTCGGCTTTGCTGAGTGCTGCGGTAATACACTCTTCTACCAAGATTGTGTACTCGATGCGAATACGCTCTGCGTATTCCACTATTCTCCTATGGCGGACAACCGCGTCTACCTTCGCCCTCGCGACCTGCTCCGTGTCCATGCATAGGGCAGCTAGACCCTGTTCCTGCTCGAGAGTATTTGAACTAGGTGACTGCCATTGGATAACTTGTGAGATGCGCGATTCTGATTGCGGAGACAAGGTTCGAAAGTCGTCACTACTATCAGCTCGAGAAGACTCCCTGATCATGGGCATGTTGATTTCCAAGGCTGTATCGCATAGATCCAGAATAAGCTCAACAATTCGGGCTAGCGGACGTCGCACTGCAAAAGATCGTGCCCTGGCGTGTCCAAGTCCCGAGGCCGAATGGTCTCTCGACCTAGGTGGCGTACCAGGGGCGGAATTTGCACTAGAAGCAGAGCCAGATGAGGGAGCCGAGGCAGTCGGAGACGGCCCAATGGGCAGTCCTTTGTACTCCGGCTGAATTGGTGGAGGTGGAGGGCTTTCCCCAAGAACTAAAGGCCTGCCTTGTCTTGCCTCCAGCGCATCGAGCACTCGGACAATCGCATGGCGATGCTCATTCAGGTTTTCCTGGGCGATCTGAACATCCATTTCGGCACGATGTTCCTGAAGACAGAGATCTGAATGCTTCTCAAACCACCACGGGGTGATCTGACGCTCACAGATGCGACACAATACCGGGCTGGGAGCCGGATGCTTGGAGGGATCCGGTTCACTCGCGGCAGCCTCCGCCAAGGTGGTCAAATAGTTTGCTAACACTTCCGCGCCAACACCAAGGGACTCGACCAACAAGGGAGGGAGGTCGATTGTCACTTCTCTGGGTTCTGTAAACGGTCGCAACATCCACATCGTCTGTATTTCCATCGGTCAGTGCCTTTTTCAGCTGTCAGACATATTTGGAGGAAACCTACATGGCCTGCCCCATCGGACGTACGGTCAAAGACCATGATTCCTTGTCCTTCCATGTGGAGAATATCCTGGCGGTTTTCTTTCAGCTCAGGGGCCTCTTCCCGATCCTCCGAGCCTTGAGAAGCCTCCCCCGTTTCTTCCGTGATCGACTGCGCTGCAACTGGCGGCTCCGGCGAGTATTTCAGGACCGAGTCGGGTCCCAACTGCACGGCGAATCGAATGAAGCGGCTGTACGAATCGTCCTCCTTCATGCTCTCTATTGTATCCTGAAAGACATTTTTGTTGCCGACCAACAAGTCGGAAATCATCCGTCCTTCTATTGACTCCGGGGGCGTTCCCACGACCTGTGTCCATGACGGACTGACCCATTTGACACGGCCATCGAGACCAAGGTCAACAATGACGTTGAGGGTCTGTTCGGCCGCCTCCTTCAACACCTCCCGTTCTTCCCGCATGTCGTCCAGACTTGGAGAGCGAGAGGGAGAGAATCTCGAGTCGATGGCTCGGGCCTCCTGCCGCAACGCTGCCACGGCGGGGGGCGCGAGGTACTGAACATCTTCGGAGCCATTGCCCGCCATGCTGGACAGGCAATGTCGGGACGGGCGATCGGGGAGTTCCGCGGGGTGAAACGGGCGACTAGACGAGGGGTGCAGTATGCGAATAGTAGTCGAAAATCAAGTTTAAACAGTGAGCAGCTCCGAGCCGGACCGTCTGCCGGGCAGAGCGGGTGCCCTTGGTTGTGAGTTATGGATTCATCCGCAGCATTAACTGGCCATGGCTCGATAGCGGGGGACGCGGATGACAAGTGCAAACGACGCGGAGGACAGGCCGGTGGGTAATTCCGACCTCGCAACTGATATGTCGTTTGAATACGAGATGAGTTTCAAGAGCAAAAAAGAGAGGAAGGTAAGTTCCTGAGGATCACGTAAGGACGAGAAAGCGAGAAAAAGAGGGAGACCAAGAAAGAATAGCGGCTATGCGGGGGAATGGCGCGACGGAGCGTCAACGCGAAGCCAGGGCGATTGACAGTGTCAACCCCCCGAACGAGGTCGACAAGAGGAAGCGTAGGCACAAAATTGGCAAGGGGATCTCAAGATATTTGAGAGCCGAGCTGAAAGCCACATGAACTGAATATACTTGAAGTCACAAGAAAATAGGAGACTGGAGGAGGGGGTGTGTGGGTTGGTTGGTCGGAAACACCACAGGATTTAAGAAAAGGAAAGGAAGGGCACCAGAGGGAGCAGCGAGCAGCAAGCAGCAAGAGCCGAAACAGACAGTCAGTGAGAGGGACAGAGAGAGAGACGACTCATGGACTCGAGACTCTCAAAGAGACAAGACTGACAGACTGACAGACTGAGACTGAGAGAAAGATGGCTGGTAACAAAAATGGTTACGAACTAGTACAGGAGGACCCGGTGGTGGAGTGGGCAGCGGGCCTGCAATAGGTGAGAAAGCTGGTATGGTATCGTCATAGTCTAGTTGTTGTCCTCCAGTTGTCGAAGAGCCGGCAGGAAAAGCAAGAGCGGAACGGAAATCTTACCAAAACCACCCCAATACCCAATGCAATACCCACTCACCACTTCTTCAGCTTATCGGAGCCCGAAACTGCAAATTAATTGACTTTCTTAACTCAGGTTATCTTCTCAACAGAACACAGTCTAGCCTCTACAATTGTCCACCAGATTGCAAAGGCCATCTTCTTTCCTCCTCAAGATATACTCCATTCTACTCATCACAAAACTGAAACTGGACGGACGTCAGTCTGGCTGTGACGGTGACGGTAACGGTGACGGTCCGGTTCGGTCGATAGCATGATTTACTTGCTTACACTCATTGAAATCAACTGATCCACTTGCTGCTAATCGTCAAAGGCTCCGGTCGATCGTCCACACCACGCCTCTCGACTTAGACCAGAACAGCTAGCGTTGGCTACCTTTTTTTTTTTCCTTTCGTCTCCATCGCTGGCCAGCATTGAGTGGTTCCAGCTTGTTATGCTGTGTTGCGTTGACTACTATATGAGGGTTTGATGGACAGGCCCGTTTGCCCTCCTCATCTTCCGGCAACTGCCCTGTTCATGAATGGCTGCGACTGGCCTCTTAATTTACGAAACTAATCAGCTTACCTAGCAGCAGCGAGCTACCTCACCAGGGAAAAGAAAAACATGTATGAGATTATGTACAGTTAGCGATCATAGTGCACGGGCTCGGATAGCGTCAGTCGGTTCATCATTCATAATCTTGGCTCTTTATCGTCGACTGACCCCAACAGTCAGCCATTCGTGGGACCCTCCCAGGTCTTGCTGTTCGAGAAGCAATCCTAATTAATTAATCCTAGTTCAACGCTCGCTCTGCGATTCGACTTCCACCCCTCCGACACACGGCTCGTTTCCTAGGATGCCATTATTTATCATCCTTGAGCGAGACTTGCCATCAACATCACACCGTCATCATCGGCCAGGAACCAGCGATATTCCCCCTCTTCTTGTTCCCCTTCATCACTCCTCCCTGCCGCTGCATCACCGCGCAGAATGCAGAAGTGTCCTCGTACTTACGTCGCTCAGCTGGGTGGTTCCCTGGTCTCGCATTCCGCCTAACGGTACAGACGACACCCTCCGCAGCCAAGAAGCGCCACTCCAGACCCCGTCTCAACGGTCGGGCCATTTCCAGTTCATCGCTATGCAATAAGTTTCAGTTTTCTGGAAGTTCTGTACAACCTAAAACTTTGTGCTTTTTGGCTCAGCTCTCGCGACGGACATGGAATGTTGGTGAGGGAAATGGGGGGAGGAGGGCACGACGGTGGTCCAATGATGAGAGGAATCCCTCCACGGCCTACATTTTACCTCGTCCTCAACGGTGTACGTGTGTTTCCTTCACCAGAGCCAATCATAAGAATCGCCCGGGAATTGTCAGGACGTCACCGCCCGACCGAAACGATCTTTGATGGGGCCCGGTCCATGGGAACAACGAAGGGAAAGTGAGTTTCATCTACACCCTCCGTACCAGGGATCGCTCTTCGCCGGATCCAGCGGGCGATCTGCTCACTTGACTTCACATTTGCCCCGTCCCATACATCATTGCATCCGGGACAGGGGATCTGCTTTCTGGGGAAGTCGACTCAAAAAGTTGGCCCACGACGTGGTGTGCTTGATACTAATTGGGGAAGGAAGCCCGTTGGTAAGCGAGGCTTAGGTCGACTGCAGTACAAGCAGTATGCAAGTGGCACGCATTTCGGCCGGGGGTTGGCTATTGGCCGGCGACAGATCAGACTGTAGAACCAGGCGGAGACTATGTTAGTACACGGCAGGTAGGTCGGCATCTACGGAGTACACCTTGGAGCGTTCATCTTTCGAACAGTCGTTTGGTCTTTTGAGGTAAAAACGGATGGGTTCTTTCGTGCAGGAAAGGTATTGGATGGTGGAGGCGGCCTAACTACTAACTATATCACCACGCAATGGGCGCAAAAGGCATATATCTTTCTGACCCTGTCGCAATCCACTGCGACAAACCCACGAAAGCGAGACTCGCCAGATCATGAAACAAGCAACCTCGCTTTCCATATCGGGAGAAAGACGACTGCATTTTTCGCCTCAATGTCTTATCAGGGAAGCAAGGCTCAGGTTTGATGGAATCTGCGGGGTAGAAAAGGTGGGGAGGCGCCCAAAGCTGATTTGATTGATCGATCGATTGATTGCTTGGTTGATTGAACGGGGGCTGGACGGCAAAGAAGAGAGAAAATAGGTGAGCATGGCCGCAAACGACTCGGACCTTCTCGACACTACTTTTTTCCGTGGACATCTCCTGTGTGTCTGCTTCTTCCCTCCTCGCTGGCCGCCGCCTCCGACCGCGCATACTTCTTACCTATCAGAGCAAGCCATGATCAGTCTTCCTTGACACTTCCAATCTCGGCCATGTTATTTGATAGGTTAGACAAAGCTCGATCATAATGATGACAATGGGAGTTCATGATTGGGGGTTGGACTGGGCTGTCTCACATCACTCTCCCAGATCTGGGGAGCATACTGCACCCCCATGTGCAGGCGAGTTTGGCGCACAACAAGCAACCCCTGCCTCATCATCAACCTAGGACTCTTTTTGCCATCATCTTTATGATCGCTTCCAGCTCATACCTCGCGGATATTATGATTTCATCCTCTGACTAGCGGGCCGATTTGCTGGAATCCTGAGATAGGCCTCTTAATTTCTGCGGGTTGAGTCAATTCACACATGTTCCCACTGAATTCTCCACCTCTGAGACAAGGAACGCCTGTCAATCGTTACCCAAGATAGATCCCATGAGAGGAACCAGCGCGCGATAAAAATATGAATATCAAGAAAAATGATGATCTCTCTACCTAACCTCTGATTTGCGGGGAGGTGACCATTCATCCAACCTTAGATACTGCCTACATGCTGCACAGGGGGGAAGAGGCATGCACCGTCTGCCTCTGGCTACGTCTTAGAAACAATACCCTCACATCTCCTCCTTTCTCACCCACATAACCCTCGCATCGCAGCAAGGTAATCGAATTTTTCCGCTCACAGGCAAAGAAGAAAAAAGCACCCCCAAGAACCGTGAAATATCTCCCGACGAGCCGTACGAGCACGAGATCATCTGACAGGGGGGAGGAAGGCGAAAGCAAACCTTAACAGGGCCACGAACAATAAACATGAAAGGATAATTAGAGTTTTCTACAAGTTTAGTACTACATACTTCGTACTTTCTTCCACCCCACCACTACACCTTTTCTCCCCCCGTGCGACAATTCCCAGAGAATAGTGTATGCACGGAGTACACTCATACCAAATTCCCTTCCCAATCCATAACATACTGAGTGACTAGATGGCCGCGTTGCTCAGCAACTAACCACCAAAGAGAATGTCCCCACCAGTCAAAACACACCCACACACACCTACCATCAAAGCAAAGGCGCAAAGGGGACATCTGAGCCTAAATCTACCTAACCAGGACAACAATCGAATGCCAAACCCATGGGAAGAAAGCAACAACCACCCCGAGTCAATTCCATCCGAACTAAAAGTAAAGCTTGAACAAGAGGAGACAAAAGCAAAAAAGAAACTTTGGATTTCCATTGATGGCATTCAACCACCCATTTCATCACTTGTATAGAAACGTGTAAAGATGACAGAAGGTCAAGCTTGCTAGTCAACTATCATTATCAACCTACTTCAATCTGCATAGAGAAGTTCACGGTCACATTTGCATGGGCTTTATATACACCTCACCCAGCCAGCCTACCTTCCCATCAAACAAACCCCATAGAACCGAAGGATGTATACAATTGCATCCAAAATAGGTGACAACCACCTCAACTCAATTCAATTCAATTCAATCCAAACCAGACCATCCCACCACCTAAACCAAGGACCACCGCCAAAAAGACAATCAGATTACAGAGTACTGTTGACCAAGAAACCACCTACAATCCCCTGCAGTGGCCGAACACAATCCCCAAATAACTAGAATACTCGTAAATCCATCCAGAAAACCGGTCACACAGAAATACCACCACGAGTCGAACCATCCGCATATACATACATAGCTCGTCCCTCACTTGTACCCTTCAAGCGAGAAATTCCAGGCCTAGAACAATTCTCTTCGAATTTGTTAGGACCCGTGCTCTTGCGTGCCCGTGCACGCACGCCATAGTCTCAACACACGCAGACCCCTGTCCCAAACCAGCCGTCGTCATACTAACGGGAAATGTGATCTTTGGGATTCTAGATTTCTAAGGTATTCATGAGGTTTTTGGGAAAAAAAGGAAGGGAGGAAGAACGGGCGAGATGGTGGTTTTGCGCGACTTATCGTCGCATCGCATTAATTTGTTGACTACAGTATTCGAGTCTTCTTTCTTTCGTTCTTTTTCTAGCGCTCCTTCGCTTCCTTCCCAGAGCTTCCATGCAATGGAAAAAAAAAGAAGGGAAAGAAGGTAGATTCTTTGCTTGAAATGTCCTCGTTTGTAGTTAGGCAAAGCAACTGAACCAGGTACAGTACGGTACCTTAGGAGAATAAGATTCCATGGCATGTCAGGAATGATTGAACTGTATTTTAGCCTTCCAACTCACACCATCGCAAGATCACATGTCAGACACGCGTCATGAAAGCGAAAAGCTCGTGGGCTACAACTCCAACTAATCATGGTAATATAGGACCGTACGCTAAGCCTCCGAGGTCTAGTATCGCCAGGGATAGCAACCGAAGATTACTGGTTGGGAATATTAAGCATGGATGAGATGATAAGCCGTCTTTGGAGGAGCCTACTTTTCCCCCTTCTATTGCTAAAAACAAAGGCTGATATCCCGCTATTTTCTTCCCTCCCTGCTATTTTAGTAAGCCGTACTATATGCTGGTAAATCCTTAGACAACAGGGAACTAACTGCACACTACTTGCCCTCCCAACCTTATTGATGAGGGATCAGCATTTACTAGGATTTCCAGTACCGGACAACGACCCCAATTCTCACTTAACGAGAACCGCCTATGATATCAGCTGCTATCTTCTCCGCCAGCATATCTGGGGAAACAGATCATATCAGTAACGTCCAACCAAGAACTCACGAAAGTGACCGGCCGTATATGGGAAGAAGCCACAAAGAAATAAACATACAGACGACCGATTGAGGATGCCCCGGAGGTAGAAGCGGAAACGCACTGGCGTCAACCACCCTCAGTCCTTTCACTCCAAACACTCTCGCCCGATTGTCCACGACAGCCATTGGATCATTGCGGGTTCCCATCTTGCATGTGCAGGCAGCATGGTAGATGGTCATGACGGTATCGCGAATGACTTCGAGGAGCTGCTCGTTGGTTTGGAACTGGCTGCCGGGGAAGTATTCGTCGCCTTCGGCTATAGGATCTATGGCCTGAAACGCCTCGCGAATTCGTTTATATATGGCAATAGAGACTTGCGCGTCCGACTCCGTCGCAAGCCAGTTCGGGTTGATGATGGGCAGGTCCTCTGTATCATCGGAGGTGATGGTGATGCTTCCGCGAGATGTGGGTGCGACTAGTACGCCTAGAATAGTCGCATATTGTGCGCCGTCTGTGGGTTGACTGAAAAAAAGGGTCGGCATAGTCGCCGATATAAAGGGCTGCGGTGATATACTGTTGTTCGACCTTGTGTTGAGTAAGAGGCTAGGAAGATCGTGGGGAACCGAAGGCGCACCTCTGCTTCTGGCCAAGTGAGAGGGAACCACGATAGATTCCTGTTCGTCTCTTCGGAGAAGCCTCCGCGTAGATACTCTGGGATATTCTCAAAAGCCAGGTAATCCGCGCCTGGATTCGTCATCAAGCCCTGTCGCCCAGTAGTCCATTCAACGACCTGTTGGGCGAGAAAAGCAGGATCAGTAGCAACCCTAGTTAAAGTCTGCATAGCAACTCGATATGAGGGCCCGAACATGACATGATCCCACATGTTCTGTCCGACACCGGGAAGGTTGGCAATCTTTTGTATGTTATGCTCGCTCAACGCATCTGTTGGCCCAATCCCTGATACCATGAGAAGCTGCGGGCTATGAAAAACACCCGCAGAGACGATAACCTCGCGCTTGGCGTGCAGAGTGTAAGTTGATGTCGAGTTCTCAGTCCGCACCTCCACCCCAGTCGCTCTCTTCTTGGAGTCGAAGAGGATTTTCTTCGCCATTGTGGTCCTATATAGTTTCATCGTAGATATACGATCGCCATTCTGCCCGAAGGCGGCCCAAGAGCTACTCCGAATCCTTTCAGATGGATGTATGGTCAAACTGCAGTACTGAGAGCCTAATAACGTGCCACTATTGAAGTCTTGGGCCTCGTCGATTCCAATATTATGCAATCCACTCTCCATCCAACTGGAAAATGCGATACTGTCCACGGGATATGACACCTGCAGCGGTTCGCCCTCGGCGAATGCAGCCGGGTTAGAACTTGCCGAGGCATTTGAAGGACGCTGCTCGTTCTCGGGGGGCGTGAAAGCGGCCGTGCGCTGAAAAAATGGCAGAACGCGATCAAAGGTATAACTGCTGTCCTGGACTAGCTCTGCCCAGCGTGCCATTGTCCCAGTATCGGGTCTAGTTCGAACCGATTATCAGTATGGGGGCAGGAAGTATGGTCGGGTAGCGCAGACCGAGTGTATATCATCAAGTTGCTTGCCGAGCTAGATAGAGCGGATCAGTATCGTCTTCGAGAGCTCCGTTGCTGAAGGACATACGATCCCCCAACGCATTTGCCTCTGGGATAATGTATATCACGATGGTTGGCCCCTGGAATATCTCTTGCAACGAATTTCCAGTCAATCGGCGTCGCCGTTTCCACATTCGCCCCAGTTCCAATGACGGCCACGCCAGGCATCTGCGCCAGAGGATAGGCTGATGTGTAGAAGTCTCCCGCTTCAATGAGGGCCACGCTGAACCCATGTTCAGCCAAGCGAGCTGCCACAGTCACCCCTGCAGTGCCGCCGCCGGCGACGACATAGTCGAAGACGGCATCAATTCCATGGGCGCCTTCTACTGCACGGCGCAGTTTCTCTGCGAAGCCAAAGACCTCTGCAGCTGCAAGCAAGAGACAGAGAATGAAAGTTCTCGACAGCACCATGCTGGAGGAGTTGGCGTTGGGTGGCCTCAAGGAGTCCGCAGGTGGTGGTTGAAGTTGGGACTGAATTAGCAACGACTGTCACGGCAGGGACACTTGGTGTGAACCACGGGTTTATACACGGCTGGAAGAATATAAATTTCAGGCAAGAGCACTCCAGTGAGTTGGCGCTCGTCCTACACGAGGAAACTTCTTGTATTCGAGAAGAGAATTGGCACGTTGTATAGATCGCGGGGAATTAAGGCCAGGCAGTGACACAATCAGAAAGACGCAATCAGTACGGTGAGTTTTTGTCGGAGATCATGACCCTCTGCTGTTGCCTGTACCTGACTTCTATATGCCATTTCTCAATGCCTGTTTTGTGAAGATGTTGAAAGTTGGAGGTCGCTGCACAACAGACTCAATTGAACAAACGTAGTGAATGACCTGTTTTCAACGATGGCGGTCAGTCATTCCCAGTCGCTCCAATGGCATCACTTACAAGACATCCTCTTCATCATCGCCATCGTCCTCCACATTCACATCCAATATCTCCTTCCTTATCCCCTTTCCCATACCCCTCCCCATACCCTCTCCCCATACCCTCTCCCCATACCCCTCCTCATACCCCTGCTCGTACCCCTGCTCGTACCCCTGCTCGTACCCCTGCTCATACCCCTCCTCATCCTCCTCCTCCTCCTCATCCTCCGCATCCTCCTCCTTATCTTGGTCGCCATCACCACCACCTCTCTACCTCTGAGTCCACCCAGCCATCTCCTCCCAGCCCAACGATCCCAAGCCCGCAAACCACCAATCACAGCCCAAACCCTCGCCGATCCATCCGAAATGACAACCTCCACATTCTGGCACGCCTTCCCAGACTTCCAGCCCAACCCAGCCGCCCGGATCACCGAAGAATTCAAGCGCCTAGCCGCACATCGAGGATGGAAATCCGGCTCACGAACCTGGCGCAAGCGCTGGAACGCCTTCACCAACATCGAATACGACCGGATCATCGGCAGCAGCCTTACATCTCTGGGAAGCTGGAACGAGCTTTGTGCGATGCTGAGCCTGCCAGGACCGTTCCCTTCCATCACACAATGCAAGAAGGTATAGTTGAAGTGATGTGCCCCAACCGACACCATGAGAGAAATTCACCAAGAAAACTGCGTTGAGTGGAGGAGATAAGCAGAATAGACTGACGATGTATTGACCCACTTTAGGCGCTGTCGAAGGTATATGTCAATCTGGTGGATGTGGTCGAGTGTCGAGCCTTGGGTATTAAGCCGAAGCGGTTCAAGAGCGTGGCGCAGCTGGCATCGTACACCAGGAAAACAGGGAAATTCTTCAATCGGGACCTGGCGAAGCAGGATATGTTGCTCAGGGTTTTGTTGAGGAAGTTGCTGTAGATGTTCATATGTCGTGGGGTTTGTGCTGGGGTCGGTTTTCTGGGGAAGGGATGGTTGATGTGGGTTTGTGTTGAAGAGATTGGAATGTGAGAGCCGGGCTCGCGGTCAATGATTCGTCTTCGAAGGTGTGGGGTTTGTGGATCTAAAAGACTCTGTAAGATAAAGATAGGCATATTCTCATGAAAAACTTTAAGAATTGATCAGTAAAGGTTTTCGTTTCTCGTCGTAGAGTCTGGCCGGGCAAGATCGAGATCTTTGCAAAAGAGACCAGCCTGCTATTCATGCATTAATATTATAGACAGGGCGAAATTCACATCAAGCCATCTGGAAGAGAAATCAACTTATATTACATAGACTCCATGCCTCTTTCCCTCGACTCGTCCGCGCGATTACAACGCCTTCTTCTGCCCCTCCAGCCGCTCCCGCTCGACCACATATCCGACTGCACGAGCAAGACCCTCGTCAACTGGGACGATGGGCCGGTATCCCAGGCGGAACTTAGCCTTGTCACACGAGTAGTAGCGGGTCATGCACGAATACCGCACCATACGTCTGGTCAAGCGAGGGGTCTTTCCGAAAAGGCCGAGCACGGTCTCTGCAAGCGAGCCGATGGGTCCGAGAGCACTCTCGGGGAGCTCCCACACCTGCTCAGGCTCAACCACCTTGCCAGTGAGCGCCCAGGCAGCATGGGTCATGTCCCAGAAATAGACCGGCGAGTCATTGGTGATGTTGAACGCTTCGCCGTCAACCTTCTCATGGTCTAGGGGTCCACCCTGTCCACCCTCGTAGCGCGCGTAGGTCGCGAGTAACCGATACGCGGCGAGCGTGTGCGAGTAGGCGACGTTCCCGACGTAGGTGAAGTCGAACAGGTTGTTGTTGTCTCCCAACTGCATGCGGAGGACGGTCGGGGAAGCCTTAGCGGCATGTTCCAGGATCTTAAATGTGAATGTTGTGTCCTTCTCGCCGTAGATACCAGCGGGGCGAACGGCGCAGGTGACCATTCCGGAAGGCGAGGCACGGTTGTACTTCAGGGCGAGTTCTTCGGCATCCGCCTACACGTAACGAAGATCTGGTTAGCGATCGACCGGCCGGTAAGGAAAAAGGGGACAGTGTTCAAAGAGCCTCCGTACCTTGGTCTCAGAGTAGTACTCCTGTTGCAATGGTCCCCGGATAAGAGGCCATTCTTCAGTCACGTTGATCAGGTCACTCTGCGTATCGTGAACCACAGAACTCGAGCTCGTGTAAACAAATGCCTTGCACTTTCCACCCCAATCGCCACGTTCTCCGCTCGCGACCTCGAGCAGTGTTTTGGTTCCGTCCACATTTACCTTGCGCAGCAATGGCTTGTTTCCTTCCAACACGTTCGGGGTGGCGGTGTGGATAACGACGTCCGGCTTGACAGCACGGAAGACGGACAACATGGACTCCGCAGAGGTAATATCTCCATCGTAGTACTCGGCGCCCGGTAGACGATTATTGGTGGTCCGGAGGTCGACAACGGAGACCTTTGCTATGCATCGAGGATACCGATCAGCGAGCTTGGGATAGTCAAATCTGGCATCGCCCTGCGGCTTGGGCAGTGCGACACTGGGGTCGGACTCCGAGGGAAAATTAAGCAATTGGTCAACAATGTGCCAGCCTAGGAAACCACATCCTCCAACCACTAGGACATTGCCCAATTCGAGAGTAGGCCGCTTGGTAGACATGATGCGGTGGTTGTCTGTGCACAGCCGTACGGAGGATGATGTGGAGATGGGAGGAAAGGAGGGCGAGGCCGCGAGAGAGACGGAGCGATCGATTTGGGGGGCGGCGTGATTGGATTCTGCCTCCAGAATCTCCGGATCAAAGCTCGGGCCCCCCCGCACAAAAAGTCGCACGTGAACTACGGAGTAGTTGCCCGACAGTATAAATAAGCTGGTCATGATATGATATGATAGCTAGGTCTGCCATTGATCTCATCTCAATCTTAAAGTATGGCCAGCTCGGCTACCAAGCATAAAAATAAAAGTAAAAAGGCAACTGACTGATCGCAATGACTCCGGTTACACTGCGAAGCAAATTCTTTCCAACCCGCCTTTTTCGGGGTTCTGCGCCATAACTACTCCGAGTTTACTGATATGGCAATGCAAATGCCCATCCCATTCATAATACATCCCCTTTCCCATCCTTCTCGAGTGTGTGCTAGGACTGAAGCGCGGAGGAAATGCAGAGGAACAGAAGATTCTAGACAGACATTCCAAAGCCAGACAAAATGGCCTTAGTATGAGTATGATCTAGCCAGTGTTCTGTTTCTTTCTTGTCCGTCTGAGAGTCGTTGAAGCCGGACCAATATCGTCAATGGCCATGGGGCTAATCCAAAGTTCTCTCAACTGAGCGTCTCAAAGCTCGATTGTATCTCTTTCGATCATCGGGCGTACCCCAGAACAACCGAGAGGCTTCGGGGTTCACGGTAGTTCGTGGATCATAAGGTGGGTGCTCTTCCTCAAGAGCCGCCACGATCCCTTCGATGTGATATCGCATTTCCTCTGACCGTCGTGGAATATAGCACAAGACGCCAATCTCAGATACACGGACATGGTAGAAGATCGTTCTCATAAATACCCGGGGTTGTTCTTCTGGAAACCTTGGGCTCAAGCGTAAGTCAATCTCAAACACACCACCGTCCAGATGCGTCATGGGCCTGCCAAAGTAGGTGAGCCTCCACAGGAAGGGGTTATCGTCAACCAGGTTCAGATCAATTGTAAAATTCTTCTGGCTCTTGATGCTCTCCACGATTTGTTCGAATTGGCGCTGCAGGCTCACGGCGATGCCCCACTCCTGCTCCTTAGCCACCAGCCCTTCGGCAGCCCAGCCGAGGCTTTCCTCGACGATCATATCTTTGATAGCCACCAAGCGCTGCTTCAATTCCTTATAGTCAAAGTGGCCTTCCATAGCATTGCCACCACCTTCGAAGGGCATCCTTTTGAATTTATGTTTGCCTGGATGTTCCAGCATTGCAGCATCAATTGATTGCAAGTAGGAACCAAAATACCACATGAAACGTCTCTTGCGGAGGTCGGCGAAATGGTCGGCGCATGGCTTGTCTTCTTCGAGAAGCTGCCGTTCCTCGTTGTCACTGAGCGACGTATTCGCGTCGTTTGTGGGAATAATCCCCAAGGCAGCTTCCAGCGGCTCGATCACCGCAAGTCGAAGGGTCTCGTGGCGAATCTTGAATCTGATTAGATCTCTACTGCAGCAATGTGCGGGACGAAATCAGTTACCTTCGCAATATACTGTTCCATATTCTTCTTATCATCCTCTGAATTTGCGCCTTCATAACCAGGTTCGTTCTCGTAAGGGTTGGAGGACATCAAGCTTTGAATCGATATTAGAATAGACTCGAGGCCCTGTGCAGACGACCATTGCTCTCCGCTTTCTCCGCGCCACGTTCTGCCAAGTCATTACCAATCAAGCTTTAATCTCAGGGAATGTCGGGGAGTTGTTACCCAAGGATCGACCTAGGTTAGTGCATTAGCTGTGAAATCCCCGTGCAGCCTCCAGAGGGAACATACAAGCAAACCTTGCCGGTGGCATAGATATTGGGATTAAATCGAGTTCGTCCACAATTCGTCGTCAATGCGCGAACATTAGGGGGATTGGTCGGGTAGTCTGCGAGGTGTCAAAATGAAAGAATCTTTCTCAGGGGCAAGCTTCCTGACCTCTTCCAAATTTGATTGAGAACTAGACGGTTGGCAGATGATCAGTATCGAGAGAGTTCTTCCAGGACAACGTGGGTAAGCAAAGCCTAACCTCAAAGAATCCAAATTGATAAGGCGTATCCGGAGGCCCGAGTATTAGAGCTTGAACATTTCGGATATCGGACTCGTTGTAATGTACCGCCAGAGCTGTAGATAGATGTAAAGCACTCTAGTCAGCTAATCCAAAAGTCTCTTGAAACACTTCGATCTACCAAAGGGTATATGCAGCTATGAGGGGACGGGGCACTCACAGAGGTCTGTGCCTTGTTGGAATTGTCTAATCTCCTGTGAGCTCCCAGAGACACCCCATCAGTCGCGCGAGCTTCATCTGAAAGACATGCAAGGAACAAGTATACCCTGGTAATGCGTAGGATCGCCTGGTTCGACATCCTGGCGAGAAGGTGAAGCACGCTTGAAGCGACCTGTGATCCTGTTGGTTGACGGAATGGTGTTCTTTTTTCTTTCTCGGCTAGCAGATGCGTGTATGTTGGGTGATGATTGCAGTTTCAGCGTGCGCGCGGGGAAGTAAGTAACCCGCCGCAGGACTCCAAGATGAAACCAGGCTGGGAGAAGCCAGAAGCTCAAAGAAAGACAGAATGAAGTAACAGCTACTTTGCAAGAGACTATGTATCCGAGCCCTGAGGAACTTCTCTCTGAAGTAGGGAAAAGGTTGGGGTGAAAAGCTGCATGGACATAGTAACACTTGTAGTGAATCGATGGTAGGTAGATGGGAAGCATGTTCTGCCCGGGTGTGGTGGGTGGTGGTAGGCAACGTCAACGCGCTCGACTGGTGCCTGCCCAGAAGAACAAAAAGAACAAAGGTCGCGCGACCCAGTCTAACTCATGAAATGACTTCGGAACACTCTCCCTTATGTGGTCTATCTCCTTCTCCTTCTTTTCTCTGGTCTACATGATTGGAGCATTCTCCTCAGAAACTCTGCATCCCGTCTATGAGGTGAGGAGCGCATTACTTCGGACCTACCAGTTACTAGGACCATTGATATATTTCTCCCACCGCCCGCAAGCGAATGTCCCGCACCTTTGTCCAAGTCAAAGCCGGAGGAAGGCTTTCTGCTGATAAGTGTATAGTAAGATATTCAATAATCCAATTAAATAATAGCGTCTATCAAGAATATTTGACTTCAAACAACGTGTGCTGGCTCCACGCCGGTAGTAGTGAGGTTATCTCGCGGTCTACCTGGCCGCGAATGTTAGTATAGCAGCTTCACTGCGCAAGGGCATGAGCTTGATTTCAATACCAGTGATGTGATCAGCTTCTCTCACAGACAAGTCCTGCCATACTATCAGCCAAGCCCATTCTACCGAATTACAGTGAGTGAGCGCAATGAGATGCTTGGATCCTGTCAACGTCCTTCTCGGCCGGGACCATCTTCTCATGCTTTATCTGCATTCGATACAGCCGTTCTTGAGTCAATCCTAAACATACTATCCAGTCCGTATATGTGGTATCTACCTGCGGGCAGAAGTCAAATTGGGGATAGTGTGTCGATCAGAAGTAGCGGAGGAAGGTGAGACGGTACATACATAGCATAGATGGAATGCATGGATGGATAAGATACTTGCGGGCGGTCGGGAGGCAGTTCAGTCACGGCAGGAGAACATCCATGTCTCTCTTTCTCTACGGTTGGACAGAGATCAGACCAGGTTTGGAATCGAGATGTTTCACAAGGCAGGCTCGTGAGCAGATTTGCAAGCCCCTAGACCGAATCTTGATCGGCTGGGGATGGAGAAAAAAGCAGCATCAATTAGGGGTAATTGCCAAGGAACCACTGTTGACCCCAAAATGAAGTCTAAAGATAGCCTGAAGAGACTACTGGACTACCTCATATACAGAGATACACGTCTGCAAGAGTAGGACAGACATGAGCATCCGGGATCCAATAGTAACACGCCATTCTTGTCCACCTCGAAGGGGGAGTTGGTTATTATTATCTTCTGAAGGTCTTGTCTCTTTACCTGGCACTAACTATGTATGACTTCTATGGGAAAGAGTCTCCACACCAGCCAGAAATACAGGGTCTGTTTCTGCCCGAACAATCACTTGTGCTTGGCTATTTTTATCGTACCCGGGCTTTTTTTAGCCAGGACTCAACCGGCGACTGCGATGATTGTGTTGTTGTCACTTGGACGACTAAGCTTAAATAATTCTTAAGGTCTAAGTCTTAGATCCCACGGGGATGGTGTTGACATTTCAACTTCTCCAATCCCAGTCGGGGAGAGTCTGCATCTGCATCTGCCTCCCTCGTCAACCCCTCAGGATGTTTGTTGTTGTTATTGTTGGTCTCTGGGAATAGTTGCCGGGTACAGGAATGGATACACAACACACCCAGGCACCACACACACGGGATGTGATGGGATGAAAGATGGGATAGGGGATTCCACCCGCCGCTCATCACAGGCGGTGAATGAGGCGGTGACCCCTTTCACGTGATCCTGTCCAAGTGGGCAAGCCCAGCAATATGAGTGAAGCAGCAGCATAGGGGAGAGGGGGGAGGGGAGGAAGAGGGCAGAGCGACAAACTGCCAGCAGCAGCAACACCCACCCTCCTCCAAACACGCGATTCCCTTCCCTCGCTCTGCTTCCCTTTGATTTGGGTCCTAGAGACCGGAACGCGACTTGGTCCTTCTTCTTTCTGCTATTCAGACCTCATTTCCCCCCCCGTCTCGTTCTGCGTTCTGGTGGTCTTCGCCCAAACACAAAACTCACTGGAAGGGATTAGGAATGGTTGTGATCCCAGACAGCGCACTCCGCCGCTTGTTGGTCTTACTTTGAGCTCTCCAACCCTTTCCCCATTCCGCTTCCTCGACGCGGGCGGTTGCGCTTCTCGAATTCTTTTTACCCCGATTTTGCTCGCCAATTTGCCTGTTTCTCCGAGCGGTTATTCGTTTCCAAACTACTTGCCCTCGCGCCCTGTTTACTGTTGTTTTCCATTTCCCCGCAAAGTCTCATCTACATGGCGTGAGGTGTGTTGCTACGGACAAGGTCGCTAAATCCCCTGACCAACCCCGCGCACCAGGCTGTGGACGATTGCCCCAGAGACTAACATTGCATATAGTGAAGGGCAACATTATTCATCTCGAAAGCGATTCTGACGACTAGTGCCTCTGCAGCCTCCAAATAATACTTCCATCATCTTGTTGTCTTCCCCCCTCCCTCCCGTGACCCAACTCCTTCCACTCCTACCGTAGCGGCCGTGCCGTCTACCTCGGAAATAGTCCACAACACTCGATTGCGAATCCTGATTTGTCCGACCAAGCCAGTCTTTACAGGCATAGTTCTTGACGAGCATGCCTCCCGGCGACGTTTCTTTGCCGGACAGCCTCGTGCCGGGCAACGGGGCTGTCCGCCCCAAACTCAACACTAGTGGATATGGCGGTGGTAGCTTTCAATCGCAAACCCCGACCTCTCCTGCAGATAGCAACATTGCTCTTGACTCGCCACGCACAAGGACAGGAGGATGGAACGGGTCTACCAACAGCCCGGTTGATGGAGCACAGAACCCAGACGGTCGTATGAGCCGGCGCTTGGAGTCTGGCCACCCTGGTTCGCGAGATCCGTCAACCCCAAGAGACCGGAATGGCTACTGGGACAGATCTACACCGCGGGAAAGATCTCGCCCCAACGGCCGACCACCCGCGAAATCCCCCGGCAGCTCGTCGCGAATCTGCAAAAAATGCGGCGAACCGCTCACGGGCCAGTTTGTACGAGCTCTACTTGCAACGTACCATCTCGAATGTTTCAAGTGCGAGGTAAGTGCACCGTGCTAAGAGATGTTATTGCTCTTCATGTGTTGACATCGTTGGGTCTAGGATTGTGGTCAAATAGTGGCATCGAAGTTCTTCCCCGTTGATGCTGAAGATGGAAACGGGCAATACCCCCTTTGTGAGACAGACTACTTTCGACGCCTCGATCTTCTCTGCCACGAATGCGGCGGAGCATTGCGTGGGTCGTACATCACAGCCCTGGAACGCAAGTATCACATCGAGCACTTCACCTGTTCTGTTTGTCCCACGGTTTTTGGCGCGCAAGACTCCTACTATGAGCATGAGGGTAAAGTCTACTGTCACTTTCACTATTCGACCCAATTCGCTCAGCGCTGTCATGGTTGTCACACGGCAATCCTGAAACAGTTCGTCGAGATCTTTCGTAACGGGCAGAATCAGCATTGGCACCCCGAGTGTTACATGATTCACAAATTCTGGAATGTCCGCTTAGCTCCGACCGGCCAACTCTTGGAGCCACCTGAGGCAGATCTAGACGCCACTGACGAAGAACGTAATAGAGTACGCGATGAGGAAGATGTGATGGAAGAGAAGGTATACCGAATCTGGAGCATACTGTCCAGTTTCGAAGAATCATCTGCTGCGTGCATCTCGGATATGCTGCTTCATGTCAGCAATGGCACCTATGTTGATGGCGTGTTTGTTGCTAAAAGGTTTATTGGGCACGTCGATGTTCTCTTTTCCGCCATTGACCAACTTGCAACGAACATTAAAACCCAGGGCATGAAAGGTAAGCTAATATGATGCATTGTCTCGCCCTCATAATCGAAGGATTAGTACTGACAATCATATCTAGACCTGGCTTATGGGCGTGAGGCAAAGCTTCTATGCAAGAAGATTGTGGCTTTCTTCGCGTTACTCTCGAAGACTCAGGAGGCTGGCGTGCGTAAACTTGGCGTCACCCAGGAACTCCTGTCATTAGTCACGGGGCTTGCCCATTACCTCAAGCTGCTTATTCGTATCGGTCTCCAAGGAGCTCTCAAACTTGAAAGAGAGAAGCAAACGCCGGAAGGCCTTCACCACTTCCTAGATCATTTGGGAGACTTGGAGGCACTCAGGCCTCTTGAGGAAGAGGAAACGACTGCAGATTTGATGGTCGGTGTAGACATCCTCGCCGATCAGCTGTCTGATTGTTGTGCATCTTGCAAGGAACCTATTGACGATGAATGTGTCATGCTCGGTGATAGCAGGTGGCACATTAAACCGCCACATTTCTCGTGTGCATCCTGTCAAAAGGACCTAACAAGTACCATCCAGGACTCGCTGTACAATCCGAAGGAGAAGCGGGCGTACTGCCACGATTGCGTCACCAAGAACGGTTTTAACCAGGAAACACAAGGCGGCTTTGTTCATGTGACCAAACTCCAACAGTTCATCTTTCTTCTGAGAGTTGCTCTCGCGCGACTCCTCGCCGTCCTACGAGCTGGAGGGACATTCTCTGGTAGGTTACGACGACCGCTCATCTCGGCATCTTCATAAAGACACTTACCGTTGATAGACGATTCCAACGTGGGCCCACAAAGCGGCAGCGACAATAGTCGAATCCCACCTGGGGGTGAAATGCGCAGGTCAGGCACACGGGCCAAATCTTATGCGAACGCTCTCAAGGACAGCCCTGAAGGTTCATCGCTCGAACAAACAGTGGGCGAGATGCGCCGTTTGCGATCAATCCGGAACGAACGCACCTTGTCAACAACCTACAGAAAGGCTCGGGCGTCTCGAATAATTGATGGGCCGGAGGGTCGCAGCGTACGACCGGGGTCATCAGGGGGCGAAGCTTCGGATCCACGGGGTCATGGATTTCAGATTGTAGAGGAAAGAGATGCCAACGGAGAGACGGTCACTGAGCTGACCTTTGGCAACCAGGACGCCTTGACTTTGGATGATATCCCTAGAATCGTTGCTGCCGAGCAAGCCAAGGAGCAACGGCCCAATGCTTATAAGCATGCCGGCACTAAGCTTGTAGGCACCACCGAGCCTCTTCCAAAGTACAACTTCGGCCATCAGCGTGGCGTTTCGGGTGCAGGCTTAGAGCAGCACCTGATCGAGCAGTCAATGCGGACTAAGAAGTACTTCTCGGAGCTTTCCGCCCTGGAGTACTTCATTGTCCGGCACGTGGCGGTCTTGTCCATGGAGCCATTGTTGGATGGCAATTTCACACTGGAAGAGCTTCTCTCTTTAATTGAGTCGCGCAAGCCCACTATCTGGAATATCTTTGGCCGGGCCTTCAACAAGGAAGCCAAGAAAGGTGGGAAGAAGAAGGGCGTCTTTGGCGTCAGCCTCGACTTCCTCGTTGAGAAGGAAGGTACAGAGTCCAGTCACGGTGTTGGCCCAGGGGCGCTTCGTATCCCTGCCCTCGTTGACGATGCCGTATCCGCAATGCGTCAAATGGACATGTCCGTGGAAGGTGTTTTCCGGAAGAACGGCAACATTAGGCGCCTAAAGGAACTCACCGAGATGATTGATAACAGATATGAGCAGGTTGATCTTACAAAGGAGAATCCTGTTCAGATCGCGGCTCTTCTCAAGAAGTTCCTTCGTGAGATGCCTGATCCACTTATGACATTCAAGCTGCATCGCTTATTCGTGGCATCTCAGAGTAAGTAGTCCAGTGACCCAAAACTGCAAGGACCGGCTTGTCTAACATTGCTACAGAGATCTCTGATCCAGAGAAGCAAAAGCGACTCTTGCATCTCACTTGCTGCTTGCTTCCCAAGGCTCATCGTGATACCATGGAAGTCCTGTTTGCGTTCCTAAACTGGACTTCTTCTTTTTCGCACGTCGATGAGGAGTCTGGTAGCAAGATGGACATCCACAACCTGGCAACCGTGATAACTCCGAATATCCTCTATCCTAACACCAAGGCCAGTACAGTGGACGAGAGCTTCTTGGCAATCGAGGCTGTCAACTGTCTGATCACGTACAATGATACTATGTGCGAGGTAGGTCATCCCATTTCTTTTCTCTCTGTCTTTTGTGGTATCCTAACGTTGCCCCTAGATTCCCGAAGACTTGCAATCGGTTCTTAGTGATCCTACTTTCTTCAAGGAGAACAGCGAAGTGACCACGAAAGACATTCTCAAGCGCTATGGAGATATTGCACGGGGTAGCTTCTCATCAAGGCCTACCAACGGAGGCGAGACTGTCACAATCACGAACTCAAATCGCGGAGCGAACATTCCTACCTCAGCTCGCATTGAAACGGACGCCTCTCAAGACGCAGCCTGGCAGGCACAGAGTTCAGTTCGCCACGTTCAGAGCCCTGGAGGACTCGGTCATTCTGCAAACACTGCTCCTCAGACCAATTTGGATCTTGGGCCTGCATCAGCACAGGACTACCGCGAACGAAGCACGAGTAACAGTAGCCAGCAAAACCCTATCCAGTCTGATGGACAAGGCCAGCCGATACCTTACCGAGCTCGTCCAGGCGCTGGCCCTATGGGTGCTGGCCCTATGGGCGTTGCTGGCTAAAGTAGCAGCTAGCCGTCCTCTTCAGCGATGACAACAGATCATCGCTTTTCTGCATAGTCTCGAAGATATTTCCCTGATACATTAATCGCCAATATCTCATTTGAGCTCCAGTGAATGCTATTGGCGTATGACTGGGCCGTTCAGCGTTCTTTCGATATAACATGGTTGGATGGAGTTTCTTTCACCTTTTGAATTGAGATGATTATCGATGTTTGCTAAAAACAGTCGGCTCGAACATTCTCTTGGCGGATGGTTGTTCTTTTCTTCTTACCTTGCCTTTTGTGCTCTGGCAACTTGAAGCGCATTTGCATTGATTAGCCGTGGGTCCCAGGACGACTCACCGCTCCCTTAATCTGCTATTCTACCTCGATGGGCTGGTTGCGGAGGTCGCGTCTGTCCGTCGTGACTTTGTGAGGTTCATATTCTGCTGGACTTGGATGTCGCTCTTATCCCATCGTTTTTTCCGTCTTACTCTTTCTATTGTTCTCTACGAAGCCTTGCTTTGCAGACCATTACGTTTTTCCACAGCCCAAAACCCAGAGCGAACAATGCCAGGGGCATTTCCTTTCTTTCTCTTTTCATTTTCTTTTCTGACTACTTCAACACCATGGTGTTCGTACCAATTTCCATTCCATTGTTGTGTGAGATTACTGAAAGAGAGCGGAGAGAGCACTTTCTTTTCCCCTCATTTCCTCAGGCAGTCTGAGTGACTGCGAAGATACCTGTGCCGAGTCATACGATATTTTCTTTTCTTTTCTTATCTTTTCTTTTTCTTCCATTCTCCTTTTCTTCTACACTCCATTACGTTCTACTTCTCCCAACTTCAACCATACGACCTTTCCCCAACTGATATCCCGACGTGTTTGTGTCTCTTTTCTTTTTTAACCTTCTTCAGCATCCATGTGATGCCTTTCTATTTCACTTCTTTTCCCCTTTCCCCTTTTTTTCTCACTCAGCCCCTCACCCACCCTCCAAAAGAAAGAAGGTGTAATTTATTAGCGACTATGAATGAAAGACAGTATCATAGTGCCCAACTGCATGCATGAATCTGGTAATGGTAATGTTAAGTCTGATTGCCAGGCGGCCCGCTTCTGACTGGGTAGCTTCGGACTCGGTAGCTTCGAGCCGGACATTCTAGGTGTAGTAATCAGTTATCTGATTGACGGTAAGGTATTGAAGCTGTTGCCCTCGTTGCAGGTAGGGGGGGGGCAAGTAGAGTACAGTGCATTGGACTTGTCGAGAGGGTTGTCAATGCATTCATTTCCTACGGATGACTGGATATGGGTTTATGCTGTTGGCGACTGCAGACGATGAGACGATGCCATGGAGCCACGATCCCGTACTCTTACGATGTCCAGGGGGAGTCGGAGCTGACGGGATCTAAGGATCTGCAGAAGACGGGTCTACCCCTTCGCTTCTACGAGATATCGAGGTCTTCGACGGACTTCGACCTGGCAAGTACAGCTGTAACAAAACGGGACACATGTTGCTATGTCTTGAAGTGAGCTCAGGAAGTGAATAATCCGTGCTCGATAAGAACAAAACAAAAATGCTAGTTATTTAAAACAAGAACTCCAGGTGATACCCTCCGTCCCTCCGTCCGAATTCTTCGGTATCTAAAACTCCCAATGGCAATCAATAACATCCAGTGGTAACACAAAACAGAACGCCGCGTAGACTCCCAGTCATTCAGAAGCAAGGGCTAGGCCAAGGTATACAAAAGACTAAAGGTGGTATGGCGAAAGGAATAGTAGTGCGTTCATATCATGCTCTCTTGCGCAGGATCCTGCGGCCGGCTGTTGGGGCGGCGGCTTCCCCGCCGGCGGGGGTCGGCGCTCGCTTGGTTGTTGTTGTTGTTGCTGCTGCGGCGTTGCGTTTGGCGGCGACGGCGGCGGAGGCTTGGTTACGGGCGACGGTGGTCTTTCGGGCTGTGGAGGTTGTCGCTGATGAGCCGGTGGTGGTGGACTTCTTGGTGCCCCCCGTCGTGGTTCGGGTTGGCTTGGCAACGGTGGTGCCGGAGGAGGCGGATGACGAGACACTGCCTCGGCGTTCGACCTGGCGGGTCGCGGGTCGCGGTAAGGGGGAGCGCAGGGTCTTGCTGGCGGTGGTCGTGGCGGCGCGGCTGGCCGGGCGTCTGGTCGCCGCTTGCGACGAGGGCCTCGTGACGGAGGATGAGGGTGCGGTGCCGCGCGCGGAGCGCAGGCCCGGCATGCTGGCGGATGTGCCCTTGAGCGGGCTCGAGGGTTTGAGCGGCGACATGGGGCGGGAGAGGTAGGCTGCGTTGGTGGATTTCTCGGGCGAGGCGCGGAGAGGGGACTGCGGGTAGGTTCTCGAGTTCGAGGTCTTAGGCGACAGGATCCGGAAGTCGGCGCCCCTCATCTCCTGGGATACCACCCGCGATGTACCGGCCGTGGCGCCGGGCTTGGCTCGTCGCTTGGGGTTCTTGAGCACGTCCAGGGACTCTCCGCCTGCTGGTGCGTTCTCTTTATCGGAGTAGATGCCTTCGTGACTGCGGACTAGGTCAGTGAACGACGAACCACGGAGTACTCGTGTGGACCATGGATGTGTGGTCTCGCGCCATACCTTTGCTTGCGCATTCTGCGGGCGCTGGGGCTGGCAGCGGTCGCTTTGTGCACCTTGGGACTCACGGAGATGGTTGCGAAATTCCGGGACGCCTTGGCTGGGCCGAGGAGCTTGCGGGGGGAGGTGTGCTCTTGGTGTGCCCTCATGTGCTTCTCGAGTAGTTCACCCATGTTTGCTTTGCGAAGCGCGATGGGGATTCGGTTGATGCGGCGCTCGATCCGGGCACGGAGGTCGTTGGCCTGGAGAGCATATTGAGCACGTAATTTGCGGGCGCGTTCGGTGACTGCGATGGCGGTTAGCACCAAAGTCGTGGATGGAAAACTGCGGGGGAATAAGTGTACTTTCGAGCTGAAGGTTGTCAATCAGAGCTTGTTTCTGGTTTCGTGTGATGCGAAGCTTCTTTCTGGGCGGACTGTTGGTGGGAGTGATGGCCTCCTCGTTGTGGGACGCGTCCTCGGGAGACTTGCGTTTGGAGGTAAGGGACGCCATCGGGGCTGGTATGGATTGCTGGTCGGTAGGCGTACAGAGATTGTTCAATGCAGAGTAAATTCGTTGATCGAAGATTGGGGAGGTAGTTGTGGGAAGTGAGTACGCGAGGCGCGTCTGAATTGAAGGGAGGAAAGCGGAAGAGTTGGCGGAGAGAGTGAGAGTATTAAAGTGTGAGAGAGAGAGGGAGGATAAACAAGCGCTGACTTAATTTGTGGTTAGCTCCGAGCGGGAGGGTGTGACATCTTCCACGCAGTTGCCCTTCCTTCTCAGCACCGCAGCTCTCCTCCTCTTCTCCATCATCATCACCACCACCACCACCACAACCATCCACCACTACCACCATCAATCTCTACTCGTCGACCCCTCCTTTTATACCCGTCATCTACAGCGCCTCGACCTATATTCAACTGTCACCTAGACCAATCACGTTTGTCGTTTGTCGTAACGCCAAATCCCGCCAAGATGGAAGCTACCATGATCATGTCCGTCCCATCTCAGCGCCCCCCATCTTTCAAATAAAGCTTCGTACACCCTAGCTGACAATCTATGAAGTGTGGACAATAGCGAAAGCAGCCGTAACGGTGACTATACGTGAGCACCTCACTTCCATTTGGCAATAATCGAACCGACTCGTTCCGAGCCTAACAGCTTGCTACCTACCAGGTCGACCCGATGGCAAGCACAGATCGACGCCGTCAGCATCATCCACTCGACCAAGATGCGCGTACACCCACAATCCGCCGTCGGACTGATGAGCATGGGAGGAAAGGGCCCCGAAGTTCTGTCGACGTTCACCACCGACTTCGGTGGGATCCTGGCTGGTCTGCACCGGACGAAGATCGGTGGCACAGCCCACCTTAGCTCCAGTATACAAGTGGCCGGTGTATGTTATCCTTGAGCCTTGCTCTCACATCTCCACCAAATGCGACAAGACAAGAAAAAAGGAACAAATCAACTGACGAAAGATGGATGACGGGGGTTGAAACTGTAGCTCGCACTCAAGCACCGTTCCGAAAAATCGCAGAGACAGCGCATCATCGTGTTCTCATGCTCCCCGATCGAAGAAGACGAGAAGACGCTAGTGAAGCTGGCTAAGAAGATGAAGAAGAACAACGTGTCGATCGACGTGGTCGCCTTCGGAGACCTAGAGTCTGACCAGACCAAGAAGCTCGAGGCGTTCGTCGAGAACGTCAAGGGTGGCGACGGCTCCCACCTCGCCATCATCCCGCCCGGCGACAATCTGCTGAGCGAGGAGCTCCAGGCCACGCCCATCCTGGGCGGCGATGGCAGTGGCGCCGGCGGCGCGGGCCCCGACGGCGGCGACGGCGGCTTCAACTTCGAGGACGCGGCGGAGAACGACCCCGAATTGGCCTTCGCGCTGCGCCTGTCCCTCGAGGAGGAGAAGAACCGACAAGAGAAGGAGAAGCGCGATCGTGAGGAGCAAGAGCGTAAAGCCAACTTGGAGGGTATCCCGGAGGAGGGTGGGGAGGCCAGCGGTAGCAGCAAAGACAAGAAGGATGACGGCGACAAGATGGATACCGCTTAATGTTGAGGAATTTGAAATCAATCCTCGCGGATGACTTTTCTCTTACCCTTATCCTTGATGCATACCCGGCGTTCATTCTGATGTACTTGCGTTCTCTCTCTCTCTCTCTTTCCCTCGGTTTTCTCTTGGTTGTAATTGTAGAAAGCGGTTCTAGAGTCGGGCCTCCTCTCACACGACACGCTTTTTTAGGGTGGGGACAAAAGGTTCCGCGATTCATAAGAGAAATCTATATCATGATCGTAGTTCTATATGCATGCCGAGCTGAAAGGGAGAGAAACGCATATATCAAAAACTAAAGTGACGCCATTGCCCCAGCCCCAGAAAGGGAAATAAAAAAAGAGAATACAAGAATACAATCATTAACATCCCAACTCACCCAAGGACATGAAAAACACCACCCATTTTCAACAATAGCCATTATTCTTCCCCTTTGAGGGAAAACCACCACCACCACCCCCACCCCCACCAATCCCTAAACCGCTATTATTCCCCTCCCCCCACCGGGATCCCAAGCAACAAGGCAAAATCACGTCCTGCCCCGCAACCACCCATTCAAATTCCGATCAAACGCCTCACACCGCACAGGCATCTCCAATTGATAGAACGGATTCTTCATGACGAAGTCGGCGTAGAACTCGTAGATCTTCCGCATGACGGGCTCGACGTTGGCCATGTGCGGGTCCGTGAACAGCAGGAACTTGGTCCCCGTCAGCGTCTGGAAGCACGTCAACCGGAACTTGTCCGTCTCCAGCGAATCGAGCCCCGTCGCCGCCACGCCGGGGATCGGGTACATGTATGTGGCTGCTGTTGATGTCGTGTTGGGGATCGGGGTGGTAGTGCCCGAGGGGGAGGCGAGGGCTGTTGCGCTTGTGGGTGTTGAGGATGTGGTTGTGCTTGTGTTGGAGGCTGGGGTTGTTGCGAGGTAGGGGAGTTTGGGGGTTATGGTTCGGGTTATTGCGTGGACTCTTTGTTTTTGGTTTTGGTCGGTCAGTGGGTTTGGATTGCTGCGTGGGTGGGTGGGTGTGGTGTGGTTGTCTGGGAGGGAGGAGCTCACCCGTGAAATGTCCCCGCCAGCACGAGGTAGTCGTTTGTCGAGAGTTTGCGGAGGCCCGGTTGGAATTCGCGCTGGTAGATTAGGCCGCCGGCTTTGTTGATGATTATTAGGGAGAAGACGGTCCTGCTCGTTAAGTCGGGAATTAGTGGGTTGGGGTTGGGGTTTGAGGGCTATGGTTGCGACGTACATGATGGCGAGACGGGGTAGCTAGAGGGTGGTGTCCTTTCGAGCGTTCTCAAGATCACGGTCTCGGTTCATGCGGCATCACAGGGTGGATCGCTGTCCATGCAGGTTTGTTGTTGTCCGCTTCTTGTATTCTGCCCGGGATCTCATATCATCTTGTTTGTCGGGTTATCATACCATTGGCATTGCTTTGCGCGGGAGATGTGATGCGGAGGTGCGGTTGTTGGCCGAGGTGTTTATTGGTCACTCACTGCTTGCCGGCGTTGTCTCTCACCGCTTTCTAAGGGGCATTTGCAGCCAATGGTGGCGGGGAAGTAGTTGGACTAGTCTGCACCTTTAAATAGCCGTGCTTTTCTCCGCACGCGCCCACTTTTAGGGTCGTCGATTTGACTGGAACAATGTAGTGACTGATGTGCATCATATTGGGCCCAGTTGCCATTGATGCGGGAACTGCTCTTGTATGTCTGTACAGTGCAATGTCACTGAATTACAAGATGTGAAGAACAATACTCTCTACACTACTCACCTCGCCTAGCCTTTATCATGATCGTATATCAAGCAAGTCCACTCGCACCGCCGGCCATAAAGAACCAAGTATTCCCAAGCATCTAAAACGTATATATCAAAGCTAGCATTCAAACCTATCTACCTACTAGCTCAGATGTCTCACCGGAAATACACCATCAAACAAAGCTCCATCACTCCGGTGCAGCCACCACATCCGTGATCTCGACAATATTCTACCAACAGCGTCAGCACCCTTCATACCAACCAAGCCAACCAGCCCCCATCCTCACAAAACAAAATAGACCACAAAAGAAAAACTCACCGGCCGACCCATAACCACATTCTCCACACCAACCGACCTAGTAACATACCCAACCTCCCCCCTCACCCCACACCCCCTAGCCCTAACATACTCCAGATAATCCGGCGCCCGCGGAACATCCGTAGTATCAGCAACAACCACACTCCCGACCCTTAACAACCCCAACTCCTCACAGACCCTCAGATCAGAGAGATAAAACCTCTCCCAATGATCGAAGAACACCACATCAACACCCCTCGGCACGAGCCTCCCCTCCCCAACCAGCCTCCGCAGCGACTCCGACGCCGGACTCACCTTAACATGCACCACATCCTGCAGCCCGACGAGCTGGATGAACTCCCGCGCTACCTGCGCGATGGACTCGCTCACCTCGAAGCTGTAGACGTGGATGTCAGCGCCACCGCCGGAAGGCCCGTGCAGGTCGCGCAGGATGACGGCTCAAACGATGGCCGAGCAGCCGAGGTAGGTGCCGAACTCGATGATGGTTCTGGGGGCTGGGTCCATGGATTCTAGGTGCTGTTTGGCGATGCGAAGCTTGGGTTCTTTGAAATTCATTAGGTGGGCTGTTTGGCTGTAGGTGTCGAGGACGCGGTAGAGGGCCCGGCCCACGGGTTGTGGTAGGGTTCTGTGGTTTGTTGGTTGAAGATGTGGGCGTGTGCTGCTGAGGCGGCGGCTTTGGGGGACTTTTTTGGGGGGGTTCTTAGTTGGATTTCGTTGGATAGGTGGGTGTTTGTGCACTTACGTGGGGTGGCATATTGGTTGGGGTTGTGTGTGTATGGTTTGGTTTTGGGATGGTGCTTTCGGTGGGTCTGCTGGAATGATGGCTTTGGGCTTCTGTGCGTGAGCAGGGGCTTTCTGGATAGGATGGATGGAGTCTATTGTCGATTTGGAGCGTTTATATACTGCTCAAGGCCCGTTCTGCAGACAGATGGTGATTTCTACGCCATCTCGGGCTGCGGTAAGTTATCCACTTCATGATGATGCTCTATCTCCGGGAGAGGTCTGTGACTCCGTATAGAGGGCCTATAGATCCAGATGTAGAAAATTGATCCATTCGTCACGGCTGTCGTCGAAGCATTTGCAGTGGATGTCGCTGTATGGAGGCTAGTACTAAAGTAGTATTTCAGTCCGCAAAGCTCGCTACTCTGTGCTGTTCCAGGCTAATGCATCCGAGATGTTATCGCTGAGATGCCATACCGCTACAGATCAACATAGCTGGATGATGATATGATCTTTTCTGCGTCGGACGATGCGCACGACGTGTGGCATTGCAACCAAGCAAGAGTAACCTTGGGATCTCTGCAACTTGAGCTCCGCATACTCAGGTCATCGGGAGAGATGATATTCACAGCAGCATCCAAAATATGGGTTATACACCCACCGCGGAGTGCAGAAGTATAGTATCACTCCTCTCTTGGAGGGTTGACAAGCCCCTCCTCATCGAACTCATACCTCGTCTCCGCATCCTAAACCAAGCATAACCCAATCAGCCCACATTCACAACCCAAAACCCCCCACCAATAAAGAAAGAAAAGAAACTCACCCAATACGCGCGAAACCCCACCCCCTCACAAACCTCATCATACCGCATAATCATCGGCGGGCTTCCCACCCCAAAACTCCGCTTCAACCCCTCCAACGCCTCGCGTGTAGCCTTGAGTCGAGCAGCAACCAGCGTCCACGGATACGCGACAGCCGCAAAGCCCAGCCGCGCCAGCTCCGCCGCAGAAAGATTCTCCGTCTTCCCGCCCTCAATGATATTAGCCATGAGCGGCACGCCGGAAAGCTCCTGCACGCAGCGACGCATGGCATCGCGGTCCGGTAGCGCCTCAACGAAGATGGCGTCGGCGCCGAGACGCATGAACTCGCGCGCCCGCGTCATCGCCTCGTCCCAGCCGTGGATTAGTGCGTCGGTGCGCGCCAGGATGAAGATGTCGCGGCCCTGGGTGCGTGCGTCGACGGCTGCTTGGATGCGGGCGTAGGCTTCGCCGCGTGAGACGGTAGATTTGCCTTTTGTGTGGCCGCAGCCTTTTCTCGATTTGGATGGGTGGTCAGTTGTGCGGTGTTGAGTGAGGGGTGAGGGATGGATTGTTTGTATGGAGATGGGAAGGGCAGCTAGGGCGCTGTATGTGTGTTCTGTGGGGGCGGAGGTGATATAGCTGGAGCGGGGGCTGCTCACGTTTCGGCCACGTCTGATCCTCAATCATCACCCCCGCGGCCCCGGCGGCCGCGAAACACTCCACCGTGCGCTTGACGTTCATGGGACTGCCGTAGCCCGTGTCGCCGTCGACCATGATGGGCATGCTGGGCGGCACCACGCGCGCCGTCTCTTGAATCTTGTGGCACATGTCTTCTAGTGCGATGTAGCCTGTGTCTGGAAGGCCTTGGGCGCTGGAGACGGCGAAGCCTGAGAGGAAGATCAGCGGGAAGCCTGATTCGGCTACTAGGCGCGAGGAGAGCCCGTCGTAGGTGCAGGGGAAGGCGAGGATGGTAGTTGAGTTGTCGCGCGAGCTTTGGAAGAGCGTGCGGAGGTGCGAGGCTTGCGGAACTGGGTGTTTGCCGCGGACATTCTCGAGGGTGTAGGTGAGGGTTCGAGATTGAGGACCCTGTGCTGGTGATGATGGTTCTATTGTTGGGCTGGGGTCGATGGGCGTGTGGTCTGTTGGTGCGGGGAAGGTGAAAGGGTATGGGGTCATTTTGGCTTGATTGGGAGGAATTGAGGGTGTTCGAGAAAGAGGAGATAGGTAGGTCGTGAGAGATGCTCTCTGGACTTGTTGCGAGGGATTGAAGGCGATGTTGGATTGTAGTCGGGTCTGTGATGTGGTGTTGTGGTATTGACGTCGGCGGGGATGGTGGACACATGACTGCCGATCTATCTATGAAGTGGGCTAGCCCACGTTGAGCATCGATGTTGATGAATGGGAACATTGTAAGCTGCAAAATTCTGTGTATTAGAGCTGTCTGAGCAAAGTAACGTCTGGCAGAAAGTCGGTCACTTTGTAGAATACCGTCCACTTAGTAACGTGAAGAAGTGAAGCCTGTAGGAGCCATCATGTCGGGCAGTATGCATGTATCCCAGATCAGATCCACCATGGCTCATGAGATAAGGCCTCTTTGCTGCAACACTGCACTTACTGTATTCCAGACAAGTCAGCCCAGTGTTCCAAAGCTGTCTGCTGTGAAATGACATCACAACAGACAAGCGACACCTCGTCCTATTAACAGCATACGAACCCCAACACAACCAGCTGAAGAATCCCCTCGAAAACACCATTCAAATTCAGCCAGCTAAAGCGCCGATCCTCCGCCTAAAATCTCACGCACCCGCAAAGACAGCCTGGATCCCAATCACTGAGTGAGCAAGGGATCCTCCCGTGTTGAGGCCGCCGTTGTACGGGACCAAGTATGTACCAGGATCCCTGAAACAAGATATTCTAGAAGACGTCAACGCAGTGATGAACAGAAGCCACGCGGCAACATTCAGGAGGTCCGACAAACAACGCGAACCTCACTCAACTCACCCTGTCAGCCGCACGGATAGTGCGTGTTTCATGAAGAGAGTCCAAGCGGATGGGGCCAAAACCCGGGGGGCCCGGCACGGGAAGAATTGGGACTCCATATTGCTCGCCACGTGGAAATGCTGGGCGATCAGACCATGTTGGTTTTAGTCTGCGTCTAAATCTGGGTGCTGATGAGAGTGAGCCTGGACGGTGGGTCGAGTTTAATGGCATCGATACGGGGCAAAGCATGGTTGTTGTGCAGAGATAGTATGAATGGTGTTCTTCATTGATAAGCTAGTTTATGTTCTCTTGCTCCAAGCATGGGTATGGGTATGGGTATAAAGTGTGATGACACAGACAATAAAACAAACACAGTGTGCTCCTCTAAGTCCGAATATGAAGTACAGGATATCGGTCGTAAGTCGTCAAGTAAGCGATAGAGACAGAAAGAGAAAGGGAGAAGGGGGATTAAAACAGAATAGTCAATAAGGTGGTGAAAGAAAGGAGAGAACGAAAAGGATCACGGTCATTTGTCACAGAAAATGGCCAACTTCCACTCTCCATCCATTTGCCGGATGATCCCCTCCTGCATCGCCCATTGCCGTAACAACAGATCTTCCGCCTCGTTCTCAGGGTCGCCCGCCTCGTAGTGGCGACCAACATGCTCCATCCGGTCATTCCAGCTCTGTGCGCCAACAAAATTCTGTCCACAAAAACCGCATTGGCTGTGAAGAGGCGGCTGACGCTGTTCATGCCAGCATCGAACCCGCACAGCCTCCAGACTCTGCTCGAACGCCTCTCGCTCTTCCTCCGTCTCGGGGGTCTTCCGATTTCGACACACCCAAGGAGCGTGCATGCGACGTTGGTGCTGAGTGAAGAGATCTTTGCGGTTGAAGTCGTTGACCAGGTGAGATTCGTTGTAGGCAAGAACGTCGGGTGATGGGTGGAGGTTCCTCTCTTTGCTGAGATTGTCCAGACTGCAGCGCCCCACGTCGCATCGAAAGAATCCGGGTTGAATGTGCTGGGAGATCACATGGCGTTTCCACTCGTTCTTGGAGACAAATGTGCTGGGGCAGCCGTAGTGCGAAAAGCTGCAGGTATAGACTCGGCTGGGGGCTGGAGTACTCTTCTTTGCGCCAAGTTTCGAGCCAGCACGAGCGGTCGAAGTAGGTTTCGGTCTGGTGGATGGCTTCCGAGGTCGTTTGCCGATGCGACCACGGCCGGTTTGGGCGGGTTTTCGTGGCTTGGCTTGGATTTTCGGCGAGTCACAAGCGACATGCTCCTCTTGCTCGATCGACTGGCCACAGCCAGACGTCCCGTCTATGAATTCGGTATCGCCGGGCGAGAAGATCCCTTGATACGCAAAGGAGGCATGTGTGTTGGGGATGGCTAGTTCGGGCTCAACCTTCACGATGGGCTCGGGTTCAGGGTATATTTGAGAGGGCGTCACGAGGTAATCAACAACCGCGGGTGAAGCACACGGCTCATAGGCGGACGACGGAATCACGACATCGTCACAGGCGTAAGGAGGGGACATATAACATCCCATGTTCATCCAGTTGGAGGTGCCACACTTCGGACTCTCCAGCGCCGGGGGAGATGCGAGCTCGCTGCCCCAGGGGGATGAAAACCCCGGGGTGACTGCCTCAAGATCCTCTACCGTGCTCGTCCAGGACATATCGGATGTGGGATAGAGGCCTTTCATGGACATGGTGTCTGGCGTGAGATGAGGTGGGAAGCCTGAAGGATGTTGGCTCATCGTGGGGTCCGTATAGACCTCATACTCGCAAGGGTATAATTCATAATCCTGGGGTACACTAACCCCAGATGCTAGCTGGGGGGCATCGGAGAAGGCTGAGAAGTGGTCCATGATATCTGTATAAAGGAGCAAAGAACTCGCTTCAAACTATGGATCTGTCTGTCTGGACACCAGACCACACAATACAGCCAGAACGAAAAGTGTTTTGGCTCCATGTGTCGCGGAAGCCAGGGGCATTTATCTTCAGCTGGGCGACCACATGGCTATGAACTCACAAGGAACGGGCGTTACGGGAAATGGGGCACTGTAGCCCCGAATGAGCCCAGAGTCAAGGCCATTGTTGAGCCGCATAAGTTCAAGGAGCTGAGCGATTATTCGTCGAGATTGGCTGTGGGATTGCACCTTTCAACCTTTGGAGAGACCCAAAGTAGGAAAACCCCTGCAGCGGCATTCTAGCCCGGGCTTTCTGGACGTCTGGGCGATCCATTTCATTTCTTTCCCCCCCCTCCCTTTTGCTCTGGCGGTCTGGTTTAATTTCGTGTAATCATTTCCTGATTTACATGTTTCCTGTCATTAACGGTCGAATTAGTCATTCTATGGGAAAGAAACCCCTGTCAGACGGCAGCTGGACGGGTGTCTGGTGTGGTGGGTGAATCGAATCCCGGGATGAACACCGTCAGTCTCTTTCTGGGGAGAGCCTCAGTAACGGAGAATATCGCTGTTGGGATTGAGAATATTGAAAATAAATCCATTTCCCTCGTGGCTCACACAGCCCATGATGTTTCATGCGTGCACATTCCAGGTTTCCACCGATTGATTGGGGGGTGCTCGTTCTGTGCCCGACGAGATTCCCCCAGAAAAGTGCCCAGTACCTACCACTTCATTGATTCAATCAGCCTCAATTGATAGGCAGTGTTTGCGCTAATCCTGCATTAGCCGGGCAAAACAAACGGGGGCCAAACCTACGGAGCCACTCTGGGTCCATCCGCCCAGCGTTATCGAGTCCGCGCCAAACACGACTTGGGATCCCGACTCATCGAGTGTCAACGACTGTCAACGAGTCATTGAACGTTCAGTCTCCACCAGCTCTCATTCAGATTCACTACTACCCATGCAGGGAGACTCAAAACGGTAAGGATCCTCAGCGATCCCCTCTCCCAATTCAGCTGGCGTGGTTTATGAGTGGTTGCCTTTTTTCTGTGCACTTTGTTGGCTTTTTCCCCGGGCGCGATTTGACCCTGTCGGCGAGGCACGCACCACACAGTCTACCAACCTGCGCCACGCTGTCTGAACTTGAAAGTCCCACTAGGAAAACACGGTACTCATGAGGTGCTTGAATTGTCCAGGGCGTATAGTCTACCCGCTAAACGTCTGACAGGCTCACAGACGGGGTTGTCTCCCGTTAGCACCTTGGTCATCCTTGGAGATGGAGATGGAGATGGAGATGGAGATGGAAGAATCCATTATCGCAACTTGCCGCCGCTTGCCAAGGATTCCTGATATCGTATCTTTGGAATGACGATGGCCCACTTTTGCTTCCCCCTTTTCTTCGCGTATTAAGTAATGATTGATTCGAGATAATTCCTATCCACATCTCTTTTGGGGGCCAAATTCATTCCGATGGGAACCACGCGACAAACTGCCGCGCTATGCTGCAATTCGCCCGATCACTATACTAACATACTTCTGTTATGAGACCGACGATCGGCATGAGTTCGAGTTCGACAATTCCCCCCGGAAAGGGAAAGGTCAGATTGACCATAATCAGCTCTGTAAGGGTTTTGTCCATGACAAAGGTGTCGCGACCGACGGCCGAATATTCATTATCATACGCTCACTAATAACAGGGTTGTTGGTGGCTGAGTTGCTTGCTGGCTGTGCTCAGTCGGTCGGCAATTACCGTAGTCCTGTCTGTATGTATGCACCCGACCAAGTCCGCGACTGCATGGAAATCTGCCAGGAATTTCCCAAGGCGTTTTCCTGTCGCGGTTTTACATTCTACCAACACTTTACCAACACTTTACCTCCAGTAGAATGGCCACCGCTCCTTCGTCCTGTCACAACAATACATACATCATAGGGCGCAAGCAAAACATCCGGCTTGCATGCCCGTCATCTGGTTACAGGGTGTTCCGGCGAGTGGGCAAAGAAGCGGTGCAGCAACTGTGACTGTGACTCCCCCCCCCCGCCCACCCAGTAACTCAATTGACTCATACTCCCGCCCTACCGTTCTAATTATTGACCTGTCAGTTGCACCTTGCACCTTGCACCTTGCCGCAGCTCAACTCAGCTCAGCTCCATCGGAGACTGCACTGCACAGCAGTGGCTTTGACTTTCCGTTGCTCGGATCAAAGGCCCTTTGATTCGTCCGTGGTTACATCATTTCTCTCCCCCCACCCCTAAGACATGACCGTCATTGAACTTGAAATTGTTGTACTTGTTGTAGACTAGTGTAGTCTGTACGACTAACTCAGCTGAGGTTCACGGTTTCTTTCCGCTTCCCCGTTCCCGGGGAACGCCGCGACAAACGCGTGTCTCGTGCAGGGTTCTTGGCTCTGTTGTGCGGCGGATCGAATTCTTTTCTTCTTTGCTTTGCGGAGGTTGATTTCTGGGGTTCTTGTCAACATCGGCAACTTGCTAAGCAGTCAGGGTACGGGCCGTGAGAATCTCAGATTAAGCCCCGTGAGCAGCTCTGCAACCACCTTGCTCTCTCTGTTTCTACTCGTAAGACAGTACAAGTAAACGGGCAACAGCCAAGACGTATGTAGTAGCAGATAAGATACAGTTACGGAGGGCCCCACTCATGTCATGGCCATCCATGGATGAAAGAGTGGAACATCCACTCCACCACCGGGCACCGCACTGACACTGACACCGACACTGACACTGACCTTAGCACTCCCTCCTGATACTCCACCATGGACTTTGAGATCTGTGTGTCTACATTATGTCACTGCCATGGACACTGCTACTTATTTCGAGTAAAGTCAGAAGAGATGAGTTGCCTTGAGCTCCCAATCAGCAATGAGAGAGCGAGTACTCTCCCATTATAAACATACACACCAACGACTCCAATCCGTCCGTCTACGCCAGCTTGTTCCCAACCTCACACGATGAGCACTCAATCTACAGTCATGATCAAAGCATAGTACTCATGCGTCACCAAGTCACGGTCACGGTCACACCACCATCCAACTCACTCCTGCTTAACCTTCTTCCCCCACCGCTTCGGCACCCGGATCAGCCAGTACAGGAACACAGCGGCCGCCGCATTGAACACCACGTACACGAATAACAGGCCAATGTTGCGCCACCGGTCGCCAAAGGACATGCTCAGCCCGGCCAGGAACTGGTCCGTCGTCGAGTACGCGCAGACGCGGCAGTCGGTCGTGTCGGTGGGGTTGAGGAGGCGGGCCTGCGTCGCTTCGACCCAGGGAGACAGGTACTTGCTGCAGGTTTGGTTCTCCGGCGGTGGGATGTGAAGGAGCTCGATGTCGGAGCAGTTCACGTCTGCCCCAGCGATGCCGACGGTAAGGACTGCGGAGACGAGGTAGGTAAAGGGGGAGACGCGGTACATGAAGATCCAGAAACGTGGGAGGGCGGTTGGGGAGGCGAGGACGCTATTATTAGATAGGATGTAAGTTACGTAGGGGCAAAGGTTCGCATTGAGATGGCAAACAGAATGAGGAACAATGGCCGAGGAGATTGGGAATTGCACTTACCCGTTGAAGATCAGACAGAAGGAAAACAATAGCTGCGCGACGTTGCTGCCGGTCTCGGGCTGCTCGATCCCGGCGATGACCATGGAGCTGAAGGTGGAGGTGAACATCATGAAGACCAGGATCAGCAGAAACATGGTGCCGCCGCGCTCCGTCACCGTGCCTGCTGGGACATGGCGGTAGAAGCCGATCGGGTAATACCACGAGAAGTAGGCGGGTACAGCCATGAGGATGTTCCAGGGTAACTCGACGAGGATGCTAGCCAGCATGAACGCTTTCCATGAGTAGGCCTTGGACGGGCGCTCGCGCACCTCGTACAGCGACCGCTGACTCACGAAGTACGGCATCATCTGCTGCACGAGGCTGGGGAAGATGATGAGGAGCATGAAGATTGCGAACATCTGGTTCTGCATGCCCTGGATGCTGGTGGGTTCGCGCCAGAAGGTGAAGCCGATGAAAATAGGCTGTATTATTGGTGGTTAGTGTTGGACGAGTCTGGCATCAATGAATCAAGAGAGACGTACAGGAATAATGCACATGGCGGCCTTGGAGTAGATGTACGATGGACTGCGCCAGTATTGTTGAAACATACGTCTCAAGCACAGGACGAATTGCGCCCAGAGCGGCATCGCGAACTCGCCGTACCCAGTCACTTGCGGAGGTGGTGGTCGCTGCAAAAGCTCTTCCTTCAATCGCCCCAATTCCTGACGCACCTGCGTCCGCTCGGGGCTATCATTCCACACTTCGGCCCAGTCCTTGTCTGTATGAGATCCTGGGGCGGCACCGATAACCTCGAGCATCCATTCGGCCGGGTTGGCATTTGGAGAACACTTTGCAGACCCTTTGTGCTCGAAGTACTTGATCAGGGTCTCCATGTTTGGACCTAACTCGCCAAAGTAAACTGTGCGTCCGCCCTTTGCCAGAAAAAGGAGGCGATCAAACTCTTGCATGAGAATTGCGGACGGTTGATGGATGGTACACAAGATGGCTTGGCCGTGGTCGGCAAGCTTGCGCATCAGAGAGCAAATGGACCAGGCCGTCTGACTGTCGAGACCTGAGGTGGGCTCATCAAAGAAGAGAAGAAGATCTGGTTTGGCGGCAATCTCTACGCCAATTGTCAGTCTTTTCCGCTGTTCGACGTTCAAGCCCTCGCCCAGGACCCCGACTACTGCTTCCGCGTACGCTTCCATGTTCAGCATCTTGATCACTTCCTCTACGTAGGCAATCTTCTCCGCGCGCGGGGTACTGGCCGGTTGACGGAGCATGGCGCTGAAGATCAGGGCTTCGCGCACGGTACTCGTTTCCAGGTGTAAGTCCTGCTGCTGAACATAGCCCGTCTTTCGGGCGAAGGAGTTATTACGCATGCGTCCGTCGACCAACATTTCGCCCGTTACCACGCCCATGGTCACGCGGTTAGCGAGCACATCTAGCAGAGACGTCTTCCCGGCGCCTGTCACGCCCATCAGAGCCGTCAGCGTGCCCGGTCGGACCCATCCGTCAACATGATCCAAGATGGTTCGGCTCTGGCCTTTTATCTTGACACTGTAACAGACATCTTGCCACTGGAAGATCGAGGTTTGTTTAACAATCGCCGCGGTATGTTCTTCGGGATCATCAGCAACCGCTCCTCCGGCTACCCGCCGCTCTTCGGCCATTGGAGGGCGGCTTTCCACATCTTTGCTAGTGTTCGATTGTTTCTTTTGAAGGAAAGCGGGCATTTTACCTCTAGGGAAGACGAGAATCTCACCCTTGGAAGGTTTGGCGCGGACCAGTTCGCTACTGACGACGTAGCAGGCTAGGGAAAACAGTAAAAATGCCCAAAGAATGCCGTAGTTGCGCCACAGGTGCGAGCGATAATATTGATACGTAACGTTGATGAAACGGTCCCCATCAACGTAATCTTGACCGGCGATCGCGCCGTTTACACTGCAGACTTTGGAGCTCAGTGGTGCATTGTCGTACGAAGGCACGTAGAACGCGCAGGGAAACTGACGGTCACTGAATTCGTTGATCATCAGACTTTCGAAAGCATACTGCATTATTGTTAGTGCTGGAACATTTTTCTTCACCGACTCAGTATATACATACGCCGATCGGGTTCAGGTAATTTAGCCATCGGAACCAGGGATGCATGTCTCGCACTGGGATAGTGAATCCTGTGTAGATGACAAGGATCATCATAAAGATGGACGATGGAACCATTGCCTGGGCCATGGAACGCGAGATGGCGCCGGTCCAGCGAAAGATGTTGGACATGGTGAGCGTTGTAGTCACAGAGAAGAGGTAGAACACGAAGAAATGTCCCGCTGTGCGGCGTAAGTTTGACATGAAATAGAGGATGATGTTAAATATCACTGAGACTAGTAGTTTCGCCGGCAAATCCACAATCATGGAACTGATCGCTTCCGCAGACGGGTGGTACAGTGCATATTTATCATGCTTCTCCACAATTGGGCGTTGCTGCCATAAGGTTAAGATCTCTAAGGCGCTTGCAAAAGCGTTGAGGAGGATGGCAAAGAAGAGGAGGGCGCCACGCTGGAAAAAGCTATTGGTAGTCTTGTCCAAATTGTAGAAAACACTGGCGACGACTAATGCCATGATGCTATTGCCAATAATCGTGGTGAGAGTCATGGCCATGTCTCCCTTAAGGCGCTGGACACCACGTCGAAGGCATAGGCGGATCTGCATGGGGTAGGATAGGGTGTAAGGTGACTTGGCTCTTGTGCCTTTTGCCTTTTCGGCTGCGCGGGACCGCGAGAACTCCTCGAATTTGTCTCCTCCCAGAGGGAATTCATCCTGGAAAGCCTCGATTTCCGCAAGAAGTTGCTTTCTTTCCGTACTCTCTTTCCACCGGGAGGCGAATTCATCCGGTGTCCGGGGCACCAGATGCTCGAATCCCGCACGGGCTTTTCGCTCTGTAGGACTGGTCAATGAGGTAAGAAAGTCTGCTGTGGTTTGTCTATCAGGACAATCAAATCCCATTTCCACAAAGAACCGTTTAGCATCGTCTGCATGACCGAAATAAATCTGGCGACCCTCATAGAGAACAGTCACCTTATCAAAGACATCATAGATCGCCTGGCTAGCTTGATAGATGGCCACGATAGCTGTTGACCCGGTGTAATCAGTGGAGAGCCGTAGCCGTCGGACGAATTCCAAAGCTGTAGAAGAGTCCAGGCCTCGTGTACTATTATCCCAGCATTGCAACGGACTGCCGCATAGCATCGTTTCAGCTATACTAACTCGTTTTCTTTCACCTCCTGATACTCCACGAATATACTCATTGCCAATTTGCGTGTTCACTGTGTGGCTCAACCCCAGCATTGCCATGACTACGTCTCGCATATGGGTTGCATATTGTTCGCGCGTGACGCCCGGGAATCGATTGGTTGGGGCTCGAGCATGGGCCGCGAAGTGTAGAGTATCGCCGACGGTGAGTTGCGGAAAGTGTATCTCTGTTTCGGCCTGGTAGATCACTTCTCCACGGAAACGACTGTGCATTTCGTCCCAGGAGATGCCTTGGTATTGAATGTCGGTTCCTTCGTCAAGCCACAACCCATGTGTTTCTCCGGCGATCGTTTTGAGGAAGGTCGAGCAGCCACTGGATATGATTCCGATTAGTGTTAGACAATCTATGGCGCATAGTAGAGGCCAGGAGGGTTGATGAAACACAACCGGGAAGGACTGATCGACTGCAACCGATGGTGTCAGTCATTGGAGTCATAGCTCACCTTCCAGGTCGACCAAGCACCACGAGCATCTCGCCACTGCGTACAAGTCCTTCAAAGTTGCGGAGGATATCGATCCGGACCTTGTTTCGGTGACCCAGCACGCCCCTCATCCAGCCGAAAGCTTTCAGCCACATATTGGCTACATTTGCCTGGTAGTCCGCTGCGGTCCCGTAGCCAAAAGCATTCAAATTACGAAAAGAGACGCCTGCAGTGCGACGAGGGTATCTGTCTGGGTCGCGGGACGTAATCTGGAGCAGGTTCCGGGTCCATTTGCGGGCGTCGAATTGATCCGAGTTTGGATTCAGCTGAGGATCGCTGGGCTCTTGGGAAAAGGTATTCGTGCCCTCGCCGATGTTGCTCTTCTCGGACAGGTGCGAGAGACTTCTTGCCAAGGAGGCTATCCTCTCTTCATCTTTGTGTGCGATCGCCTTTTCTGACTCTTGGCTGGTAGATTGTTCGCTCTCTTCCCTCTCTTCGACTGATTCAGTGACACGAAACGAGTTTTCCATCCCCGCACCCAGAGTAGCGGACACTGCGGCCGCTCCGAAAGGAGCAGGGGGTACTGGTTGCATGTTCCAGCGAGGTTGGGCTGTTACAGAACTCTAGGGTGGTGGTGTCGATTCATGAGCGTGAAGTGGGTTCAGCTGATGATATGGACACGAGGAAGAGGAGAGAAGTCAAATATTACGTAGGAGAGTCGGGATGTTGCCCCTGGGTACCTGGGCAAGTTGAGAGACAAACAATAGCGGAAGACGGGACAGTCAACATCCGAGCTGCGATCACTCCCTGGCACTCGAGCCATGGTCGAATCAGTGTCTGAACCAAACTCCATGGGCTCGCCTGAGCGCTTTTGCCGTTTCGGTTATAGTCTCCCGCATGGCTCTTTCGCGTTTATTCACTGTGGCGAGTCAAAGAAATTGGACTTCGTATAAGGTTCTCGGCCAAGCACGGTCCAAACGGTCAGCCTTGGATTTTTGGGCTGGAGGGGCGGATTCACGCTCGGGGAAATAGCAGATATGCATAGCGAATGGGTCTGCAATTCCTCGCAAGAGACGGATGCTGTGGAACCGGATGAGATTAAGACTAGGAGGGATCATTCAAATCTGAGGTAGGGGAGTGATAGGGAAGGAGAAGGGGAAGCGAAGTGAATGGTGGAAGTGTCAGATTGGAAGTGCCTCCTAATACCGTCTAGTGACAGTAGGTAGCCTTACTCCTTACTTACTTCTTACTCCTCTTTGTCTCCACCCTTCCCGTACCCCGGATCGGATCCAATCCGCACGGGAAGGGGAAGTTCCGAATCAGTCATGCCATGAGTCAGCAGTTTATAGTCCATTCATGATTACGCCTTCATTTCTTGGTTCTTTCACCTGACCTCTCAACGCTAGAAACAAGACCATGCTGGTCATTTAGCTTCATCAGATCTCCTGATCAATGACATGCTTAACTGACCATTTGACAGACTCTCTTTTCCCCACCTTCGAAGAATCGTGACACTCCCAGCCTGCCCTGCTCAGAATGCGCTTTAACAACCACACCGAATCTGCTACCATGTTCGTCAGAGCGCTGGCCCACGAGGCAGATGCTGTCAAACTAACACTCGACCAGACTTTCAATTGACTGTATCAGCTTTCGAAGGAAATACTGCGCGAGATCATAACGGAAACTTGGATGGCCAGACTGGGACCTATAGCATAGCCCAAGCAAATCAAATCGCCAGAGCAATGCCATGCTCTGTGGCCATGAACAAAGAGTTGTCCTCATCATCTTGGTTCCCAGAGCAAGGTACGAGATGCCATTTGGTCGTTGACAGATGGTGGTGCTACGCTGCACACGCGACCACACAGAAACCAAAAGTGATATCTTGCGCTTCAACGAGATAGAACGTACTCACAAAGATCCTGCTCAACAGATTGATGAGACGAATAATTAAGCTTAGCGGTCGTGTCAGAGTGGAGCGCGATTCCGTGCTCTTGCCGCGATAAGATGTCTCCACTGTGGGGTCTCATCCATTGTCGATTAAACACCCAGCCACATCCCATCATGAAGATTCAATCTCTGCCGGAGAAAGACTGTTTTCTAAGTCAAACACTTATGAGCGGTAATATGACTACTCACAATACAACCATGGCCGATTTTGAGCCAGTGCTGCCGACCTCACAAGAAGCGCAGCCGCTGCTGCACTCCGAGGAAGAGGTGCCTTGGAAACCACCACCAGGCTTCATCTAGATCCAGCTAGGTATGTAGCTAGATCGAGCCCAAAAAGAACGCTATCTAATAGCGATATAACGATCATGTCGAATGTCTTCCTGTCTGGTTTGATGGTACCATCACTGCGTCGACTTATGCGGTGATCAGCTCCGAGTTTAATGCCGCTAACACCGCTTAATGGCTTACCACTTCCTACCTCATCACCAGCACCGCGTTCCAACCATTATACGGTCGCTTTTCCGATATTTTCGGTCAACGGACCTCTTTCTTCACGATCACAGTTACATTCATGGCTGGCTGTCTGGGTTGTGGAGTTGCGAAGAATGTGGTCTTCCTGGATTTGATGAGAGCACTTACCGGTATCGGGGGAGGCGACTTGATGGCAATGGGTGGGTGGAATTATTTGATTGCATCCATGTTTCCAGGAGCTAATTGTGGCTGACATGAGCTAGCCACTGTCATCAGTTCGGATCTCATCCCTTTTCGTCGCCGACGTATGTATCAAGCGGTTCAGAATGTCATGCATGCATGGCTTCGGGTCAATCTGCGGTGCATCTCTAGGAGGATCCATTGTTGACTCAATTGGTTGGCGCTGGTGCTTGTTAATGCAAGCACCACTTGCCCTCCTGGCGTTGCTCACCAGGCACCTTGTTCTCAATCTGCCTGTCCAGAGCAGGTATCTTGAAGATGGACAAGGGCTCCGAGCGATCTGGCGTCTCGTTGACATCTCCGTGGCGTTTGCCCTCACACTGGGTCTTTCGACCCAGCTCGTGGGTCTGAGTCTAGGCGGCAATGAACTTCCTTGGTTCAACGTGTGGGTAGTAATGTCGTTACTGGCAAGTGTGGCCTTCTTCGCCATGTTCGTTCTCATTGAAGGGAGGACAAGAGCAGTTCCCTTGATTCCACTACGGATGTTAAAAGGTGTACTTCCTGTTACCACGCAGGTTGCTAATGTCTGCGTCGGGATGGCGGCCTACACTTTGAGCACCTTGATATCAGGTAGTGCACTTGCACAAGCGACTGACACAAGGGCAGTTCCTTTTCACGCTCTCTTTGTTCTTCCAAGTTGTATAAATGGAGTCACCTGCGAAAGCCGGCGCACGGCTCGCATTCCCTTTTTCGCGGCCCCAATTGGCGGAATTATCTCCGGCTTTGTAATATCTCGCTGGGGTAAGCTGGCTTACCTTGTCCGAGCTGGTTCGCTGCTCATGTGTATCGCTAATGCGTTGGTGATACTCCTACAATTCCAAGACGCGGAATGGAATCATTTTACCTACTTGATTCCGGCAAGTCTTAGACAGGGTATTATGTATCCTGGGATCTTGTTTACTTTTCTCGCCGCCTTTGATCATACAGGTAAGTTCCATGCCTTTTTTGGATTACAGTAGGGTGGATATGGCCTAACTTGCGGTAAGGCCACGCCGTGTCTGCTTCCACTGTATATTTGGTCCGTTCAATGGGAACCGTTTGGGGGTTGCCATTACCTCCGCCATCATTCAGAACACACTGCGCTCGGGCCTCGAGGAGGCCTTGAGTAGAATACCAGACAAATGGAAAGTAACTCCCCTATCTTCGAGCCTACTAACGTACCCGAGCAATGGCTGATCAAGAGTTTACCCCAATAGATTATCGAGGAAATCCGTCACTCGGTATCCGCAATCCACAACCACCCGCCGGACATCCAACTGGCTGCGCGATTGGTCTACTTTCAGGGTATCCATCTGTCCTTCTTGGCGTCAGCCTGCTTTGGTCTTGTGGCAAATATTGCTGCACTATTCACGAAAGGGAAGGGTCTTCATCGCTCGCACGGCGCCTAGGACAGGCCGCCCAAGGCCTGCAGGCTCTGCAGTACCATTTACAATAGACTTAGGAGCGGCGATCGCTCAGACATGGGCTCCAACAGGTATGTCTGGTTATGGTTATTGCACTTTTGTTGAATAGAGCGGCTGGGCTTCGCAGGGTGCGGAAATGAATACGAGTTGAGGGGCATGCAGGCATTTCATCCTGTCCGCAAGTGACAGGCGCATGTCTGCCGCTCAGGTGCACTTATAGAGTCAATTTCAATGAAGACCATTAGCTGAGCAGTGAGGCTGCTTTTGTCTGCTCTTATTTTTCTTATGCCCTGATTATCCTCAATACGTGGGATTCATCAGGGGCAGGTCGATTCCGTTCCCGCAATGCGGAGAAAGACACTCTGAATCTCTGATTGCCGAGGGAAACCTCTTGTTAGCCTTCTTGATTCGGAATTGCCATTGCAGTCGCCAATCAGTCACTGGCATATAATATTATGCCTGCCTGTGAGTTGCGGGGATTGACGGCGAGCTAAGGACCCCATTGACGCCTCTGGGCTGCATCTAGATATCTGAGGCATGTTACACGGGGTCACTGGCATCACTAGCTACATCTCCCCGCGTTGTCGACGACGATCCTTCTGGAGCATTCGTGGCTAATTCCGCCCTGGTTCCGCTATAATGGGCACCTTTAAGCTTATTTTGGTGAAAAGCCGGGGCCCGTTTCGATAACTGAGCTCGGAATTCGATAAGCGTTCCGGGCTATCTTGGTATCAGTCATGGCCTATCTAGTAGCCCGGTCATGATGAATCAACGAAACCCACTCCCCACCCCAGGGATCTTATCAAGCTAGCCTCGCTTATCATACTGTGGCGTCGATTCAAGGTAAGTATGTAGGTAAGTCCGGTGTAAGGGTTGGACGAGGTCATATAATGGATGCTCCTCCCTTGGCGCCCTCCAGTTCCGCACCAGTGCCTCTGGAGTCTTAACGAACCTGAGCAACCATGGAGTCAGACAACCCAAAGCATATCTCTTCCAAGTCCGGCCATGAGGGCTCCTATGACCCCGAGGTCGATATGGCCAAGGGCCAGCTCGCCATCACGGGCGTGCCTGACGTGCATATGAAGCGGAACTTCAGCATTCTCAGTATTATCGCCATGGGATACAACAACACCAACAGTTGGGTGGCAATTGCCGCAAGCTTTGCCATTGCCATTCAGTCTGGTGGCTCGGTTTCGCTCCTGTACGGCATCCTGGTTGTGTTCTTCGCTATGCTCTGCACCGGCATCACCTTGGCAGAGCTGGCGAGCGTCTACCCTACTGCAGGTGGGCAATATCATTTCACATCGATTCTCGCCTCAAAGCGATGGAGTAAAGTGCTTTCGTACTCCAGTGGCATTGCCGCCCTGTTTGCATGGATAACGCTCGGGGCCTCCATCGCGTTGTCGACGACCAATGTGCTCATGGCCATAGTCATTCGATGGCAGCCTGCGTATGAAACCAAAAGCTGGCACTATTTCCTAGTGTATCAATTGCTCAATGCGATCATGGTCGCGTACAACATATTCCTCACTAACAAAACCCTTTGGATCTACAATCTGGGCTGTAAGTCATGCTGTCCTTTGCAAAATCAGCACGCATGCTAACCAATCATCGTCGTACAAGTTCTTCTATCTATCTCAACCTTCCTTGTCATCACTATTACCTGCCCATCTCGCTCAGCTGCACACGTCAGCTCATCTCATACCTGGGGGGCATTTGTAAACGGCTCCGGCGGCTGGCCCGACGGAATCTCGTTCTTGACTGGCCTCTCCACGCCGCAATTCATGTATTCAGGCCTCGACGCCACGCTCCACCTTGCCGAAGAATGCCTCGATCCAGAGCGCATCGTACCCAAAGCAGTCATAGTGACCGTGATTGTCGGGCTTCTGACAGCCTTCCCCTTTGCCATCGCAATTCTCTACAGCTACAAAAATATCCAAGCCTCTCTCGACAGTCCCACAGGGTAAGTCCGCCCTCGCACCCAACTCCACCTACGCAAAAACATCCCCATGCTAACAGCAGAATACCGCAGATTCCCGATTTTCTTCGTCTGGGAAAAAGCCACCCACTCGCCCGTAGCCGCCACAATCTTCATGGCCGCTCTATTCGTCGTCTCACTGGTAGCCCTGAACGCCGTGCACCAAACAGCATCCCGCCTCACCTGGTCGTTCGCGCGCGACGAAGCCCTCTTCTTCTCGCGCCACCTAGCCACAATCCACTCCTCCCTCGGCGTACCCGTCTACTCACTCCTCCTCGACGGCCTGGCCGTCCTCCTCGTAGGCATCGTCTACGTCTGTTCCACAACCGGTACAAGCCCCAACCCTCAAACCCCAAGATACAACCCCCCAGACTAACAAAAATAACAAAAAATAATATTAGCATTCAACGCCTTCATAAGCACAACAGTAGTTGTTGCACAAATCTCCTACGCCATCCCCGCCACGCTCCTCCTCCTGCGACGCCGAAGCCCCCACTACCTCCCTCCGGACCGAATCTTCAAAGTGCCAAAGGTGGTGGGCTACGTGTCCAATGTCGTGTGCGTCCTGTGGGCCATCGTCATCACGATCTTCTTTACCTTCCCGACGGAGTTCCCCGTCACGGGGGGGAATATGAGTAGGTGCCCACCTGATCATGAGCTTCATCCACGGATCCCGAAAGGAAGGAACCAAGAGCTAACGATAGCTGTGATCAGATTACGCTTCCGTGGTGCTGGTCATTATGCTGCTCCTGGGTGTGGGGAACTGGTATGTCTATGCTAGACGACATTTTCATGGTCCGAGGTTGGAGGCGTGAATACCATCCTATAGCCGATGCCCTGCCGGCTCTACTCAGAATTAGGCATGAAGGTGGGTAGATAGTTATGGAGTAGGTAGACATAATGAACCCTAATGATTTATATCCTGACTTCAGCCAGCGTAATCACTCCAAAACTGACAAACAGCACCTCTGTTTTACGTGTGCAGATGCGAGCGTAAGGCTAACTCCATTAACACCCTAAACAGCCACAGTATCTAGTAAAGACAGGGGAAATTATTGTCAGCTCTCCTTCTTTTTAGACAGATCCGACCCCGACCCGGCCATAATCCCATAGTCTACCTACGCTAGCCACAGGGGCATAAGATGATCCTACGGACCCGAGGCGAATTACTTCTTACAGGTAAGCACCAAGCGCATGCATGCCTAGTAAATACATCCATACGTAACAGTGTTCATATCCATAGCCATAGCCATAGCCATATCCACAGCCACATCCATAAACACCATCCTCCCTACGGAAGTGAAGCAGGATAAGATCGTTACTACATCCCTGCACAGGAAACAAAACAAAACGGATCCGACAGGCACAGAGCAGGCAACAAGAAGAAAATACCGGAAACCCCAAAAAGGGAGTCTCATGGTTTGAGATCTGAAACATACACTCAGAAGAAACCCCAAACCAGGATTCATCATTAAAGTACAATATCTACTTGCCACGATTCAGCACAACGTCTCGATTACAGGGCGCAATCGAAAAGTTTTCTAAACAAAAAATGCTGGCTGGGCAGAGTTGGAGAGAGACTCCGACTGGACTCTAGATGCAGTGTACTTAGTAGTTTGGAAATGGCACAACTCACACGTAACGTCTATCTGGCTTGCGCCTCTACAAAGGTCTGGACCCGGGATGATGAGGGAGATGAGCCATATCGGCAATGGTAGCCTACCCGTCTATTCGGTGGATCTTCCTCTCTCTTAGGCAGACGAATTCTTATTCTTTCTGCCTCGCCATCGCTTTAATAATCCGTGAATTAGGGTAAGTCGGGGACCTTGACAAGCAAAAATGTGTGCATTCGCTCAGGTAGTTCTATTCTTCACTAGCCAGTTCCAGCACACCAACAACCCTAGAATTCTCACTCGACGGGGATGGAAGTAAGCAAAAAAGGAGCACCGCTGTAGCGGCAAACCGCAGGGGAATGGACTCAATGCCAGCGCTCTGAAGATGAAGAGAGAGAGAGAAAAAAAAAGTGAATCATGAATTAAATGCCGCGAGGCCATGTTGGAGACGGTTGTAAGCCAGTCTCTCACATGGTCCAACCTCACAGCCTAGAGCCCTAGTCCCAAATATAAGAAATCACACAAATCACCGTAGCAAAAGACCGCATCCTCAAAGCAAGCAGCGCAACATATGAGATTAGAACATAGGAAATGGGAGATTATAGGGGCGGGACCCGTGGCGTGACCGCAACAGCGGCAGTTGCGACCACGGCGCCCCTCTTCCCCGGCGCCCCTGCGGCTGAACAACTCGAGCAGTCAAGTAGTGTGTGAGCGGGAGTGGCGGGAGTCGTAAAGCAGCAACGCCATTATCGGGAGGAAGGTCGTTTCGTTCAACAAGGGGGGGAATCATGGATCGATCATGGCGTCTAGCACATTTCACAGCATTCGATGCAGTCAAAGCAGCACTCGCAGGTCTCTTCGCACAGGCACAGACAGCACAGAGTGGCCAAGCTGAGCAGAGTGAGAGAAATGTTAGCGACGGAGGATCGGCTGGACTGCAGAGAGAAATGCGACAGATCGCTTACCAGGTTCCTAGGCAGCCACGGTCCTTCTGCTGAGGAGGGGGTTGCTGCTGGTACTGCATGGGTTGCTGGACTTATGGTCAGTAATGATCGCTGGAGTGGGATTCCGATCGCAACGTACGGGAGCATAGCCTTGGGGAGGAGGGCCGGGAGGGTATCCTCCCTGAGGGGGGTAACCCTGCTGGTAGCCTTGCGGAGGGTACTGGCCGTAACTGCACGGAAACGACGGGTTTAGCCTTTTGCGCAAGATGAGGAAGTCCGGGTTGATCCCCAAAAGACCGCGGTCGGATGGGCGCGGATCAGAGGAGTATCATGGCCAGTGACATGATACTCGACAGATGTGCCGGCCTAGATCCGCCACTGTTGTCCGAAGGAGAGGAAAACCCAAGGCGCAACAGCGGTGACCAAGGGCAAAGGAACCCGGGGCGCAATGGAAGGGAAAGGGAGACGACTTACGCCTGCTGAGGCGGAGGAGGGCCGTTGTAGTATCCTTGTTGAGACATGATGGCAGGGACGGATCTAGAGAACCAAGAGAAGCGAAGCAACGATGGTCAGCGGAGAGAAAGCTTGGAAGAGAGAAAAGAAGACGGGGAGTCGGGAAGAGCGTCAGTGTGAGTGGAAGCAGGCCGGGTTTGAGGGGGGAACCAAGTGGCTGAGAGAACCAATAATATTGGGGGGTGGCACATACCTAAGATTACGCCAAGATCAGGGTAGTCGGAAGTAAGACAAGAGTCGGTAAAATGGAATCAACGAGAAAAGAGGATGGGGACTCGAAAAGTAGATCAGAGCCAAGAAGAGAATGATTGGAGTGTAAGATTAAAGGAGGATGAGGAAGAGGAGAGAGAGAGAGAGAGAGAGTGTGTGTGTGTGGAAGAAGAAGGGGAAAAGGAAGAGAATGGAAGGAAATAAGCCTGCCTGTGATGAATTGATGGATGGCTGAGCTGATGCGAACCAGGCTGAGGCCGACTTTAGCCAGGGACAGTATGGTATGGTATGGTACCACTCCCTCCCAGACCACACTAGCCACCCTCTTCGATGGTGGTGGTATTGTCGTATTCGTACGGTTCCTCGACCACGAGCCAAATTGGATCGTGAGCGGCAACCCTTTTCTGTTTCGCGCCCCCACACATTATTGATTAACAATTATTGATTGCCAGGTGCTTGTTATCTGCCTTCATCACTCCAGAGTCCCAGACTGGCCAGACACTGACAGAGGTTCTGCCTTTGTTTCACCTGCAGCGCTTAACAGTCGTTCTACTAGACTAGGTAACTAAGTTAACTAAACTACCAGTGCTACAGTGTCTCTCATAATCAGGCCACTTGGACTGAACTGGACGGGACTGGATTGGCTGGCGGTGGACCACTCAGCCACACCGCAGCCCCAGCCCTACAGGAACCAACCAGGCACCAGCCACGGGAGTTCATCGTCAGTCCGACTGGGTCCCAGACCCTCTTCGTCTCCAATGACAGTGCCCAGACACGGACGGGCTTGTTGCCTTCCAATTGCCCCAGATCGTTCCAGATGCTGTTGAAGGTTGCTGAGCAAAATTGTAAAATGGGTTAGTGCCAGTCACCGCCCCCCCCCCCCCCCCCCCGGACTCATCGTTTCTTTTTCTCTTTCTCCGACCGTGACGCCGATTACACACAACTCCCTCCCTCCTGACTCCAGCCGCTGGGCGTCACCGCCATCATCTGGCACCGGACTCTCTTCGTCTAGAGATTCGGTATATAGTAAGTTCGAGCTACCAAGTATGTATCAACTGGGTGGGTCGGTCGTCGCCATCCCCCCCTTGCCCCTCACCGCTCAAAAGACCAGGGAAAGCAAAGGGGGTTGACCGCCCGACCACTCTTTCACGGCATCGCATTCACCAAATCAATATATTCAGGATTCTGAGTCTGGCTGACTGTCTGCTCATCACACATTATGTCGTAGCGCGCCCCCAGGGCGGCCCAGAGGGCGACGGGGTCGACCCTTGGCGTCTCAAAAGAAGAAAAAAGAGGATGGGGGGAGAAAAGATCCAAAGAGAAAAGAAGAAGAGATGATAGGAGAAGAGAAAAAATTGGGGAAAGGAGAAAGCAAGAATCATAGACAAGACGGTCCCACAAAAAAAATGTCCAGAGGTCCGAAGAATTAGTATCACATCAAGCTGGAGGCCAAGAATCAAACAGAGAAGAGAAGATGAGAAAAAAAAAATAAAAAATAAAAAATGAAAAAAGGCCCAAAAATGCAAGATTATTACTGAAGAGCTGGGCAAACCCAGGCACCGAAATGCGGTACCATCACACAAACGAGTCAATCTCAGGGGGAAGCGTCGGAGATTCAAAATAACAAGGGGTGGCATCGAGTGATACCTCCATGCCCATCACGGGAAACGTGACCATGGGGTCATACCCATCGATGAGGGCGGTCTCCAATCCCTGAGAAGGGATCTCATCAGCGGCCGAGGCCAGCGGCAACCCAGAGAATGGAGCATCCTCCGTGCCGACCACCAGCGGTGCGGCCGCCAGATCATCGCCTAATGAATCCTGGTTATTGTAATTCTGCGCGTTACCCAGAACGAACTCGGTCTTCTGCACCATCCAGTGCTTCAAGACATCCATAGGAGGATGGTTACCACCACCCTTACCTCCGCGCTTCTCGCTGTCTTTGCCACGACCTCCCCGACCGCGTTGGCAGGGGTTGAAGTGGGTGCGACGGAGGTGAGCAGCGGCATTATAATTAGCACCATATCGTTTGCCATTCCGGCAGGCCTTGCAATTGGCCAGGAAAGTCTTGTCAGGAGAGATGTCCACACAAACCCAAACCTTACGAACCACGGCGTGCACCCGCTCGATATGCCGACGCAGCTCGTGCTCCCCATGGAAGCCGTCCGGCTGGTCGTTACACATGTTGCAGTAGGTCTTCGGACGCGGGGGCCGTTGGATCGAAGCCTTGGGGATAGCAGCCACCTCCTTGGCCGTCCCATCCGAAGATGAGATCCTGATCATCTTATGCTGCTCACCCACCTTAGGCGGGGAGCTACTGTGCGGCTCCGCTTTGGGAGCAATAGGGCGAGCGCCCTGCACAATCTGTTCTTGAGCCCTGCGTGCTGCTCTCGAGGGTTGGGAAGTAGATGAGGGACTGTCATTCTCAGTAGACAATGAAAGCTTCATCTCCGTCGCCGGAGACGCGGAAAGGGCAGGGGCGGGTGGGTAGAATGGAGTAGAGGAGGGGGCGGAGCAGGAGAAAGAAACAGGGGCAGCGGCGTCAGGGTAGGAGAACGCGAGATCTTGAGAGGGATGCTGGTGCATGGGATTGAATGTGGTGGGGAAGGGAACATTCATCGGTGAGCTGGAGGGCATGAACTCGGTGGAAGGCACGGAGAAGGAGAAGGTAGAATCAAGATTCGGTCCGGAGGAATCGAACCTCATCATGCCAAACCCGCCGCATAGCGAGTCGGTGGTGGTGCTCCTGCTCATCCCCACCGCGGCCGGCTGGTCAGCCATGGTGGGGTTGGCCAGGGTGGTAAAGTCGGCCATCAGCTCAGGCTGGGCCTGAACCAACTGCGACCTTTGTTGGTCAAATCCGGAGAGCGTGGGATCCGCCGAAAGCGCCATAGAAAGAGCTGAGACATTCCCTTGGCCTTGGAAGTCATCCAAGTACTGCTTCGCGTACTCCGAGGGGGTATATTCGTTGACATGGTCAAGACGACGCTGCACGCGCTGAGGTCCATAAGAGTGTCGATGTCCCTTCACATTGGTGGCGGCCAGCGACGGGCGGTGGGAGGCCGGCGTTTGCTGACTCTGTGAGCGGACCATGGCCGTTTGTCGCGAGGACCCAGGACCGGAGAAAATAGCCGTGTTATCCTTCCGAGGATTCGTTCTGGACAGGCGCCGGGTTGTCTCAGGGGCTGCCGGAGAGGAAGCATGAGACAACTCGCGTGTCAGATCGACGGTCACTGGAGGTTCCGGAGTCTGCCATTTGTCAATCCAGGGACAGTTGGCGCGCGAGATGGAAGGAGAGAGACAGTGAAGTCATGGAGTAGCGCAGGAAGAACAGAATGGGTAGGGACGAAGACATGAATGGGAGGCGGGAGCAGAAGACCAAGGTGATTCACGTACGGTGACTCGTCGTTTCGGTGGGGGGAGACCAGAGCCAGGGAGAGTCCGGGGAGTATCCTGTCGCGTCCTTTTCCCAGACTTCTCGCAAGCAGCGCCGTCATCTTCGGGAACACCAGAGCCGGGAACCGGGCGATAGCTTGAGGAGGCATCGTACACGGATGTCGACGAAGAGGCCGTGGTGGTCATGAACTGACTTAATCGCTGACTCCAAAGTTGATTCCTCTCTGATTCCGGAAGGTGGGAGTGTCGAACCAAAAAAGCGTCCCGATACCCAGAGATAGCCCGTGTAAACAATTCGTCGTCGGCCATGGTGCCAGCCATAGTGGGTGGGGAGATCCTCTCTCTGCGTGTCGCCTCTATCACGTGGAGCAAAGGAAAGCGGGCTGCTATCAGTATTAAGTGACTGGAGGGAGTAGGAGGGGTTCTCTGCGGACGAGATGTTAGCAAATTGTCGTGACGATAGTCGAGTTGGAGGATGTGGTGTAACACAGCGGGCGAGACTGACTTGATCTCTAGAAACCTGCGAGGAAGTGGTATCGCTAGTGGATTGGAGAAGTGCTGATGGGACAAATGCGCGGATGCGGCCCCAGAGAGTGTAGGATGATTTGAGAGAGTAAGAATGGAAGACACCCGTGGAAGATATGGAGTAAATTGCAGGAGAGAAGCAATAATAGGAGTGGGAGGAGTGAAGAGATTTGAAATAGGAGGGGGACGGAGGGAAACGGCGGGAGAGGGAGTATATGAGGAACAAAATGGAGTGAGAAGAAATGTATGTATGGAGATCTCAGAGATTGACGATAACGATAAAGAATGAGGGACCCAGGGAAAGAGGGGAGGTTATCAATTTAACAGATCATCAACCATCCCCACACAGCTTGGGCTTGGTCGAATGATCGGGAGAGTCTAAGGTGAAACTAAGGTGAGGATTGGATCGGGAGAAGAAACGATGGGGAAAAGGATGTGGAAGAGAAAGTTGAGGAGGAGAAAGACGAGAGAGAGAGAGAGAGCGCGCGCAAAGATCCGTCAGAAGGGGAAGCATTAATTGCAGGTTGTTAGTTTGGGAGTTCCTCCTCCAGCACTGGCACCCATACGGAGTAGAGAATTGAAACTGGGCGGGGATAAAAAGATGGAGGGCCGGATTGGAGGGCGCAACGAGGGTTCCAGACCCTCTTGGGAGCAAAGAGGGAGGTGGGCAGAAATCCCTTATCCTTTTTTTTATTTTATTTTTTTTTTTTTCAAAGTAAAGATTTGTTTATTTTTCTAGATATTATCCTCATTACTATTCTGGAATCTTGTCGGAGTAAGTATAGTAAGTACTGTACTATCTCATTTGCGATGATCTTCTCAGGAGCTTAGTTATTCTTCTGGATCATCTTCTCCATACTTTACCCACCCATGGTGGGAAAAGCGAACAGGAAGAGAGAGAGAGCGACCAGCCATCAGTAAATTGGAAAGATACAAGGTATTGCAAAAGAAGAAAACAGAGACAGAGGAGGGGGGGGGGGGCAAAGGAAAGATAGAAAATGTACTCGATGGTGACAAAAGACGAGAGCGACCGAAAGATAGGCCGAGAAAAGGCATACTACGTCGCTACAGTATGGATTCTATCTCCTGTTTACATCCCCTACGAGTAGACTACACCATGATGCTATGAGATGGTGATCAGAGCACTAGTGCCAATTAGGCAATCCATCCTTTAGTCCACAGTCTAACTAACGATGCCCATATTCTGGCCATGGATGTCCTCCCTCTCTGCTCTATCCAGAAGAGACTAGATCGAGAAAGGGGGATGGTGACACGCTGACTGTTCAACCGAGCCCGAATGGGCCTGGTTACAAGAAATGGGTCAGGATACATCCCATCAATGATGGATGGATGGACGAACACGGTGTGTGCCCGAAAGTGAGGCGGCGAACCGGATGACAGCAGCCTCCACCCGGACCAGCAGGATGATGGATGCGCTGGAGCAACCAACCTCTGGATCAGTCATCCGTATGGTTATGATGAGATTATGTGCACGGGATTAGCTAGGTACTCGTACTAGAGTAGTTACGGAGTACGTAGGAATAAATGGAGTACCTCCGGGCGCAGTACCAGATACACCCACTGGCCGGTCTCCATTGCGGGTGGGACACCCCTACGTTGGCCGCTCTTTTCGCCCACGGAGGCGCCTACGGCGGTACAACTCCCTAAAGTAACAGGAACTTGGCCACCTTAGGCATCGAGCGTACCCAGGTACGTACGTAACTACTGACTATACTCAGCTCAATCCAGGCTCAGGACAGGAGTCAGGATGCCAGGATAGACCAGCTGCGCTGCGCCAGTCCGGAAAGTCTGCTCAATTTTCCCCCCTCGACTGTACGGCTGCCACGTCGATTCGGGCTACACCCGTTCGGGCGATTTCCTTACGCCTTTCTCATTGGATTGTCGGATTTGCTCCTGAAGTTGTCTTCTTGATCCATGATTAGTTACTAGGGATTCAAGTGTCGTATCTACCTCGCTTGCTCTGGGAAATGAACCCCCATTAGTTGGTCTTGCGGATCGCCCGGTGTTATCTTGCTCGCTTGCTGCCATGTCCTTTGATGAGCATCATCTACTGATGCGGAGCACATACCTCTTCCCCAAAGCGAGTTATGCCTTATCCTTCAGCAAAGCTCGGCGCTCTAGATTTAGCCCGCCTGTCAGATGAGTCAAGGTGGCAAGCTGGATCGATCATCATCGCCATTATCAACAATTCCATTATCGCATGCTCTGTCTCCTTCAAGTCGCGAAAGTACCTTTGTTGAATAAGAACCAGGGGCAAGCAGCAATCCAGGTACTTTCCCGGAACGAACCCGCGGTACCACGCGGGATTCACCCAAGGTTGTGTCGGTGTTATCTGCACATGGCCGACCCCGAGAATGGACACGATCAGTCAGCGCTGACTGCCAATTCTACGGCATGCCAGCCAGACGGACGTTGCGGTCAATGGCCATCAGCCAGTGACGAAAGACTTTCTGTAAACTGTCTTGTCTTCCTGAATTTCCCGGATCATCCCTGGGGGCGCCGTAACCGGCCGATCTTAAGACTATCGATGACGGGATCGATTATTTTGGGGAGGCGTGGGGCGAGGGACGACTTGTGCCGCCAATCCCCAGTCCAGACGGCAAGCAATCACATGACTACACGTGATCTTCTCCTGTCTAATCTCTCCGCTATTGTACGAACTATCGATTATTGTCGTAGGCGGTGGACACCACCAGACTAACTCACATTTAGTAACTGACCAGCTGGCTGGTGCTCCTTCTCCTTCACTCCTTTATGTGTTGGCGTTTCAGCTTCGCAGCAGTAGTCAGTATCAAAAGTTTCCCCCTACTCCGGTTCCTACCACGTAGGGCGGAAACAGCTCGAGACAACGGCTCGAGACAAGCCAAACTGAGTTTGAGGAGTTTGCTCTTTCTTACTCCGTAGATCCTCAAACATCCTCCCCGCCCAAGTCTCTCACCGAACGTCCTCCCCCTCCCCCTATTATCTATTCTCGTCTACGGAGTACGTTTAGCGGTCAACCCGCGATTCTTCCATCATCCAACCCGTTGTTTCAGCGTCCACCGCCAACAAAACCCCGAACCCACACCACGAAAGTCACCGCTGGTCGTGTGCGCTGTAGTCTAACGATCCCTGGAAATGGCAAATCAAAGTGATTCAAGGAGGGGTTGAGATCAATGACTTTCCTGCTCCGTGGCTAATCCAAACTACTTTGAATTCGAATCAATCAGGCCCATAGTTTGACTTGTAACGGGCAAAAACGGCATTCATTCATGATCCATCCATCCCACTTCACCACCCCCCACGCTCCACTTCCACCGGCTATAGATTATTGTCCCTGAGTTCTTATTTCCTTTATTGGTTTTTAACTGTTTCGCAAGCCAATCAGCGTGTGAGCGCATGGTTCTTTCGAAGAACCTTCCATTCTGACACCTAAGAATTTTTCCGCACAATTGGCACCGGTTTGCGAAGGGCCGTTTGCCCCGCGGATGAGATAAACCACGACGAGACAGCGAGGGTGGAAGCCTCGTATACAACACCCTAATCACTCCCATGAATCGGCGTGAAAGTGGGACGAAGTGGAATAGTACATGTGTTCGAACCTCATCTAAATTCTCAACCACAAACCTCTCGATCGTGACAGACGGGTGACAAAGAAAGGAGTAATTGATTAACTAACTAACTACCTAGTCAAACTAATCGTTGAAGACCATTCTACTAACTAAGGAGCAACAACGGAGCATACTACCATGGTTCTTCTTCCCCCGGGCACAGTCTTCTGCCCGATAAACCTAGATAGATTGGAAGACGAGACTACGACTGTGTTGGTTCTTCTATCCCTGCTGGTGGGCGATAAGTTCCAATTCTGAACTCCCACGACTGGGACGGTAAACATGCTCTCGAAGTGATTACCGTAAACACTTAAGAACACCAATCATCATTTAGAAGTCTTTCCAAAAAGAAAGAGGTGGATTCAATTAAAGTCCTATAGTGTTAGACTACGTTGACAGACCCAGTACAAAGGACAATAGTGAATGGCCCCGACAAAAATAGTACGACTGTAGACGATGACGCTATCTCTCAAACGCGAGTGGAGACACCAGTCGTTCTGTCTGCTAACAAGAAAAGCACTCTCATTCGACCAGACCCTTAAAACGATCGGCGCCGCCAGCTGGAGACGGAGACCCCCAGACGTTTTTTTTTTCTTTTTCTTTCTTGGCCCTTTCCATTTCGGCCTTTGATCGGCGATTTTTCCCTGAAGGGGGTAAAGTGAAGACACTGGTAGTGGATGATAGGCTGGAATTGATTCTGCACTTGGATCAACTAATCCCTTTTCTTGCTGTACTATCAGTGATTCTATGCAGGATGGCGCACATCGAGCGGCAGTAAAAACCAACTATTCTATATTCTGGGTAAGATAGATTGGCTATGGAAGCACGTAAGAAGGTATTGGAGTATTTCCGGGTTGCCTTTGAATGGAAACTCATTCATTATCTGGCGCGGCTGCTCAACCTAGAGTGTGTAGTTGAGGACAAAGAAATGAATCACAGGAGCAGCAATTACAAGCTAGATCCCGGAAGAGATTGGGTTAAATTTAGACAGGGGAGAATTTGCGCCGGAGGAAAGCGGGATTGTTTTGATCGAGAGAGAAAGAGATGGGGGATTTTGGCGGGGGTCGTCTGATCGGGAAGATCATCATCATCATCATCATCATCAATCAATCAATCAATCAACCAAGAATGGATGAATGGAGTCCTGTCCTCCGTCCAATGTTCGACTGGCATCATCAGTATCGTACCTAAATTTATCATCTGTTTGAGACCTCCCCATGACAGCATCGTTTTCCTGTGTCCTGGTGAAGAGACCGACGAGATCCTCCCCCCTCCCGCGTGCCCAAAGCAAAAGGCGATGCCTTACTGTGATCCCTGTATAGCCGGGACCAGAAGCTCAGATCTCAAAAGCACGGTTTGTAAGACGAACCGCAGTGGGCACTACGGGGAACAACTGGAAGTACTGGACATATCGTACCTCAGCTGCCAACTGGTTAAGGCCGCCGATGCCTGAACTGCCAAAGCGACGATTCAACCATCCAGGAATGGATAACTGTGTCGACGAGCATCGATGGCCTTGAATGATCAACTGACTGCCCTAGCTGCCTCGCTCGCTCCCTCCGTGTTGATTACCAAGCTGGTGGGCCAAAGCAACCAACTCTGTGGTGTGATGGCTTCCCAATAAATCTCCTTATACCCGACCACCAGAGACGAGCCTGTCTGCCCGGGCGTGTTTCCTGTCAAACATTCATTCTAGAGATTGCGCCTGGTCACAGCCACCTGTTCCCAGTTTTCGGCCCGCTGGCTCGATCTGAATGGGTGCTATGACCGCTTGCAGTCACCGCGCCCAGAGGCTCCTCCCTCCCTCTCCCTCCCTCTCTCTGCTGGATCGATTGTGTCGGTTTGCACAAAACTGGACGCGGTGATGACGCGGCTGACCAGACTGAGCGAGCTGGTGATAGCCTCTGGCTCATGATTGCTTGCTAAGCCTTGTGCCTCGATAATCAAGCCGTGCGAGCTGCGGAATTTTGTTGCATCCGCCTCGGTGTGGCTATGTTTACGTCTGAGCATAGGTGAAACGACTCTTCAACGATCGTAAGCCCTGCTAGGTTATTTGTCGGTGCGATGGCCACATAGGCAGCATCTTTGCACGGGACGCTTGATCTGAGACTGGCGAACAGTACAGCAGCTACGATCACCACTATGCCGCGGGCTTCGCTTGGCTTACGATGAGTGGGCTTAGGACCAAGTCTCCCATACTTTATGCTCAGTTTTCAATGGACAGATAGTCTTAGCAGATGGTGGTATGATATGGTCGATTTGCATCACGGGGGCGATAACATCTAGTCGGCTCAGCCTGAGCTCTTTTCATCATGTGCGCGCTCGACGAGCTCCTCGGTCCATGAGTCTGCAATCACCGCCCCTCCTACACTCCACTATCAATGAGTTCGACGATGAATTCTGTCCAACGGCTACATCGAATAAGCATATTGACATGCTATGGTGGATGATCTTTCTAAAGAGCTTTCAACTGATTTCAGGTGACCTTAACCAGCAACACTGTTCTCAGCCGCAGATGCCCATCAAATTTCTTAGGAATCTGACGAGACCCTAGTACAGATGATCAATGCCACCCTGTGAAGGGTCATCATAACACATTTTCGTTTCGTTGCGATTCGATTCGATCCTGAGCCTGCCATGTTCGAACTGTTATATGTCTGCACCGAGTCGGTTCCGAGGGAGGGGCCCGGCAGAATCGTGGATTTTATCCTTTTACTGATTACAGGTCATTTCATTCTCCAGCGTCGATTCGCATCTGGACCACTCAGTGGATCGCGACCTTGCGGAACGAGTCAATGTACACAAAGAGTGTTGCCTCCGCCAATTGATGTGGGACATAGCAATTCATGGAGCGCTCCTTCCCTCACATTCGGGTAGCACAGGTAATTCAATCCCTGACGGCTTTGTGTGGAACATTATCCCTCGAGGATCTGATTCCTTTCATCTACAGGGGTTAACCCAATGTCAGCAGTCTACCGCAAAGTCGGGTAGGACAAGCCAGGGATGCATCCGCTATTCATCGTTTGGTTTCGAGTTACAAGATGAATTTGTATGCTGGGAGCGATTGACCATCAGTGTGGGCGAGTGCAGAGACTGAAGAGCACCTCGGGATTCTGGTCTGCAGCACTATTGCACATGAGGGGCACATGCTGGAAGTTGCCGACGACCGACAACTGGATATGAAGTCATGCGCAACCAAGGCGCGGATAATCAGTAACCAGACAGTCAGTGATGGGGCTGGATGACATCAAGGGCGAAGTCTCTGGCGCATCCGATGGGCAGCGATCGATCGACTCAGTATATATGTACGAACACTTCGCCTGGCGGATTCGCAATGAGGCCAGGAAAATATACTATGTATGTGGATAGAGAAATGCCCAGTACCGCCACTACGCGACACGAAGGGCCAAACAAAGCTACAGGAGACAGGTTCAGTACAGTAGACGAGTAACAATTGCTTTGGATGGTCTCCGATCACCGTCCGGGTATCAGTCGGACTGACGTCAGCTTGCCACTTGCACGGTGACAGATCCCCCACAATCGGTCGGAGAGAGAGGGGAATGCGATATATAGTCGACAGGACATCCCTTACTCTTACCCTCTTTCCTAATCCATTCTCCCTGATGCTTCTTCATTTAAAAATAGATGAAATTTTATGATCGATCGGTTGGTCATACAACAATAGTCTAATCTATCTATCAGTCCTCCAATCTATTTGGGAAAGAAGAAAATAGAAACGAGGAAAGGGGTCTCCTTTGAAAGGGTGAATGGCCAAAATCACCACGTGACCTGGTTTTAAGGGGCCAAGTTCGAGCCACGTCATAGCATTTTGGGTTTTCACATACGGTTTGTACGGCGGTGAAGTTGTTTGTTGGAGTAAGTAAAGGGGGAAAGCAGAGGAAAGGGAAAGCGGAAACATCCAAGAGTCCCAGAAGTGGAAACCGGGCAAGCAACCGTCTGGAAACGATCGTCATTCTTTCTCCTGCAACTTACCCCTTCACCATCCTACCCACTACCATCACCACCACCACCACCTACTCACTCAGGTCGATTCTATCACACGCATATCATCATCAAAAAGAACCTTCTCGATCCCACTCTGGTCTATCCCACCATGTTCGAAGACTCAGACAACAATCTATACCTCTTTACCTCCCTTACTGCGGGGTCATCTCACATCGTCACCGCGACGGCGACTCTGGAGAGGATCCTCAAGGCAAACAAGCTGCCTTTCCTGGCTATCGATGTCGCAACCAACGATGTCGCTCGCAAGCTCTGGGGTCGTCGCGCCAAGGGCAAGAAGCTGCCGGGTCTAGTGAAATTTGGCAGCGTCGTTGGGGTAGGTACCCCGCATCACTTTTGGCCACCGCGGGGGTAGGGAATTGCCCACCCTCCCCCCTTCTCTTGTCACACGCATCCGCAGACGCTGAAGACTAACCGTCTCACACTATAGGACTTGGAAGAGGTCGAAGACTGGAACGAATATGGCGAGCTCAGAATGCAGATCGACAACGTCCAACCCCTGGACAGCGTCTTCTTCTCTAGCACGGTCGCCCAATCCGAACCTACCACCCCCGCCGTCTCTACCCCTACCACTGAATCTCCCGCCGTGAAACAGAGCACAATCAAGATTCAAAGCCCTCCCGCGAAGGAAACCCCGAAGGATGAATCCGCCACCACCGCCATGCGCCTGGCCAGTGAGGAGGCCGCGGCCAAGGCCAAGGGCCAAGCTACGAACGGCGACGCGAAGAACTCCACGACCACCACGACCACGACCAACAACACAGTGCCGGCAGCTGCAGAGCAGAAGCCGATCGAGCCCACTGCGGCGAGCGTGGACGCTCCCGCCGCGAAGGAAGATACTGCACCTGGGGCCGTAGATATCCCTGCCACCCAGGAATCGAGACCCAAGCGGCCGCCGTTGTTGGTGCCCGAGATCGCCGCCGAGTCGTCGGCCAACATCCGCGCTGACGCTGCTGTCGTTGAGCACCACCGTGGTTCCATCGTCTCGGCCACCTCGCCTGAGGAGCAGGCCAAGGTTGCCCATGATCTGCGCAAGTCGATTTCTGGAGGTCACCAGGAACTTCTGAACTCGCTGCGCGAGGATGTTGCGGCTGGAGCCAAGCAGGAGGAAACGATTGAGGAGGAACCAGAAAGTGGCGAGCAGCAAGAAACCGCTGCACCTGCGATGGCGACTGCCAGCAAAGACAGCCACTAGAAAGATGGTAACTTGCGCGGTCCAGTCAGAGACTCAAAGGACCTATGCATGATCGCTTGATCCCTTCTACATTCTATGTACAGATACCAGAACTTTATTCCTTTTCTTTGATTCTTGTTTTCTTTTTCTTCTTTCCTTTTCTCATTCGAAGACTGTATGCTTGAATCTGTATCTTCACTATTGCCACAGAATTGCAAATGGCTGTCAGCACATATTTGTAGTTCCACCATCGCATCATCTCGCCGTCTTGCAGCGAAACCCACCCCAGGCTAGGTAGCCTTGACTATTTACTGATTTTGTTCGGGTCTATAACATACTGATAAGAGGACTAAGAATCCGAGCAGAATAGAAAGGGAGAAACAAATTAGACACCAAACCCCTTGAAGAAATGATGCTGAATATGCAGAATACAAACAAAATACTCCCCCGACTTCAAATATAGGGACACGAAACTGGAATGAGATTCAGGATATATTTACTCTTGTTTCCCATTGTTGTTGCGGTACTTGTTCACCGCCTGGCGCAGCTTCTCGATGACGTCGGCGGGATCCTGCGCGCCGAACACCGCCGACCCCGCGACGATGACGTTGGCGCCCGCCTCGGCCGCCTGGTCGATCGTGCCCACGCCCAGCCCGCCGTCAACCTCGATGTTGAGCTCCGGGTACCGTTCCCGCAGTGCCTTCACCTTGGGCAGCTCCGAGGCCATGAACTTCTGTCCGCCGAAGCCTGGATGCACGGTCATAACGAGGACCATCTGTTGATTTTTTTGGATGTTAGCTTGGTTATTTGGAGGTTTGGTTTGGGGTCTGAGGGGTATGTGAATGGGTGGAGGAATGTATGGTTGGAGGTCTTTGAGGGTTTTGTGATGATGAGGGTCTGGGTGATGTTGTTGTTTGTTGTGTGTGGGTATATGGTGGGTGGGCTGCTGCTTATCAGGGATCACGCACATCCGGCTTCTCCTTCGCGTCTTCACTCTCCAGGATCTCCCAGAGCACGTCAACGGGGGTATCGGGCTTGATGGCGATGCCAGCCTGCATGCCTTCGTCGTGGATGTAGCGGATCAGTTCCTTGGGCGAGGTGTGTCGCGTGGTCGTCGAGTCCGCGGGCTCGGTGGCTGCCACCGATGAGACGGCCGCTTCGTAGTGGAAGCAGTACAGGTCGCAGCCGGCCTTTTTGAATTCTTTGACCCATTTGTGGGGCTAAATTTGATCTCTTGTTAGTGAACGGGTGGTGATATGTAGGGTTAGGGGGTTGGGTGGATTGTTGAGGCAATCTGGGTTTTTCTTCTTGAGGGGGTGAAATGCGAGGCGCTCACTCACCTCCTTGATCATCATGTGGCAGTCGAAGGTGCCCTTGCCGTGGGCCTCCGTGGGACGCGCAACATGCGACCGGATGGCGGAGACGACCGGCGCGCCGAAGGTGATGTTGGGGACGAAGTGGCCGTCCATGATGTCGACGTGCAACCAGTCCGCACCCTGGGCGATCTTCGTTGAGCATTCGCTGCCCAGGGTGCCGAAGTCGGCGCTCAGGATCGAGGGGGCGATGATCGCTGGGGGACACATTGTTTTAGCAGTGAGTCTGGGGTCAATTGGGTTGGGAGTGGAGGGTTGGGGTGAGAAAGGCTCAAGAATCGTACGGTATACACGGAGGAGGGGAAGTATGAGGGGACCTCATCTTCAGGTTCCCTGCTCCGGTCGACGTCAGTCCGGGGAGCCCGATTGGGAAAGACGCCGGGCTGATAAGGGCTAGGGTCGAGGTTTGCACGTGGAGGTTTTAGCCGGGCCTGATTGCCTGAAGTTACTGGGTTCAGCTGTCAGGCATCCAAATCGGATAGATGACGGGAGTCGACTAACCTCCGGATGTCTCGCTTACTTCCTCCTCGTTCGACTGGCTGTCACTTTATCGTTTTCTGCATCTTCCCTTCGACGATGCTGGTCGAGTGACTCACCAGCACTTCCTGCTTCCTTGCACAGGCTGGGCTATCCTTGTCCTTGCTCGTCTTCCCAAAGTGGCGATGTTGTGCCATCTGGGCTACCTAGTATTGTGCATCGCGAGCCTTGATAGGTGGGACGCGGAGTCTCTTCAAAGGGCGTCAACTTTAGCATTGCCATTCTCATTCGAGTTGACGCTCGGTGGATTGGAAGCATTCTTCATGCTCTTCAAGTCTTGGACATCATCACGAGTTCATTAATTGCGGGTCTCCAGAGGACTTTGATCGCCTGAAGCGAACTCCGACCATCACCACCGTCCGGAGCTTCCTGTCTAAAGATAGCCCCCGGGCGCTTACAGCCAGCCAATCATGCAAACCTCCCCTCACCAGCCCAGAGCTCCTGTTCGTGGACAGTCATGAGGTGCAGACACCAAGAACCTCCAGCAACCTAATTGGCACATTCGACCCCCAGACCTATCTGTTGTCGCCCATCACAGATGGTCGCCCATTGGGATTTGTCCTTGCCGAAGCGCCGACTCGGTCAACACCAATGATAGTATCTTCAGGCTTCCTACTTGCAGGGATTCTCGGGTGCTTTGTGCACAATGTTGCAGTAGTTCCTGCGTCCTGGGTGGCAGGTGTGAAGGCCTTCGCGTCCGATCGCTGGCCTTCCCCTCCTTTCGGCGGTCTATTTATCGGTGTCCTGCGCTGCCGATCGAAGATGGTGATCTTCACCTAACCTTTTCTTTGTCTCTTTGGCTATAGCATCTTTCCTTTTCTTTCTCCTTTTGCATCGTTTGATCCGTGCCTTCAGCTCTGGAAGCCAGGCCGTCAATCGCTCCTGTCATTAACCACGTACTCGTCAACCTGTTGATCAGTGTTGAACGCAGCTAAGGTACCCATAGAAGGCTCTCCTGGAGTTAGTGGCTTGGTTTTAGCCTTGATCTTGTCTTTGGATCACCTACTGTAATCGAAGCATTAGCATCTTGGAGCAGCGTCATGGCCGACATGCAGTATTCTGCAGCTTCGAGCTGTCCACCCCTACGGCAGGTCCGAGGGACTCGACTCGATACTATACCGGAGGACTCGCGCGAGACACAGTACACGGAGCAGAAGGAGCCGGCCGCACCCAGGACCCAGAAGCCTGCGACGGTTCCTCGCTTGAAGCTGAAAACTAGCGGCCTCTCCTTGGGGTCCTTGAGGTCCAATCGTTTCTTTTCGCCAATATCTGCGGGCTCCGTGTCCTCCTGCTCGGATACAGAATGGCAGCAGCAGATGAAGCCCTTTGAAGATCTCTATGATGCCACAGACGAGGAATCGGTCACGAGTGACGATTGCACTTCATTCGCCAGCACCCGACCGACAAGTCTGACAACTCCGACGACACGAAATTCTATGTTGTCACCGATTTCTCGTAAACGCTACCCGAGCCTGACTATTCCGTCTACGACGACGTGGCCCTCACTACAAGGAGCTTGCAAGAGTTCGCCGATTCCTCCAACACCGCCCTCCAAGATACCAGTTTCTCCAGCAGCCTTATCATTTCTTGGTCGTTCTGTGCCTGCCGTCCATGCCCCACCGTCTCTGGACGGAAGTATATCTTCTGACCAGGTGTCAAACTTGAGTGCTCCGGCTACTCCAGATTTGCAGTCTCTTCCCGATCATGACTGGTCCTTGCCCGATGTTCATGTTCGACCAGACCTGGAAGATGGTGAAGACGTCGGCATTCCCACTCTAGGTGCAGATCCAGATGTTCAAAGCATTGAGATTGCCTTCGACGCTGCGAGTGAGGATCTGGCTCAGGTCCTGGGAAGGTTTCCTCGCATCCCTGGTCAGGTAACGCCACCTGCCTTCGACTCAGAACCGGATTTGGTGCGCGGAGATACGCCTTCGGATGCAGGAGTTCACCTTCCCGAGGATGCTTTGGAGACTTTGAGGCATCTGTCGCTCAATAGGCAGCCCGATCCTTGGTCAGAAGCATCCGATAGCAACGATGAGATGTGGCAAGTCGAGACGCCGCCGCAGCGACCCCGTAGCGCTGATGGCGCAACTCCTGCATCGGAGCTTTCCGGTTATAGCTTTAGCAGGCTGAGCATTCCGTCGCCAGGCGGCTTCTTTGCTTCGTTGGCGCCCCGCGCCCGGCACACCTGGGCCATTCCGAATGGGAACAAGCCACCCAACTCTGCCACTGCTGAGAGGTTCTACAAACTACCCTTTTCCCGTACTGAGGGTGAGATTGTTGAGCATGTCATCGATTATCCGGAGAGAGCAACGGACGAGGAGTTGACGGCAGTGTACGACCCAAATGGGCCGCCAACTGCCATTAGGATCCCCGCAGAGGTCGCTCTCGAGTCCTTGGACATGTTGAAGAGCCCAGTGAGCACGGTCGTTGACGAAATGGATCACGCTCAGGTGTCCGCTGCGCTATCAGATCAAACCGAGCTAGATGAGGATTATGAAGCGGAACTCAAGAAGAAGGCGATGTCAGGCTTGGATAGGACCAGTGTTTGGCTGGCAGCTCAAGCTTCTTACCTAGCAGCATTGAATGAGACAAATCCCGCCAACACCATCGACAAGGAAAGCGACGGCGAAACTGAAGCCCCTCAGAAGGTTACCCAACAAGTTCCAAGCTCTCTGGCCCGCAAAAGATCGGTCAAGTTCACCGGAATGCTCCCACCTGCCATCAGCTCGCAACCTTCCCCTCTGGCAAGTAAGGATTCGATATACTGGAGAGGATTCCAAGCACTACGTGAGCAATCGAGCATTCAAGACACTCACGTACATCAGCACGCTCGCTTTGACGCTATTCAGTCTGTTCGTGTCGGTTTGACCGGTTTACACGTCGACTGCCTGATGGGAAAGTATGAGTTGGTTCCTACTCAGCGTCCCGCATACAAGGGGCCCTTCCAAATGGCACCTCGCAATTCGACGCTTGACTCGGCTCGCATGGAGAGGGCTCAGTTCTCCATGGTTGAGAAGGAGCAGTTGGTGCTGTCCCAGATCCGTCAGGCTGTGTGGGCTATGGATTCACTAAGGTTTCTTAATGGAGGTCGCATGCTTATTAGCCCTGCATCGAGAAAGCTTCGTGGCTCGAGCCGATTGCCAAAATTGTCAGCAAATGCTAGCCAACGCAGTATCCGAGTTCTAGATCTTGGGGGCCATGCGTCGTGTGAGTGGGCATGGCAATTTGCCTATGACTACCCCGATGCGAAGATTACCACGGTCTACACCAACAATCAGGAGGTCAACCGCGGAATCAAAGGGCGTTGCAATCACCAACAGGTCGCTGTTGCGCAGCTGTGGAAACTTCCTTTCCCGGACAACAAATTTGATGTGATCTCGGCTCGTTCACTTCCGGCTTTGCTGAAGAAGGAATGTCCGAGCGGGGAGATCTTGGATGAGTATGATCTGTGTCTGAAGGAGTGCCGTCGCTGCCTCAAACCTGGAGGCTATCTCGAGTACTTCATCCTGGATGCTGAGATCTCACGCGCAGGTCCTCAGGGATCTGCTATCTCAGCAGACTTTACTGCCAATCTCAAGGCCAGGGGCTATGATTCCATGCCGTCCAAAAGCTTTCTGGGCCGCTTGCAGAAGAACTTCACAGACATCAAGCGAGCCTGGGCCTTCCTACCCATGGGGATTGAGCCTACTAAGGTCGAACCACCTCGGGAAACACCCGACCCACGAGTGAAGAGTCTTGCTGGAGATTGCGAAGCGATACAAGGTCCTGTCGGCAGTACTGCCGATATTGCCAGTATCACTGGAGTGCTTGGAGGATGGCTCTGGGAACAGTGGTATGTGAAGCTGCAGCAGGAGATGGGAGTTGATCGAGAGAAGCTGCTCGCAGGCGTGGGAGCTGTGTTCGATGAGAGCCGTAAGAACGGAGCAGGCTGGACCTGTTTATCCGGATGGGCGATGAAGCCACGGCGTCGAAGACGACGTGGCGGTCAACCGAAGGGGAAGGGGGTGAAGAGCCCTTGCATGTGATTATTTCATTCTTTTCTTTATCTGCCTTTGGTCTGGGCCCAGGTGGTCCGTTCCGTCCTTCGTGATACCCCCTACCCGCCCTGGTTGGCGATGCTTAATGTAATAATTGTGTGTCGAGTGAACGTGCCCATGATTGGAACGTTCTATTGTGTTTTTCTTATGTGCAATGAGCTGATGTGAATGGGACATGGGAGAGCATCTAGTCAATCTTTGTCTAGGTTCGATGCGGCCTTTAACAGCGCCCTACAGCCAAATTGATGGAAAGTTATGGTCACAATAATAATAAAAATCCTCTTAGGAGGTTGATCTTTCTCGTATACTTGGAACCAGTATTTCGAACTTCGTCGCCGCCTGGAAATAACGGCCTACATTGTCCTCGGCCTTTTCGTGTCCCGTGTCTGGGTGCCTTACGTTATATATGTATACCTCAAGACTATAATAGTAAGTCCGCTAGATCTGAGCAGGAAGCAACCTGCACCAGAACACATGGGCCAAATCGACGCTGACCGTCAACTTCTCCAATATCATGGTAGCTTCAAGCAACCGGTCACTTCAGAAAATGAGCGTTGGGATACAGCGGTCATAGCACCTATATGAAGAGGTAATAATAGTCGGTCGAAACGCTTGTATGCAAACAATAGAACTGGGACGACGCTCTAGACCTTCTGGACCCTCTTATGGTAGTACCCCATGATTGTAGTCCTGCACGGGATGATGGAGCATCGGTAAATAGTAAATTGGTACAGCAACCGGGGCCAAATTGAATTATTGTCATGTATATATCCTCCACGAGCATCTCACGGGACGAAGACACGTAAGAGGAGACTGTAGAGTTTTCAACAAAGCATGAGTCGACATCACCTGAAAAGGTTGACATTGAATCCAGAGTAGAAGCTATCGTTGTCAGTATACAGCGGATCACAGCTAAGCGATATCGATTGAGTCGCATAACAAAGCCGTGAGGGGCAAGGATAGTATGTTGAGATGGTGCTGCCCAGCGCGGCAGTGCAAGCACATATCTTATGCTTATATTAAAACATTCCATCCAAGCCCGGATGGTCTAGTGGTATGATTCGCGCTTCGGGGTAAACAAACCAGAGTATGCGCGAGGTCCCGCGTTCGAATCGCGGTTCGGGCCCATATTTACCTTTTTCTTTTTCTTGGTTTGCCGCCTGCTTCAAGGTTTCTCTTATTTTTCATCATCTTTTTTTTCTCCCTTCCCCATTCATTTAGAAGGAGAATTGACAACGTATTCAAACCCAAGTGCTCTGCAGTATTCACTTCAATAGCGGAAGGTCCCACCCGTCCCGAGAATTTTTTGTTACGTTCTTGCCCCGCACCTGCTTGACTTGCATGCAGACAGACAGACATTTACATTTTACATGTACTGTTATTGCAGATGAACTCCAGCTATTACCATCAAGAGTGTGACTCGTGTGTAAAGTAACACTCATAACTCATGTTTACATGACATCATCACAGCCCGGATGGTCTAGTGGTATGATTCGCGCTTCGGGGTAGTTATAAGTCTGACTTATACATGCAAACCAGAATATGCGCGAGGTCCCGCGTTCGAATCGCGGTTCGGGCCCGTATCTTCTTTTTGCTTTTCTTTTGTCTATTGTGCATTTGCATAAATCCTCTGTTTTGATATAGGAACCTTCGATAGAAGGTCTCTAGCATGTTTACATACTGATTCAGGCTGATTTGTACCTGCAATGACTCCGACTGTGTTCCATCTGTCTAGTTACGGGCTCAGATTGAACTCACAAAAGCCGTGCTTGATAAGCGGTGCCCGATTCTCAGACGGGCTTCTTGTACCTGCCATGTTGGCTTTGAACTGCAATCTAGTTTGCTTATGCTTTATATCGTAAAACCAGAGCAAGAAGAAGATTGAATCCTGGACTCTACAAGTTCCATGGCTTGTTCACCAGTATTATAGAGCGATAGATCGTGCCGTCGAGGCAACCGTAATGACTAAGTGATAAGTCAGCATCTGATAGCGCTGCTCACGTGCCAGTCCTGATAATCGCAGCAGCAGCAGCAGCACTCAGTATCCCCGAGCCGGACAAGACTTATACAATTAGTTCATAACTCGATCTTTCTCCCCGCCTCAAGCTCTCAACGCTACCACCACGACACCGCTGTAGCTACCGGAAGAGCTCTACCCCCTCTTCCCCCCTCCACTCTTTAGGACGCGACTCAATCCCTCAATGCTGAATTGACCTCCGATCAACCACACTAAACGCTACCCTCACTCTTTCCCTCCACCCACGCAGACAAGCTAGTCAACCGCAATCATGCTCTTCTTCAGGTACCAACGCCGCGCAGCGCACCTTTCCTCTTCCCAATTCACTCTCCAACTCATCCACTAACCATGCTGACTGGAAACAGTTTCTTCAAAACCCTCACCAACCAGACCGTCACCATCGAGCTGAAAAACGACATCCGCATCCGCGGCACTCTCAAGTCCGTCGACCAGTACCTGAACATCAAGCTCGACAACGTCGATGTCCTCGACCTGGACAAGTACCCGCATCTATCGTCCGTCAAGAACATGTTTATCCGGGGTAGTGTGGTGCGCTACGTGATGTTGCCGCGATCTGAGGTGGATATCGGCTTGTTGGAGGATGCAACGAGGAGGGGTGAGTTTTCTTTCCCGGTTCCCCAATCAATTCTAGCTCCCCGGAGAGTCGGGTGCTAGGGGCTATACAAATGGGGCTTCGGCAGTGCGCTAATGCTCTTTGGTGATAATAGAAGCTGCGAATCAGGCTGGAAAAGCGAAATAGATACGAATACGAAAGGTGGAAGACTTGGGAGTTCGAGTAAGGGAGGATCTGACTCGGCGTGGAATCACGGGGGAGTGAGATATCCTCTGGGGCTTTTGCTCGGGCCCTTCGAAGGTTACATTATGTTATGGCATGTTCTACTTTTCTATAATTTTATCATGATGTCATGTTGCATTATTTTATGGGGGTGTGATTTACTTGGTTCATGCTGGTTCGGAGACCTTACGGTGCGTATTGTGATCTGGGGGCTGAGTTGGAATGGGTCAGGATGGGTGGGAAGGTATTGATGGCGATGGATACCGAAATCACAGAAGGGAAAACGGATTGGTGAGGATGGTGAAGGAGCATGTGGCTTGAATGCCATCCTTCGAGTTCTTCGCTCCCTTTCTCGAATTCGACGTCGAAGGAACGGTCAAATACGTCTTGAACGGGACTGCGCAACATCGGTGCGGGCAAGGCCCTGCTGAAATTGCCACGCGAAAGCTCAATTGCACGAACAGCATATAAATTTGGGATGGTTCCGTCACATGAAGCAAGCGCTTTGTCGAATGGCTGGGGCTTTATTCTGCGGGGTGCACCCAGGACTAGATACAAAGTCTGCCTTTGTTGCTGCGCCAGTCACGGATGAGCCTTCTTCGGCGCAACACCGCCTCTGACTCAAGAACACTCTCTTGCTTGAGTTCCGAGCAGATGCGTGCATTTGATCGAGTTGCATCAACCTTTGTCTCGATCGTAGTTCTACGCCCAGAAACTATGGGCAAGGCTGCGCTTACCTAAGCAGATATATGTCTCTGCAACGCATTGTTGCATGCTTGGTGAAAGGTTAAGAAGTTTGCTTGGAAGAAGCCTTTGCATGGTCATTCTGCACCAAGATTATCCTGTAAATATGCATTGTCCGGACTGGATACCTTGTTCCCTTTTATGTAGTACTAAGCCTCGATTGACATCATTTCTTTAATAGATTCTCCGCACGTGACTTCGTGTCGCGAAAATCGTTGAGTTTCTGCCGCGCCGCGCCTCCATCCTCCGCTTTCCGTCCTCGAGTCCCATCTACAGTTCGATCTGTTTGCTTGATAATGCAACAGAACCATCTATATACCCCAACACCTATTCTACTCGACAATTCGGACATGCGAACATGTTAGTTGACATATAATCGACTGCATAACCCACCACATCCCCTTTCGATAGAATTCGCTCGCCCATAAAGACCTGCAGAAGCATGGCAGGATCCGGCACCAGGAAAGGCTCGACACCAGCCAAGGTGCCCTTTGGCGCAAAGTCCCAGACTCCAGCGAAGCGCAACGGCAGCCTTCTGAACTTCTTCCAAAAGGCCGATGGACCCCCCAAAGCCACCTCGACCCAGCCCCGGATCACACAGTTTGCCACCAAGACCGCCCGTCCCGCCGCGAACGGCCCCAGCACGCCGACCCTGCGCAGACAGGGCAGCTCCACGGTTAGCAATGGCGCAGGCGGATTGTTTCTCGAGGACAGGAACGCGAGCAAAGCCGAGGCGGCGTACGCAACCTCCGAACCCGAGAGAGCCACACGGTCGAAAACCCCGGACGATATCTGGGAAGGCGAGCCGGAAGCCCCAGCAGCGGCGACGGCCGGGGAAGATCGATATAATGAGAACGGATCCGCTGTCAAGAAACGCAAGGTCGATTCTCCTTCCGATGGCGTTGCACAAGACAAGCCGGCCGGGTCAACGGACGCTACCCCGGCGCCGGCGAAAAAGTCTCGCCACCTCAGTGGGCCCTTCATCGATGAATCCGACAGCGAGGAGGAGGATTTAGAGAAATTTCGCGATTTTACGGACGAGCCGCCGCTTGTATTAGAAACGAAGTCTATTGCCGATGCGACAGAGTCACCACCCGTCGACGCCGGAGACAAACCACGGACGTCCGCTGTCGACACTCCACCCTTGGTAAGAGAAGCCACGAGTTACACCGAACCTGATGAATATACGAATTTTGACGATGTGGAAGACGAGTTCCGTGGGGAAGAAGATTTCTTAGATGCCTTTGACGACGACGATGATGGTCATGAAGAGAAGGAACTGGTGATTGATTTGGATGATACTGGGGATGGGGTAGATTTCAATGGCGGTGGCGATGACTCGTTTGGTTGCGAAGCGCCCGTATGTCCGATATGTCAGACTAGTTTGGTTGGTCTTAACGAAGCTGTAAGTTACGCCACCCCGCCTCCCGATCTCATTTGCGTTGGCATGGTTGTAACGGGGGGTGGGTTTAGGATGTGTCGGTGCATGTCAACGACTGCTTGGATGGAAAGCCTAGTCCGGTGCAACCGAAGCCGGAGCCTGAAGTCAAGTCTGAATCTGGTGTCAAGCTCGAGTCCGATATCAAGCCCGACCCCGAACCTCCATCGAAAGCATTAAATCGTATGGAACGGGCGGCGATTGCTCGTCCAGCACAACGCGATCCATACGCCTCCGGCGCGGCGAAGACACGGTCCGCATTCTCCAAGCTTATGGCTGGAAATGCGGAGGACAGCGCTTGGGCCGCAGCAGCGGCCAATGAGGTGGCATCCAGGGGCAAGCAGGCCTATCAACGGACCTGTCCGTTCTACAAGATCATGCCTGGCTTCTCTATCTGTGTGGACGCATTTCGTTACGGCGCCGTCGAAGGCTGCAATGCTTACTTCCTTAGTCACTTTCATAGCGACCACTACATCGGGCTTACCGGTTCCTGGCGGCATGGCCCTATATACTGCAGTCGCGCGACGGCCAATCTCGTCTGCCAGCAGTTGAAAGTCAACCGTAAATGGCTTGTGCCACTCGACTTTGAGCAGAAGACGGAGATTCCTGGCACGGGCGGTGCACATGTGACGATCATCGAGGCGAACCATTGTCCTGGAAGTGCAATATTTCTCTTCGAGAAGACTACGGGATCTGGCCCTTCGCAACGGACGCAACGCGTGCTTCATTGCGGCGACTTTCGCGCCTCCCCGCTCCATGTGCAGCATGCACTCCTGCGCCCCGAGGTTGTCGATCCAGCTACAGGTCAGCGCCGCCAGCAAAGAATAGATGCTTGCTACCTCGACACCACGTATCTGAGTCCCAAGTATGCCTTCCCGAGCCAGGACGACGTCATTCAAGCTTGTGCCGATCTTTGCGTGGACCTGAATGAAGGAGAGCAGAAGAGTAGCGGGCTTGCTTTTGGATCGGCGGGCCGTTCCTCTGGCATTGGAGGAGGATTGATGAGCAAGTTCGTCTCGAAGGTAACAGGCTCTTCAGCGTCACAGTCCACAGCTTCAAGCTCTAGTGGCCGATTGCTCGTGGTGATAGGGACGTATAGCATTGGGAAAGAGCGCATCTGTCTCGGGATTGCGCGCGCGCTGAAAAGCAAAATCTTTGCCACCCCAGCCAAACAGCGGATCTGCGCGTGCCTGGAAGATCCTGAGCTGTCATCGCTGCTGACAGACGATCCGCATGAGGCACAGGTGCACATGCAGACACTCTTCGAGATTCGAGCCGAGACGCTGGCCGACTATCTGGACTCCCTGAAGCCACACTTCACGAAAGTGGTGGGCTTTCGACCGACCGGTTGGACGTACCGGCCACCCGCTGGCCGGGTGCTGGACAACCCCCCTGTGTCGACAGTGCTTCACTCGGCGCATTGGCAGACTCCGTTTTCGGCACGCGACCTCGTGCCACAACGGGGCAGTACGCGGGAGAGTGCCTGCTTTGGGGTGCCGTACAGCGAGCACAGCTCATTCCGCGAATTGACCATGTTCTGCTGTGCCTTACGGATCGGACGGGTCATCCCGACGGTCAATGTGGGCAGTCAGAAAAGTCGTGAACGCATGAAGGCATGGATTGAACGGTGGGAAGCCGAGAAGCGGAAGAGTGGGTTGTACCAAGTCGAAGGCGAACGGTGGTGATGGTGTGTGTGGCATAATCTGTACAGTACATAGATTCTTTAACATAAGACACGAAACATTAATGAGACTCTTTTCGCAATGAGTTGGTTGTAATTGGTAGATGCTCCTGCGACTGACGTTTGCCTCGCTCCAGACTGGTTGCGATTCTCTCCAACTGCATGTAATAAACCCGAAGCATCCGTGGATCGACAAGCAACGGTGTTGATCTGCTCCCCACAAAAGGAATAACCGTGATAACCGAGAGTTCAGCGGGGAGGAAATGCAGAGTCGGGGTTGAAGATCGGCTCCGAACAAGGAGCAGCCACAGTCAGCCCCGGCTGGTCAATCCCGATTCATCTCCCGGCCTAATTTGATAGCCTCGGGGATTCTCCTCCTCTTTTTCCCTCTTAAATACTGCTTCAGACTGACCTGGGGAACCCCATTTCCTGTCACCACCACGGGTCAACACTTTAAACCCTTTCTTTGATTTTGAACTTATTCTTCAATCTCTGTTCTGTCAATTAGAGACAATTCTTGTTGGACTCTTCAACCTGTGAGTGAGCCTGAGCACGTGAATTTGCTAAGATTCCAGCCGCCTATTTTCCCTTTCCGTTCCTTCGGCAGTTGAGATCGGCTGTCACTCTCCCTCACAATCCCACTTACTCCACGTCAGGTCTAACAATTATTTATTCTTTTCCGGTCTAGACTCTGTTACCCCGGATTTTAGTCCAATATCCAATCCCACGGGCCGGCCTGTCATGATTGCTGACCTGCTCGCGCCGCAGGCCACCCCCTACCTCCTCTTGGGCTTGGTGGCCGTCTATTATCTTCTCCCCTACCTGCAAACCTGGCGTCTGCGTGACATTCCCTCTCCTGGGTTTGCTGCCTTTTCCAACTTCTGGCTCCTCTTGCAAGCCCGTCGCGGACACCGTTTCCTCGTCGTCGATGAGGCCCACAAACGTTACGGAAAACTCGTCCGCATCGCTCCCCGCCATGTTTCCATCGCCGATGACGACGCGATCCAAGCTGTCTATGGCCACGGAAATGGTTTCTTGAAGGCGTATGTTGTCGGTGAAGTATGAATGTATTTAGAAATGGCTGACGGTTTTGGTGCAGGGATTTTTACGATGCATTTGTTTCCATCCGCCGCGGTTTGTTCAACACTCGCGACCGTGCGGAGCACACCCGCAAGCGCAAGACTGTCTCCCACACCTTCAGCATGAAGTCCATCGGGCAGTTTGAACAGTACATCCACGGCAACATCGAGCTCTTTGTTCAGAAATGGACCACCATGGCCAACACCCAGCGCAACCCCCGCACTGGCTACGCTAGTCTCGATGCGCTCAACTGGTTCAACTACCTGGCTTTCGACATCATTGGAGATCTTGCTTTCGGCGCTCCCTTCGGCATGCTCGAGAAGGGCAAGGATATTGCTGAGATGCGCAAGACCCCGGATGCTCCTCCATCCTATGTCGAAGCTGTTGAGGTGCTCAACCGTCGTGGTGAAGTCTCTGCTACTCTGGGCTGTTACCCTGCGCTCAAGCCGTTCGCCAAATATATCCCCGACCGTTTCTTCCGGGATGGTATGGAGGCTATCGAGAACCTGGCTGGTATTGCTGTTGCCCGAGTCAATGAGCGTCTCCGCCCTGAGGTGATGGCCAACAACACTCGTGTGGATCTTCTCGCTCGTCTGATGGAAGGCAAGGACCAGAACGGTAACAAGCTTGGTCGCGAGGAGTTGACGGCCGAGGCCTTGACGCAGCTGATTGCCGGTTCCGATACCACTTCCAACACCTCCTGCGCTATCCTCTACTGGTGCATGCGCACCCCTGGTGTGATTGAGAAGCTCCATGAGGTTCTTGACGAGGCTATTCCCAAGGACATTGAAGTTCCTACTCATGCCATGGTCAAGGATATTCCTTAGTATGTTCTTTCTCTTGTTTGTCTTGTATGAATGCCCTCACTAACTATTATCGCGCAGCCTCCAATGGGTCATCTGGGAAACCATGCGTATCCACAGCACGTCTGCAATGGGCCTGCCCCGTGAGATCCCTGCCGGCAACCCGCCCGTCACGATTTCCGGTCACACCTTCTATCCCGGAGACGTCGTCTCGGTGCCCAGCTACACCATCCACCACTCCAAGGAGATCTGGGGGCCTGACGCCGACGAATTTGTCCCCGAGCGCTGGGACCCTGCCCGCCTGACTGCCCGCCAGAAGGCCGCTTTTATTCCCTTCAGCACCGGGCCCCGTGCCTGCGTTGGTCGCAACGTCGCCGAGATGGAGCTGCTTGCCATCTGCGGCACTGTGTTCCGGTTGTTCGAGTTTGAGATGCAGCAGGATGGACCCATGGAGAGCCGTGAAGGCTTTCTGCGCAAGCCTCTTGGCTTGCAGGTTGGTATGAGAAGAAGGCAGATCGCTGCTTAGCTTGGTTTTGTTGCTGCGGCGGGTTGTACTTGACGGAAACGAAATTGCATGCTTGCAGGGTCAATGGATGTATTCATAGATGGATGATTTGATGAGATGACGATTTGGCTAGCTCAGTTAGCTTCTGCATATATGTGTACTTTATTCAACTGTATCTTATTGTACGTCTGTATTGTGCCCGGGATACCATTGTAGATGCTGGGCTCTGTCTTGTTGACTCCCAAAGCAGTAATCCTGATGCAGATCAGATCCTTCACTTTTAGCCTCGGAACCAACACTGCAAACTCCAACCCGCGTCATCATACAGTGCAAGTTGAAGTTCCTTCAAACCATCTTCGAGTACAACTACACAATCACTACACACAATCTTAAAACAACATGTCCAACAAATCCATGGTGAATAGTCCCACTCCCTTGTCTGACCCTGTTTGCACCATGTACTAACCTCAAAGCAGTCAGTCCAGTTCCGCTACGCAGACGGCATGGGCTTCGGCACAGAAGAGAGCCGTGACCAAGTGACGAAGTATGCTCTTCATGGTTGCTCTTCTCTCACTTCAAGGTAGCCTTGCTAACAGTGCTTTGCAGAATCATCAAAGAGGACACCGGATCGGATATCTGGCCCAGTACGCGCAATATCCCGCCGACGAACTTTCTCACGTAAGTCTTGTCCTACTTGAGTAGCTCAAGGGATTTACCGAATTGACTTGGATCTATGTTTAGTCTTTCGGAGAGAGCAGTCGAGCAGCTGCGGGCGGTTGAGGGCGTGGTACTTCTGCGGGCCGAGGAATCAGATTCTACTAAATAGTTAGATTCTTGGTTGAGATGGAGGGACCAGTGGTCTGTTGTATATACTGAGGTGGAGGGAGTATAACCAGTACAAGTATTTAAAGCCCCCTCTTCTACCAGCTTCCCGGCACCTCAAATCTTAGGCCAAGTGTGTAAGCGTCCGGGCGGAGAATCCCCGGACCCCTCTTTCTTACAGCTTCCCAGCTTCACACATTCTAAGCACTCACCTCTTAAATAATCAGTCCTTTGTCTTGTTCAGCCATCTCTGCTATGCAGAGCCTAGACTGACAACAACCCTATCCTGGTTACAAAATCCCTCGAATGCCATATTCCAGTAGCAATGTGGCCGAAGTCGTAGTCATCACCGTATCGGAACCGAATTTTGGGTTGCCGGTGCTCTACCTGCAAAAGCCTTCCTGCAACCCTCGGTTACGTGAAGCAGACTATACTAAGCCTTCCCAACATCTGGTATCATATCTTTGTATGATGACATTGTCCAATGGGCAGCCAGAGGAAGAGCCAGAATTCGCACCACGGCTGTCTTCGATGCAAACGACGCAGTGTCAAGGTAGACCCGGGTGCTGAAAAACCATCCTCTGCGTTCTTGCATTCTTTCTTACTTATACTCTACTGTCCAGCGCGATGAAAGACGGCCTGGAGGGTGTGGTCTTCGCGATTATAGGATAAGATAACGTATAGCTGGGAAGCTGAAAGAAAGGGGGGTCTGGGGGTTCTCCCCTGGGACGCTTTATACTTGGCCTGAGAATTGAGGTGCCAGGAAGCTGAAAGGAAAGGGGGGTCCGGGGGGTTCTCCCCCGGAAACACTGATATTCTGGTTATAGTATTGAGTGAGACTGGGATGCTGAAGGATAGGTGTATCCGGGGGTTCCCCCGCGGGACAGTACATACCTGGAGCAGATTGGATAAATATGGCATCTCCGGCAGAAGCTTGACGGAAGGCAAGATCTTCGCTTGATCTATCGCTTCGACCCGACAGGCATCATCTCGATTGTCTCATATTGCAACGACCACTCCCGTGTCTCCTGAATTATCCACTCGTGAGAGTCCCGACAGTCTGAAGCTGTTTGACCTTTGTCCTCGTTCTTTGCTCGACTCGTCCTTTTGCTCTCCGCGTCGGCTTGAGATTCGCCTACGGCTGCTGATGCTTCGCTGGGCTGATAGTAGTAGCTACTACCATCTTGCCCAACTGTGCCTTGGCCCCAGCTAGTATTGAATGCCACCACAAACGGCTTGAGACAAGGAACGGTGGCAGCCATGATGCTGCAATGCAATAGGACCTGGGTCAGGATGGTGGTGTCGGCGATGTCGAGGAGGGGGTCATGGGTATGTGCGATTCCGTTCATCGCGGTCTGCCGCACGATAGCAAGGGTGATGATCCTGAAGAATAAGAAAGGCGGATTAACGATGTGCAATGTGCAACAGAGCGGGCGTCCTACCCGATCCTCGTCCCAAATGCGCCAATAACTCCAGCTTTCCGCATCCGCCTCATACGGATAGGCCAGACAAGATACAGACTGAGGGTGAGTAGCAGAAGCTCGGTTATGATGTCGAGGATGGTGATTGCTTGCCAGCGAGGGAGCTGGGATTTCCATCAGTCCATCCGAAACAGAGACATGCATTTGTATAGGCGGAGGACGCATACGTACGGTACTTGCACATTGGCTGAGTATCCACGGATGGCGAAACGGGCATTTCAGGGCAACGAGTAGAATTGAAACAGCTCCCCACAGAACGATCCCGCCCATCACAACTGTGCAGGCCCTCAGATATGATCTTTCTCTGCCCAGGCGACGCAAGAGAAACAGAACCGACAATTTGGCTGCGCAATGACCAGCCAGGAGTAGGATATTTGCGCCATACAAAGCCTGGACGTGTTAGCAGATTCTGTACCGGGAGGGTTTGTTGATTGCAGAGAGCGCAAGGGAGCTGCACCTGTTCAGCGGGGTCGATTTGAGAGGCATCGAGTTTGCTCTCAGTGCTTCCCAGCCCATGTTTGACACCTCCCATCACCGCCCCGACGTTGGCGATGCCGAATACCTACTCACATTGTCAGTGTTCAGTTTGTCAGTCTCGTTGCACTACCGCGAACCGGTGCATTGATCAATACTGACAGACGCTACAAGGACCATCAAATCATCTAGCCCCCACGGCCCAATGATAGTCAGGCGCATGTAGACGCGAAACAAACCGACCAACACCATCCAGGACATGAAAAGATTAGCCACTACCACCAGCAGACCACGACGGTCTGTGTCCGAGATCACATAGGCTGCATGTGGCATCCTGAGAGATCCATACTCGCGTCGTATGAGTGGCGACGGAACTAAACTTAAGAGCACAATCTCTTCCCTTGGATTGCACCGGATTCATGTTCAATGAGTCTAACATCCCCTTTTTCGACAACAACGATGGAATACGACCCTTGTATGCTGGGATTGTTCGAAAATTTCTTAGCGAGGGAAAATTCGCGCATACCGGGATTTGCGCATGCAGGGATATATCCCCTGATTGTCTGATATTTAGCTCCGCTAACAGGGATAGCTATAGGCTTTAAATGATGGGATCTACAGAACCGGTGCTGAGTTGTACCCTCGTGCTGTAAAATTCGTGGCGCAGTCAACCGACCTACAGACAGGGTATTTAGTGTGCGTAAGTGCTGTTACATCGGCAGGGATGCTACGGGATAAGCACTTTGGGAAAGTGGCCCGCTGTCATCCCTGTCGCCCACACAATCCGTTGTCTGCAACACCTTTCTCTGATTGCTGATAAGTCAGGCTAGAAGTGGTTGATGGAGCTCAATATATTATTCCTGCTTGTTGAGGGACTAGCAATGCTCGCACACCCTTTGCCCCATGATAGCCAACTTGTTAAGTAGGACTTTCCTCCCGGCGAACGGTGCTTTCTTCTCTGTGCTCTTATCGCGGTCTATCCTTCAGCTTTTTTGGTGCACTCACAATGTCAACTATCACCGAAAAAGCACCAGACTTTTCCGCTTGTTCCACGGCCGAGGATCGTGAGAACATCACGACCAGAAAAGATGGCACATTACAAGATCGGAAGGATATGTGGCGTGTTGGCCGGGCGCAGGAACTAAACGTGAGGATACCAGTTTGATGATGACTAGAATCTTCTGACAAATTCTGACAACACCAGCGAAACTTTCGACTTCTTTCGGTGGTAGGATTCAGTGCGGTGTTGATGTGCACCTGGGAAGCTGTCTTGTTGTACGTTCTTTGAGGAGCACATTCTGAATTCGTCTTGCTGACTCAATCCAACAGTGGCGCTTCGTACGGGCTCACGGATGGAGGAAAGGCAGGAATGATCTATACGTACCTCGGTGCAGTGATAGGCTTCAGTTTCGTGATCCTATCGATGGCCGAAATGGCCTCCATGTAAGTCACCAGCGACGAAGACTCCTCCTAATCGCTAATTATCCCCAGGGCCCCAACGTCCGGCGGCCAGTATCATTGGGTTTCGGAATTCGCACCGCCTAGCAAACAACGCTTCTTGAGTTACCTGACAGGTTGGGTTTGCGTGTTGGGCTGGCACACAGGAATCGCGGGCTGCTGTTATACTGTCGCGAACATGTTGGTGGGCTTGCTCGCGATCAACTACCCTGACAGCTATGTCTACCAACCGTGGCATGTCACGCTGATTGTAATCGCGGCGGCCCTGGGGGCGCTGTTGTTTAACACGCTCCTGGCACAGAAACTGTCCTTCATCGAGGGGATTATCCTGATTGTGCATTGTTTTGGCTTTTTCGGCATTCTGATTCCGCTGTGGGTACTGTCGCCCACTGCCCCTGCTTCGGAGGTTTTTGGATCGTTTGAGGATAATGGAGCATGGGGCAATATGGGACTTGCTTGCTTAGTAGGGTTGACAGGGCCGATCTACGCTCTAATTGGTATGTTCATGATGTACCAAGCGGCCTATTTACTTCACCCTACTGATCCGATTGTTTTTTCCAGGTCCCGATTCCGCAGTGCACATGTGTACGTTCAATAGCCCTTACCCCTACCTTTCTACCAGAAATGTATCCAACTTGCGGCGTTTTGCCTTCGTCGGGGTCACTGTATACTGAAATTCAGCAGCTGAAGAGATCCGCGATGCCTCCCGCGTCCTTCCCATCAGCATGGTCAGCACCTTGGTTCTCAACGGGACCACCGGATTCATCATGATCATCACCTTCGCCTTCTGCATTGGCAACATCGAAGAAGTTATGGCCAGCCAGACCGGATTCGCCTTCATCCAGGTCTTCTGGAATGCTACCGGCTCGTCGCGCGCAGCCACCGGGATGACTGTCGTTATTATGATCATGCAATTCTGTGCTGCCATCAGCAACGTTGCTACGACATCCCGACAGATCTATGCATTTGCTCGTGACCAAGGTCTCCCGTTCGCCGGTTTCTTTTCGAAGGTACCTCACCTTTTCTCACCGAATAACCCGGTTCCCTGCTCGAAGAAAACAATCCATCACTGGCACACATCTTGCGGGGTTCTTCTCCTGCTACTCTCCGAACTAATGGATGGCTATAGATACACCCTACCCTTAAGGTTCCTCTTAACGCTCTCTGTGTCAGCATGGTCATCGTCACTCTCCTTTCCCTCATCAACATCGGCTCCTCGGTCGCCTTCAACGCTATTATGTCTCTGGGCACAGCGGCGTTGCTCTCCTCCTACCTGATCTCGATCTCGTGCGTGCGTCTCCGACGATGGAGAGGCGACCCTCTACCCCCGGCACGATGGAGTCTGGGGCGCGCAACTCCGTTTATCGACACCGTATCAATCCTCGTGTTGGTAGTCATTCTCACGTTTAGCTTTTTCCCCCTGACCAACCATCCTGACGCCGCGGATATGAATTGGAGTATTGTTATATTCTCCGGGGTGGTTTTGTTGGCTGTGGGGTATTATGGATTATATGCGAGACATCAGTATCGGGGACCAGTAAGTCGGGTTCGGGTTGAGTAAAATTTATAGATGAACTTTTGGTGGATGATTCATCCGAGAAATTACCACTATATTCTCCAGCGGGGAATGAAATATCTAGAGCTTTATTAAATCAGATCATGGCACCAGAATGGTATATACGAGACAGTGCTGGACAGGATCGAAACCGCTGCTGCATCTGTGAACTGGCTGACTGAGTCGAGCAATAGGCCGATGGGCTGCAGTTACCAATTATGTTCTTACCGCTTCTGGCCGGCTACCTCATTTTCTCCCCTCACCTTAACTTCCATCTAACCTCATCCTATCTCCTCTACGATTTCGTTCTTGTCTCAAGCGGGGTTGACGGCCCCCATTATCTATCTTGAGAGACCACACCAGCGCTAGATTAGCCTGCCCGTGGTGAAGCGACTGAGCACCCATGAGCTTCATCAAAAACGATGACGTCGCGAGTGACAGGTATTTCGCCGGGGAGAACGCGTGCTGACAAGTCGACAACCAAGGACCGCAGGAAAGGATTCTCTATCAGCATGTTGAAAACGGTACACGAACCGTGGTTCACCCACCGCACGAGACTTGAAGAGCGCCCAGATCGAGATCGATCACCGCCAACGCCACAGAACCCAGAGATTCAAATAAGCAATTTGTCATACACATCTGACGTCGTACATCACAACCACAGAGAAAGATAAACAAGCGCTATGCTGTGTTTCGTCTTTCTATGCGTTACACAGACTTTCCCAAAGAGCTTGAATGGAGGCTGATGACTCTGGACTATGACCGAGACGATCGATACCCGATTATGCGAGGCCAAGGCGTTCAAGGCTCTTATTCCAGGCCTTTTGGCGGAGAGTGAAATTACGGGTAACAAGCCCAATGCTACCGATCAGAATCGAATCATATTAGCTGATTCCCTTTTCGCACGATTTGACAGATGATGGACGTTTGTTGGTTGACTTACAAGAAAACTGCCCCCGCCTTGCGAGCTTCCTCGATGTCCTAAAGCGCCAAGCTGAGCATCATCGTCCGTGGATGCCGGAAGATAATACGACCCGGTTTCCGCTCCGGTTGAATGTGGTTATACATGTCGTCGGATCTCGTGGAGACGTCCAGCCCTTCATTGCGCTGGGACAGGAACTGCAGAAGCATGGGCACCGCATCCGGTTAGCGACACACTTGATATTTAGAGACTTCGTGCGCGCTCATGACCTGGAATTCTTCAACATTGGAGGCGATCCGGCGCAGCTCATGTCTTTCATGGTGAAGAATCCGAACTTGGTTCCCAAGATAGAGGCAATCACCCAGGGCGATATAAGCCGGCGGAGGAAAGATGTGCGACAGATCCTGGGGGGCTGCTGGCGATCATGTTTCGAGCCCGGGGAAGGCATTACGCCCTTCAATCCAGCTGAATGTACCGGTGCACCCCCGTTTGTTGCGGACGCCATCATCGCCAATCCGCCTAGCTTCGCACATATTCATTGCGCGGAGAAGATGGGGATCCCCCTTCATATCATGTTTACGTGGGTCTTCTTATAGTGGTTGTGTGCCTGGCAGTTTTCACTCATAGGGAGATCAGGATGCCATGGTCGCCTACGCAAGCTTTCTCACACCCATTGGCCAAAGTCCGCTCAACAAACACTAAATCATCGGTCGGAAAACTCATGTCGTATATGATAGCAGAGACGGTGATATGGCAAGGCGTGGGGGACTTGATCAATGAATTTCGTCGTCATGAGCTGGGACTAGAGCGACTAGATTCTATGCGCGCGCCTAGCCTTCTTTCTCGCCTGAGAATCCCTTTTACATACCTGTGGTAGGTGTACCTGAAAGAGAATCTAGCCATAACGAGCTTGTTTTAAAGTGGTATTCAGGTCCCCCTCCCTGCTGCCAAAGCCTGACGACTGGCTTGATCATATTGATGTGGCTGGCTTTTCTTTCGTGTCGTCTGATGACGAGTATAATCCGCCTCAGGACCTGATCGACTTCCTCAAGGCTGGAGCACCACCAGTCTACATTGGGTTCGGATCGATAGTTGTCGACGATCCAGAAGCACTTACGCGGACTGTGCTCGAAGCTATTCGAATCTCTGGCTATCGGGCAATAGTCGCAAAGGGCTGGGGCGGTCTCGGAGCTGATGATATAAGTGTCCCTGATGTGTACTTCACAGGTAACTGCCCACACGATTGGCTATTTTCCAGAGTGTCATGCGTTGTCCATCATGGAGGTGCAGGGACAACGGCAATCGGACTAGCTCTGGGTCGGCCCACTGTTATCGTTCCATTTTTCGGCGATCAGCCTTTCTGGGGCATGCTTGTTGCCACCAATGGTGCCGGCCCTGCGCCGATTCCTTTTAAACAACTGACAGCGGAAAAGCTCGCAGGAGCGATGCACCACTGTATGGAGCCCGAAACTAGAGAGCAAGCAAAGGTCTTGAGCTGTAAAATCCAGACAGAGCACGGTGCCTCAACGGCGATGGAAAGTTTTCATAATCATCTGGACATCCGCAGGCTAAGATGTGCTCTATGCCCTGACCGTCCGGCTGTATGGAGAGTCCAGCATACAAGCATTTACCTCAGTGCATTTGCCGCAGCAATCCTTGTCCACTCGAGGCAGCTCGAGCCGAGGAACATTAAGTTGTATGCTCCCCTTTTCCTACTCGATAAGCAGAGACATTTATCTTCCTTAGACTTCGAATCAAATCCTACGATACGAACCTCGATCCGAGTGCTCCAGGTCTCCCTGGGGCCGAAATGTTCGCCGGGTCCCTCACGAACTTTTTCACGGGCTTGGTTGAGATGCCAATTCAACTCGTACAGAATTTCGCGCGGTCGCCCTCTATCAGATTCGCCGAGAGATATAGCCTCACAAGCTATTGCGCGACCCAGACATCTGTTTCGCCGTCAAGCTCGACAACGATTGCTGAAAAAGCCGGGACTCGTCAACGATCAGATTCCGGCATCTCTATCGCCCCTTCTAGTACGTCGCTAAAATCCTCATCTAACCAGAGTGCCCTGGACATGCCATCCATGAACAGCGGCACAGCATCTTGGAAAAATGTGTTCATCAATTCCGGATACACTGGACGCCAATTGGTGGACTGGATCATTGAGATTCCTATGAGTGTCACATTCTTGATGTGTCATACATTTCATAATGCTCCTCGGTTTTACCATGACGAAACCGTAAGGGAGGCCCCGATAGCCACGGGAGTCATGTCAGGGTTTGTGGCAGCTGGCCAGGTCAGATTGCGGTGTTATGTTTAGTACTTCCTTGTGTTAGAAAGCTAACCTGTTAAAGGAGTTCGCATACGGTTGGTACGATGGCATTACCGGGGTCGTGACCCAACCTCATCAAGGGTGGAATAGCCACGGAGCTTCCGGTCTGACATCCGGGCTTGGAAAAGGTATTGGGGGACTGCTGATCAAGCCTCAAGCGGGTATGTCTCTAGTGATCACGATGATTGCACGGGTGTAAGACTAAACCAGAGGTTCAGGATTATGGGGCTTGCTTGGTTATCCACTGAATGGGATCCACCGCAGCATTGCGAAGTCCTATGGGAAGAATCGACGATGCTGCGTAGTGAAGTCGCGTATCGCCCAGGGTATCGCAGAAATACAGTTGGCTTCGGATGCTCAGCGGGCAGCTGTTTTGGCACGATGGAAAGATCACTATGAACAGAAGGTGAACGCTAAGCTACAGAAGACTAGATGATAGAATGCCTCGACATCTAAAGTTAACGAACAATGACCCAAGAACTGGCAACGTTGACCGAGGAACGATGTTTCAATCTCTGCGCAAAGACTTCGCCTCGGGCTCAATTAGGAAGAAAAGAGATGATAAACTTGGTCTATAAGGCTGACTCGTTTTTTTCAAAAGCTTGTTTGGTGCTTGCTTACTGGATTTTACTGTCCAAGCTGGTACTATGCTGTCATTATGCTGTATGAGATGAAGCGATGTGACATATCATTCAAGGATACACAGTTTAAAGCATCATTCCCCTGGCCAGAATATTCACTACTTTCTCCTGAAAGTCTAAGGCAAGCTCTACGTCTCCTTCGCGAAAGTTCCCTGTCAGACAATCTACAACGGCCTGAGCATAGCCTTCGCCCATCTCCTTTGGAAGACCCTGCTGGGCTAACGCAACCAAATCTGCGGCAACTTTTTTCGGCCTGGGCAGCCGCCCGGTCTTTTCGGCTTCGCGGATTTTAGTTTCCATCAAACGAGACAGCGTCACCCAGAGGCCAATCTCCAGAAGCACTACACCCAGGGCATAGATGTCATGGCGCCGTTGGAACTGTCTAGTGGGCCTTCCCTGCCGATCAGGATGACGGTAAAGATTCGGCTCAGCTTCAAAGTCCGCACGCATGTCTGTGCCCTGCTGCTCGGACCGTGCATAGCCCCAGTCACTTAGGTATGCAAGAATCCGTTGTTGCGGGTTTGGAGTGTTCAAGAGTCGGTGCGCCTGAAGTCCCGAGGCGCGAACGCCCGCTGGAGTCTGCAAAAAGAGGAGGATCCCTCGGCTCCAGACATTCTTGTGCACCCATTTTGAGGCGTGGACGTTCAGCAGGGTGATGGCAAGGCAATGCGCCATGCTGAACCGATCATTCAATGATGGCCGTTTCAAAGGCCGTTTGCTCTCCCGGTCCACAGCGTTGATGAAGCCATGGAGGGTAGTGAGGTCCGTTGTGGGTGCTACTGTGCCTTCGTGCTGGTCGTCCTCATCGGACGTCGGAAGACTGTAGAGGAACACGTTACGCTCTTCTTCCGGCTGATCGATAAAGCCTAAACATTTCAAAGCATAGATCTGGGGCGGCTCCAGCCCCGGCTCCGCGTCCGGGGACTCGTGGCTGTTGAATGTACTGTTCTTCAGGAGCCAAGCTAGGTTCCGAATGGGTGCCTTCAGTTCCTCAATCTCGTCGGGTTCAAGATCATCGCCTTTCAACAAGCCTTCGTATTCATGGAATTCTATAACTACCATCGTGCTGGATGTGGAGCCGGATGGTGTCCAGCGTCCCAATTGGAAACCGCCCGACACGGCCCCTTCCTCAATAATTTGACCTTCCAGGCTCTGAAATTCGTTTGGAGCATGTGTATCGACCATTTTCCGTCGCTTCATTACGGGCTCTAGTCCGGTCGCCTTCAGACCCTGATCATTCTCATCCACAACTCGGGAAAGTGCATCCTGGGACAGATGCTGCATCAGGTTTCGCAAGTCGGCTGACCAATTGGTATAGGCCTCAAGGAGCTTGTGCAGCCTTTTCTTGTCGAAGAGCGACCAGTCGTAACCCTTCATCTTCAGGGACATGGCTTTGATCTTGATGCGATGCAGGAGTGACTCTTTGACCTCCTCGGGCTTTTCCAAGCCTCCATCCTCATCACCGCCCGTCACAAGGCCATACTTGACGGCCACAAGCTCATACTCGGTCAGGGTTTTGCGCATCTGAACAAGCAGTCCCTCAATGGTCTTGGCAATGAAAGTGTCGAGTTTACCCGGCAGAAGAAGGCCATGCTCGGGATGAACGAAAATGCGACGGAAGAAAAGGAGCGTCGAGAGCTGCACGTTCAACTTGAGGCGGACCTCCTCCCGGTCCTCGTCGAAAGACTTGATGTCGGAGATGACGCCCTGGATGAAAACAGTTACCTGATAGGCCTGCGTGATGGCCGTTACCGCCGTCCCATAGACATCCATTGTTTATTTTCAGGGTTTGCTGCTCGCGTCGATTGATGTGAGAACGAAGAAAAGAGCACCGATGAAGAGGGGAAGACGGGTTGGTAAGATGTCATGTCAGACGAGGCTGAAGATATGCAGGCTAACGGATAATGAGGGATAAATCACGGCTAATATGGCTCTAGTCTCGCAGCCCCGCCACGTTTTCGCGTGTAAGTCGGCAGCAAGAACATTTACGGAGTCACGGACCCCTGTCTGCCAGAATACCTCTTTTCTAAACATCTGCACAGATCGCCATGTCGGACGATGGCTCTTTCGATCTTCTTTCATCTCTGGACACTGGAGACCTCTCCCCGTCGCTGAGAGACTGGGCATCCGGAACAGCCGACGACTTTGACGTGGTCGATTCGAATTTGGATCTTGACAGCTTAAGCCTGTCGTCTGTTCCGTCCAGTGATTTTCTGGAAGTGGCCATTACTGCCACTCGTAATGGCGAGTCCGCTATTCTAAGTACCGTTTCTCAATTTGCAGGCATATTGTCCCAGACTGGAATTCATGGGCCGCGGTTATTGAAGGCCCTCAACCTGGCGACGCGGGCGGCCAAGATCGGCGCTGGCTCCCAGTTCACTGTCTTCAAGGAGAAGTCGCACGAAGGTTACACTGGCAACGAGGGTCTGGTGATCAAGCGAGTGAATGTGCCTCTTTCTCGCAAAGGGACGCAGCGATTCGCAGACACGCCAGACTACCGTCTTCAGTTGCGCACTCTCGGATTAGAGCTGCTGGCTCTCTGTAACCCGGCACTGCGTCGCCATCCTAATATCGTTCGACTCATCGCATGGGGTTATGATTATCCCTTTGCGGATATGCCAGTCCCAGTTCTTTTCATGGAAGCTGCCTTGATGCCATTGACAGACTTTCTCGCAGCCCAAAGCGATCCCTCAGTCGATGTGAAGTATCAGCTTAGCTTGGATATTGCGAACGGAGTGGAGGCGCTACATCGGCTGCGCATCGTACACGGGGACCTCAAGCCAGACAACGTGCTTGTTTTTGAGATGAAGAGCAACAAAGTTCCTTATCGAGCCAAGCTGAGTGATTTCGGAGTCTGCGTTGACCTGGAGGCCCCCGACAGTCGACTTAATATGAGCGATTACCGTGGGACGCCAGCATGGCTGGCCCCTGAGGTGGCCAACGATGACCTGGCGCGTTTCTGCCCTTTTCAGCCGGACCTGATGTTCCGTTTTGATGCCTACAGTTTTGGCTTGACGGTTCTGTCGATGTTTGTCAACCATGGGGAGCCCGTAGTTCTTGATGAGGATCCCGAAACGGCGGCGGAGGAGGTATTCGAGATGCTTTACGGACGTGAAGATATCCCGTCTGCACTGCGTATGGAGCTTCGAAAGGCAATTCAGAAGCTTTTAGCGGAAGACCCGAGGAGCCGACCACTGCCGACTGCTCAGCTACTCAAGACAGATACTCCTGCATATGCAACTTGGTATGTGATCCTAGTGCCCTATCTCGCCGATGAAAATGCTAAGTCCATAGGCTATCTTTCTCTGAAGTTCGAAGCGAGAATGCTCCCTATGTTGGCACTCTGGACCCGATGTATAACAAAGGACCGTTGTTCTGGTACAGACTTGATCCCTCCGTGCTATCAGAGCTGGAAGCACAATACACTGCGGTGAAACAGGGCACTTCGATGGACTTCCCGGGTGATGTGTTATTTGGAATGGCGCAGACGGTGACGGGGGCCAAGCCCTCATATCTCGATCGTCTCTTGCTGTACATGACTGACGCCGCAAAGGGAGGCTATTCTCCCGCAAGGGCTGTTTACGCCCAGGTAATGGCTGCCCATGACCTTCCACTGAATTTTGAGACAAAGGTTTTGGAAGAGTTGAGCTTTCAAGCCGTCGCGGAGGGGTATCTTTTTGCTCCTCCGTCCGCACTGTCAACTGAAAAAATGGAACAGGCCAAGAACAGGTTTCGTCGCAATGGAGGGTTCTGTGCCGATTTTTTCCTCAGAAAGAAGGATATCATAGAGGCTGCTCGAAGCTCCCAAAAGGCGATCAAATGGAAGTCAGAGCATGGGGTGATCGTCGACCATAAGGGAAACACTATACTGCACGCCGCTGCTGCATTGGGAGAGCTTGATACGGTTCAGGTGTTGCTCAACGATGCAGGAATTGCCGTTGATGTGGAGAATGATAATGGGGAAACTCCGCTTTATAAAGCATGTCAGGCTGGTCATGCGAGTATGGTCCAGCTTCTCCTTGAACACAAGGCAGATGCGTCTCGTACAGCGCTGCGGGCAGGAATATCTCCATTACATTGGCTCTTCATCTTACCCGACGAGTCTGTTCATTCTATTGCGGAGCAATTGATTGCAGCTGGAGCCGATGTGAATACTGTCATCCGACCTGTTGTGGGTGAGAACAGTGGTGGCTTTCCCGAGCGAATACCGATCTTACACTAGTAAGTGCTAGGCAGCATGCTGAGTTTGTCATTGCTGATATAAGATATAGTCCATTTGAACTGCCCCATGGTACGCCATTGCATTGGGCTGCTACCTTCCGCAACCTGACGGCAATTCATGTCCTGGTCACTCTTGGTGCGAACGTGAATGCGACTTACCATGGATCTGATAGCGCAACCACGCCCCTCGCTCTGGCTGCGTGGTTTGGTGACTTCGAAGTCGCCAAAAGCCTCATCGCTCATAGAGCGGATGGAGGACTGAATGACGCGATGGGGAGAAACACGCTTCACGGAATGACAAAGTACTTCCCTGAGCGACATGGCTACCTTCCCCACCACTGGCATGCTTGGATCCGGCAAGGCAATTGGGAGACATATCTCGACAACGCGACAGCCCTAGTTCGTTTATTGGTAGGCGCTGGTGCAGATATAGATGCAAAGGATAAAGGCTATCCTTCACTCACTCCAATTGCTGCCGCTGCCGACCTAGGAGTCTGGAACGGTGGTGTTATAAGTGCCTTACTCGATGCGGGTGCAGGCCTTCACGAATCAACAATATCGATGGGAGACTCTGGTAGGTCCAGTACAGCCCCCCGTCAATTGTGCCGCAAGCTCACCATGTACTTTAGTTCTTCATTCCTGGGCATCGATTGTTGGTCCCCGACTAGACTATCCGCGCTCGTACCTTCCCACGCTCCAACGCATTGTCGCTGCTATGCCCGATGTAGACATTCGGAATAAATTCGAGAATGACACCCCGCTGCATTCGCTGTCAACAATATATCACCCCGAAGACGAGTTTGAACAGGCCTGCGAGGTACTTCTTGCACATGAGCCTCCGGCAGACCTCAACGCGCAAACCCGTCGCGGCGCCACTCCCCTGTCCATCGCATTCGAGACCAAAAACCAGCCAGCTCGCCGCGGTCTTTTTCTACTGGGGAAGGGTGCCTTTCCGACTCTTCTCAGCGATCAAGGCAAGGACATCTTCTTTAGCATCGCCAATAATCCCGCCCTGCACGATCAAGACACCTACCAACTCATAACTGGTGTTCTGCGACACATTGCCTCTCTCGATCCCAACGCAGAGACCAAGGCAAATAGCACGGAGGAAATCCACGAGCCCTACCAGCGGTTATTCCTCTGCAACCAAGGAGCAATATACAGCCTCATAGCCGCCGTAACCCGCGGCAAAGCCCGCACCACAACCCTCCTTCTCTCCTTGGGCCTCCGATTGCGACTCAATGATCTTGACCCAAGCAAGCCCCGTAGCTTCACTGTGCTAGATCATGCTCTTCACTCAGCCGAAATCAGCCGGCGAGCTCATATGGAGAAACTGTCAATGTATAAACCCGGTCCGGCACAGCGCGCCGCCGTCGAAGAGAAGGTCGTCTATGCTGATGAGCAGGGTCCGCCCTCCCGGGCGGCGGAAGCCTACCATGCTTTCCCGGAGGTGTTGCGCTGTCTGCGCGAGGAAGGCGCTAAGCGAGCTTGTGAGCTGGAGTCAGACAGTGAGGGTACTGCTGGTGGTAGTGGTAGAGATCAAGACGTTGATGGGACGTATATTCAGCAGCAGCGATGGTGGGATTGGACCATTATCTACACGTGTGGCTACACCCCGGCCACGCAGCCGCATCGGGACCAGTGGGAATTGCTGTACGACCTGGCGAGGTATCCGAAGGGTTGGAAGGAGGAACAGGTCGGGGAGCTGGCTGAGCGGTATGCAGACGGGATCTGGCGACCGGATGTACGGTTTTTGGAGGACGAGGAGGATAGGGTGTTTGTTGGAGAGGTGGTGGCTAGGATCAGAGTGGTCGATGTAGACGGAGGAGACGAAGATTTGGTGCGCTTGGAGGCGGTGGATTCGCTGCTGGGGAAGGTGGAGGCAGAGGTTAGGGCTGCAGATGGTGGGAAGGTGGTTGGTAAGAGGAAGATTCAATAAGTCGGTCAGGTGTACAATACAGCTTTGGTTTGGTTACATGCAGCTGTGGGCGGATTTAGGTTGCGAAAGTTGTGGTTAGATTTAGGTTGAGACATTTGGGCAGGTTGTGATGTGTGGCTGTGAGACAGAGACCGTGGTCCTTGGGTAAGGCGGATCAAGGTTGGATGTCTCGGTGCCATGTTTTATACAAGGTAGGACAATTCCAGAACGTCTGGCGGCCATGTTTCTGCAGGTAGACCAGCTTCAAACTCTCTCGCAGCCATGTCTCGGGAGGTAAAACTGACTTCCAGTGGCTCAAAACCATGCTTTCGGATCACGGGCCCAATACCGGCATTGTGTCTACCTTAATTTGACTTCACTACACTATCTCGACTCAGTCCGGGCTGTTGGTTTCTAAGTGAACCAGAAGCATCCGCCTTCGTCGAGCTTGCGTTGAACCACGAACTGTACGTATATCTTACTGTGAAACATAGTCTGCCTATTATTCTTTCCATAAATTTCAGACTGCACGTAGTAGATTCCACAAAACAAGTGGTGTCTCCTTATATGGTTTTTCTGATTTCAGTTTTATTTCAAGAAGTGGAAAGTGTAATTGAACTTTATACCAAAGTAATGCCTGCGGGTTTCATAGCAGAGGGGTTAGTGACCATCATAATGCGGATCAGGACCTACTCCCAGGATCGAAGAAGCCTCCCAAGGAGCACGACAAGCGCGCAGTAGCCAGCCTAAACAGGTCAGTCACCAAGGCTATGAGCCGAGCAGACTCCAAGCCCGAAGCACCTCGTCGCGCTCCTCGGGGGTATAGTGCATAGGATCCTTCAGCTCGCCAGGCGCAAAGGGGCCCGCATACCGCAAGCCCACAAAGCAGAACTTATTCTCCGGATGGTGCCACAGCAGATGCTCGGGGTCCGGGTGGCGGTGGACATACCCCGCCGCCCACCACTCGTGCAAGGCGCCCAGAAACTCGGTCTCGAGCATGCGCCGCGAGTGCGGCCGCAGGTCGTCCAGCCGCGGCAGCGCGTGGTCCGGCCGCTCCTGCATCCAGATAAACGTCGCCCACCCGCGCACCTCGGGCTCGAACTGGAAGCGCCAGCTGTGCCCCGGCGCCCCCGTGGGGTCGAACGTCAGCTGCTGGAGGTCGACGGCTTCGAGGGACCGGTACAGCGGCACCGGGATATGTGCTAGGTGCAGCTTCGCCGTCGTCAGTTGCTGCAGGCGGAGTTCTTTCCACACGCGCCGCAGGACCTCCGGGTCGGTGCTGGGCCTGGTCCCCGGGCTGATGTCGTCGTTGTGCTCCTCGTCCCCCACCCCCGGGGGCAGAATTCCGATCGTGATCTTGAGGACTGTGTCCTCGATGAGGGAGCCCACGGGCTCCGTTGTCGAAAGATTGGGATCCGCCACCGCCACCGCCGCCGGCGCCGGCTCTGTCTCTGTCTCTGGTTTCGATTCTGGCTCTCGCTCTGGCTGCTCCGCGGTTTGCGCAGGGTGCGCCTCTAGAGTTGGCTGCGGCTCCGCCTCCGACGTTAGCGTTGGCTGCCACATCGGATGCGGCTCTGGCGTCGGTACGACGCGGGCGACGATGCTTACGCCCAACGTGCCATCGACTTCAAACCACGGTTTCTCTGACAGGATCGAGGTTACCTCCCAGCTGATGTTGTAGGTTCTCTCAATGAACCTGCACCCCACCCAGAAGGCCCCGGTGAGGCAGGCGTGCGGGGGTGTGTTTTCTTGATTCTCTGACATCTCTGGGGAGAGATGATGATCGGACCGTTTGAACGTGTGTTCCATCTCTGCTTGACTTGATGGTGAGGCTTGGAGATATGTGAGAGCCTGGTTGGTGGTTACTTTTATAGTGGCGGACGTGCAGGGTAACGCTGTACACGATAAGGGACATCTCGCATGAGAACAGGAACTCACCACCCCGATACAAAAGCGTCACAAAGAGAGATTTCATTGCATAAAGAGGGAGTAAGGCAATGAGTCTCAGGCTAGAGATCAGTCTTGATCGTGAACTCTGCGTGCCCTTTGTTGCACAATGCGACTCTCCACTAGCTGCAAGCTGCGACAAAGGCGTACCCGACGAGCTTTTGTGGACTGAAGGACGTAGAGGTGCTTGAGGGCTCACCCCGGAGGAGGACCATGACCCTTTTCGATACGAGGCAGGATGTCGTAGTTCGTCCTCATAGGTACCCGAGCAAGACAAATGGAAGCCAGCCATTAGAGCTGGCTTGAGTAAAGCTGCGAGTCAAGATCTCTCAAGCGAACGATAGTTCAAAGTAAAGTAAAGGAAAGAATCGAGGCTCAAGTTGGATTTTACATCTACAAAAAGGACGTTCATCGAGCCCGAGGCAATCCTACTGTGGTTGTGCGGGAGTACTACGCACGCAGCAGCAGCAGCGAGGGAGAGATCTATAAATCGGCACAGCCAGCCCTGACTCTGATCGCTGAGGCCTTGGATCAAGCCTGTCAGCCTTTTATCCTAGTTCTCGACATCATAGGTGTATTAGGTCATTTACCGTCCATGGTTCGAATGGCCGAGTATACTGCATCGTCGAAGCCGTAACTGAACACGCTCAATCCGTTAAGTATATAGGCGATCAACATGTTCCTGGTCACCAGACCGGACTTGAGCTTGAAGCCCGCGAATGCTGCCATGATCTGTGTGCGAGGATTGATCGCTTCCAGCTCACAGGAACTTGTCTTGTGGTCGTCTCAAGTATATTTTGCAGCATTTCACCATCTTTGACATCTTCTTGGAATTATTCGTCACATTGAGGAGCGATACTATGATACTGGAACTGAACAATACAGTCGACCATCGCCGATAAAGGTTGACGCAGCTAAAATTACGCTAACTGACCGAGAGCCGCAGTGCGACTGACAGCCGTGATTTTGCAGTCGTTCGTTGGGAAGATGATGAAGCCATCGGTTCAAATGATGGTAACATCTCCACTGGACATTGCTAAGGCCCGCTCCTTCCCGCTCGATGGTTCAAAGCACGTTCAAAAACGAGTGGTGGGATAATAATCGCCTGGTTTTGTGAAGAGATGTGGAAGAAAGACATGATACAAAACGACCAACGGACTGCATTGACGATTCACTAACTGCCTGGTGCACTCATTCTGATCCAAACGCCATGCCCAGCTCTATGACACCACGAAAAACCACGGGCCATTTTCAAAGACAAGGAGAGGTCGTGGATGCGCGACGATGAGTTCATCAATGGGGCGACGGACTTATCTGAAGACTTCTATTCGTCGAACTCATTTACTGATAACCTCTTATCAATCTTGGAGGACCGCACGGAGGGACATAAAGAGCAGCCGTTCTTCTCCTATCTCGCTTTCACGGCGCCGCATTGGCCGTTGCCGGCGCCACAGGATGCAATCAAGAAATACAAGGGGTGGTACGATGATGGGCCGCTTGCCTTGCGGAGTCGGCGACTGAAGAGTCTAATCGCGAACGGTCTAGTGCCCGAGGGGGTCGATCCGGCTCCGATCATCACGTTGGGGACTACGCCCTGGGATGAGTTTTTCGATGAAGAGCGGCAGATGTCTAGTCGGACGATGGAGATTTACGCCCCCATGGTTGAAATCATGGACGCGAACCACGGCCGGGTGTGGGAGTACCTCGAGTCGTCGGGCGAATGGGATAATACTTTTCTGGTCTTCGTTTCGGACCATGGGAGATCTGCCAACACTTTCCCTGTCGTGAAGAGATGTTCGGCTCGCCGATCCCAGAGCATATCACCGGTCGTTCATCCGTGAGCACGACAGAGCAACCCACTAGTTCTCACGGAACACTGGAGCTCATCTTACTTCTATCAAAGGTGCGGCGCGACATCGTTCGCTTTACTCGGCAACTCGCTCTTGTAGAGCAGCCCCCTGTCGACCTCGAAACTATCGTTCGAGGATTCCAGACCAGTTTAGCACAACTAGGAGCTCAAATCACCTCATCGTTTGGTCATATAGCGCTAAGTCCTGGCAGTCTTCAGTACCAACAACGGCTGAGCTCGCGATGGATGATACGGGTCCTTGAACTACACATCGCATGGCATCAAGCCCAGTGCAATCTGTTTCGGATATTTCTCCCCGGCCATCCCAGCGCTGCTTCACCGACAATCTCTCTAAATATCAGCCCGCTTGTCCTCCAAGCTCGAGACAAATGCCACGAACACAGCACCTGATCATCACTGCAATCCTGGCCAATAGTCTTCAAGACCGCCGACATGCTTTCCCGTGGATATCGCCCGGTGCGTGTATCACGCGGCTTGCCTATGTCTTCATCTGACGGGGGGCCTCAGATCAGATAGGGGCTGAAGCATCACCGTCTGTTTCTCCAGACATGGCCAGTAAGCATGCTATATCGGCTCTAGGCTTCCTGCAGCGCAGATTCGGCCTCGCGGCCTATGCGAAGGGGATGATAACGGATATTCAGATGGTGATCAGTACGTGCAATGACACTCAGACTCGGACATCACGGGCTTCAGGGTGCTGTTCGGCCGTCGGGGTCGAATGGGTTTGAGCGGTATCATCAGCTGGCCGTACTTAGCCTTCTTCATCAGGCGGAGTCTGTGGATGATAGTTATTTGTATCATGGGTAGCTCAGCTTCTTATTTTCTTTACCTCGTCGTGGTCGGAGACGGCGCCATGGTCGCTTGATGGGAGGGGAGATCGGAGAGAGCGCAAGTGCAGCAGAAAGAGTCGGAGTTGAGTTACAAGCGCCAGTGCAATTTCTGGTATACCTTGTCCGTCTCTTTCGATGTCTTAAATTGTTGTACAGTCTCCCCGGAGTTTGAGGGCGGTTTAGGGCAAATCCGGGGTAAACGACATCGTCCCACACTTTGTCAGACTGACATTGAGCAAATAGCACGCACAGAGGAAACTTGCCCTGGTGCCATGCATTATACCCGACAAGGTTCGGAAAGGTTTCAGGGCTTGGCAGGATCGACCTGGCTCGTTGAAAACAAGGGTTGGTGGGAGCAATATTGGGTGTTGGTAAACGCATCTCGGCCCGACAACAGGCCAATGAGTAGCCCTAACCACGACAGAGGGGCTATGCTGTCTCGGCCCGACTTCTTAGATAAGAAACGCTGCTTGCATGTCTTGCGTTTACTATCATTCAACTGCCTATCTTTTTATTCTCTCACACAGCCATGGCAACTACACCGTGGTGGAAGAACGCGACGATCTACCAAATCTACCCCGCCAGCTTCCAAGACTCCAACGGCGATGGCATCGGCGACCTGCCCGGCATCATCAGCCAGCTGGACTACATCCAGTCCCTGGGGGTAGACGCGATCTGGGTATGTCCGATGTACGACAGCCCGCAATACGACATGGGCTACGACATCTCAGACTACGAAGCCGTGTACGCGCCGTATGGCACGGTGGCGGATGTGGAAGCGCTGATCCAGGGCTGCCACGCGCGCGGGATGCGCATTCTTCTGGATCTAGTAATCAACCATACCTCTCACGAGCACGCATGGTTCCAAGAATCGCGGTCGTCGCTCACGAACCCCAAACGTGACTGGTACATCTGGCGGCCGCCACGACACGACGCAGCAACGGGCGCACGCCTGCCCCCAAACAATTGGCGCAGCTTCTTCGGCGGCAGCGCGTGGACCTTCGACGAGCACACGCAAGAATACTACCTGCACCTCTTCGCCGCGCAGCAACCCGACCTGAACTGGGAGAACGCGGCGACACGCGCGGCGCTCTACGCCTCCGCAATGGAATACTGGCTAGCCAAGGGCATCGACGGCTTCCGGATCGACACAGTGAACATGTACAGCAAGCCGGCGGACTTCCCAGACGCGCCGATCGTCGACCCATCCAACACCTACCAACCAGCGACATCGCTCTTCTGCAACGGGCCACGCATGGCCGAGTTCTTGGGCGAAATGAACGCCATCCTGCGCAAGTACAAGCCCGCACACGAAACCCTCACAGTAGGCGAGCTCCCCAGCACGCCACTCCTCTCGGACGTACTATCCTACGTCTCCGCCTCCGCCAACCAACTGAGCATGGTCTTCCAATTCGACATCGTCGACAGCAACATGGGCACGGACCTGCGCTTCAACACAGTCCCACACACCTGGACACTGTCTGACTTCCGGGCCCGCGTCCGCGCCACCCAGACCCTAATGGACGGCACAACAGACGGATGGAGCACCGCCTTCCTCGAGAACCACGACCAAGCGCGCTGCGTATCCCGCTGGGGCGACCCCGGCAAATACCACGCCCAAAGCGCCAAGATGCTCGCGATGCTCGTCGCCAGTCTCTCCGGCACGCTGTTTCTGTACCAGGGCCAGGAAATCGGCATGCTTAATGCGCCGGCCTCCTGGGATGTGCGCGAGTACAAAGACGTCGATAGCGTGAATTACCTTGCTTACGTGCGAGATACCACCGGAAATAACCCCGTTGCTATGCGGAAGGCCCGTGCTGCGCTGAATTATCTCGCCCGCGATCATGCTCGGTTGCCTATGCAATGGAACTCGTTGCCTCATGCGGGCTTTACGGATCCACAGGCTACGCCGTGGATGCGTGTGCATGATAACTTTCGGGATGTTAATGTCAAGAGGCAGGCGATTGATGAGGACTCGGTGTTGAGTTTCTGGAAGAGGCTGTTGAGGGTTCGGAAGGCGTTCCCTCGGGTTTTTGCTTGCGGGGTGTTTCGGGATCTTGATCCTGATGATGAAGAGGTGTTTTTGTTTGAGAAGGTGGGTGACGGGGCGAGGTTGGTGGTTGTGTTGAATTTTACGGGCGAGGTGCAGAGGGTGCAGTTGGGCAGGGAGCTTGTGGGTGGGAGTAAGAAGATGTTGGTGGGGAATTATGAAGATGTGGAGAGTGAGGATGCGGATGTGTTGCGGCCGTTTGAGGGGAGGATTTATTTGGTGGAGGGTTGATTGGGTTTGCTTTTGATATGGGGATATCCTGGGTCTTTGGTGGATGGTTCGGGACTTCGTGGATTGAGCTATATGCTTGCGTGTAGACGGGGTAACACAACTAGACTGGAGCACGGCATGAATGCGTCTCATGAACATTCTCTCTCGAGATTATTAATTTATACATGAAGAAAGCCGGCTATAGATTAGAGCGGGCTGGTAAGTACATCAAATGAGAGGATTCCTCCCCTACAACACCATCGCCATGAGAACAGCACCCAAAGAAACCAACCCCTGGAAAACAGTCACCCGCTGCACCGAAGCCGCGCCCGTGAACAGAGCCCCCGTTGCACTGGTCGTCGTGCTCTGAGACGTCGATCCAGTGGTCGAGGATGAAGGCACTGGCACTGGCATTGGCGTGCTAGTCTGCCGGATCATGCTGCTGGGGATGGCTGAAGAGCTGGAGACGATCACACCAGCGCTGGAGCTGGAGTTCAGGTTTGTTCCTGAGCTAGACTGACCGGGGACGTACTGAGGAGCGTTTGAGGATTGCTCTGCTGAGGTGTTGCTGCTGTTCTTTGTTCCGGAGATTGAGGAGCCGGTTGAGGAGCCTGAGGCCATGGGCGAGGTTCCGCTGTTGCCTGTACCCGCACCGATTGATTCGGATGTAGCGGAGACTCCTGAGGGGGAGGATTGCGCAGGGGAGCCAGCTGTGTTGACGCTGTTCGCGTTGTTGCTGTTGCTATTGCCATGGCTGCTGCCGTTACCGGAGTTGCTGGCGTTGCTTCCGGTGCTGGCGTGGCTTCCAGTGTTGCCAGCGTTACTTCCAGTGTTGCTGCCATTGCCGTAGATGTCAGTGGCAGAGTTGGCATTGTTGCTAGCAGCACTGTTGCCGTTTCCATTGCTGTGGGCGTTGCTGCCGCTGTTGCCAGTAGCACTGCTACCGCTGACACCACCGCTGCTAGACCCAGACTGTGCAGACGACCCTTCAGACACACTGCCGACAGGCGACTGACCAGAAGCCCCAGAGCTACCCGATCCGGAATGCCCAGTCACCAATCCAGAAGAGTGCCCAGATGCTCCTCCACTGCTCGGGCCAGAGGCAGAGGCAGAGCCAGAGCCAGACTCAGCCGAGGCGCCAGCCGGAGACCCATTCGAGGAGCCCTGTGCCTGAGAGACACCAGCACCCGGAACCCCAGTCTCCACAGGCACAACCACGGTGGTCGTATATGTATGACGGAGCGTCTCAGCGCAAGAAGTCTGGCCGTTCGCGCACGCAACAACCGTGACAGTAGACGTCTGCTGACCCTGACCTCCATTGCTACCTCCATGGGACGATTGACTAGTGGGTACAGCACCAGCGTTACCGATTTCCGTAACAATCGTCTTGCCGGGGGCGCTGACGCCTCCACCCGGGGCGGAGGTAGCGTGCGCTTCGGCGGCTGTCACGGGGCAGATGGTAACGTAGTCCACCAAGGTCTCGGTCGTAGTGATCGTGCTTCGGACGGAGGGGGCGCAGGTCGCCACGTTGGAGGGGCAGGCTGTAACCGTTGCGGTGCGGGTGGTTAGCACCGTGGAGGTGGTTAGTTCGGGGATGCTGTTGGTGGGTTTGGCTCCGTTCGGGACTGCGGTGGTGGTGGTGGTGGTGCTGCCGCCGGCTTCTGTGATGGGGCAGATTGTGGTGGACACCAGGACGGTCTCGGTGGTTAGGTAAGTGGTTCGCGATCTGACCGGGCAGTCGGTTACGCTGGAGGGGCAGGCGGTGATGGTCGCCGTGCGAGTGGTGAAGACGGTTGAGGTTGTGAAGTCTTGATTCGAAGGGGATGAGCCGGTTTGACCTGCCGTAAGAGCAGTGGTTGGCATACCCGAGACCTGGTTGTTCACGGATGGACCTGTTTGGCCTGCCGTGGGAGCAGCGGTAGAGGTGACGTGATCCTGGCTACCGGCAGAGGAACCGTTCTGGCCTGCTGTAATGGCACCAGTTGAGACGGCGGAGCCCTGGTTGTTGGCAGAAGAGCCAGTATGGCCTGCTGCAGTGGCAACGGTTGAGACAGTCGGGCCCTGGTTGTTGCCAGAAGTACCGGGCTGTCCGGCTGAAGGAGCACCGGCTGGGATAGTAGAACCCTGGTTGCCTGCAGAAGAGCCACTCTGGCCCGCTGACACGGCGCTGGTCTGAGTCGCCGTAGTTGAGCAACTAGTCGAGGTGACACGGACGGTGCCTGTCTCAGTAACAATCACAGTGCGTCGTGTAGTCGGAGATTGAGAAGCTCCGGGAGTGTTGCTGGGTCTGCCCGATGGCGAGGCAATTGAGCTGGGAACCACAATCTGGGATAAACCAGCGCTCGGTCTCACTGCGCCTGAAGACGCACGGCTTACTGTGCCTGCATTGGCTGTTGAGGTCGTGCGAATAAGTGGCCGGGAGCTGGTGGCCGAGGGAGAAACGACGGGCGAGGAGCTAGGGCTTGGCTGAACCAAGGCAGAGCTGCTCAAAGGCCGCCCTGGCTGGGACACAATTACCGAGGAGCTGGAAGGGATCGCCGAGGCAGAGGGAGAGAAAGACACAACAGATGACGAACGAATGTTGGAGGGAACACTGGAGGGACCACTGGAGGGAATGCTAGAGGGAATGCTGGAAGGGAAGCTGGAGGGAACGTTGGAAGGAACAATTGACAAGGAAACGACCGAGGACGATGGAATAATCGATGCCACAGGCGATGAGCTCACAAGGCTGGTCGGTACGATCACGCTGGACGACGAGGTCACAACCACCGAAGAAGTCGGCAGCACAGGAGTCGCCGTCGGGGTCACCGTGCTAGTGACGCAAGAGGTAACAGCCACGCCATCGCTCAGCTTGAGATTGTCGATCTTGATTGCTGCGCCCCTCCAGTCGGAGTTGCTGGACTGGCAGTAAGCATAGATCTCAACGAGATGCGAGCCATCGGTCGTGGGGGTGTATGTGGCCGAGAAAGGGGTCCAGCCCATGCCTGCAGTAGGGACCGTGACCGACGTCGAGCCAATCGAGCTGCCAAATCTGTCCATGTACCAGTATAGGCGGCATGTCAACTGGCCCGTTGTCGAGGGGGAGATAGCCCAGTCCAGTGATGCGGTGTATGTCTTGCCTCCCACCAGATTCTGGGAAAACTGGTAGAATAGGATGCTGGAGCGCGCCTGATTACCGCTGGCCTCGAGATAATAGTCGCCATCGGCAGCATCACCGCTAACCACTGACCCTGAGGTGCCACTAGCGTAGCCCCAGTTGGTGAAACCGTTCTCAAACGATGGGTTCTGAATTGCATTCGGGACAGCGGTGGTGCAGCTGACGATGGTCGACGGGGCAGGCACAGGAGCCAAAGTCGCCGTTGTCATCGGGGGAACAGTCACAGTATACGTGGTGGTAAAGTCGGAGACAGCAGTAGTGGTCCAGTATTCGGTCGAGGTGGAAGTCACCGTGTCCACGCACGGATTGGTGGTACGCATAACTGCGGCCTGAACATCGCCTGTCGCTGACACTGTCTGTAGATCGCCTGACAGGAACTGACAGGACTGCCTTGAAGGATAGTAGTTGAAACCACTGCAAAGGACAGAGTAAACATTACAGTAGAACTGGCACGCATAGGCATTAGGCATATGGACGTAACTAGGCAGCAAAGTCCTTTGATTACCACCGGTGACAGACACTCCGGAGCAATACTCGCGCCAGGTGTGGCTACCCTGTACCCATGCAGCATCGGAACAACCGAGAGGAGGTGCAGACCCGACAGTGCATGTGGTGGCTGTGGTCACGACCGGAATTATGCTGCTGCCAGTGCTGGTGACGGTGCTTGCGTAAGTGGAGGTCACCGTCACCACCGAAGCACCCGCAGCTGTGGCAGCTGGGGCTGAAATGGTCAATGCCAGGCCACTCGCTGGCAGAAGAGTGGCCGCCAGAGCAATTCTTCGAGATGTCCACCGGCCCATGATGACAGATGAAAATAATGAGTGTATGTCAGTCGGGTGCAATGTCACAAAAAAGAAAGTGAGAGGAATGAGACCTCACGACGAGGCCGAATGAACGGAGAAGACCCAGAAAAGAGGGATAAAGGTCTCTGCTCGATTAACTGAACGCCATGGTGGGCGAAGCGGTCATAATATACGCCATCGGACCCCTAATGTCTAGACCCCGATCTGATCGCATTCGTCGGGTATTTTGTCCCAGGTTCGTATAGGTGGATCCGATACAATCACTAGTCGATTTGTCGGTCAGGTGGCAAATTTGTTTTACCTGTGCTGTGCCGCGAACAGAGACAACTTTGGATAGAATCTACGTTGACAGTCAGGAGTGGGTGGTGTCAGGGTAGAGGAAGTCAGCTGACGAGTCACGCTCTGTTGTGTTGTATGCATGGATATCATCCCCAAGAAACATCACTTGTTATCACCACCACATCAAAAGATCAACAAGCACAAACCACTCAAAGTTTTCGGCATGACCGACGGCGCTAGGTAGGATCCAGCTTAGTGTCAGGTACTGCTATTTTCAACCCTGGATTCATTCAACGCCACTTGAGCTGAAGTCGCCCACCCCATGGCTTGATAGGATTGATCGTATCTTAGGTTGGTTGGATGAATCTGTTTCGTGAACCAAGCTGAACTTGTTCATGTTTAGCGAAGCCAGGTAGACTAGTCATGCAGGTACCCCCTTATCCCCGGTGTGTCCAACTTGTTAATCGCACCACGTGGGGACTTTTTCCATGACCTGTCGACCTCATGGAGTGCCGTCCTTCCTCCAGTGCTATGCAAACTGTAATTTTGCCGCGAACCTGGACCTGCGTGTTCCTTTCAACCAGATCTTTAGACTTGGACATGCGACCGAGAGTCAGACGCCGCGCCTGAAATTTCCCTACCAGCAGCCATCCTCAAGTAGGTCCAAGCCACTGGCCCAAAACACCCTAGGTGAAATTGTCCCACCAAGGACACATTCAACCCACTAAACCAGAAACTCTATCCTCTTGATACCCGGGCATTCTGACGAAGAGAACCAAACTTTTGCGCCAAAGGTCCAATCGCAGATTCTGCAGCGCAAGAGACAGATGAACGAGGTCCCTCAGAAACATAATATCACGGATGCGATACACTCTCCGCATTCTCCACCTGCACCATGGGCAGCAGAACCTGCGTGATTATTTAGCGGGCTCCAGTAACTTCTCCAGGGTCCTAGAGCCATGAAGCCCCACGAGGTCGCGGCGGATCATCCTCAAGAACTGCGATCAGCGAAATCAGCGCGTACAGCCAGTGGCAGGTGACGATGAGGTCGACCCGCATAGACGGCAGGGATCAGACGCCGCGGTGACAGTCCTCGTCTTTTAGATGTCGCTGCTTCTTTGGGCCCAATCGATCGTCACGTCTGACCAATCTCTCAGCCAGAATGTGAGAAACTCGGAGATCATAGCCCGACTAGACACATCTGCGTGGTCAGGCTCTGCATCACGGTCATTACGGTTGGCAGCGCATCTAGGCCCATTCAGTGGAATACAGTAGCTTGCATGGGCGATTTACTTGGAAAGCTAGTAATTGACGCGCTACTAGCAGTGCGCTTGCTACTGATGACTATTGGTTCTGGGACTTGTAATTCTTTATTGTCATTATAGCCTAATTATAAGGTAATATGTGCTGAAGCTGCTTTGTAGCGCGGTTGTGATTTTGGTGTGGGGTTGAGCTCAATAGCTTGAAATATTTCTTCTTTACTCCCTGAATGACCCAGCCGCATTACGACAGCCCGAACAAAGGTACTAGTACGCTGGTCGTCCTCTTATCAATATTATAGGTTGGCATGGAGAGTAGTTGAGTAAGAGTCAAAGGTTCGGAATGGACAGGGCTCTGAACCCAAGATCTTGCAACGCAATGTCGATAACTTCAGGAAGTGATACATAAAAGCAGAAGTTAATATAATCTCAGCAGCTCGCTATTCGAGGTTTCAATATACCCTTACCACGATTCAACTATCTCGTTATTGGTTGCTGTTTTATTAAACCCAAGGTTAACATTAACTTGAGTTGGAGGTTAAATATCCTCAAATATATGCTTCCCCCCACCCCAGCCCCACGAGTTTGTATATGAATTGATAGGAGGCACAATGATAGTTCAACTACAGTAGAGCTACATCATACAGAATTCGTAACTTGGTAACTGCATAATGAGATTAAGCCTGTGATTAGATTCTCTCTCAACTTTTGTAGCAATCCCGCCTATGCTGAGTATTAATTATTTATACTTATGCGCCAGCTCTCCATTGACCCCAGAAACAGCTTGACACCATATCCAGCACAAGGCTCCTCCCATAAACACAGGAAGTAGAAAGTCAAGAGCCAGGAATACGTCCGACTTCAACAAACCACCCGTACAGATCAGCATCCATTCCCTTATCTCACACATCGCCATCTTCCAACCCCCACTCAAAAGGCGCAATTTTCAGTATCTGAGCTAAATGGGAACGTTAGAGCCAGGGCGTAGGATTGAAAAGCTCCTCCACTGACGGAAATGCTTACCCTCAAGGGAACATCCAGATTGAGATTCAGGGAACTTCCAATCGTCATCTTTGATGAAACGACCGTTTCTCTGCCTAAGCCAATCGCTGTCCTTGTGTATTAGGCTTTGTTTATGTACCTAGAATGGGAGAAGAGGTCTTCTCTTACTTGCAAGTGTAGGCTTTAGGGGTGGGAAAGGCTTCTGAAATATCAAGCGGAAGAAAGAACAGACTTATAATCCGTCGCAGAAGCCGGCCCTGCAGAGTTTCATGGGAAGATTCCCGTTCTTACTGTTGTAGGTGCCGCCCTTTTTCGCCGGGGTCGGCATCTGGTACCACTGCAGCGGTGGTGAGTTTTGGGGCACGCAACAGCTAGAGAACTCCTTCCTGATGGGCCTGAAGTCGTCCTCCACTGCTCCAACGGCTAGGGCGGCGGCGGGGAGGACTGCAGTGAGGATTTATAGAACGGATTTCATTGTAATGATGTGGAGTCAATGTTCAGAGGTGAGTATAAGGGGTTTGGTTTGTCTTTGAAGGAGACTTGTAGTTTACTGATTTCGCAAAATGCACCTTTCGTCACACGAGGTAGAAGATACAGCCTTTTATAGCCATTCGACCAGCCAGTCACCCTAGGACCAGCCTACAAGAAACACTCGACCGTAAATAGTCGACATCATCACGATTATGCTGTAGCGCTTTGGGAGCAGCCGATGAACCTGGACCCCTACCCAGAGATAGACAATGCATGGTAGATCATGTGCAGAATTCGAAGGTGGCTGAACCATAGCCTGCCTATTATACACCCAAATATACCGAGATTAGAACTCTGTGACCTCGAGGGGATATACTATAAGTTAGGCTTGTGGATGCACTATTGCGCAGATGGTAGTTAGAACTGTACTGTCTATGTTTTGATTGAAGTCAGACTGAGGCTCAACTAGAATCCATCGGGGCTTTCTCCGAGTACTGGTGTTGTTTGCTCCCTTTTACAGATGGACATCTGAGCCTCAAACAAAGAAATGTATTCCTCTGGTTAGATTCTAGCTCTGATTCAAAATTATGTTGGGGATGATACCGATAGTAGGTATAATTCCAATAGAACTATAATCACGGAACAGGATCCGGGCCAAACACTTTGATTCATCTGCTCCTTACACTCTAGACCTGTGGGTCCTGAACTGCTATTCTTGCAGTATCACACTCCTGCACACATCTCAATTTGGTAAGGCTAGACGGTTGGAACCTGGCTTGAGTCTCACGCATGGAACGCCCCAAGTTCTCAAGAGGCACTGACTGGACATGGCCAATTCTGGATTTCTAGCAGCAGATCAGACGCTCTTCCCCTCCGGTACTTGTTGTGCAGTCAGACCTCTACCTGTAATTGAACCTAGACACACCACGGGAATACCTTCTTTGCGCTACCCGAACACCTGGCTCTGAATAGATCGAGTGTCACTCTCGCGTGGCTCATCGCTCCAAATCATCAATCCTCTATTACCATCCCTGCGACTTGAAGACCTTTTGGAAGGGTCGAATTTCAGCAAGCGTGGCTCGGAACGTGGTTCAGTCCACGTCCATGGGACTCCATAGATTGCTCTGTCTCTGCAAGCAGAATTATTGACAATGCGGAGATACATGCCGCCGATTGTTTTTGTCCGACGCTCACACAGTCTAATAGAACAGACATGCGAAAAGCGACAGGTTGGTACATTGTACAAATTGAGGATGGAACCTTTGGCTCTCACTGTCGGGAGGCTGTGGTCTATCTAGCTCACATAGCCTTAGCTATCGCTGACAAAAGAAATCCTAGGCCGAATGCGTAGGCCCCAGCCATGACTGCGCATGTTTGAACCGATGCTCAGTCTGCACCAGCAGGATGACCAAGGAAGGCCTGAGAGGGAAGGGAGAAAGCTATTCGCGAAACATTGGAACAGGCTTGCTCTTGGCAATCCAGCGCCTCGTATTCTTCGTACCGAGCTTTGCTCTGCAAGTCCTCAATGCGAATGGGATTGATCAGGACGTGATTTGAAAGCAAAAGTTTGAGATGTATCAGTTACATCTTTGTCCTCTACTAACGATAGCAAGGGGGTGATTTACCTGATTGGCAAGGATGTATGTAGTCTCTTTTGTTCTTTCTGATTTTGGCCATGGAGCTTTCACTTGGCCTACGCACTTGACGATTGAAAGGATCGAGTATTGCTTATACTGCAATCCAGACTGAAACGCATTGCAAGCACACAGATAAATACAGATTACTGCACACAATGACATTAGTTTATTGGTTCACTTCGCTCATCCGACCGTTCTCTTAGTAATGTGCTGAGTCGCAAACCGCACCAGAAAGATCGCAGCCTCATCCCGGCAGAATCGAAGACGTCGAGACGGTCGAGGAGTTCGCCAGGCTTCTCCCGTCCTTCCCAATAGCCTCGACAAACGCTTTAGGATGGTACGCAGAACTAGTATAAGTCGTCTGAAAACCAACATTATCCGCCTGAGCAATGGGCGTCAACTGATCCGCTGCAGCAGAAGTCGAGGCATAGATATTCCAGTAATCGACCTCCGTGGCCCCGTTCCAGCTCATCCAAAACGTGGTAGCAGCATTTGGAGATGGGCTATACGCTCGCAGGGCCGGCGGCTCGTGGGGCTGGGCGGACCACTCATACTTGTAGGCGCGGTAATTCATGGTGTGGAAGTCGGCGATGGAAGCGAAGAAGACTGGCGTGCCGTCCTCGAGGTGCTCCGACATAGACGGGATGTTACCCCAGCCGATAAACGCGTTTCTATTAGGCAGGATCTGACAATTACCCTGACTCCAAGCCTGGATGCCCGCGCTGGGAGCTGTATAGCTTCTGAGGAGGGTGGAAGTGTCGGTGGTATGGTCGATGGCAACGATCATGCCCGAGGAGAACGCGGACGTGTTCCGGTATTTGTCGCTCCCGTTGTCGAACAGCGACAGCACGGTGGTCGTGGCATTCTCCTCGCGGAAGCGCGCATCGTGCTGCGACGAGAAGTTGTAGTTCGCCAGCTGGATTGTCGAGTTGGTGCCCCCAAGTCGCCACATCACCGACCCGTCGGCTCCGGAGATCTTATAGATCCCGCTGGTGTGTCGCGCCGACACCAGGTAGTCGCCCTCCCCGTTCTTGTCGATCGAGTTGATGTGGAAGTAGTCCCATGCCGACGCATTGCTGCGCCCGTCACCGACCACCTGGTTGAGCCCCGGCGGCGTGTAGGATTCGCTCGTCGCGACGTGGTCCAGCGAGCTCCACTGGAAGAGCACCGCGCCGGATGCGATGTCGATCTCTTGGAACACACTGTCGATCACCCACCCGGGCCCTGGGACGATGTTGTATGCCGTTAGGTCGGTCGTCCGCGGCTGGTAGATCGGGATGAGCATGCTCGTGCTGTTAATGACGGCGGATTCGTGCATGTCGCTCATTTCTAGCCCGTTGCCGCTCTCGACCGACGCACTAGGGCTGTAGCTGCGGTCCAGGATCTCGTGGTGGCCCCGTGCGTATCCGCCTATCTGCTCTCCCTGGAAGTAGCACAGGTGATCGGATCCATTGTAGGCGCAGACATGCAGGTCATGGAAGATGTCGGTGGTCGAGCCGTCGGCGCCGCTCCATACCAGATTCTGGACACATTAGGGCTCTGTCTTCGGCACAGTCTCATCCACATACAGCGTTGGTGTCGTATATATATGGTCCTGGCATATCCCCGTAGTAGGGTGCGATGAAGATGTACCCTGGGGTGATGAGGCTATCATTTTTGAAGCTGATCTCGAGCACTGGGGCACGGATATCTGGCCGCTAGATAGACGACCAAACAGTTAGCAGTGCCCGTGTAACTACTGCACTAAGGGTTACCGACAGATTGGTAAGACACCCCATTTGCACAATCTGCCGGACTAGTGAATGCCAGGATCGAAGCCAGCCCTAGCTTCCTCTTCCAATGAATAGCCATGGTGATTGGGAATAAGAATTCCTCTATCTATGCCTAATGGTGGGCCCAGCTAACAGGATGCACGGTTTAGCAGTACAGACAAGGAAGATAGATTGTATGATCTGGGTGCCATCTTCAAAGGGTCGGGAGTCGTGGACCATGTATGAATTGGCCGCAAGAAGGCTGTAGCAATGAATTACATCAAGACTCGACTGAAGCAGAACCCTACCAGCGACTGTACCCCGCTGCGATTAATTAATCGATGGCTCGATCTGGGTTGTGCCAGCCATGGTTCCAGGCGTCGCATGTAAAGGGTTCAAGATTAGATTTCCGCTTCCGGCGATTTCGAGAAGGCTGGATCAATTTTCACTGGTGCGTGGAGCCCACATTTGACGGATATTCTAGCCAGGAAGGTAAGCTGGTGTCAAAGACTCGCTGACATGAAATCATCAATTGTCGAAAACCCGGGGTTGTCGTCGGTCCCACTGATCAGCTGGGCACTACACGCCACAGAACGATTCGCAAACCGTGAAGCTGGGCCGAAACACCCGTTGCAGTTGAGAGCTTGCTGTCATTTGGACAAGAGATTGCTGACATCACGTTTCTTTTGGCGTTCGGGCGGATTGTTGGACTCTAAGCACCTTTTGCCGCATCGAGGAGTTTGGTATGTGACATGCGCAACCCCTTGCATGAATCTTCAGCAATTTTTGTTTGGATCATTTTCAGAGTCTCTTAGGTCTGAGTCTTCCTTTCATTACAGTAATAAGATAAGCGCGGAGAAAACAAGAATAACAGTGGATAGTGCGTCATTGACTAGAGGATGGCGTTGCTGCATCATGAAGCCAAGTTCTACGTCTCACCAGGCGACGGGTGACTGGTAGCGACACTTCTCTCAGGATTGTTGTGCATCACATCCTTGGACTTTCGACCGTATCTCTGTCCCACTATCCAGGATCCATCATCAATCACAAAAATAATGGCACCAAGCAACGACGCAGTCCCCCCGGTATCGCCTAAGTCAGCAGACCGCGTGTTACTGATCACCTACCCGCGAACCGCATCAAACCTACTGGTCAAAATGCTATCCCTAACTGACCAATCCAACGTCGTCTCCAACGCAAGCGGGGGCTACTTCTTCTGGGACGCGTTCATGCGAGAGCGCGAGACAATATGCAGGGGCCAGCCCATCGAGCAATGGAGCCGCGACGAGACCGACGCAATCCGCCGCGCCTTCCAACAAAACCTCGACCACATTGAAGCGACATCGCAAGCCGCCAACGCAGAAGGCAAGATCTTCTTCGCCAAAGAGCACACCCTGTGGCTGGCGGATCCCGCCGCAGTCACCCAGTACCTTTCCACCCACGAATACCGACCCTCCACCCGGCTAGGCGTGCAAGTGCCCAGCCCTTACTCCAGCAATCCGTTCTCATCCCCCAAGAATATCACCATCTTCCCAGACGCATACCTCGCGACATGGCGCCCGACCTTCCTCATCCGACACCCCGCGCTGGTGTTCCCCTCGTATTACCGCGCGCTCCTCAACTTGGAGGAGGAGGGCTTCGCGGAGCCGGACATGGTCGAGCCGATGCTCGAGCTGCACTCCACGCTTCTGTGGACGAGATTGCTCTTCGACTGGTTCTGTGACCGCCAGGCGCAGTCGTGCTCGGGTCGGCACCGCGAGCCGATCCTGCTCGATGCCCAGGATGTCATTCACCATCCGGCGGTGGTGCAGAGGTACTGTGAGCTTGTTGGCTTGAGTCCGGAGAAGGTCAGGTTCGCGTGGCAGGAGACGCAGGCGCGGCGTGATGGGCATGCGAGCGCTGAGGCGGTCATGATGGTCACGCTGGATCATTCGACCTCGCTGCTTAAGGATAAGACTCCGGCGATGGTGGATGTCAGGGCTGAGAAAAGGAAATGGGAGGCGGAGTTTGGGGGAGAGCTGGCGGCGCGGATGGAGAAGTGGGTGGAGAATGCAATGCCGGATTATAATTATCTGTATAGTAAGAGGTTGCGAGGGGATTGATGAGAATCTATGGTATTGATTTAGAGCGTATTGATTGAATTGGGTGGTGAGGATACCAAAGAACAAAACCTGTTAACATTCGTTCCTGAAGGAGTCCAGACGGAGATTCCTGATCGACGCATTGTTCATTTTCAAACACGGTTTCAATCTGGGTGATACCATCCCACAACTCTTAAACCGAGAATATGGCTATATATTTGGGGTTTGTAAGCATGGCATGATCAGTTCTTTGAGTAGCTTATCTTCTCGCTGCAGAAAGAATAGAGGATATGGTTTTAGGCCGCTGAAAGTAGGCACCGGTCATCTTCATACGACTTACGACATTATACATCATCTCTATAGCATAACGTGATGACTTAGCTGGTTCGGGTTGAGAACTATAAAACATACATGGAAAATGAGTGTGGTGTCATATTAGTTAAAGTAAAGAATAAGCCATCGCTTAAAAAAACACCACACGATGTGTGGCTGTCACATTATTTTGGATACAGGAAAGAATATATCAGTCTCAAAACAGCCTTAGGTTTTTGATTGTGCCTCTGCAGAAAGGTGCATGAATGAATCATCATAGCAAGGCATGCTGAAAAGGAAGGTTGGGAACTGTGGCACCGAAAGAAAAAAAACTGCAATCCCGACCATTTGTTTACACCATCCGATCACTTCACCTGGCTCAGACGCCGCAGGTGGGCAGCCTGTTCTCTTGAGGATTGTTAGCAAAGTGTTCTTCACCAGGAGTGCGTTCAAAATAGTCCCGCAGGGGTATACTTACTGCATCTGGTTGGGACATCGCTTGCTCTCACCCACCAACCCCTAGTGGTCTTGTACCAGTCACCGTCTCTGCAGGAGTCTTGTCAGAGTCTGATCTAAACATAAACATCCCAGGCTGTAGAAAAGCAGCTTACCTCCACTTGCACCGGTATTCCACTTTCTGCTGCGGCTGATAGCTGCCCCTGTTGACACAAGGCCATTGGTAATAGTTGATCTGGTTGTTTGAACTGCATGTTGACGCCCGAGCCGCAAGGTGAACGTCGCTCTCGTCGGCGTCCACGTCGGCTTCTTCGGCGGAGGGTATGGCCAAGGTCAGGGGCAGCAGTGCAGTGAGGAGATAGATTGGAGACTTCATAGTGACGAATTGGTGCTTTGGATTTCTTGCGAACTATAGAGTGTCTGTGATCTCTAATGTATGAAGAATGTAGTGGGTTATCTTTCTGTCTGCTGGGAGTTGATCGGTATCTTTATACCTTTTCGAGAGTTGCTAGGCCTTGCAATCCCTGTCTAGCTGGGCTGCGCCAATTCCAGAGCCTAGAATGCTCTGACTAGACTCACATCCAACCTAGGTTCTTGACTTCTGATCTGCTCGTATCCGCAATTAGGCATTCGGGCTGTGCCAATCTTGCTCCGACCTGGCAATCTACTACCATGTTTCGAGGAAGTAGATGAAGTATCCACCAAACATTAACAATCTCCTAATATGTTTCGCTGGGAGCACGAGTGGTCGCAAGTTGATCTCAATTCTATGCACGGTCCAACGCCCCTTATCATTGTAGTCTTGAAGATTACAGATCTACAAAATCATGAGTCTATCTGCATTGCAAGAGCAGGAGCTCGGACGGCGCATAGAAGCTGATATTCGCGACCGTTATCGACCTCGAACGACCATACGAAGAGTTCAAGCATCCGCCACAACAGTAATAAAGGATCCAACGCTGCCAAGCACAAATAGAAGCAGTGCATTCAACCCAAGGAGTTGCAGAGTTGGAACACCGAGAAAGTAGCTTTTGAGAATCACGGAGAGCTCCAGGGAAGGAAGGGTGAAATACGAGATGCCAGTCACCTACACGAAAAACCTTGTTTGAGTATGTCGTTCGTGTCATCTGCTACGCATCGTATCAAGAATAGATTCACAACCTTGAAGAAAATCCCTAAACATACCCCATGCTGAATCCACCAGTGCATGCGACATTTCTCGACAGAGTGCGGGATTTTACTGCGAGACTCGACCAATACCTCTGGGGATGCACAGCCGCCGGAGCATGGCAGTATCGATCTCACGCTCTGGATGAGTACGCAGTACTTTGCAGAGATCTTGTACGGTCAAAATTGCTGAGTGAAGTCATGAACCCACAGCATCAGCCCTTTGGGTCTTGCTGGCTCCGCGGTGCCCCTTGGCTCTATTTTCTGGCCAAAGTAGCAGCACAGCCTCATCTCATCGCACCCATGGCCTTTCCATCTATGCCCGATGATTGGCTACCAACGCAAATGCTCGATTGTTTGAATTGTTCCCCTGTTGCGGGGGATGAAGAAAGTCTTCGCCTTGATGACTGTAGTGAAATATTCTATGCAATTGGGAGCTGAGTACATGAGAAATAGATACATGTTCTCAAGTGGGGAATGAGATAAGGAAATGATGGGGCCGTGAGGTGGTGGACTCATGGGCCTGAGGCAGCGCCCTAACATTAACCCCCCTGCCCCTCCCCAAAGACTCGCAGCCGGAAGGCCAACAAATCGAGATCATTCGCCGGGTGCTGATTCCTTCCGACCTGTATGTGCTTTCCCACATACCCAAGGAATGATGTCAAAATCCCCCTTTCCTTCGCTCTATCGGCTTGGTGAGGTGTAGAGTCGGGAAAACTCACATCCATGCAAGGCTTCGCTTCGTATCGCAGGCGGTAGTGGTAAGAGTGGTGGTGCTGGAAGACGTGATCTGTTCTTTGACATCATGAAGGATATGATCAAACGAGGCCTTTGGCGGCGAAGTCAATCCGGTACCTCTTTGCGAGAGGCTTCTGCGTACGTGCACAGAGCTGTGGGCCCAAGGTAAAAACAGACAGCAGATCCGTGTAAGGCGCCGTTGCAATACGCACATCTGCCTACCTGCTGTTAAATTAAACCTTTCCAGATCACCACGTCCGAACATACTCGCGAACATCTAACACTAGAGGCTGGAGCACGAGGTTGTATCATGGCGGTAGGAGAGGTGAAAAGTCGGGCTTTTTGGAATGCCTCTCTCGCGGAGGGTGCCTCTTTTTCGACGACTGGATGGTGTAGTTAACGTGTGCAATCCCTTTTTCGAGCAATTCATACGCGAGTCTCAGGAGAGAAACAGATTGCTTGTGCGATCGGGATCTAGTACAACACGACGAAGCGTCTGTAGAGCGGCAAAGGCATCTTCGCCAGGTGGTGAGGCCATATCAATAAGAGGTTTGATGGATTTGGTGATGGTGCCAGGAATTGGGATGAACACCACGAGATGAGGGCTTTCCAAAGGTCCTCCGGTAAGGATTGGACTTTGAGAGATCAAGCAAAGAGCAACAGGATCATCAATGATACAAATGACGCGCTTACGATGAAAATAGGTGTTTTGGCACGAGAATGGGTAAGAAGGGCTCATAAACTGATGACGGAGGCGCGAGGTAGTGAACCCAGGGGCCTGAAGCGGTGAGGTGTCAGCCTGAGGCAGCACCCTCACAAAAATAGTCAAAGACGCGGGCGGCTCTTTCGTCCGCCAGTACTGTGCCTAATGCCTTAAATGTTGTATATAGCAATGGGTAATACCCCCCAACTTGGTAGCATAACACTCAGGCTCAGGCTCCTAGTAGTCCGCTCGGCCACTTCTTGAGCAGGTCGTCAACTCTATTGAACTCGCCTTGGGCGATCAGCTGTAATTTTCATGTAGTTTATCTCTAACAACCTCCGACAAGCTTATCAAAAATCTCCGGGTGGTGTAGAGCTGAATCCCAGCTGGTGGCAACAATTGTGAAGGGAAAGACTTTTTGACAGGAAACACAAGCTCTACGTTGCTATCTTTCTTATGAAGAGGCCGTCTCTGTCTTCTTGACCCTACCAAAGAAGCCCCCGCACCCCACATTGTTTGGATCCCTAATCTCTCTTCCACGGTCCATGAAACACGAGACGAACGATTGTTCCCAGCCACCATGTCCCGAATTTGGTCGCTCTGGGGCGATCCAGATTCTCTGCGAAGCGGTCGAGCCAAGGTCCTTCTTTCATGGCCGGATACCACCCAGAAATGCCTATCACCGCGTCGTCGAACCTTGTCTCAATCATGTGCCAGTTGCGTGCACTTCCGGAAAAAGTGCTCGCCATTCAGCCACTTCGTTTGATTGACGCTACCTAAGCTGAGGTAGATAGTCGGACCAGATCCCGCACTATATGCTCACCACACCCGCATTCCAGAGAGGTCTTCTGTCGCGAGCGGGTCCTGGCGGGATCCGACGGGAGCGGCGAGTTCTCAGCCTTCGTGGTCGTCGATGACGGGGGACTTGCTCGCATGTCGCCAGTCGGCGTCGTGGTGGGACATTTTGCGCGGGTAAAGCGGTGGAAGGTGGATGGGAAGGGGTGTAGTGGAAGGGTAGAAGTGCGAAAAGAGCGGGCGAGATGGTAGTCCGAGAGGATTAGAGGGGAGGGGCGCACTAACAGGCTCTGGAGAGGAGTGAGTGAGTTGATCTTGGACGAGGGGAGAGAAAGGAACTTGTCTCTTCTTGATACAACAGTGCTGGCTCGGCTGGCAAGCTGGTGGGTACGAACAGCTGACAAGGGAGGGTGGAGGCGAATAGCGGTGAAAGGAACAATCAGCGGGTCTTCCGCCCGCCAGACTCAATCGTGAGCTGATCGCACTCGCTGGGATTGTTGGATGCGAGTGTCAGAGCTTCTTGGTGGTGGAGCGCTTCCGTACTCCGCAAGCCAACACCGGCTTAGCTTTGTGGACCAGATCTTCTTTCTTCGGCTGCACACCCTCCTGTCACGTGCCAGGTACAATACTGTACTTACTTTACTCTTGAGATCTCGTATCCACTACCCCGGATCTTGGCAAGCCAAAGCGAAAGTAACTCCCCCGGCTTTTTCTTTTGTCTTCTTTTCAACCACAGCTACTTCTCCCGCCCCCCCCAAAAACCCTCCCCCGCCCCCAACCGTCAAAGCACGGGAATAATCCGTGTGTAGTCTGTTCACCCCATGGACCGCAAGCGGCAGCGACGTCTTTATAGCCGGAGGGCCTTTAATGGCTATTCCCGCCCCGCGGTGCCCTGGAATGGCAAATCGTCATCTATGTATTGTATTTGAAGTCACGGTGGTGGTCGTACAGCTACACCTCAAGTCGCACCGGATAGCTATGAAAGCCATCCCCACGTAGCCCTCCTGCCAGCCACGAGAGAACCGAACCGAATCGACTTGACACACACACACCTTCAACGGCATCCGACCTCAACAGATCTGTAGACAAACCGAACGTACCGTGGACTCATGATCACTGAGCGGTTCGTTGTTAGAGGCATCTCTAAGCTCTTGCTTCTTCACTTTCTGTGTGCAGCAGCGGCAGAGAAAGTGGGTGCAACACAGTTGGATTTCGATGAATTGAAGGCCGCCGAAGCAGTCAAGGGGCCCATAACCTTCTTCGGTGGCCTGCTGATTGACTGCGACATCTCAGTTGATGAGGTATGTCCCGGAATTTATTCCGAATACTATGCACGTCCCCCAGGGCATACTGGCCTTTTCGAAAAACTGGTCGATTCCGCCTCGAAGGTGACGAAAGTCGGTTATGGAGAACCACCGCCCCCATCGGATCCTACTGTTGAGGTAGATATCCAGGGGTTGGATAAGGTGGCCCTGTTATGCGAGCTGTATTCTTTAACGTTGCATCCTGATGTTAGAGCATTGTACTTTGATGAGTACAAGGCATTTGAGGCAGTGAAAGGACCTATCGAAACTTTTGCGGAAAGGCTATCATATGTGATATCTCGGATGATAAACTAGATCCCCGGCGATGGAACAAGCTGAACGGTGACGGTGATATTGAAAGATGGTTACGGAGTTGCCGGAGATTGACAACTGAGGTGTATCCCTGCTGGAATTGACACCGTCACCCCTCTCTACCACTGCCTGGTGTTGACGTGGTCGATATAAGAGGGGTGGATAAATGTCGATTGCTGCTCTCTCTCTGGTATGGCTCGGGTATGTCCATCTTTACCGGCCCCTATCATGATGATAAAGCAGCCGAAGCAGTAAAGGGGTATATAGACTACTTCTGCGGTCATGCTATTAAGTGTGACATTTCAGGCGATACGGCCTCTCCAGCTGGCTATGATAAATATACACAGAAGGTTGCTTTTGAGGCTCATGTGAAGGCAATGCGAGCTGGGTTGCAGGAAGCCTGGGTGAGGAATACTATAAGTCTCGACCCTAAGCTTCAAGAAATCCGAGCTGAATTGGCGCCTGCTTGCTGCGAAGAAGGTCGGTCTCCCACGAAGAACAGAGACGGACCGAACGATGGGGACAAAGGCAACAATGGCAGTCCGTGAAATATCTTTGCCGCTGCAGGAGGACGGGGAGTAGATTCTGGCACCCCAGCGATATCAATACCCCTCCTGTCTGTCCGTTCCCATCCATTTGAGCTTATCGAACACTTCTCCCATCAATCATATGACCACTTAGAGTCATAGAATGCTTTTCCTTCCCTTTTCTTCTGCATAGACGTCCTGATGGTCCACGTTCGTCGGGTGGTAGGTGGTGAGGGTCACCACCACAGCCACCAGGCACCATTCACATTTACTGCACCATTTGATGTGAGTTAAAGATTGCAAACGCCAGCCGGCGCCGGCCTTGCTCATATACTACTGCCTACCAGCTCTGCCCTCATTTTATCTTCTCCCTCCCTCTTCTCACCATCACCAATCCAATCCTTTCCTTCTCTCTATCATCAATCATCATCATTTTCTGCTCTTCTTGATCTTCTCTGTTCCTTAATCTTCCAGTCATAACTTTTTGCCATCTGTTTAGCCTCTCGTGTATACCTTTACACGTTCAGTACTGTCTCGGACTTCTCAGAAATCGCTCAGGAAAAGTCGAAATGGCGTCAACAACTTCTCATGGTCATGCGGCCGTCGGTTCTGGTACGAAGGAAGAGGCGTTTGTCAACTTCCTTCTCGAACAGAAGGAAATACGCCAAATACACTCGACAGCTTGCACTCCGGCCCATACCCTTCGTGGTATGGCCACAACGCTTGCTCTAGCCTTGCAAACCTATGCGGACGAATTGGAGCACACGAATTCGGAGCACGAACGCATGGCAAAGGAGATTGCAGACTCGAAGAATACCACGGCATCGATGATTGCGAAAAGATTGCATCAAACCGCACACAACCGGCTCGGCCCGGGAACACAGCAGTTCCTGAGGTCAGAAGAAGCGTTCTCGGCCCTCTGCCGGAGTATAGAGCAGGGCCTGCAGACCAGCAGCAGACAAGGAGGGACCCAGGGAGTTCCGGGGAGTTCCCGGACTGCGCCGGACGTAGAATCAGGTAAGGAGGTATCCCTAATGCGTGACCGCTCGCGTTGTTCGTGCTAAAGTCAAGTGGTGGGAGAGGATATCGCCCTGATGGACTTGTCGGAGGGTGGTCGAAGCGATGCGGCCGCGGGCGTTCCACCACCCGATCAAACTGGGAGACCAGGTAAGTCTTGTCTGTCCTGTACCGTACCTGCCATCGCATCAAGTAGAGCAGTATCTAAACATGTGCCAGGTAGGGAAACGCGTCTACCTATGTGTTCCATCAGGAGACAAGATGGAGCTGGAGGACGTGGAGATGGGCGAGATCGGGGACGACAAGCAGTTCATCCAGGCGATCGCAACAAAGTTTAAAAAAGTCCAGGAGAGGACGCAGGGGTGGTGGTGTCGGTACCGAAACCGACTCAGCGGGGCGGAATTTGTCAAGGTATGTCCTAGATATTCTCAGTGGCTATTATCAAAAAGCATTAAAGCAACTAACATCGCGAGGTCGCAGTTCTCCATGGTGCAAATTGGCACCACGAAGTGCCCGTTCTGGTTCGAAGAGGGGCAGTTTCCCCCTACAGACGCAACACACTACCATGGCTACAGAGAAAGTGCCAAGGAGCCCATCGAATTTCCCATTCAGCTTCTGGGAGAGACAAGCGATGAAAAACAACCCGGCCGTGCCGTCGGCACCGAAGCATGGAGACTCCTTGAGTACTGGCCTTTCTCCCTCTTCAGACGTGCGGGGTCGGACCAAGCCGGAGGAGATGAAGAAAACAATGCATCGGCGGCGGGGGGGCAGGAACAGGCCGAACCGGCTCCAACTCCAGATCCCAAGTTCTGGATCTCTGTGGTGCCTAAGGATACCACAAATAATCTGGAAGTACAACTGGGAGATTCCCCGGCCAGTGGCTGGGGGGTTCGGCTCAAAGAGGAGCCACGGCCATCGGGTGTGGGGTTAGTTCTGACACTGGTGCGTGTCTGCTTGGTAGCTGTCGGTGTCGTTGTTGGGCTATGCTACTGGATCGAACACTCGTGTTCGGTATGGGGTCTTATGTTGTGAGGAATGTGTCCCCCATACTCACTGTTGTAATGAAATTATGTGAGTATTCACACATATGTACTGTATGTACAGTACATCTACATACTGTACATACTGTACTGTAGAGTACAATACACTGTGTATATGTTTCGTCACACAAAGCAATAATGCTATAAGCCGTAACTTACCCCGCCCCGCCATCCAAGCTCGCGTCCTCGTTCCTACCTAACCTACATTCATTACATTCCTTACCTCCTCAGCTTACTTCAACCACCCCCACCATGCCAGCAGCAACTCGCTCTTAAATTTGGGCTGAAACTGGCTCTCGATGATTATCATCAAAGTTTGGGCCCTGACAAATGGCTGATACCCCCACAGGCTGCGAGCGGTAGCCACCTTCCGCCGACCGTGGGCAAGCATTGGCCCCCGGGCCCATCTCTCTCGGAGAATCTCTACATGCAGCTTGGATGAGACAGCGGCGAGGGAAGCTGGTGACCCGAGGAGATTACCATGGTCGGCCGTCGATTCTACCGCGATTCTACCGCCAGGGAGTCGCGAGTGGGTTCCCTGCTATTGAAGCAACTCGTGCAGATGGCTAGTCGCTACAATACCGCCAGGGGGTGATCTTCATTCGGGGCACAATCGCTATCACGGGTGGGTCTGATCATCTATCAGAAGATCAGCGATGTGAGGGTCTCCACTAACTGCTGGAACTCCCGATCCGATTGGTCTACAGTTGGCTACCAAAGCGATTGATGTTGAAGGTAAGATCCCGGATCTCCAAAATCATCTTACAAAAGGTCGATCAAAGCTAACCTACCACACCACTTAGCTCCCCTGTTCAATATACCCTCTTAACTTCCTTGAGCGACCGCGCATCATCCTCAGAATCTAATTCCGCAGCAGCAGATACTCCGCCCCATGCCGCCAGGGAAACACATGCAAGTTCTGTGCATTCAACAGATTCACATACTTCGCGAAAGCACTGACCAGAGCCAAGAAATCCGCCCGGCCTTGTTGTTCGTTCTCATGGGATAGAATCACTCCGTCGATGACACGGTCGATCTGCCGGAAGGTCTGGTAGAGGAACGTCGCCCCTGCATAGCCCACGAACTCCGACGGGATGGACGCAAACACGCGGAAGAGTTGGACCAGGTGGCGCAGCTTGAACTCGGGGTCCGTCTCCGCGATTTTCAGGATATTGTTCAGGATATTGTACCCGAGCGGTCGGATCTCCCCGTTGATGAATACCATGGTGGCGAAGTAGGAATTCTTCGATCCGGCGCCGGAGAGCGCGCAGCCTGTGTGCACCAGCTGGAGGTCGTAGGAGACCGCCGACCATGATTTTTCGGTCTTTTGGGGAAGTCAACTTAGTTTTGTTTTTCTTTTAATAAGTTGTGGGGATGGTTGGATTTCGCTCCTACCTCCGCATGGATGGCCTCGACTAAACGCATCACCTCCTTGGTAGTACCCATTCGCTCGAGCGGGAGAAAGAGCTGCTCGGTGGGTTCGGGCTTCGTGGCGTCCCACACAACAACCTCAATCACCTGCTTGGACGAGTTGCAGGCGTTCCAGATGGCCGTTCCCGCTCGGACGAGCTGGGCCATATCTTCCGCGACGATCTTCCCACATGGGGCGGCCGGGAGGTATTCGGTCAGTGGCCCGTATTTGATGGCGAGATGCTGCAAGCCGGAGAGAAAGACGGTTCCGTCTGGCTCCATCACTCGGTTGGGCACGATGTAGTTCCCTTTCGTATACTGGCTTTATCATTAGCTTGCCAGCTCCATCCATGTCTTGTTGTGGGATTAGGGGAATTTAGAAGGGTCTGCGGTGCCTACTATCAACTTCTCAGCTGGCACCAGATGGTAAAGATGATCCCCCGACACGAGGGCGTGGTTCTGGAGTGAGCGGTAAGGCAGGCGCTCGTATAGGATGTCTATGAGATGTGCGTTGGCCTCGTCGTTCATCACGGCCGTGACCGTGATATCAAGTTGGGGCCATTTGACCTTGATCTTTCGAGGAAGTGGTTTGGTAGCGGACATGGTTGAAATGATAGGAACTGTGATTTGGACTTTCTCGCGGGTGTGGTCCATGAATCTGGCATTGCGGCGGTGAAATATGAGGCTCGATTTATCTCGCGAACAGTGGACCCAGACTACAAACATGGTCGCATCGACGCAGAATGGTAACATTAGAACGTTGCAGTATAATGAGCTGGCGATTCATTGTCTTTGCGGATTTGGTGACATCGGAACAAGATACTTAAGTTCAGAAATGCTACGCTGTGCTGAACTCTGGATCTGTTGTCTGGTTCCGTGCAGTAGACATACTATTGGCCCTTACCAAGTTCAACCCTATAAATTATTGTTGGATTGCTTGCTGTCCTGAAAGATAATAGGTTGAATTATCTCATGAGCTCTACCTTCTTTAACCCATGTTTCTGAACAGTGGGCAGCCTAACTACCGGTAGCCTGTTGCAGTGCACACAGAAACATGATAGGAGCGGAAGCTATGTGGATATAGTCTATCCAGAAGATACTGACGGTCACGCCTCTTGATAAATCTGTCATGCATATGTGCAACACAACGCTACAACTCAATGTGGAAAAGGTGTTGACACAAGCATGATGATATGTTACCGAATTGGTACTATCTCGATATACATGGAGCACATGGAGCACAGTACTTCATTAGACACAGGCCAAAACACCAGCTCGATTTAATTGAGGTTTTAAAGAGGAACGAGCTATTCTTCAGCTGGCAAAGAGCAGAAGAGCTTACAGTGGGCCTTCCATCCGTCAGAAGCCATGTCGACTGGCATCAGCTACAATTTCACTGGCAAGTGTTGGTCGCATAGGTTCAAAAATATAACGCCATCAGGAACTAAGGCATTCAGTGAATGAGAATCGAGGGGCTTATACCAATCTCAATGAAAACTAATAGGGCAGAGCGAGACATTCTGTTACGGAATCCTATCGATATTATATAGAGATCACAAAGCACAATGCAACAAAGTTCACAAATTCCTTCCGCAAGAACCCCTTTTCCTCCAAGGAACTCCCAACAATATCACCCTTTCATCTTCGTGCAACAAGCGCTGGGTGCCCCGATTCAGTTGGTTCATGTAAGTGATTAATTTAGAAGCACTGCCTGACAGAGCCGCCTATATATCCAAAGTCAGCCCAAATCAAAGCCTTTCGAATGAAGCACGGAAAAACTCACGGCAACGGCGAGGAAGATCGTCGTCTCTCGCCCATTCCTTTGTAGTAGCGTGCCCTCCGCTGTCACACAGTGTCAGTATACCATAGTTTTTGACAAAATTTAGCAAGAGGGACGAATCATACCGATAGCGACAGAGAGATCACGGTAGATCCACGGGTGGCTCTGCCAACAGTGAAACTGGATTGACAAGGGAATTTGTAATAATCGAAGCCTCGATCTACACGGCAGCGATGGCCACCTCTATTATTCCTTCCATCTCCTCCTTTGTCTCCGTCACTATCACCATCACCACCGCCAGGAGCGGCAGCGGCAGCAGCAGAGCCACCGGCTCCGCCTGTGATGGCATTGATGATATTATTGATCTGGTTGGTGTTATTGTTGTTGTTAGTAGTGCTGCTGCTGCTGCTGCTGCTGCCACCCGCCGGGGGAGGCTTATCGGTTTCCTTGGTGTTCTTTCCCGACGATGTCTTCGACGACTTGGGAGGCCTGCCTGTCGGTTCGGTGGTGGTCTTCGCAGTGGTGGTGACTGGGGCGTCGGTTGGGCGAGGATGAACGCGGGTCGTCATGTGAGGGGGGTCGACGGCCACAACGGGTCCAGTCCTTAGAGGAGGAACGGTCTGGCGAGCGGCCAGCCGCTCGGCGTCATCATCGTCAGCCCTGGCGTCGAGCGAGTCAACGGGAACCGGGCCTGCGATGGCAAGCTTGGTAGCCAGAGGAAGAAGCGCGGTGAGGACGAAAAGATAAGTCTTCATGTTTGTTTTTGCGGAGAACTTTGCAACTGTATAAGTGATCTCAGGCAGTGTATTTTTGGAATTGTTGGCAAGGTAGAGCAGCCTGACAGTCGAGTCAGGGCTGGTTTATATAGCTTACGGAGGCGAATGGGAAGCACTTTTTCAGGGAAGTCCTAGGATCATCGACTGCAGTTTCAAATTACCTGGAGGTCAAGCTTACCATGGTCAATTCTTCCCGTATGAGAATTAAGCTTGTGTTCACGGACTGTTCATAGTATGCTGCCAGAGTCAAGTCTGGTTTTGAAGAGGTGGGTATATCTGAATTTTGGTCTGAGCCATTTTCAGGGTGGCTCAAATATATGTCTCCAGAATTAGAAACAAGGCCTCATGATGTTTCCAGCCGATGAATACCTTTCTAGCCACTCGGCCTCGAGTTAGAGCTCTAAGCCCCATATGACTTTGCTGGCGAAGAAAGAACGCAGAACAATGTCTAGGTTGAGGCTTGAAAATGATGTGTTTCACGGGTCTGTGTTGGTCTGACCTCCGATAACACATCCTGAAGAAGACTGTCAAGATATTTGTGGCAGCTTGGCGTAACCACTAGTCACAGCGGGAATAGGTTTGGCCTTCGTATGGGTCACTAGAACAGATAAAGCATTGGCTATAGTAACTTCGCCGGAACTGAGCTTAGGGCCTGTGTAGGCCTCTAAGCACAGAAGCACTAACCAAGCATGTCTGTAGCGGAGTCGAGCTTGTTCAGAACAGTAAGTTCATGTCTACCATTGACGAACCTCTTTATATCAAGCTTTAGTCACCAGAGACCAGAAACTTCACAGTAATAATTCTGGACAGGTGAGACCCATCAATAATCTATCCCCTGTTGTAGAGAATTCTATGGACCTATATCCGCGCCAATAAACCCCGTATCCAGCCCTGTGGCAATACCCCATATTGTGGAAAGATATTGAACCCCCCCCCCCCCCCCCCCCCCCCCCCCCCCAACCACCCAAAACACACCCGCCCTAGAGCCGTAGATCAGGAACTCAAAAATAGAATCCTTGCACTCGTGTTGACAGGGTAAACTCTCCTATTGGTCTTCAGTACCACGGTTGAGACTGTCAAGAAGAAGATATCTTCGTACCGTATTGGATCCCCGGGTCCGGGACTTTGCTCAAGTGGTCCGCAGCCCTGGACTTCACGACGAGAGACCGGCCCTATAAACCATTCGTCATCGCGTGCGGAAATGTATATCCACTATCCTCCGTTCGCTGCTTACTAGTCTTGGCGGACGGTTGACATTTCCTTGAAGAGTTATACGAACTGGGGTAAGGAGATTGGTAGGGTGGGGTTTGTTGGTTTCCAGGGCTACCATTCAACAGAGATCTAGTTAGAACCTTCTGTTTTAGTCCTTGGATATGGTACAGCACGCAATTCGTAGGGTAAATCTCGAGCTTGGAACTTGACATCTAGTACTGGTGCTTCTGTGATGGCGATTCTCAAAAGCTAATAAGGTCATACCGAGAGCTAGACATACTGGAACATATTTTCATAATCGTGATTAACGGCGTATCAGGGATTTGTTCCTGCAAGGGTAGTTAAGCTAATCAGAGCGCGGTCGCGCAACAAACTCCCTACCCGAAGACAGACTGCTTAGCACGAGATACGTCACAAAAAAAGATTAGAAACTCACGTGTCTACATAAGCCCTCACCTGCACGATTCCTTTCTCATCATTATCTCGACACACCCAAGCATAATCATTGGTCAACGCCTTATTATCTTCTGGAATAAGTATTCTCAGCGTTCAGCTTCACGGCAGCTCACGACCCGTCGCATGAAAGATATACCGGACAACCAATTTCAGAGGGCTCAGCCACGGGTTCTCTCGGACAGGAAGACACAGTATTCTTTCACAATGTGTCAATGCTGCACAAAGACTATAAGGTATGGTGTGTGACTTGGTCTGGCGAGTGTATGGCTTGAATAGACGATTTATGGGTCTACGTGTCGGTCAACGACTACCTAGCCCTGGTAGCATCCATAGGGTTACTCCAATCTTCATTCTGCAATTTCAGAGTTGGTGATCCTCTTTTGATAGATAAATTAGAAGAAATCATGGTTGATAGGGCCTTGGCAGTAGGTGGGTTGGCTTAATGTGGTAGGGTTGCATCAGGTTTCTGCGGCCGATGTCTATGACGACTCGAGACAACCTTCTCATTGCGAGCCATCCGGCTCCCATAAGAGATACATGTAAAACGGAATGAGATACAAACTAGTAGAGCAGAAAGAAGCTTCATGTTCTGATCGGTGCTAATAGGATCGCCTCTGGAGCTCTCAAAAATAGTTATCTATTCTGCCTGAGCTAATTGCTGCGCTTGGTAAACCGCCGAATAACCAAGATAATCGTTAAAATGCTGCTTGATTTAGTATGCTTCATCCCAAATGTATGCCTGCCTCTCCTGGCAGTCTGGGGTCTGTCGGCCCTCATCTATCGAGTTTATTTCCACCCCTTAGCAGATATCCCCGGGCCCCTTCTAGGACGCATGTTCCACTTCTATTCGTTCTGGCATAATATGCGCGGCAGTCGGTTCTACCTGCACATCCAAGACTTGCATATCAAATACGGTGAGTAAAGGTTCTCGCCGTCATCCTTGGCAAGCCCACTCACTCACGCACCCTCCAGGCCCGGTTGTACGCATCACGCCTCAAGAAGTCCACCTCTCGGACCCCGAGCACATCGACACAATCTACTCCTTCGCCTCGTCCGCCAGCAGCTACGGGAAAGACTCGTCCTTCTACAGCAGCTTCGGCACCAGCCACGCGACCTTCACGACCTGCGACCCAGCCCAGCACCGCGCCAAACGCGCCACCCTGAACCCATTCTTCTCCGCTCGCCGCGTCGCCGAGCTCGAGCCCCGCATCCAGGCAAAAGTCACCCAGATCCTCACTCGCACGAACGTATCCCTGACGACCACCGGCGCGGTCGAGCTGCACGGCCTCTTCCGCGCCCTGGCACTCGACGTCGTAACCGACTACGCCTTCGACCAGAGCTACGGCTTCTTGGCCCGGCGCGATCTGGGTAGAGACTTTTTCGCGATGATCGCCTCGCTGGGCCCGGGCGTGTGGGTGTTCAACCAGTTCCCGTTCCTACGGGGCGTCGCCACGGCGCTTCCGCTCTGGATTGCGTGGGGCCTTAGTACCTCTCTCGCGAGGATGATCGTTCATCGAAGGGTAAATTACTCGCTACTATACACTGAAACCCATGGCAGTATTGTTCTCGGGGTTGGATTGCGTAGCTGATCTGTGGAGATATAGGAATGCCGGCAGCAGATTCTGCGGGTGAAGGAGAAGGTAGACGGGGAGGAAGGGTCCGGGCGCAGCACGACCATCTTCCATCATCTGTTGCGGGCGGACACATCCAAGAACCCCGCCCCTGTGCCGAGCTTGCTGGAGCTCGAGGATGAGGCCTATGTGCTTCTGGCCGCCGCCGCCGATACCACCGCTAATGCCCTCACTGTGGCCGTGTATCACACTGTGAGGAATGCGCGGGTCTACGGGAGGTTGGTTGAGGAGTTGGAGGAGGCGTTCCCTGGTGATTCTGAGGGGACGCTGTCTTACCAGGCTCTCAAGGCGCTGCCGTATCTTGTGAGTCGTGCTTGGCGAGTGTGTTTCGCGGTGCATGCGCTGACGGGTTCGTAGACTGGTGTCATTAAAGAGGCGCTGCGGTAACCCTCTTCTCTCGGAACTGTAACACCCGAGTATGCGCTGACAAGCCGTAGGCTATCATCCGGCGTCCCTGGTCGACTTCCTCGCGTCGTGCCCCGCGGAGGAGCCACGTTCGGTGGCTATCGCGTACCCGAAGGGGTGAGATTTATGCTGCCCCCTCCCCCTGCCTGACCTCCAGAACAGCAGGTATATATGTACTGACGTTCAAGGCAGACTGTCGTGAGCATGAGTCCCTGGACGGTGAACCGCAACGAAAATATCTTCCCCGACCCCGAAGAATTCAGCCCTGATCGCTGGCTCGACCCGGAAGAATCCCGGTTGCGAGACAGGTATCTGTTCTCGTTTGGGAAGGGCTCGACACAGTGTATTGGGATGCCGTATGTAGAGGTTCTGGTTATACTGGCGCTTGGGTGACTAACAAGCGGTCCTAGGCTTGCGTATAGCGAGTTGTACATCGTCCTGGGCAGGTTCTTTCGCGCGTTCCGGCAGCTCGAAACTAGGCATAAATCGAAGGATGAGCTGTTATATAATGACTACTTCTCAGGTTTTTTTGCCGAGGAGAATGAGGAGTTTGTTTTTTGGAGTGCGCGTCGAGGATAGGGCTTGTGAGAGCTAGGGAGTGTTAGCTGCGGAATCATGGTGTGATTGGTCAGACCCTGGTGCTTGGGCGGGATTAAGGGGCTCTCGACTGTTTCAAGCTAGGCATACGTTGTCTTTGTTTATGGTTGTGCTTCTAGTCCAGTATGGAATATGTGTACTGTCCGTTGGGGAAACTGGATAATCATTATTGCTTCCCAGAATTTACAATTTCAGAACTAAGAGCCCTAGCCGGTCAAACCGGATGCGAAGCCAACCTCTTGGGCCCGCGCACCTTCGACCCAATACAGCGGCCGGGATGCCAGACGGCAAAGAGCAGCGCGACCAGTGCGATGGGCGCGAACTCCAGACACGCAAAATACACCTCATGCGTCGCGAGGTTCGACAGAAGCCCTTCCGCCGTCTCCGCCAGCCGAAAGATAGTCCGCAGGTAGACCATAAGCGTGGCCAGTGCAAAAACCAGACAGAAGCGGGTGTACCCGCCGTCGCGCATGGCGACGCGGGCGCGAACCAAAAACACGGCGGCGAGCACGATGAAGATGGTCATGGCGAAGACCTGGTAGGCGAGGCCGCCGAGCAGGATGTTGTTGGCGACGGAGGGGTCCTGCTGGCGCGACTCGCGGACGCCGACCAGCACGGCGCCGGCGATCTGGACGACGGTGGAGATGACGTCGGAGGTGATGAAGAAGAACAGGATGAGGCTGGGCGGGCAGAGGGCGTGCTGGCGGCCCAGCACGGGGATCAGGGCCGACAGGATCGTGTAGATGCCCGCGGCCAGGAACACGGGCGCCGTAACGATGAAGAAGTAGTTGAGCACGAAGTAGATCAGATGGTATGGGTCTTTCTTCGCCGACAGGCTGCGCGCGATGTAGCCGATGATCTCGAACACCAGCCCCACCGAGAACGTCGCCCACCACCAGCTGCGCAGCCGCCACGTCTGCGCCGTGTGCCAGACCAGGTGCACGAAGAACCAGCTGGCTGCGAACGCTGCCAGCGCGATCGACGGTGTGTACCCGTAGATGATGATCGAGGTGTCGTTCTTGCCCCCCGGGTTGGGGAAGTTGGGGTCCACGTACCCGAAGGACCGTTCTATTCAGACGGGTTAGTTTGAGTTCAGCTGTCTGGACGCGTTTCTTGGGGAGCTGGTCAAGTACAGTACCTGCGATGTGAGGGTGAGCCATTGGGAACAAGCGGAGAGGTAAAGTGTGCCAGCTCCTATTCACTATTCATGCTCGCGGATGATGCAGCTTTTTTTATGTAGTTTAGCCCATGGAATGCCAAGAGAATCTCTTCTCTTGCAGGCCGACGTGTTCCCATGTAATTGTCGAGGTGGATATATATAGCCTCCAGCAGAGACGCCCATGCCAATGCGCGCCTAGAAATCTCGCTTAGAGACGATTTCTTGGAATCTGCTCTGATGCGTCTTGGCTGGGCGACACGTGCAAATGACGGGCTAGAATCGTCTGCCATTGTCTGGGTCAAGTCGGTCGGCAATTGGGTGACCGATCCACATGGTCCATTCCCGTGCATTTTAGTATCCCTGCGGGGGATCATTGATGGATGAAGGCACAAGGGACGTGGAGGTGGCGGCGAGCCCGAGAAGCCATTCAACCGACCTCAGCTTCCCTTTCAACCACCCCACCCCCCAAACTCCCACATCGCCTGTTTTCTATATGACTATGAGACAATGATTCAAATAAAAGTGCCACATACTCAGATGAGAGCATAGACCCGGAAATGAGTCCAAGGTTTGGGCCAAGGCCGACAAAACCTGAAATGGGGCGCGATCGAACAACCGGGGAGAAATCCCGATCCCGCCTGCGCCACTCGCTTATCGACTACTTCGTAGAGGTTGATTTGTTCACAGCACTGGGATTCTCCCGCTCGGAGCTCTTTCGTCATCGATTCTTGGCCTTCCCCAGATGCATTCTACTCTCCTGATGAAATGAATGGTTAATCGTGGCTAACGCACATGCATTTGTGGCTTTTCACGTACTTACAACCTACACAAGGACTAAAGAAACAAATCCAACAATACCCCCCGGAATGTCATGGATGTTTATCTTTATACAAAACAGTCAATACAGCTGAATGAGTTCAGGCACAACAATATACAATCGCTGATCATTCCTCCTTGTACACAAAAACCTACAAATAAGAATCCTCACGCGGAAATAATTTCCGTGCCTGCTGTCCTCCAACCTAGCGGCGCATATTTTGTACTTTTCCTCGAGCAAGCACAGCGCCGCACCTCGCGCCAGGCAACGACGCCCGTGGCAATCACCATCACAATGAGGAAACCCAGATAGCTGCCTGCCCTGTTTATACGGTAGGATAGTCAGGCGATGTCTCTTCCAAGCTGCACAAGCCACTACTACCCGGTCAAAGACAAAATTACTTACCTGTTCCAGTTGCGTTCATGGCCGGAGCCCTCCTGGTGATCGGCTTTGTCCGGAGTGGCAGCGTCGGCCTCGACTGCAGCTTCTTCCGAGCCCACCACTGCATCGTTCTCAACCGCGAGTTCCGTCGGTAAATTTTGTCGTGGACATGCCTCCAGATGATCCTTGGGCAGAGCGGAAATCTGCAGTCGCTCCTGTAGCGCGAGCGGTGCTTCCACGAGGGTGATGACAAGGCCTGAGTACGCGTGCCACTCCATGTGGCAATGGAAGATCCAGACTCCTGCGTAGCACCAACGCGCAAATTAGCCGGTTTAGAAAACTAGCCTAGAAAAGATGAATCATTACTAACCAGGATTCGTTGCGCGAAAGCGAAGAACCAGATTCCCACCGGGGTTCACGGTCGCCGTATCGCGTCGTATGGGGACCTGGGGGAATTCACCCTCGGTCGCGCGTGTGTCCGCGAAATTGCCCGCCCCGGACTCGGAGCGGTAGACTACCTGGAAATTATGGCCGTGCAGGTGGAAGGGATGTCGGCTCATGTGTCCGTTGTTGACCACCAGCTCCACGGTCTGATTTTCGGCGAGGATGAAAGCGTTGGAGGATTGATTGTAGATTGCGTCGTTCGTGGATATGCTACCGGCTTCGATGGCTTTGTATAAGGTGGGGTATTCGGGAGGGGTGTAGGCGATGTTGTTGAAGGTCCAGCTGTTTTGATTGGTTTGGTAATCTGCTTTCTAATGGCCAAGGGCGCTCGGGGTAAGGTCCTTACTGGCTGTTTCCATCCTCCAGGCGGGCAACGCCCATATTCAGGATGATGCTTTGATCGGGCTTGGTGAAGAGCGGCTCTGAGTCGTAGGGCTCAAGTGAAATGTCGTCGATCGCTTCGGAGATGTCGATGTCGCCGGGTTTGTCGAGTGGCTGGGCTTCGTTGTAGACTAGCCACCCAGTGACTGTGACTTGCGGTCGCGCGTGGGCCATCATTATCAATGACTTGCAAAGAGTAGATTAGTAGATGGATGGCACGTCTGCGAGCCGAGTGGTAGGTAAGGTACCTTGTCCATCGTCACCGTGATGGCATAGTTGCGGCTGGCGTTGTCTTTGCCTTTAATCAGAACGCCATAGCGCTGACCAGCGGCGACATAGATGGTTTGCGCTTGTGCAGGCTTCGTATAAACGCCATCCACCTCGATGATCGTCATCTCATGGTCTTCGATTGATACGTATTGCCCCATGAAGCCGCCGATATTCGCGATCCGGACGAGATAGTCTGTCTTTGGCTGAACGGGAATCCGGAGGTCCTGGGTGTCGTTGATCAGATTCGAGTCTGGCGCGGGATCGTGGAGCATGGATTGTTGGAGATAGTGCGGCATCATCTCCGACATCTGGTCATGGTACCAATCCGATATCGACAAGACAATCTCCTCGGAATAATCCTTGTGGTAGGGGGAGGCTGGATCGTGAACAATCAAGAGTCCACGAAGGCCATCTGGGTACTGCGAACCCGAGTGCGAGTGATACCAGTATGTGCCTGGCTGGTTGACCTGCCGAGACATTACTTAATCTCCATTGCGACGACCAAAAAAGCCATGCCAACCCCACCGAACGCGCTCACCTGGAACTTATATTGGAAGGATGAACCCGGACGGATGGCGCATTGCGAGACCTGCGCAGTCCCGTCCATGTGGGGAGTGCCCTCCATGAAAATGCCATGGAAGTGCAGAGCCGTGGACTGGTTCCCCAACGAGTTGAGCACGTTCACGACTACCGTGTCACCTAAATCAACCTGGATTTGCGGTAACGGCCATTCGTGGTTGATGCCGATCGTTGGTCGCAGTCTGGCACCGTCCGGGTTGGCGAGCACCCAGGTGATATTGAAATCATATTCTACTGTTTTGGAGAGAACGGTCGTGACGCCTGTGAGTAGTCCGAGAAGGACTGCTGCTAGACACTTCATAGTCCCTCTCGTGCGGGGTGGTGCTATTCGCGTTTCTGATTATATACTAGACCGTCGCATCCGGGGATAAAAGCAGTGTGGGGAGTCAAGCATTGATGAGGGCCAGATTCGATGGTTTAAATGTAAAGTAAGCGCTATGCTGTGACAGCGCCTGGGCGATCATGCAATCTGTTATCTGCCGCCCCATCCTTATCCGGAGACATTTGATCATATCTCCGAAAGGGACTATAATCACAGCATCTGTCGGTACTTCCCATGCTGATTGGAATCGAAGTCAGGGTCAGAGCATAAGATCTTTGATAGATGATGAGGCATGTATAGAATGAATCAAGTTGGGGTTGAGGGGGAAATCAACCCCAAATATTCTCGTGGGCACGTGATCCTCCATAGTTAACTAACGTAATCGGTAAGCGAGTGGTCCATGTAGGCGAGTGGTCCACCCCTGTATTCCATATAAATTCATTTTTTATATCTCAACCATTTCCTAATGAAACCTTATAAAATTTGTTCTATAGATTCTGATTATCATACTAATCTATACTATTCAAGAGATAATCTCTAATATATCTTAATTACCTAAATAGATATGTATTTTTGGTAATATATGTATTTTAAGATAATTTTTAGATTATATTAAGAGTATTGACTTTAAGCTTCTAAAAGAGATATTTTATATAAAAGATATACTTAATATTTATATAGTATAGACTTAGTCTCTCAAGTACTATGGTTGTTGCGATATTTAGCTTTAGAAACTAGCTATTTTGTATGGAATACGGAG